CTTTTCGGGGGATCCCCCACAAACACACTTGCACTCACACTACACACACACACACACGCACGCACAACGACAATAAGTGTAATAGTTTTACAGCGCCCGCCGAAAAGTATGCTGCGACTTTTGGGCGGTCGACAAACTGGCGTCTACAGTTTGGCAGCCACTGACTCGCCCCCTTAAATCAGAATGAAAATGACTTTAGAAGCCATTGGCCTGCAAAAGTTTTCCATTTCCGGTCAGTTACTTTCGACTTCAATAAACAAATTATTATTATTGGGGGCTTCGGCAATGAATACGTAATGGATTTTATTCGCAAAATTTTTGGTAAATATTTGTGGTATGCAAAATTGAAATCCCGACAGTTACTTTCAATTGAAATAATTAAGTTATGCGGTTTTTGAAATTCAAACAGCCAGTGGTGCCATTTTAAATTGTTAAACACATTTGCGGTTTTGAAAAAAATATCTATTGCAATATAATTAATTCTGCACATGTCGGGTTTTAAAATAAATAGTAAGTCTGTCAGTTGTCAAGCTTGTCAAATTTGGAACTTTTCTATTTTGACTAGATAATATTAATAATAGCTAAAAGTTCGTTTTCTGAGTTATAATCAATAAAAATTGCGTGGATATTTGTGGTGTGGAAAAAATGTTCATTTTCCTGGGTGTTCAACTATTGTGAAATTTATTTTATTACAGAAAATATTAATGATAAATTTAATTCTTATGCGTGCCATCAACTGCAATAATTATTAAAGTGAAAGGGGTTATTTGCAGTCAATTAAATAAAGTATTATAAACATTCTTATTAAATGGTTTTTTGATAGCGGAATATAAAATATACGACTAAACTTGTGTAACTTCTTGCATAATAAACTTAATAAAAATAAATGTTAACAGGGCAATAAAGAAGTGTATTAAACTAAAGTTCATTTAATGAATCGAATTCTATTTGATTGAACCCCAATCAGTATAAATTGATTTGTAATACTCCTGTGAACTTACTGATATTGGTAGTGAGATAGCCTTACGAAATATTGACATACGAATAAAATAAATAAAATGAAATATTTAAGATAAAACGGGAAATAAAGAATGGCAGCCACAAGCAATAATTTATTCAGTCTTCTGGTTGAGAGAATCGGTAAGTGTCTTCGGTTTTTCCGTAGACTGCCTTTATATTCTTTTTTAATTATTTGTGCGGCTTGCTGGCTCTGGTTCTCCGGCTAAAAGCTTTCCGGGTGGGCGGAAAGGCCGCGCCCGCTTCTCTTTTAGCCGGGTTCAACACGAAATTCATAAATTAATGCATGGCGTGTTGTTGGCTATTAAAAGCAATGAGCAAGCACATGAGAGGGAAGATCTTGAAGGAGCGGGACGGGGCACACAGACACACACACTTACACACACTCGAACAGCTTAGGGACTAACCCGCACACACACATACACACACACTCACATTCGACCGGGCACATTAACATAAAAACAACATCAAGCCAAGGGCCAAGAAGAGCCAAAGCCCAAAAAGCCAAAAACTCGGGCAAAACAGCCGAAAAGGCAGAAAAAAAAGTTGAAAAGCAGCAACAACAGTGAAATAAATAAATTTACATTTTGCGCACGTGCTTTGTCGTTTTCCTTTCGCTTTTCCAGCTTCTTCAGTTTCTCAGCTAGGGTTGTTGGAAATATATATCAAATAATCCAAATGTACTTCCCAAAACCTCGAGAATGTGTCAATATCTGCTGTGAATAATGGTGGGTATTTTGTAATAAAATACAGTATGGTTTTTTAAACAAACAACAAATGATTATCTGCTTTTGAACCCTTTTATCTGAATAATATTCATTTGTATCTGTTGCATTCCTTATTTGTTTAGGTTTGTATTCCATTATCTATGAAAAAAAATACTAATATATGGAAAGCATCTTCTGGAAAATGTGAAAAGGTTGACAACCCTGGCTTTCGGCTTCTCCAGCTCTAGATTCTCGATGGGAAGCTGGCTAGGGACTTTTGCTCCAATTTTATGGCGACAGGACGGCGTGCCCATTCGCCCCAGTGGCTGCCAAACTGTGGCCACATTTTACATATGTAATTGTCCTTCCCCCCTGGGCACCTGCCAACTGGATGAGGTGGAGGGGGAGGGGGAGGATGAAACGGAGGAGAGGTCAGGGGGCAGCACCGCTTTGATAGCCAGTGGAATGTTAATAAACTTGTTTTGATACGACATTCGGATCTCGGGCACAAGGTCAACGAGGACAAGGACGCGAGGAGCGAATTTCGAGTCCTCGTAGCTGCCAGCAAAGAAGCCACAGCTGAAAGCCAAGCCAAAAAATCTGACAGCCTGACAGGAAGTCAGCAGGTGGTCCAGCTACTGGTTTCCACTGTATGGCGATAAGTGCCGTTGCCTGCACACAGAAAAATATTAATGAAATGTGAAATATCTTCCTAGAAAACCCTACCTATATCTATTTCACATTTAACCATTTAAAGTACCATACCATTACTATTTGAAATAAAGAAAAATAAATGTAAATATGTATTATACATACATAAGTATGTGAAAAACCTCAAAATAATTCCATTTTGTTTGTGAAAACTTCCCTAAAAGCAGTGATAAATGCCCGTTTTCCGCTTAGTGTAGATTGCGGGCAAAACGATAATGCAGTTAGGAAGGGAGAACAGGAGCTGGGGAAATGCAGCACCATGCGGAAACGGAAGTTACGGCAAGGCAACACGGATGCCAGCGGATGTCAAACATAAAACATTTGTGGACGATCTGAGTGGAAAAAAAGAGGGAAGCGCCGGTCGGCAGTTAAACATTTCACATTTTTTATGGAAATCCGACTGCAAATATTTGCAATCCCCTTCGGTTATGTGCAGTTTGATTTTTTCCTAGGCATCTAAATTGCTTCCCAAAATCTGTTTAATGCGTTTATTGATGCCGCTTGATTGATTAGCCAGGATATTGCCTCGCCTACGCATTCGCCACGACTTACACTTCATTAACTTCGTGTAATAAAAGTAGAACATGGGGAAAAAGACAAGGGAAATCGCATAAAAAGGCAATAATTTAGTTCGATATTGCCTTGCGAGGAGATAAATAATTTATTCAAGTACCTATTTGCGTTCAGTGTAAAAGCGAGCGATGTTTGTGTGGCGAATCTTATTTACGATTTGTCATATTAAATATGCGCAAAGTAAAATTGAAAATTGCAAAGTGGGAACGTGAAAATGCGAATGGGAACAGTCAGCGCCAAAAGTCAACTGCCAAAAACCGTAGCGAATATATCTAGATATATGCTGTGCATGTATGTTTATGTGTATTGCTTTCTTTTTATTTATTTTATGTTAACAGCAAATTGCGGCGCCCGTCAGCTTGGACTTTCTTTGTGTTATTCACGTTATTCTTGTTATTTTTGTTATTTGTGTTGCTGTGTTCTTGTTCTTCTTGTTGTTGCTGTGGTTGCTGGTACATTTTTAATGTTTTGGCTCTTTTCATTTGGCCCACACACACACACACACACACACACACACACAAACACACGCACACACACTTCGGGCCACACATGCGTGACAAAATTGTTGGGTTCCTCTTGTAAATGCGGTTGTTCTTTTCGTGAGTATTTTCTTTTTTTTTTTTTTTTGGTATTCTCGCGTTTTCTTGGGGTACGGAAAACTTGCTAAAGATTTAGCCGACATTTGTGTTGGTGCCATTTGGCATTGTTTGCATACTTTCGGGCGCAAAAAGTGGGCGGAACCGTACAATTTCATGTCCTCCGTCTCGCTCTCTTTATCGCCCTCCCCTTTGGTATCAAATGCTTTAAATATTTAAGTAGTTTTTCCCCTTTCCTGTTGCTGTGACTCACTGTACGTGTGCCTGCCTGTGTGTGTGTGTGTGTTGGTGTGTTGGCATGTGCCTGTGTGGGTGTAAAGGGCATCAATATCAATCTTGTGTGGATGTCAACTAACGCAAGCCGCCCACTTTGCCACCCGCCAGCAGGTGCTTTGCTATCACCCTTTTTGGCCTGTACAGTGAAACTTTTGATACCCAAACTTTAACAGGTTAAACCTTTTCGAACTCAAGGTAAGTTTAAGGGCTAAAACTGTCAGCTATTTGGCTTCCATTACTAAAAGTTTTAGCTTTTAGCAGTGAAAAATGAATTTTACGGAAAACTTCCTTTAAGAAAAAAATCGTATAATTAAAAAAGTCCTCCTGTAGTATAAAACATTATTTGAAGCTTTTAAATGCTATCAAGAATATTCTGAATTCATTTTACTTTACCCAAAAACATCTCTGTAATTCTAAAACAATTACTTATTTGGCGTTCGCCTGAAGGACCTTTTGCCGTTTTAACCGTTAGCGTTAGCAATTGCTCAGAGAAGTGACTCTGAAACTGTACGCGTGTGTTGCGGTTGACACTTATGCAACCGCAAAGTGCGGCAGTGTGTGTGTGTGTGTTTGTTGCACTTGAAAAGCAACCAATTGTTTTAGTTGCTAGGATTCATTTCTTTTTATTCGGTTGCTGACATAATTGTGCACTTCAGTTTTTGTTGGCTGACACACATTCATCCTTAAGGAGCAAAAAACAGTAAGGATATGAGAAGAAAAATAAACAAAAAATTAAAATAAATAAAAAGAAAGTAATAAAAACGAGAACCAACAGCACGCAAATTTAACTTATTATGTTCATTTTTTCCACTACTCCTACTCCTTGCTCATTTTCCTTTCCTTAGCTTTTCTTTACTTTTTCTTTGGGGAAAAACTTCGCCGCGCCTTCTGTCTCCTTCGCTCCTGCTGAAAAAAACTTTTAGCGGCGGCAGCGACGCCGGCAGAGCGACAGTAGACAACAATTACAATTAGAAGTGTGTTTATGCCGCTCTCGCCATCTCCCTCATTCCCCCACTCCCTCTCTCGCACTTCCCTTGCGTATCCCTCTTATTCCACTTTCTTTTTGGGGCAAAAAGAAATTCAACTTCATTACACAATATTTCGTCCTTTTTGTGATTACCTTTTGTTGCTTTTTGTTGTTTGTTTGTTTGGTTGCTTTTTTGATTGCTTTTAAATGGTGGTTATATATTTGTATTTAGTGTTATTCCGCTGATTCTTCCTTGGATTCTTCACTGCGTTTCGCTGGATTCTTCAATTCTTTTCATTTATCTGCCTTCGCTGTATTTGTGATGTGATTATTTCGCATTTCACTTTGCACTGCAGTTGTGTGTGTGGCAAAACGGGTGGCGGAGGCGGTGGTGGTGGAGGTGGAGGAGAAGAAGAAACCATTAACGGGACACGAAGCACACAACAAACAAGAAACAACAAGAGACAGGAAGCGCGGAGGAGCAGCGTGCAACAATTGCCGACTGCGACGTCGACTGCGAAGTCGACACGTGCGCGTCCTCCTCCTTTTTCCACCACCCCCCTTTCAACCTCCCCAGCCCCACTGCAATTTTACAAATTCGCCAGAAAAAAAAAAACAAAAAAAATATATAATGGCGCACAGAAATGTCGGATTTATTTTCTGATTTTTTGAACTTGAGAACGACTCCCGGATTCTGAGGACCGTTCGACGCGAGAGCTGCGTCTTCATAGTTTTTCGCGACTACGCACCTAAAAGTCGACTACGAATGAGTTGCGCGCAACTAGAGCAGGGAACACTCCGATAACACCACCGATTGCTCAAGGATTTTTCGTTTCCACACATCGATAGGTTTCAAAAGCTCTGGTAAAGGTTTTCCACAACTCAGGTGGCGCCACTTTCCTAAAACACTGGGCCCATAACTTTAATTCCTAAACGAACTGATTTTTTCAAATTCGGGATAAGTTGCGGAGAGGCAACGGTTCTTCGATTAAAAAGTGCCATTACTTTAAGCATTTGTAGTTTAATTCTCCACTAAACTGCATCATTAGTAAAGTTTTTAATTTATGTTAGATTTTGTTCTATTTGTACGATACAACCCCTTTCTAAATTTCCAAAAAATGAGTTTGCTGAAGATTGATCAAAATTCACTACTCCTTCGCACATAACTTTTCTAACTTTAATCAAATTTTAACGTGTCGTTTCTAAATTAATCCTTTCTGTAATCCTTTCTGCTGTACTTCTAAGCGCATAACTTTTTTAGTTAATATCCGATATTGAAGAGCCATGCCTCTATAAGTTTGTAGTCGGATTCCCCAACAAACTGCATCATATCGGAGAGGTTTAGACCTGCTATGTCAAATTTGAAGAAAAATTTTGTAATTGGTTTATTTTCAAGTTTTCAGACAAATGATATCGATATTATTAAATATAACTTAGAAGACCATGAAAAGTTCAATATTTTCCCAGAGCCATCTGGATGTGGGCTGCCGTAAAATAAAAATTATAAACCATTTAGCGGCGCATGTAAAATAACGAAATATACTTGCTACAGATTGAGCAATTTGACTGTTTAGAGCTTTTCACATACCTGAGCTTTTTTGATCACTTTTCGCGTAAAACACAACCAATTTAGTGCAGTCAAAATTCAAAGATTGACCGCTAAATATTATTTACCCTGGATTTTTTTTAAAGTTATTTAAATGCAGAATGATTTTTGATTTTAAGCACTTATGAAAAAATCAATCAAGGCTCAATATTTCCAGAAGCCTTTTGCATTTAATTTGAAATTAAAATCGTGTCAGATAGTGGACGTTCATGCAGATATTTGTTGACATTCTTTGAATAATAGTTATTGAAGTGGATGTTAAAATTGCGCACCATAGGCCTATAAAATGGCTATGCTGCCACAACTAAGAGCCAGAGCCACCCTCACGGTCCGCTCTCCCGTTGAAAAAGAGAGCGTTGCAAAACAACCACTGTGGGGCAGGCCCCGCTTCACCCCCTTTGCCTCATTCAGAGCCCCCACTTTTTGGGGAGAGCATCAAGTTGGTGGCAGTTCTCCAACAATCGCTGAGCACAGCAGATTACCAAATTAGAGTGCAGGTGTGTGCGTGAGTGACAGTGACAAAAACTGAAACCTGTGGCAAATCCCCCCCACTAAAAACTGATAAAGCATCCGAAAAAGTTGAACCATGCCCCCGAGAAATCTAAATCCCCCCATAACGCAGCTCTAAAATAACAGCAGTAAACAAGTTGGAGCTGCAGCTAAATAAAAAATAACAACCAAAAAAAATATCATAATAAAACACCAAATATACTCGAATGCAACAACGTTAATGATGTCGGAAAAAACTGGTTTGCTTGGATAAACATTTTAAGTTTGTTTTGGTCCCGCTTTCAAAAGGTTGGAGGCAGAGGGGATATAAACGATTCGAACGACTTTGAGCCAGGGTACAAAGTTCAACACGAATGAGCGCCAAGAAAGTACGACGACTTGTTTTCGCGAAACGCACAAATTTAGCATGCTTTGCACAGTTGGGTTCGCACTTTTAGCAGTTAGCATAAATTTTGAATTAGGTACTTTAACCTGTGTTTAAAAAGCATTAACTTAAAGTGAACTGTATATATATGCATAACTTTGATATTAACAAATATGAAACTCCTTTTCACCCATTATTCCAAATAACTGTTATCAACATATTACAAATTGTGGGTGTATTTAATTAGCGCTCCGTTACAAAGTAAACCTATTATTGTGCATTTGCCTGTGTGTGGGAGAAGCAAAGAATAGGTAAAACGTGTGTACTGCATTGTAAATGCAGTTTGATTAGTTATGCGAATAAAACAACCGCATTACATGTGAATGTACAAAATATAAGTTTCAAATGCAAACAATTGTTGAATAACAAGTATACGGCATCAATAATGCCCACTAACTATGCTATACTATAACAAACTGGATATCAGGCCAACTGAAACTCTCTCGCGCTCTTTTCTTACAAAACAGTTACAAGATCGATGCAACGGAGAGCGGGAGAAAGAGCTAAAGAGAGCAGTATGCAAATTAAGACGGCGAGTGAAAGAGCTAGAACTATCAATTTGTGTGGCTGAAAGCGGGAGGCGAAGAGTACTGAGGCCCCTTCTGTTGGCCTTGAGCTCTGCTTACGTTGCTCCCTAATTGTTGATTTTGCTGCTTTTGCTTTGCGGGGTTTTGATTTTGTTGCTTTTGTTACATTTCTTGTGTTGATTTTTTTGCTGTCTTACACGGTGATATCCATTTCAAACGCAGAAATTCCCCCAGCTGGCGAAACTTGTCGCCAAGAGTTTTGGGTTTCCCATTTAAACACTTGGCAAAGGTGAATGCACTCGCTAATTGAATAGGAAGTCCAGTTTTTCCGGAAATTGATTTACCCTTGTGGATCAAATGTTCCTAAGCCAACAACCAAATTTTGCAAGATGTTCTATAGCGTTATAAATCAACAAGGCAATGCATTTTAGATACTCAATGAAGCTCATTGGTCATACCTTTTTCTAATCAAAGTGTGTTTACGATTTTATTGAAGCGATATGACGAATACTTTTGAACCAAATCCCTATCTGCTATTTTTTAAGGTTGCCTCAATGTTGAAATCATAGAACTTAGTAATGGTATTAAAAACCCTCCTTTAACACAGTATTGAATGAGTAATATTTAACTTTTACGGTATATTATATCTATAGATTTGTTCCGCGTTATTAACTTTAAACTCATGTTAAATGAGTTGAAACAGTATTCGTTTCGATACTGTACAGTTCTACTCGCGACAGGTGTTCTAACGGGATCAGCAGATCTTGAGTCAGTGATCAAGGTCCACAAAAATCGGAGAGGTATAGTATACCAAAATTTAGGTGATAAGCGCGGGAAAGGCCTGCAAGTCATGCGCAGACATCAAGAAGCCACTGCACCGCGATAACGATAAGCTAAGGGTGTGAAGGGTGGTCTAAATGGGGTAAGGGGGAGAAGGTTCGTGGGAAGTCTGGTCTAGTACTTCGTAGCCACTGTGCACGGGGATTACTAAGAGTGCTGCACTGAAAACAACTTCAAGAGGCAACCTCTTTAACTCAAATTATTTGAAGTGTCAACAATTCCCGGTATCTTTACCAATAATTACACGGTGGTATCTCTCATTTCTCCAAGGGACAACGTGACAACTTTAAGGGCTTCTAGCAGATATCAAGAATATCGAGTGACTAAGAAGGCGGCTAAATCAACATTCGAGTATAATAGTTTACGTAAAGAAAATCTATTATATTACCTTTTAAATTTGTAGAACAGTTTTCAATAGGTGCAACTGCAAATGCAATCTATAGAGCCTTGTTTCAAATTTTCTTTGTCCACAAACACTTTTCTTAGCTCTTTTTTTTTTCGAAATGTATTTAAAACACCTTTAGGTTTTATTGTGTACTCTTTTTCATCATTTAAGATCACTTTTAAGTAGCATTGCATTATTGACGGATCGTTTCAGTTTACAATTAACAGTTGCAGCCACTGTCTTTGAGAGGAAGAGCGAAAAAGTGAGAGAGTGCATTCCGTAGAAGAAAAAAATTCAACCACAGCAGCTGAAAAAGATATACACTGAAAGAATTTTAGGTTTGAATTACAATTGGGCTAACAACTTTGCTTGGAAATTACTTTAAGCTAGTCAAAGTCAACTGCTTTTAAATTTAAATGTATATTCGAGTTTGATTAAAAAAATTTCTAGAATATTTACTTGTGTGAATAACAAAACATTTCTTTTTAATATTTTCATTAATGTTTTTTTAACAATTTAATGACTTACGATCTTTTTCTCTGGTCATTTCTATAATTTAATATCAAAAAAGATCACGTTACAAATAATTATACAACCTTTATGATCACCGATCATATTATTATTTTTCTTTCAGTGTTTCGGAAATAGAGACAGCAATATCGCGCACCACCAACGCGATCGTGCGTCGGTGTTTTGTTGTTGGTGTTGGTGAGAAGCAGCGGCATTACTTTTCTCTGCGCCGCAAGGCGACGCCAGTCGTGTTTCAGCACTCGACAGCAGCAGACGTGTGGCATCTAAAGCGGCAGCAACAGCAAACTCCGGACCACCAAAAAAAAGAAAACAAAACACTCCACTCTCTTTTTCACCAAACCAAAAGGCAGCCAGCAAACAATCAACATGAATCCAGTCGCTCAGTTGCTGCGCCTGCGCAGCGCCACCGCTTTGGGCAGCGCGACCACGCGCTCCATCAAGACGAACCGGCGCGAGCAGACCACCAGTACCGCCAGCGCGCAGCGGGAGCGGACGCAGGGCGTCAGCGAGACGGACAAGTTCCTGCACTACAGCAACGAGGACGGCTACTACAAGACCTCGCCCTTTGACCCCATCGTCGTGCCGAACGTACCGCTCCACGAGTACGTGTGGCGCGACTTCAAGAAGTGGGAGCGAAACACCGCGACGGTAAGTGCCACAAAAGTGATCTGTGAAGTGAAAAAAACGAATTTTTTAAACCCACAATCCTTGAAGAATTCCTAAGCAGTTTAATTTGTAAATCAAAAGCATTTCTACAACACATTTCATTATCTTCTAAATGTCAAGGAAGGGAATTCTTTACTCTCTTTAGATTTTAAGGGTTCTTAAGGATGCTTTTGTGTAAGGTTTAAAAAATCAGGTCAAGGTCCTTTCTTCGAATTCTTTGTTTTCATACGGTTCTTGGAAAAGAAAAGGTGGTGTTGAGTGTCAACATAAACAGTGAAAAACAATCTGTCTTAGAATACAATCAGTGATTTTAAATTGAATAAATTCTTGGAGAAGTTATATCGCCAAGGAAATTACTTTAGCTACATAGCTTAATATTTGGAAAACTTTAAAATAATTAAAAACTTTTCCCCCTAAAACTCTTCCCTTAAGAAAAATTATCAACTCATTATCTAAAAACTAATGAATATTTTCGATGGCAATAATTTACTACAGCCCATTAAAATTCGCTTTGGGGTATCTCATCTCCAACCGGTCATTAAAATCGAATTTACTATTTCAATGAGCCCAACATAAACGTAAACGTAAGCCGGAGCTCAATTAAAGCCCCGTAAACCCAATCACATCATAAATTCACGCAATCGCAATCGTTGCAATCGTTGTCGTAGGCGCCGCTCAAGAATGCTCTGTTTGTTTATGGCGGTTTATTGAACCTGAACCTACGTCTATATATAAAGTGATATTTATACGGGCGCTGGCATTCAGCAGTCTGATTTGCGTCTGCCACACAAATTTCGCAATGTCGGGTGTTCTGTACACCATGTACACTCCATATATCCTACATCATCGCAATTCCCCCACACGATTCCAAATATGTAGTTGCCTTCTTATCACTTTAAACACTATCGCTCCGATGGAGGGGGTCTAGGTATAGTCTATGCCGGTATTTGGGTCATTAAAGCCCCTGGTCCTCCGTCCCCTTATCGGACATCGCTAATGACGGGTTGTGTTGATAGGAACACCGGGTCCCTGATAACAACGAAAGTGAAATGTGGTAAAAAGCCAGTGAAAAGTATAAAAAAAACAAAAAGGGGGCCAAAGGGGCCTTCAATTCCGTTCCGGTCTGGAGTGTTATTTGCAATCGGATTTCGATTGCGATTCCCGATTCCCGTTTCTGTTCCGGCTTTTCATCCATGGCTCACTGGGAGCCAGTCAAGTGGTCGTGGCAAATTGCCCGGGAGTCCAGATAAGGAAAATCCCACGATTAAATGAATCGCGTCGAGTTACTGTCAGCGGGAACAAAGAATCTCCGTTGTAATACAACCCACTAATACCCACTTGCATAACTTGCATATCGCTAGCCCCTATATAGGAAAATTATCCCCAGGCGGCGACCTTCGTCGATTGTTTACACTTTTCACTTTTCGCCGTCTAGCTAGAAGCTATATGCACACATGTATAGTATATAATATAGTAATGTGTATCATGTTTGGGTCTTGTGCCCGTTGCAAATCAAAGTGCAAACAGTTTTCATTGAAATTTATTGCCATCATTTGTGCAATGTAGGAGAGGTTGGGGTCTGATATAACCGAGTAGTAATCGCCCACATGGTCGATTGGAGGCGTAACCAGAGCCCCGCCAATTGTTGAATTAAATGCAATTAAAACCCGCTTGCTTCGCATGCCGGTGCAAAGTTCGTCTTTTGTTTTCCTACTCGCTGGACACGCCCACTAGTTTTATAGCTCCGCCGCCTTTGGTGGCTCTTATTGAAATAGTGGTGATATATTTTATTTTCTTAGGGTTTTCTGGGAGATAAGATAGCGGTTTAGTCGTGTCATCATTATATTTCGCTTTTTCTGTAAATCTGAACTAATTCGGTTTCAGTTATCACCGCAATTTAACGCCGAGCCAACAGTCATGCAATTATTTGGAAAGCAAAATGCATTTGTTTATTTACTTATAAAGACAATGTTACATATCTTATTGCAGTTGTTTATACAAATTTTCAGAGTCAAAACTTGAACGTGCATTTATTTATATAAATTCTATTTTTATCAATGCAAACCAAAGGCGTTTTTTGCAAAATATTTCAATTTTTTCGCGAATCTATTCTAGCGTTCAGTATAACTGGCAATTTGACTTATATTTATATATAATTTATTGTCATGCAATTGATTATAGAATTTGTGAGTGCATTTATTTTTATAGATTTTTATTAAAGTGAACCGCACTCATGTTTATCGAACTTATTAGTAATTGTTAACCTTTTGAAGGCATCAGGATTTCTGGGAATTGTTTAGGTTCATAGACTAAGGAACTTTAGTGACTTGTAAACAGTTCGTTTTTGCACTTTCCATTCCTTGAACTTTAATTGAAATGTTTGTGCCTTTGAAGAGTGCATTTATATAGATGACTCAAATGTGCAATCAGTCAATTTTAATCAATTGCCTTTAATATATGCGAATTACTCAAGTGTTTGTCGCACCCAAATGAACCCCAATTTCTTGATATGACCATATAATGCGGTTTTAATTGCCTCGAACTTATTTTCGCTTACTTTTCGTTGTGTTTTCAATTCTTTTTTTTTTTTTTTGGGTTGATAATTTTGATGGTTTTGTTTTGATTTTTGTTGGTTTTTTTCTCGGGCAGACGTCAGCGGTTGATCGAGGTCCAGCCCCCAGATTTATGCTCGCACAGATCTTCAGCCTGTGCTGATAATTTGGCTGCTTCATAGCCAAAATTTTAGATATTTTCATAGATTAATTTTTTTTAATATCACAGCAAATATAAAATGCGGGTATTTGTACTGTCATATTTATTAAACATAATCTAAATGGTTTTCTGTATTTAAAGATACATTTTTATGCAAACAATTTACGGCTCAGGCACGTTAAAATGTAGCGAATCAATAGAGCATTTATAAGAATATGTTTTTACATACAATTTTTAACAAAAATCTTCCCATTTTCTATAGATAATTTAAGCTATTTATTAGCTACTTTTTTAAGTCAACACGACTTGCTGCCCGTTCTTCTCTGCTGAAAAGTCAACAAACGCTGCAGAGTGTGCGACAAGAGAGAGATAGAGCGGCACAGACAGGCAAATAAAGGGGGGCGATGGGGGGTCTTTTGGGGCCCGACTCGTTTAGACTTTGCAGACTTTGTACTTTGCCCCACTGAACTTTGGACCGTCCAACCGACTGAAGCCGAGCGAAGCGGTTTTTGATGGGCCAACCGGGGGGCGGATCGCGTTGGAGGAGGGGATATATAGTATATATATAGTATGGCAAATGCACGAAATGATTCTCGTATTTTTTACTCGCTTATTTATTCATTATGATGTGTGTATGCCGCTCGTTTGTGTGTTGTTTTCTTCAATTTGAGCAACTTGTTGGCGCTGCTGCTACTTATAATGCTTATTTTTAACCCAATGCGATATCCGACTACGCAAATTAAGGCGGACAATCCCCCATTCAGCGAGTCACCTCCCCCCTTTTTTTATGCCCACCCATTAAGGTGATGTTTGCGAATTCGTTTTCAACGACCTTCACCTTAGCCCTGAAACCCGTTTTAGGGTCAACCCTTTGAGAAGTCAATGCCAGCGAAAGTACTGCACATAAAAAATAAATTAAGATCATTTCGGAATGCTCGTAATTGTCTATTGATATTAATAATTAACTCCAAAGGTCTCTACTTCAGTACTTAAACAACCAAAAAAAAACTGTACTGACCTTAGATAATTTCAAAGGCAATACTTTAATCTAAACATTTTCCATATTATTTGAAACTAATATTGATAATATGTAACATTACCCCAGATAAATAAAGCTGATAATTAAGCTGCCATTGTTAATTTATAGGATTAGGTAAGAATTATCTTTTTAGAATTTGGATTATCTAATCGCATTAGGAATTTTTATTGCGCTTGTGACAAAGTTTGCATTGTTTGGCTAATTGGGTTGTAAACGAGTTGAGCACGGTGGGCGGTAATTTGTATTATCATAACTTTAATTTCACCATAGCACCTGTTGAACATTATTTTCTCGATTTTTCTGACAATAAATATTCTACTCAGTGAAAAGATTGCACTTGAAACCATTTTTTTGATAAGATTCTTGTGACTCTTTGTGTTCTCCCCAATTATGGTCGATTTTGATTCACCGTTATCTAAGGATTTGACTGATTACCATTCGATTTTATAAGGGATAGGCCTAATCTTATTAGTGGGGAAAACCAAAACAAAAATGAATTTTGTTGTGCACTAATTTGTTTTTATCAAAGCCTTTGTATGTAAACCAAATCCAAATGTATATATATCTGTATATGTATTGTATACTTGATTTATATTACCAAAATAATCAATTTCAATTATATTTATTTATTAGGTTTGCGTGATCACTGATCGGCAGTACACTTTCGCTGAAATGCGAGATGCCAGCGCCGCTTTTGCCGTTCGTCTGCAGACCAAGTTTAAGCTCCACAAGCCCGATGTTTTGGCCATCTGCCTGCCGAATCTCCCCGAGTATCCCATCGCCACACTGGGTGCCATTGAGGCGGGTCTTACGGTGACCACCGTGAATCCTGTCTACACGCCTGGTAAGTCATGTTTCCCAACTCAGGACCTAGCTCCTGATTGTGCTCCAAGAAGCGTTGTACAGCGGTGTTCGTGGCATTAGAAACAAGGGATTAAGGGAAACTATTGAACCTTTTAAACCTTTGAAAAAGTAGAGATATGCAAAAGCAAACATATTGTATAAAATTTGAAAAGAATAGCAAAAAAAAAAGATTGAAGATAACAGAACACAATGAACTTGAAGTCTTAAAAGGAAAATAACACACTGTGGAATTAAAATAATTCAAATAACGAATGACATATTGAAACACCCAAAACTGAAATTTTAATTAAATACCCCTAATGAAATCTTTCTCTCAAAAAGTGTATATGTATTTTCTTTGAGTCACCTTTGCCCACCGTAAAGTCTTTATAAAGGTTTAAGGCAAATAAAAGTGTAATTGTATGCCCAAATATTATGCAGGTAATTAGGCAAATGATTAGCTATTTTCGCGACCACCGCTGTACGTGTGGGGCTTGTTTTTTATTGGCGACCCTCAAGTGCGTCAAAGGCCCGTTATCTGGGGAGTCTTTATGTGGCGACATCTGTGTTCGGGTGTTCCAAAGTCGAAAGATCGTCACTGATGGTCGTTGTGTTTCGATTGCAGACGAGATCGCCAGGCAGCTGACATTCAGCGGGGCCAAGTTCCTGGTGGGCACGGTCGCCGGATTCGCCACCTTGCAGCAGGCCAGCCAGTTGGCGGGCCGTCAGATTCCCATCGCGGTGATCCGGACCCGCAAGGATGAGTCCCTGCCCGCGGGAGCCATCGATTTTAGCGAGCTGACCAGCACGCAGAACATTCGCTATGAGGACCTGCAATCGCCCAAGGGGGCAACCGGCGATGACATGGTCTTCCTGCCCTTCTCCTCGGGAACCACTGGTCTGCCCAAGGGTGTAATGCTCTCGCACAACAACATCACCAGCAACTGCGAGCAGGTCCAGGCATCCCTGGTGCTGGACCTCTTGGGTCCCCAGGAGACCCTGCCCGCCGTCCTGCCCTTCTTCCACATCTACGGCCTCACCGTGGTGATGCTCTCCAAGCTGGGACAGGGCTGCCGGCTGGCCACGATGCCCTGCTTCAAGCCCGACGACTTCATGAGGTCGCTGGACCAGTACAAGGGCAGCATCCTCAACCTGGTGCCACCCATCGGTGAGTAGAACTCAAAACAAATTTAGAACTTTATTTTTAGTTGCATTTTCAATAAACTAAGTTTCTTGTTAAGTTTTATATTGGCTCGATCATACGAGTTTTACATAGTTTGATATTTTTTATTTAATTTATTTTTGATACCACTATCGGCTAAAGAAAGAGGCAAGAGCGATTGCTGCTCAAGTTCATGATACTTATTAGAAGTAGGTACAATATAAAATTTTGCATCCAGCTAAATTTATTGCCACTTGCTAACAGTCTACTTCTTGTTTTGCATTAATGCCTATAATAAATTTAGCTAAAGCTATTTTAAACTGTCTGTATTATAAAACTGTATGTTATCGGATCGCCAATTTGCAGGTGATGGTGAGCTAAAATTAAACCTGTTTTATTTAATATGACGAAGTAGTTAAAAATACACCTGTTTAAGCTGGAATGCAGGAATGTTATTGGTTTTTTGTTGTTTATATTTAGGGAGAGGAAAAATATCTGGCAAGCTTTATTTTTTTAAAAATACCCTAAAAGAATTACGATCTTTAGACCTTAGATGATAGATCTCCTTTTTTACTGAAAGAAGTTTAAGTCTGTTAAGGAATTGAATTGAATTGAATATTGAATTTGCAATAGAAGTTGAAACTAGAAGCGCTGTAATATATTAAGAGTTTAAATGAAAACAAGAATTTATAATTTATTCATTTATATGTTTATTTTCCAGCCCTGTTCATGATCAACCACCCGAAGTTGACGCAGGAGACGGCTCCTTACTTGAAAACCGTGATGAGTGGAGCAGCTCCAATTGGCCAGCACGACGTGGAGCGCTTCCTGCAAAAGTGAGTGCTGCCAAACAATCGTTTTCGGTTAACCAAATTAATGATTGCTTTCTTTTAGGTTCCCAAAGGCATCCTTCAAGCAGGGCTACGGTATGACCGAAGCCTCTCCGGTGGCTCTCCTCACTCCGGATGGCAACAAGGTCTACGCCTCCACCGGAGTGCTGCCGGCCAACACGGAGGCCAAGATCGTGCCACTAGATGCTGTGGATGCCAAGGGTGTGGGTCCACGCACCACCGGCGAACTGTGCATCCGGGGACCCCAGGTGATGGCTGGCTATCTGAACAACGAGGAGGCCAACCAGGTCACCTTCTATCCGGGCAACTGGTTGCGCAGTGGCGACGTGGCCTTCTACGATGAGGATGGTCTCTTCTACATCACGGATCGCATGAAGGAGCTGATCAAGGTGAAGGGCTTCCAGGTGCCACCCGCCGAATTGGAGGCGGTGCTCCGGGATCATCCCAAAATCCTCGAAGCCGCCGTTTTCGGTATTCCCCACGAACTCAACGGCGAGGCTCCGCGAGCCATTGTCGTCCTGCGTGAGGGCCAAAAGGCCAGCGCCGAGGAAATCTCCGCATACGTGGCCGAACGGGTTGCCCACTACAAGAAACTCGAGGGTGGAGTCATCTTCGTGGACGAGGTGCCCAAGAATCCAACTGGCAAAATCCTGCGCCGCGAGCTCAAGGAAAAGTTCTCCGATTAAGCGGGCAGAAGAGGGATCTTCATACGTTAAGATATATATATATACATTATGTGATTTTTTTTTGTTCGTCTCAATCGGAGGTGGCACACAGATTCCTGAATTTAATCAAAATTAATATTTGATTATAGTTAGAAATTTGTGGCAACACCCCGCGGAACACGATGAAACATCAATGTTGGCCCTGGATTTGCTGATCCAAAGGCACTGGTTTAGACATTGCATTTACCACTTCGAAAATACTTAGTTCGTAGGCTTAGAATAGGGCTCGATTAGTCGCTCGATTGGTCCATAGTTAGTAAGTGTAGATTAGCCAGACGTTAGAACCCTATTCATTAACATTTACCTGTCGACAATGTGTAATCCTTATGCTTGCAATGTAACCTTTGATTATACTTAATGACGGACCCGATATTTTACTATGATATTCCCCCCCCCATATACATGTATCTATTTTTTTTTTTGCCTAGTACTATAAGATAATTGTTTGTTAATCCTATTGAAAAACGGTGGCATAATATGTCTACTAAATTGTATACCAAGTTTGCCACGATGCTTGAAAATAAAGACGAAATGAACTTGTGGAAACTATGGAGTTTTTATAGGGCAAACACCTACTAGGCGTCCAAATGGAAAAAATACAGGATCGCCTAGCAGGTGCATATTAATTTTAGCTAACTTAGATTTATTAGTTGCAACCCACTATGGATTTTGATCGCCTGATGACTGAAGTCGTATCATTCGTTCAAAAACAAATTATCCGGAGGAGTTTTGTCAATTTGGACAGCCAAACCGGCAAATTCTGGAAACCAAGTACCAGGCGAACAGAAGTGACTAGAAAGTGGCTACAAAATCCGAAATTAAAAATCGGCTGCCCCCTAAGATATGCAACGTTTCTCATTTGTGGATGGTATTTAAGATAACTGCCAATAGCAATGATTCGAAACTTGACTATATGCGAATCATCTGAAATGCTGGGTTTGAAACTCGGATATGCTTTTTTGGATTTTGTAGCCACCTTCTAGGCAATTCTGTTCGCCTGGTATTTCGCTTTCAGAAACTGCCAATTTGGACTCCTCGGGACTTGGTGGTTTCGGATCCAATGATTTGATTTCAGGCATCAGACGAATAAAAGCGCCTACCAGGTAGATATCCATTTTACTTAACTCTTTTTTAGTCTTTTCTTTTCAGACTCTAACATCACATTAATAATTTCATAAGTGTTTTTCAATTTATTTATTTACGACAAAATACACAAAATTTTACATTTGATTTATTTAGGTTTAGCTTTTAGTTTAGTTCTTCGGTTGGTTGTTGTTTTTGTTCACACTGCATTACAATTAGAATTACTTGCACTTAATATACAATAGAAAAAAATATATATGTGATGTAAGTGTGTGTGTCTAATGGGTGTGTGTATGATTCGGAGAAGTGCTTAAAAAATTAAGGTTAATTACTCTATCAAAACGAAAGGGCTGGATTAATTGCTTAACTATATAAATTCCAGTTAAGTGTTAATAACAAAATTGATTGCATTTTTTTATATATTTTCTGTTCTTTTGCTATAAACTAAACATTGTAAGAATAAAATACAAAAATCTTGTAAATGCATATTCATAGAGAAAAAAATTTGTTATATGTAATATAAAATATAAACATGAAAAAAATATTAAGCGGCAAAAACATACCCATATGAAAGTTTTATATAGGAGTCACTGAATAATAACAAAAATAAATATTAATTTCGCTTCGTTCATTGAATTGAATACAAAAATTCAAACGCATATGTGTGTGCCTAGTTAGTGTGTGTGTGGGTTTTGGAAGAGAGACATCTGCAGAGGAAACAGTGTTGTAAAGCTATATATGAGTAAACCAACAGATGATGTAGAAATCGATCGAGTAAAATGTAATAAATTTGGCTTTGGTATTTCTAGCAAACAGATATGGAACAAAAAACAAAACGAATTTATACTGAAAGTGACAATAACAACAAATAATCGTATTAAACAGAATGCTAAGTATCTAATGCAACCTTAAATGGCACGTTTCGACAAATATTAAACAAATTTTGAGAAACAAACATTACATCTAAATTATTTTTATCTAATACCAAAACGAAATAAACATACATATTTGCACTAGAAATGGTGGAGTTGTTATGCACTGACAAAGATTTTTGTTTGTGAGTTTGGCCCTTAAATTTGATATTTAGGAACTCGATCGGTCGACTCACTCCCTCTCTTTCCATTTGGCTAGCTAGCTTACAGATTTGGCTTTAGCCGATAGGCAGTAGTTGTAGTTTGGACAGTTGAAAATTCCTTTAGCAGATCGAAGTTGTTTAAGAAAGAGAGGGAGGAAGAGAGAGAGAGAGATGGTACTTATATATATAATTCTTTACAACACTGTGAATTGATGTTTAGCTTAACAACACTGTCATAAAGTTGAATGTGATTACTTAGAAGAACTCTTTGTGTATAGCATGTCTGCATGTATATAGTATATATAGTATAGTATAAATAAATATAGCTAACACACACTCTGCTTAAATGGTTTTCGCTTTAAAGTTATACAAATTTCACGTAGATTTCTTGTTATCGTTATCGGTTTTTCGTTTTTTGAGAGAAAAGGCCACAAAATGTTGCGTACGAAATGCATAACTTTAGCTGAGATTAACGTTGGTATCTTTTTTTGTAGCTTTTTTGATTGTTACGCGGGCAAACATCACACACACACACACACACTGCCACACCACACAGACGAGTCGAGTGTATGTGTGTATTGCATGTGTGCATATACATATACAAATATATATATATAAATATAATATCGGAGTACATTTTGCTACGTTCGATTGCAATTCGAAACTCAAGTTTTGAGCTTCAAGTTCGGTTCGCTGCTGTCTCGCTCTAACAAATGCCCGTTCCCTCTCTAACACACTATTTCCGTCCTTTTCTGCCACTCTGTTGCCGTTTCTTTCACTTCGTATCTTCCCATCCCTTTCCATATTCAATCGTTTACAATTCCTTTGCGCTGCGTTACGTTGTCATCGCCATTTCCTGGATATCCCATTCCATTAGGTTTCACGCCTTGGCCCCGGGAATCTTGGACAGAACCTTGGATAGATCCACTCCGGTTAATGCGTTGATAGAGGGTGGCAGTTGGGCCACCAAGCGGGTCACATCGTTGGTGATATTATCGTTGCCGCCGATCAAAACGATCTCATCCGTCTTGGCAAGCGGTGCAGCCACCTCGGCGGCAATCTGTTGAGGATTTGAAAGGGGTTTTAGTACAGTTTCAAGAGAAAACTATCCATGAATAGAAACACCAACCTTCGGCAGCGATTCGAGAACGATGTTCATGATGGCAGCATCGCCGTACTGCTTGTACACGTGGGCCTTCATGCGCATGCGCTCCGCCTCCGCCTTTCCGACCAACTCGATGGCATGGGCCTCCGCCGATCCGATCTTACGGATCCGCTCCGCCTCGGCACGGGCACTCTCAATGGTCTGGCATCTGAAGTGTACAGAACATTTATTTTTAGTACGGGTTTTCATATTTGCAATCAAATTATTTATATATTAACAAAGAAATACAATCTTTAAATACAAAAACTTATTTTTGTCAGTTTTTCTGATAAGCAATGGATCATATTCCATAATTACTTATTATAATACTCGTATATTGATGATGTATGCTCCTTTAGTCATTCCTTATATTTAAGTCAAATTTTCATAAATAAAATTTAAGATTGAGCAGCATTGGATTTTTTCCAACTTCTTGAATGATTAATAGTTTAAAATAATTTATTTTATTATCATGTTACTATTGGAGTTTCTATGGCTTAAACGTTTCAGACATGCCACAAAACATTTGTTTACATTGAAATTACTAGAGCTACGGCTACGCTTATAAATATCTATTTATTACAATTATCTATTATTGTAAACATTCGTGCTGAAATGGGGTTTATCTACAGATAGATAATGGTTACCTTTACGGCACTTAATAAAACTGTAACGCTGATATTAAAGTGGCCATAATAACGAGTATAATTTATTGCAACAAGTGAAACGATAAAATGTAGACAACATTTTAATTCAAAATCGTTATAAGTGTGAGCACGAACCTTGAGTTATAGAAAATTATAAATTACTTATCAGAAAACCTGGCATGAAGATATAAGTTGATGTATTTGAGGTTTACTAATAATTAGTATATGGTTAAGTACTACTTATTTTACTAAAATGTATATTATTGGTATTTTATAATAAAAACACAGTCACAATTACTTGATTCACTTGATTGGGTGTAGTTGGTTTTTGAGATAACCTTGCCATACTTAGAGGTGGATAATCCCCCTCTAGACTTATACTTATGTCACTTACTGTTTGGCCTGGGCGAGGGTCTGCAGGCGGAAGGCCTCCGCCTCGGCGGGCAGCTTGACGGTGCCGGTGAGCTCGCGATCCTTGCGCTGCACCTCCTGCGACTCGATCTCGATCTGCTTGCGCCGCTCGACGACCTCGATCTGGATCTCCTCGTTACGGATGCGCTGGCGGATCTTGGCCGCCTGCAGTTCGTAGGCCAACTGCGACTCGGCCTTGGCCGTGTTGATCTCCTGATCGAAGTTGGCCTTCTGCAGCTTGTACATGCGTGTGTTGTCCTCGATCTTCGTGTCCGTTGAGTACTTCACATCCATGGCGCTCTTCTCGCACTCGGCCTCCCGAATTCCGGCATCTCGATTGGCCTCCGCCACGCCGGCATCGGCATCCCTCTTGACCACGGCCGTTTGGGCCTTGCCCAAGGAGGCCAGGTACTGCACATCGTCGTAGACATCCTTGATGGTGAACGAGAGGATCTCGATGCCCATGCGACCCACATCAGGTGCGGCGACCTCGCGCACCAAGGCAGCGAATTGGTCGCGGTCCTTGTACACCTCTTCGACTGTAAGCGTTCCTGCAAGGACACACAGCCAAACAATCGAATATTAAATTGGGCTTCTAAGTGGGGGAAACTAAGTAAACATATAGAAAGTACACAAGAAAAACAAATGACAGCTGAACACTTGGTTTGGTTTTTCAAACACAATTCACAATATAGCTTTTAAATCATTCAGGTCTTATTTCGTTTATTTTGGTTATTGCAAACTTGTAAACAGCACATCAAAATTCAGTGAAATATGCAGCAGTCAGAGCACTATGCTATTTCATATGCAATAAACAAATCACGTTCCCAAATTGGAATTAAGTTGCAGGAGCCTTGGAATGGCGAATATCAAAGCACGTACTTCAATAGAAGGACAAATTGCTAATTTTGTGCAAACTATATTTGATGGAATAAATCGTTGCAAGTGCTGCTATGCTTTATCTCTTCGATAAACAAATAAATTATTTAAGCATGTGTTAGCACACTGTTGGCATGTCACTGATAAAAGTCCGTTGATATGATAATAAACCCACTAAGTAATGACCACTGCTTTGGGGTGATATTTATATTTTCCGGTTGTGCAAGTGGGGTTATTTTGTTATTTTTTTTTTCTGTTTTTTTTTTTTTTTTTTTTTGTGTGGCTCTTGCCACCTTTCCACCATTAATCGATGCGACCTTACCGCCTGACCACCAGCGAGGTTACGCCCACAATCAGGGCCACCTTGAAGACGCCCATCCACACGGTGAACATGTCGTCGACCAACTGCTCCGATGGCCACTAAATCGGGTTCTACTTATTGGATTGCTATCTCCGCACTGCTTCCACTATCTAACCATCTATCTTGCGGGCTTTTAATTAAATCATGCCGTGTTCTCTGCTATTTTTGACGTCACTTGACGCAGTCTTATCAGCTTCAAAAATGATAAGAGCACTTCTGACGTCACTTCACCAACAAAAAAAGGGGTTCGAGCGGGAATAATTCGTATCGAAGATCACAGCTTAGAAGGCGGAAAGGTCGCCAGGGCACCCACAATTATTAATAATAATAAAAACTATTCACACGCGATTCGAAAAAAAAAAAAAAAAGAAACAGACAACCAGAGCGTCTCGCGAAGCGCTCACAACTGACAGCTCGAATTGTCCGGCGACTCGGACTTGGATTCGGAATGGGTATAGGGTATATAGGTATGGGTATGGGTATGGGTATAAATCGGGGGGCATGGGAATCGTTCGTTGCCGGCTCGCAAAATGAAATTGTAATCGCGCCGCCAAATGGAAACCGCCTTGAGTTCCCCAAGCGTCTCGTAAACATTCTATAGTGTAAACTATAGTAAACTATACTATAGTTACGACTCGGGTTCGATGGGCCCATAAAAACCCTCGACTCGAGTTATGTTTAATTAAAAGCTGTAGATTGGCCATGAAGGTCGTGGACTTCTCTAAGCAAATAGAACTGCGAATGGAAATAATAAAATGCGAACTCGACGAATAAAAAGGTAATTTAGAATAATATTAATAGAATATTTTTTTACCTCAAGTAAAATATAATTAATAAATAAAGAAACTCTTTTTATAAAAATATAATTCGGACCTAACTTAAAATTACAGATAATGAACAGGAAACCCATTCAAATAGGCCCATTCAAGAATCGATTAAGGTTAGCGATTTTGCTGTTAATTATTAATTAGAATGTACAAGTTTAGCTGCCAGTTTACTTCACCAAAAACTGGTTTTTTCAGGAAACAGGTATTGCCAGTGTACACCAATCCATTAAATAGAAACCCCAGGAAAATCTTTTTGATTACGATTCATAACACATACCATATTTCACACATAATATATAAAATTATAGTCATAAACAGAATACAAATTGTGAACAAAGTTGTATGCAGTTGCGAAATTGTCATTTATAATTTATGAAAGATGTTGTGGTCAAGGAAATTCAGCATTGTATTTCTGCTCCTATTTCTTTCTTCAAATTCTTTGGAATGGTTGAAAATTGGAAACCTAATGTCGAGTAGGCGTTGTCCTTAACCTCTCTACCATTGTCAAGATTCCCTCATTTTGGGCTCCAGTATTATTCTCCACTCCGACCGGAACGCACACCAAATAGTAAATCGCTCCACTCTCGCTTCCGTATCAAGTTTTCGTATTCATTTTCTTTTTATGTGAAAAACAAAATACAAAACAATTTCTATTTTTGGCACCGAGAATCAGGTTTAATCGCTCGGAAGTTTTTATACTGATATCCACACAACAAAAAAGAGAAACAATATGTCCTTGCTTCGGCGTTCTCATGGCGGCGGTCGCGACTTTCTGCAGGAGAACAAAATGAATGTCTCCCGAATGGAGACCAATAACCGGTGCTTAGCGGCTGCCAATGCTCGTCGGGTTCCCCTGTGGCGTCCAGTGGTGCTCCACTATTCGGAGAAGCGCCGTCCCCATTTTCACAACAACAACCAGCGTCGTCCGCGTCCGGTTAACTTGCACAGCGAATCGAATGATATGCGAAGTGGTCTGGCCCAACCATACGGTTTCCAGACAAATCAACGCCGCCGAATGCCACCAAGTGCTTGCGGTTGTGACTTGACCAAAGGTCAGGAGGTGCGAAAGGAGCAGGAGCGCTTGCAGGGCGGTTGGCAGGATCAGCCGAAGGAGAAGCCAGCGAAGAAGTGCTGCCACGGCTGCCACTGTCATCAGAATCAACAGAGCTATCCAATTTCCCCTCATCAGGGTCACCAAAACGCAGCAGTATCTCCCCATCAGGGTTACCAAAACGGAGCAGTTTCCCCCCATCAGGGTTACCAATCGGAAGCGAAGGATAAACCAATTTCCCCTCATCAGGACTATCACAACGGAACAGTTTCCCCTCATCAGGATCACCAAATGGAAGGAATGAATAACAAAAACGTAGCCGAGGCAATTCCTTCCAAACGGTACACAAGTTCCAATCACCAAAACGGATTGGTTTCATCTCATCAGGGTCGCCAAAGCGGTGGAGTTTCCCCTCATCAGGGTCACCAAAACGGTGCAGTTTCTCCCCATCAGGGTCACCAATCAGAAGCGAAGGTTAACCCAAACGAACCCGATGCAATCGCGTCCAAACGCAGCAGAGCTGATCAGCTGGATAGCATCTCCATATGTTCCCGGATGTCGCGAGCTTCACTGCGCTCCCAGAGGAACCCAACTGAAAGCCAGGAGAACAAGGATCCCGAGGCTCCCTTGAGTGCACGCAGTCGTGCCTCCGCAGCGACCCTTAAATCGAAGAGGTCCATTTCCCAGGAGAGTGTTCGCTCGAATGCCACCATCAAATCGAACGTAACAGTGGCCTCCAGAAGCACCGCGGCCTCGAAGAGATCAGCAGTTAGTCGCAAGTCACAGATGATGGAAGTGATGCCGCCACCAACTCACTTGCAGGATCAAAGGGAGAAGCAACAGGTGCCACAGCAAACTGCCTATGAAGGTTACACCCCACTGACCGAGAACGAGAGAAGTGCTGCCCTCCAGGATGCCCACTTCAAGTACGGCAAACTCGTCGAGGAGTACAATCATCTCCCCGTTTCGGAGCCAACTTTGCGTGTGCGCAATCGAAAGATCGCCATCGAACGTCAGCTGGATGAACTGGACTACGCCATCAACATGTTCGATCAGCCCCATCTCGAGATGTACTACAAAAAATGATGATCACACCCCCTTATTGTTAATCGTTTCAAATAATGTTGACCAGTTGCCACAAAAACCATTGAAAACAAAGGAATGCAACTCCAAACAAAAGGGTAACAATTACAAAAATCTAAGCAAATTATAACAAATGATAAAAATATTGATGAAACAAGAAAAGAATGGAACCCAAAGTAACAGAGTAAGCCCAACCCAAAATGGATCGAAAAACCAGCACAAAAGCTATGGCTGAAGTTTTAAATTTTTACAAAATGGAACAAAAGTTTCGAAAATATTTACGCTCTATGAAAAAAAAAAAAATAAAAAATTAAATATGCAAAGGAAGCGTGAAAATTTCGAAACCGGTTGATAAAAAAAATGGATACAAATACAACTGGAAGTTTCGCGTTTCGACCTCGACGGCGTTCAGAAAAAAATTCAACCAGTAACTGTCACAAAACCAAATACAAATTAAATTTCAAAGTGGCATAAGATTTCAATAGATTAATACAATTGTTTTATTTATTTTGCAGCAAATATTATACATATTATGTTTAATATGTGCACCCAAAAGTATGCTTTATATTACTAATTCAAAAAAAAAGAAATGAAAAGCCAAAATATTTACTCATTAAATAAAACAAAAAATTTCTGATAATTTTTTGATGCATTTCAGATACGGTTTTGACCACCAATTCAATTCGAATAGAAATTGTTCTTAGTTCTATGCAAACTTAGGTTATTTAAGCTCTATCCTAAGTTAGGTTATTAAATGATAGTATAACTATTTCCGCTACTTACCCAGTATAGCACGCAGGTGTCCTTCGAGGGTCTGCAGGATCGTCTGCTTGATCTCCTTGACGCTCTTGCCCAGGAATTGCTCGCTGGCAGTGCCTAGAAGCTCGTCAGCCTGATGGTGGAAATAATAGACATTCATCATCTGTTCGTGTGTGTGTGTGTGTGTGTGTATGTGTGGATTGGGTGTGTGTATGTGGGTGTGTCATTGTCGGTGTGCATGTGTGTGAAAATATTTCGATTGATTGATTTTTTTTATATATTTTTTTGTTGTCCAATTTTCTCCACGGATATTTTGATTGTTTATGAGAAGAATATTTTTTTTTTTGGTTTTGATGGTTTCGTTTTGATTATAGTTCACCCACACACACGCACATGCACACATAGACAGGGCGACAGAGATTTATATTTATGTATATAACGTATATATAGAGATATATAGAGCGATACATGGAGTATAACGGTAACAGCAGCAACCAGAGCAGTAACGGTAGCAGTAACGGTAGAGGAGCAGTATTTTAGTGTTTGGTATTTTTTTTGTTTTTGTTTGGAGTAGAACAATTTCGATTTTAATGATTTTTTGTTGGTTTTAATGCGTGTGTGTGTATTGTTTTTTGTTTGGTTAATTATAGTTGATTTCGTTTACAGTTACAGTTAGTTGCGGATTAGTTTTTTTTTGATGAGTTGAACGTTGAACGATCGGTCGCAGGGTTTTTGGTCGATTTTTGTTTTGGTGGTGGTGAAAAGAAAGTAGAGAAAAAAGAGAGTAGAACACAGAGATCAACAAGGTTTCGATTTTTCAAATTTTCTTTTGTATTATTTTGCAGACTGTACTTTTCTTTCTCCTTCTTCTTCCTCCTCAGCTTCTGATGATGATGATTGAATGACTCTCGATAAACGTAAAATGCATACAAAAATAAATTTAATCAGGCACAAAGCCCCAAAAAAAGCACATGCATTTAATAGTTAAGAATGGATCATGATCCCTTTTCGCTAGGTGTACGAGTGTAGATGCGTGTGTGTGTGAAGGGTTAGAGTGCGTGAGAAAAAAAAAGGAAATACATATGTACATTGAAAAAACATAGATGGAAGGTAAACAAAACCCAACTAAAATAAAATAAATGCAATTATAAACATACCTCATCGTTATGATAATCGCTATTCTTATACGATGATGACTGCAAAATTGAATGAAAATAATTAAGTAATGGAACATAGTTTCGGAGCAGGCACATCTTTAGTACACAAATCGATCATAATTGCGACTAACTGGAAAGTGAAGTGCAATTTTTGTTTTTTTGATTTTTTGTGCTGCATTCGCTGATTTTTGTGATCAGTGCTTTAATATAATATAAGTACTGTGTGTTTCGACACTTGATAAATTATCGATGTTATCGACAACTTTTAAGAATTTAATGCGAAGTTTGAAATATGTTAATGTAATCGAGAAAAGAAAAATCAATGATAAAGTGACTGACCTATCGAAAGGTCAATCTCTGAATGATTTACTGATAGGTAAGTCAAAATTATATCAGTAAAATGAAATGTTGAAATCAATAATAAATATCATAGACAAAACAAAATCAATTGATGTGGATGATTATACTATAAATCGAATTATAAATAATATATGATACTGTCCGGCCGAATATAATTTAACAGTCCGGTAATTGTTTCAGTCCCACAACTGTCCAAACAGCATAAACCCTAAAGTAAAAATTCAACCTAATGCAAAACGATAAAAATTAAAGAAAAAATTATTTGATAATCCACAATTTGTGCCATTTCTTAAACAAATCAAATATAAAACTAAAGGGGCGAACAAGAATTGGGAAATAAGCTTAAGTATCCAAATAAGTTTCCAAAAAAAAAAAGGGACGAACGGCGGGGTGTTCAATGAGCTCTAAAGTGTGATACTAAGTCTACGGCTAAATCTAGTTCTACGTGAAGATAGATCGCCGGGATGGATGATCGCAACTTACTTGGCGGTGGTCAGATTGAGAGCACTTGCTAGGCTAAATATGCATTCGATGGGGATGGAGGTTGGATTACTTGGGAATTTGGGCGGGAATCGTACAAAACAAAGAGCCAAACATTCGATTAAAATAAGTTCAATACTGATCGGTTATAGAGAGATATCAACAGTCTGAATAAACTTGGGTGCAGGCAGGATACCAACTCGCTACATTCGGCACTCTAATTGGCTAAATAATATCGGGTATTTCTATATCTATATATCATCAAACAAACTTGCATACGAAACTGAAAATCAAACTCGGGCAAGCTTCAATCACTTTCGCTCAGATTTGGGGGTGCAGAAGAGAAAAGGGTGGCCAGAATTGCCCACGAAAGAGCGGAGATCGGTTGGAAATATAGATAGCTCTGGTCTATGGATCGTACCTTCATGATCTTGCACTGGGCCACTCCGGTCACCGTCAGCGGAACGCCCTGCGAGGTCTCCACATTCTCGCACATCGGATTCAAGGTCATCACGTTGAGGGACAGCCGCTGCACGTCGGTCACCAGCCACCACGCCCACGCCCAGCCGCCCACAATCGTACGCTTCTTGGTCGATCCACAGCAGCCACCTAGAATTTATATAAAAAAGAGTCATTAATGAGGTTTCGGATATAATATAAAATGTACTACGATTCTTCTTATTTAGTCATAATTAAAAAATTTGACATAAGAAATAATAAGATACTATTGGGTAGTCTTTTATTTCATTTCATCTCAACAGGGAAAGGTTATTTTTTTTTCAAGCTTCTAGCCCTATAATAAAGTTGCATACCAGCCTTTTCAAATTTTGCGAAATACATTTTTTCGAAAATTTTGTGGGGGCCCCCTTGATTTTTTTGCAAAATCGATTTTTTCATTTTTTGCACATTTTCTTTCGGTAAATTGAAAATTAAAAAAATGGAGATAATACAAAAGAAATAATAAGTTACTTTGGGTGTTCTTTAATGGCTTATTATCTTAATTAAAGGGTTTTGAGATTACATAAAATATTTAATAAGATAATAATAGAAATTTATTTATTAAGTTTTATGATCTCGCATATATTCATAAACAACTTTCATGTTGACACGGGTAACTAAATTCAAAAAAATATGCATATAAAAACATTTAACTGTAATAATTTTTGTTTGCTTCTAGAAGTCTAGTAATATTTTTTCTAAGCCAATCAGTTCCAGTTCCAATTAGTTCCTTGTAACCGTGTTTTCCTGGTCAACCTTTCCTTTTTGCTCTCTTCAAAGGTGAACAAGTGACGTCACACGCACAGTGACCCACAAAAAGGTGCTGTCAGTGAATATGGCACCTGAGAAGCTCGTGGAGCTTTTAACTCTGGTCAGTTGACCAAATAGTAAGAGTGAAAGCATTTCGCCGAAGTGCGTGTTTAGTAGTGTGAGTGTTGGCTACGTGCCGGCAAACACGTCACAAAGTCCAAAAGTCAAAAAGTCCATAATGGGTAACACTTACATATAGTATATCCAGCCAAACAGGAAGCAAATGTCACAGTCACTGTCCCATTGTCCAATTGCAGAGTTCGAAAACTAACGGAAAAACTGCCCAAAAGGGACCAACTCTACGCTCCGCGAAGAGCCAAAAAGAGAGTGGTGGAGAGAGAATAGGAGTTTGGGGAGAGAGCTCTGGCATCTTTAGCGGTTTCTTCGGCATTTCTTTCTTCAGTCACCTAGCGAACCTCGAAGCGTGAGGTCGTTTTTTTAAGCTCCGCCAAAAGAATTAAACAAAGTAAATAAGGCTTGAAAAGCACGCACGCATGCGCAAAGCAAAGGAAGGAGAGGAAAAGAAAAAAAGTAAAAGAAAGTGCGCACAAAAATAAAAACAAACAAATCGCGCTTAAGGAATACGAGAATTGTTATTTTGTTACCCAAGTGAGTAAAGTGAGAAGAGAGCGAAAAATATATAAAAGTGTGCCAAGCGCGAAAATCGTAAAAAAGAAATCAAAGTCAAACAGAAGAATCGGGTCTCCAAAAAAGAATACGCACTGAAATTCTCCGACGCCTACGCAGAAGCTTTCTCAACGAAAGTGATTCATGCCGCTAGTTCTAGTTTGATGTTATGCATTTCTCTTTGGCAATTGTTTACTAAAATGTTTAGCAGAACCATCTACATGTTGCATTATAACTTTTTTTTCGGTGTAGATCGCTTTTTTTTTTTGGTTCATACCTTGAACTTGATCTGTGGGCACATTCAACTCTTACAACCTGTTTGCAACAACAACATCTATCGGCAGGAACAACAACAAGTTTTGTAATTGCCATTGACTAAAACAAAAGCAAAAATCCAAAAACAACATCAGTAATGGTCACTAGACTTCTATTATGCAAAAGATTGGCAAGAGGAAATGTTTTTCTCTCTCTTGGCTTCTTCTTATCTGAAGATCAATAGTCAAAAATACAGTCAAACGTTTGTAAAAGAAACAAAGTAAAATTCGGAGTGAAAATTTAATAAAACTATAAATAAAGTTAGCATACTACTGGTTAAAAGAATGGTATAGTATTTTCTAAAATATCTTTTCATTGAATTTAATTTTTGTTTAAGGGAGTTGTTTCAATTTTTGTTGTTCCCCATATTTTTTTCCTGAACGTACTTTAAATTCTCTCTCTAAACAAATGTTCAAAATAGTATTGGAAATATGTTCAATTGTCTGTATAGGATTTTTTTCTTAATTCAAGGAAGTTCGCGCTGCAGAAGTTGCACTGTATCCGCGCAAACTGGTTGCAAGTGAGAGGAGTACGTGTGAGTGAATGTGTTAGGGAATTTGTGAGTGTGCATCACAATTGTTGCATGTCGTTCGACCGGGAGTGAAAAGTTGTTAGCTGCGCCTTTTTTCCAGCTTAAGTTATGTTTTTGTTGTTTTTTTTTTGTTTGGCTGCCCAGTAAAGTTTTATAATAGACTGGGAGATTTCACTTTTGTGCGGGAGGCCCCTCAAACAAAGATGCCGCATCACGCTTCTCCGCTCGAAAATAAATCCACACTCATATTACACCTATTTTACATTCCAAAACAATGGGCTTCGCACGTGACGCGAAAGATTTGTGAAAAGCAGATGAAAAACCATTGGGAAAACTATTTTAAAATGGGTTTGATAATTCAGGAGCTAATACAAATTAAGCAAAGCATCTTGAGCCTCATAATTGAATGGATTTTTATAATCAAATGCTACTAATAAAAACAAGTTAATGCCAATGGTAGCTGCAAAAAACTGGAAAAATGTAAATTTCATGGGTAATATCTAAAACACACAGAGCAAAAGAACTTTTATTGCCATGAGAAATTGGTGCGACGGTTTGTATTAGTTATTAGCTTCCAGATTTATCGATCACGATCATCTCGGGTCGTAATACTTCGCAGAGTTGGATGGATTCGATGTGGAGACGAAGCGAAACGAATGCATAACAAATGCAGGTTACGAAATCGCGGCGATCAAAGCGATACGCGATCGTGATCGAAATATATTGAGTATGAAAATCGCACCCTATAACCCGATTACATACGAAATGTCTATGCCACTTTTCATGTCATGTCTTTCTTTCGTTTTATTCCCTTAAAACCCACTTCTTTTCTCCCGTCAAATTGTAACCTCCAAAAATCGAATGCCTAATTATCATTGCAGCCACGTTCCATCTAAAATTGGTCGGGCCAGCGACCTATTTGTCTATATATTTCGTACATAAGACCCATATAGATATTACCATCCGATTCCGATACAGAAAATGAGCTCGGCGATCGTTGGAGCCGCCTCGGCAATCGGAGGAGCGGTCACCGCGGCCACCAGCAACAGTTGGTTCATCCCGATGCTGATGGCAGCGGTTGCCTACTTCCAGTACGAGGAGATCATCGATCCGGAATCGAAGCCGAGTGATATCGGGGGAGACGATATCCTCGATCACTACGACTTCATAGTCATAGGAGCTGGATCGGCGGGGGGCGGTGGTGGCGAATCGCCTCACGGAGGTGGAGAACTGGAACGTGCTCCTCTTGGAGGCCGGCGGCGATGAAACGGAACTCACGGACGTGCCTCTTATGGCTGGGTATCTCCAGCTCTCGAAGATCGATTGGCAGTACAAGACGGAGCCCTCGGGAACCTCGTGTTTGGGTGAGTTGCGGTGATCAAAAAATGCACCATTCATTTGCAATGTGTTAGGTTGTATTGAAGGACTGTGCTAATTATCTTAGATACCATCTTTGGGAATTGTCAAAGTAAATTTTAAATGAATATCAGAAAAAATATAATTTTATATTTTTTTAGTCAAAATCAAAAAAATCTTTAAATGATTAAATATTTGCAACAGGAAATAAATAACATAGGCTGCCCACGTATATACATCTTCATATTTAAAGGTTCCTTAACATCAAAAAGCTTGTATGCTTGATATTTTTATTATTACCTATGATTTTGGCAGAACCCTACACATGAACCTCTTAAGTAATATCAAAATTCATGACTATATAACTTATTTTATTATTTTTTCAGCCATGCAAGGAGGTCGTTGCAACTGGCCGCGTGGCAAGGTGCTCGGTGGAAGTTCCGTCCTGAACTACATGCTCTACCTGCGGGGATCCAAGCACGACTACGACAACTGGGAGGCGATGGGGAATCCCAGCTGGTCGTACCGCGATGCCCTGTACTACTTCAAGAAGTCGGAGGATAACACGAACCAGTATCTGGCCAACACACCGTATCATGCGACCGGAGGTTACTTAACAGTGGGAGAGGCACCCTACCACACTCCATTGGCGGCCAGCTTTGTGGAGGCTGGCGTGGAAATGGGTTACGAGAATCGGGATCTGAATGGCGAGAAGATGACGGGCTTCATGATCGCCCAGGGAACCACGAGACGGGGATCGCGTTGCTCCACCTCGAAGGCTTTCCTCAGACCCGCCAGATTGCGCCCCAATCTGCACATTTCCATGAACTCGCATGTCACTCGCATTATGATCGATCCGGTGACCAAACTGGCTTTCGGTGTGGAGTTCGTCAAGGATCAGAAGCTCTACCATGTGAGGGCCACCAAGGAGGTGGTTCTGTCCGGTGGATCCGTGAACAGTCCACAATTACTGATGCTGAGTGGCGTTGGTCCGCGAAAGGAGTTGGCCAAGCATCGAATTCCCCTCATCAAGGAGCTGAGTGTTGGGGAGAACCTGCAGGATCACATTGGCTTGGGTGGCCTCACCTTCCTGGTGAACCAACCCGTTTCGATTGTGGAGAATCGCTTCCACACCATGTCAACTGTTCTGCAATATGCCGTTTTTGGCCAGGGACCTTTGACCATTTTGGGTGGCGTGGAGGGTTTGGCCTATGTGAATACCAAGTATGCGAATAGTTCACTGGATTGGCCAGACATTGAGTTCCACTTTGTCTCGGGATCAACGAACTCCGATGGTGGATCGCAGCTGCGAAAGGCCCATGGATTGACGGAGGCGTTCTACAGAGCGGTTTTCGAACCGATCAATAATCGGGATGCCTGGAGCATCATACCCATGTTACTAAGACCCCGCAGTGTGGGTAATATTCGCCTGCGGAGTGGTAATCCCTTCGATTATCCCTATATCTTTCCGAACTACCTAACCGATGACTTCGATATGAAGACCCTCATCGAGGGTGTGAAGATCGCGGTGGCCCTGTCCCGAACGAAGGCGATGCAGAGATTTGGATCGCGGATTTCCAGCATCCGCTGGCCGGGATGCGAGCAAGTGCCCCTCTTCACGGACGCCTTTTGGGAGTGTATGGTTAGGAGGTATACCTCCACCATATATCACCCGGTGGGCACCTGCAAAATGGGTCCCTACTGGGACAAAGACGCCGTGGTGGACGCCAAATTGAGGGTTTATGGCATCCGCGGATTGCGCGTCATCGATGCCAGTATTATGCCCAAGTTGGTGTCGGCCAACACAAATGCCCCGGTGATCATGATCGCCGAGAAGGGCAGCGACATGATCAAGGAGTTCTGGATCAAGAACACCATCGTCTGAACGAATCTTTCATCGTTGAGTAGTTGAACCTGGTTTTTACGAACTGATTTCTTAACTGGTTGAAGAACCTGTTCTTTTTCACAAAAAGACTTCTCGGAAAACAAAAAGGTTCTGTAAAACCATTGCGTTTGAATCAGTTAAGAGTTCTCAATGCTTTGCAGCTACTTCATTTGTATCTGTGAAATCAGTCCATAAAAACAAGGCTTTGAAAATTGTATGAATGAAAATGTGTCTGACTTTCGTGAGTGTCTTTTATATGTCTGAACTGAGTGTAAATGATTGTATGCATGTTTAAATTAAGTGTCCCCAAGTTGTGTAAATGTTTTAGAAATAGCTGATGACACATCCAAAATTAATAATATTAAATTCCGCTCCTCTTTTTTTTTTTTTTTTAAATTATTATATAAGAGTCCCCTTTTATTTATTTTAATTTTACGTGAATGCAATAAAACAATTAAAAATAACATTTTATGGGTGATTTCTTAATTTGTCAGGGAAGTTATTCTTATCGTTTCAATTACTTTCATTATATTTGTATAGCTCTAATAATAAAGAGAATGTTCTGTTCACTAGAAAACCAAAATTGTTTCCATAACTGCCGCACAGATGATTGGCATTATATTTTTAGAATATTTATACAGCTGAATTGTCATATATTATTCATCATTGCAAAAATTACAACTCTTATACTGGTTACATTTATTAATGGCGCCACCTGTTGGCCGTCGCCCCAAGCGCAGCGCAATAAATATAAAACGACGTGAATTTTTATATGTTTGCCTTTGCATTTTTATGACTGGCAAACAGAAAGCAGCGCAAAATATAAAATAAAAGCGAGCAGAGTAAATTCATAATTCCGTTGATAGGGTTATCGTGCGCGACATTCTTTTAATTGTGGCTAAAAAGCCGAACCGTTTGCATCGGCGAATTCATTAGTGTTAAATCGGTGGAAGATGGGCGATCGGCAGCGCGTACACGAACCCAGCAAAGCGGAGACGAGAACCTTATACGGGGGACTTATCCTACTTCTGATATTTGGCTCAAGTCCCTCAGTTTCGCAATTATTTTCGGTGGACAGCAGTGGTTTGGGCTTATCCCTGATGGAATCGGTGGCTATAGCTTTGAATGAATCCAGTTTGGCTTTGGCCAACAATTCCGCTTGGCCAGTGCAACACAAACCACCGGAAGATCCCCTGCAGATCGAGAATTATGATTATGTAATTGTGGGAGCAGGAAGTGCTGGTTCCATAGTCGCCAGTCGATTGAGCGATTTGTGCCATGTGAAGGTTCTCTTATTGGAGGAGGGAGAACTGCCTCCTCTGGAATCGGAAATCTTTTCGCTAAGTGGTGCACTTCATCACGATAAGAGGTACATATTCCTCGAGGAAGCGGAATTCAATCCGAAATGCTGCCGGGCGATGGAGAGGAATCACGGTTGTGTTTGGTGGCATGGACGCATGATGGGCGGCGGTGGAGCTATCAATGGAAATATCTATATACCCGGCAGTCCAGAGAGCTTCAGGAAATGGAATACAACCGGTTGGGATTGGACCCAAGTGCAGATGGCCTACAATCGCCTCCAAAGAAGGCTAAATCTATCCTACCTTCAAGCGAACAATCTAAACATGAACTTGGCCAACCTCATATATTCTGGATCCTCGGAACTGGGTGTTCCTCGGATGAAACAACCTCTGATAGCTGGTGCCACCTTCGGTTACACCCATCATGTTCCTGTAACCATAAACCAAGGTCGGAGAGCCAGCAGTGCTCGTTTGTATTTGGCCAATGATCAAGTGAATAGAAGAAAGAACTTGAAAGTTATAAGAGGAGCTCAAGTTCAAAAGGTCCTATTAAATCCAGAAGGAAATGAAGCAGTTGGAGTGACTTATAACCTAAATAATGTAGAACACACAGTGAAAACCTCAGGAGAAGTGATCCTAAGTGCAGGAACCCTGAACTCCGCCAAGTTGCTTTTGCTTTCAGGAATTGGTCCCCAAGAAGAGCTTCAAAAGTGGAGCATACCCATTAAACAGGATCTGCCAGTCGGTCATAATCTACAGGATCACGGAATGCTGCCTTTGTTCCTGATTTTCACTTCCAATTGCGCAGTAAATAGCACTCGAGATCCCACAGATAATCCCTATGCTCCTGTTTCTGTTGCAAGATATCTTCTGGAAAGCCAAAAGGGTCCTTTGGCTCGTGGTTTCTACATGATGGGTTATATCAACTCCAGTTCACCGACTTCCGGCCAAGGTGAACCCGATCTCCACGTGGTGGCCCACACACTTTTGCCAAAAGGAAGTACTGGTAGCTTCGATTATTTGGGTTTTCGAAAAGAATTAATTCAGGCTCAAAATGATGTTCTACAAAAATGGGATATGCTGCAAATCATGGGTTCTCTAATGCAACCCTTATCGCGGGGAAGAGTCTCGCTTTCGAGCAAAAAATCATCTGATCAAGTCAAAATCGAAAATCATTATGGCGAAGCTCTGGAGGATCAGCAAACGCTACTTCGCTACGTGAGATATATCCAAAGGCTAACTAAAACCCGATCTTTTCGGCGATGTGGAATACGTTTTTGGTTGCCACCTCTCGATGAATGCGATATACTAACTCCCGATTCCGATGCTTATTGGCTTTGTTATATCCGATACTTTTATGTGGGTGCCTGGCATTCGGTGGGCACTTGTCGCATGGCTCCAAAAAAGGGAGGAAATTCCCAGAACAAAGGAGGAGTTGTGGATGAAAGGTTAAGAGTTCATGGAGTGAGGAATCTTCGAGTGGTGGATGCCAGTATTATGCCGGAACTACCAGCGGGTAATACAAATGGACCTGCCATGATGATCGGGGAAAAAGGCGCCCAAATGATCATTGAAGATCGAAAGGATGACAATGAGGTGGTCAAGGAATGCTGAACTATTAAAAGATATTTTCAAAGATATGTACTTAATACCTGATAAACAACAGTGATATTTTATATGCAAATACGAAAATTTGATTGTTTTACTGTTTGGTTATCTTCAACAAAGTCTAGTTATTGCATTAAGAATTCATCTTTGGAAAAATTCCCATAAATACTTTCAATAACCGAAAGTAAAGTTCAAGGTCTATGCAGCTTTTAAGCCAATTGCAAATTCGCAATTAAACCAACAATTGCCCATGTAAACAAGCATTTTTTAATTGCTTCAATAAGAACTCTCTTACTTTTTGATATACATATGTATGCATAGCATATATATATATGTATAAATATGTTTTTTTTTTTTTTTTGATGTGACGCGCTTATCGCGTTTCTCAGCTTTTTTGTTCACGTTTTTCGAATTTTTGTTTTGTTTTGCTCATGCTATTTGTTTATGGTTCTGTTTGGGCTCCAGCTTTAAGCATACTAAAAATATATGAGCAGATACAAAACAATTTATATATTACTCCGGCGATCTTAAGGCATTATCTAATCGGAATTTGAGCAAACAAGGCAATTTAGCCGCAAGGCTAATTTAATTAACAACTTTTACTTATTTGAACAATAAAGTAAATATGATACAAGCAATAAATTTATAATCTTTGCTTTACTCTGGGCAATAAAAGTATTACCCTTGTTAATTAAATAAAAATGTAATATAAAACTGATGATTATAAATTCATAAAAATATACATTATTCTTGCTTCTTTAGCTCTTCAACATAAGAAAGAATACGTTATTGGCCAACCTCAATGGTGTAACAATTTCTTTTGCAGTCCAGTGTTCGGTTTTGAGTAGCTGGGATTGCAGAAGCCACTTGGTCAATGCACCCACCAAAACACTTGCCAGAAGTCAGCGAATTTCGGCTTCGGCTGGGTCAGCAAATTGACCGGGCAAAGATAGTTCCCAGCCCATCCAGTTGTGGAACCCAACGAAAGTCAGTCAGTTGTGTTTTCACGATGACGGCGTTGAACACGTTTGTGGCAATGTGGCGGTTTCTGCTGACCATCGGTCCCTCGGCCATGGTCATCCTGCTCCTAAACAAGGGAATCCTCGAGGAACGACCGGATATTGTGGATGAACCGCATCGCGTTCGTTCGATTCACATCGGGGATCTCCGCAAATCGTACGATTTCATTGTGATTGGCGGTGGTTCAGCGGGTTGTGTTCTCGCCGCTCGTCTCTCGGAGAATCCCGAGTGGAATGTCCTCCTCCTGGAGGCTGGCGGGGATGAGCCCCTGCTCTTCGATCTGCCGCAGTTGTATCCCGTGTTCCAGCGGAGTCCCTGGGACTGGAAGTACCTCACCGAACCCTCGGATCGCTACTGTTTGGCGATGGAGGATCAGCGCTGCTTTTGGCCAAGGGGAAAAGTCCTTGGGGGTTGCAGTTCCATCAATGCCATGATGTACATTCGTGGCAATCGAAGGGACTACGATCACTGGTCGGAGTTGGGCAATCCGGGTTGGAATTACGCAAACATATTGCACTACTTTCGCAAGGCGGAGGACATGAGGGTTCCCGGATTCGAACGGAGTCCTTTTCATGGACACGGTGGTCCCATCTCAGTGGAGAGATATAGGTATTGTTAAATAAATATATAAACTAAAAAAAAAGGTAAATTTTGTGTTTCTTTCACAGATTTCCCTCACCGCTTTTAAACATTTTCATGAGGGCTGCTCAAGAACTGGGAATGATCAACGCCGAAGGAGACTTTAATGGTCGATCGCAGACAGGATTTGCTCCTCCACATGGAACCCTGCGAGATGGACTCCGTTGCAGTGCCAATAAGGGATACCTTCGAAGGAGTTGGCAACGACCCAATTTGGATATCATCCTCAAGGCTTTCGTGGAGCGAATCATCATCGAACCGCAATCCCATCGAGCCATTGGCGTGGTTTTTGAGTTTGGTCTTGTCAAGCATTCGGTTTATGCCAGCAAGGAGGTGATCCTTTCAGCCGGATCCCTGGCAAGTCCGCAGCTCCTGATGGTCAGTGGAGTGGGTCCGCGGGAGCAGTTGGAACCACTAGGCATTCCGGTGGTGCAACACCTACCCGGAGTGGGTGGCAATCTGCAGGATCACATCTCCACCTCGGGTGCGATTTACACCTTCGACAGTCATCAGAATCGACATCTATCGTTTATTGTGCCCGAAATGATGAACGAACAGGCGGTGGATGATTTTGTCCAGGGACTGGATAGCTTCTTCTATGCGATGCCCGTGAGCGAAGTGATGGGTTTCTTCAGCACTAAGTACCAGGATCCCCGACTGGATTGGCCGGATGTGCAGCTCTTCTTGGGCAGCTATGGTTACGGAGCGGATGGTGGGATGATCGGACGAAGGGGAGCCGCCATCACATTGGACAATTATGCCGAGTCCTTTGAGCCGGTGATCTACCAGGATTCCTTCGTGATTGCTCCTCTGCTGATGCGTCCTCGTTCCAGGGGATTCCTCAAACTCCGTTCCGCTGATCCCAAGGTTCATCCTCTGATTCACGCCAACTACTACGACGATCCACATGACATGGCCGTGATGGTCGAGGGCTTGAAGATGGCCCATCGATTGAGCCAAACCCCTGTTATGCAATCTCTGAATGCCACCATGAACATCTACGAGTGGCGAAATTGCCCGGAGGTGGAGTACCTGAGTGATGCCTTTTGGGAGTGCTTGGCCAGGTTCTATTCGCAGACGATCTACCATCCGGTGGGCACCTGCAAGATGGCTCCCGCTTCCGATCCCGCTGGGGTTGTGGATCCCCGGCTGAGGGTGAGGGGCATGCGGGGTCTAAGGGTCATCGATGCCAGCATTATGCCCACCATTCCCACGGGAAACACGAATGCTCCCACTTTTATGGTGGCCGAAAGGGGCGCGGATATGATCAAGGAGGATTGGCGGCACTACAGAGATGGTGGGTGGGGTTAGGTGATGATATAGTACTCCCCTCGTACTAAAATAATACACCCTTTGTACCATAACTTAACAGCAATAAAGAAATTTTTGCAAACAGAACAAATGGTGTTTAAAATGTTACCCAAACTAAATGTTACTAAAATTCTATAATTAGAAGAAATAAATTGCACTCTGAAATGCAGTGTTTAAGATTTATTAAAAATAACAAATATTTAATTTACTCAGCGAACTGCATAGCTTCTTAACCTTAGAAGCTATTACATTACATTACATTACCTCCCTAAGATATTTATGGTAATCGAAAGAAAAACACAATCTTGCAACCTAGTTAAGCCCTTCGTTAGATGGTGAATTAAACGCATGCCTGACTAATCGGCCACATGTGGCATTGGATAATGCCTGGGAGTCAGCGAATTCAGCGACTGCGATTAGCAATCCATATATCAATTGGAACCAGCAAGTATCTAACCATGTACGAGTATAATGGAGAACTATCCATTGTTGTCATTCCGCAGGTCAGCTAATTTGCTTTGGTAATGATCTTGGCATTCGTTTGACTCTGCAGTTGGTTTCCCATTTTCAATTCACTGCATTTCGTTTTTCATTTATGCTTTTTTATTCTCTTTACCTACAGCAGCGAAAACTTGATATAACATTTCCCAACGTTTTGAACTTTTGCAATTGTTTGTGGCTATTTATGACTTTTAGTTGATTTTGTATAGGAGTATATAAGTATTTTGGGTTGTTTGTAAAAACATATAAGTACTAGCTATAAATAAAAGCAGTTTAAGAGTAAACAAAGAATAATAGATTATATAATAAATAAAGCTTGGATAATTGGACAATATTACTTGTTTCTTTAATTCAAGAATATTTCTAATTTAAGCATTATTTATAATATATTCCTAATTTAAGCGTTATTTGTAATATATTTCGTAGAGTATTAAATTGTTTGCAAATTTTGTTCTTAAGCCTGTGCTTTTCTCGCCTAGATCAAGTTGATTTATTATTATCTCTGATCGGTATTGAGTACTCTAAATATTAAAGAGTATCTCGAACTTTTATCAATGCAGTGGCAGCATCGTTCTCAATCGTTTTCAGCCAGTAATTTATGAGCGGCCAGTGAACTGAAATGGCAAATGGCAGCGCGAAGCTTACGAGTTTGACCAGTTTTGGGTGCCTGTGTGCCTCAGTGGGCCATGGCTTAGCTTTTGCTTTGGGCCGCGAATCGGAAAAGGTTTTCGAGACTTTTCATGCGAGTGCGCGGCGAGCGAGCGGCTTCAGTCCACGTCCGCCACTGATCGCAAAATGACGCTCCCGGAGCTGAAACCCAAGTGGATCCCCATCCTGATCGTTGCAATGATCCTGGGCCGCAGTCTGGCCAATCCGCAGCGGTTCCTGGTGGCGGAGGATCTGATAACCGGCACGGGTGCGGCCACTGCCACGGGAACAGGAACCGGAAATGGGGCAGATACTCTGCAGATCAGCGATCCTTCGGGTAGGTTGGAAAACCAAATTCGAAAAAGTGTCACTTAAATTGCCTAATCAATTATGAACCATTATGAGTCGGTTGCAGCTCAATTTTATAATAATTAACTTTTTTTTTTAAGTGACTAGTGCTTTAATTTAAAAGACTTGTCCTGTGACACTAGGATAAGAATATCAATCAGATAACAATCTTAAAATAAATAAGTGCCTAAAGAAGACAGTTACAAAATTTAAAAACAAAAGAAAATTAATTTCAAGATAAAACAAAATGTTTATAAGCTGTTGTATATTAATATATAATATATTTTAATTTCTATTTAATAAATATAGTGCTATTATATTGAACATTTATGAAGTGTATGTGTTCCTTAATATTTCAAAATTGTTTTTCGTTTTTGAAGGCAGCTTAAGCAACCATTGCCTTTCAAATATTTTCATAAAAAGGGAAACAAATGATAAAGTGTCAAAACTATTACCATTAAAATTTTAAAGAAAACCCGAAGAAAAATTTTAGTTATTAAGTATCAACTTTAATCATTTCTTCAGGAGAGATTGCTAAGTTGTTTATGTAATCAATCAAGTAATGTTTTTTTTTGTACACATTTATTTTTTTTGCAGATCTCAGTGCTGGTTTAAATTTGGCGCCCGTCGGCAGTCTGATTGCCGCGGCGGCGAACGCCGTGCCCCCCGCCCCCATTCAATTTATTCGCACGGCCATGAACAGCGGGCTTTGACCGCCAGGTGGCGCTTACCTGGATTCTTGCCCACCCCAAAAATAATTATCTCTAATTTTTAAACGCCTTTTTAAGCAACACTTTTAATTACTTTGTTAAGCGGTCGGCTTTTGTTTTTTTGTTTTTTGTTTTGTCGTTTCTTTACTTTTTAAGTTGTTTTGTTTTTGTTTGCTGTTTTCGAGTGTGTTTGTGCTGAGCCAAGTGCTATAAATGACTTTATAATACTTGTTTTATCTGGTTATGACTTTTTTGGGGCGATAAAAAACGTGCAATCGGGGGACCTCAGCCTCAAAAGCTAATTGTTATCTGGATCTGTTATCGGGGAGCTCTCCATTCTATATTTTTTTGTCTTCTGTTTTTAATCTATTTTGTTTTGAGCTTTTCAATAACTAAAAACAAAGGGTGAAGTACAGTGAGTCTGACAAAAACCTTCACAAAATTACAGCCATAAAAATCAAAGTTAAATATTAAAAGCCTTGGAAAAATTTTATTTTAATGTTGGTACAGCATTTTTTGACTAATTTGAACTAAAAGAAAAACTTTTTTTGAATACAAAAAAAAATCAAGGAAAATCATTATAGGTTTATAAACAATTTTTGTGTGTAGTGATTTGTTTGATGAAGTTTTGTTCGTAATCAATTCAATAGAACCGAAACCATTGTTAAAAGGTTAGCGTTTTTGTTCACGTAGGCTGTTTAAAACTTAACTACCTATTGCATTATTTGGAATAAATACTTGGGCTTGTCCAGTGTATGTGCGTCTTCTAAAATATGTGATTTGGGCTTATGCATATAATTTGGAATATGCTATTATCTCGCTACACAACCTACAATTTGTAGTTTATGTAAGGCTTTATGTTTACCCCTTGGGTTATTTATTAGGAAATTAATGAGTGATTGAGTTGCAAACTACGCCCAAGTAACAATGAACGATGGCATATATATTTTATTGGACACAAAATATGGTTAGTTCATCTGGAAAGTGATGGTAATCGGAAAAAATATATTGATTGGAATAAGAATGTAGAACAATTGACTCTGCAAGTGAGATGAAGTAGGGAGATGTGCCTCTTTCAGAACTGGATTCTGATACTCGAATGAGTGCTGATTCCGATGGCGATTTTGCTGCTCATCGCGATGATCGACAATGCACATAGCAAAAAAGTATGACTTGCAATGAGGCCATTATATGATTTACTTCATTTAAAGTACTACATTTTTAACCCAATTATTAAATTGAATGCAAACATCTCCATAATTTTTGAATAAAATAATTACAATATCTTAAAGTTCCCATGTGTTGATATTTAATATATAGCATATTATATTTATATATTTCATTAAGCTTTTAAGGCAGTAATAATGTTATATTACATTATTGAATTATACAAGTTTTATCTTCGTTTTTGTAGCAGATCATATTGACTTTAAATTCACTTTATAAGTTAGTAACAGTTTTTTTTTTCAGTACCTATAACTTGTATTATTTCCCCTTGCAACTCAAACTTAATCAAATCGATCACATTTAGAGTACTTTCGCACTTGTGACATATTCGCACGCGCGTTGCCGTTCGCCTGAGTCAACGTCCTCGTCGAGCGGGTGCATCAGGGGGGAGGATGTACTGTAGCCGCTTATCAGCCGACCGACTATAAAAGCGAATCTCCAGCGGCGACTGCGCCGCAGATCCAGATAGAATCGTCTCCAATCGAGTGGCAAAAACGAGGCAACAAAATGTCGCAGACCGGCAGCCAGAATCTCAACTTGGATGCGGCGGCCATTGGCCTGGATCAATGTGGAACAGCTGGTGGTTCCCCCACTTCACCTGGCCTTGGACTGTGGAGCGGAATGGTGACCATGCTCCTGCAATCCCTTCTAGCCGCCCAATGTCTCGTCTCCCCCGCCAGTTTGTGGCCAGTGGACTACGGAGGAGATTTCAGTCAACCCTACGACTTCGTGGTCATCGGAGCAGGATCTGCGGGTTCCGTGGTGGCCAGTCGGCTCAGTGAGAATCCCCAGTGGAGGGTACTGGTCCTGGAGGCTGGCGGAGATCCCCCCGTCGAGTCGGAGGTAAGTCACGTGCTTCTCTACAATGTTAACAAACACCGCACTTATCACAAGTGTTTTTCATCGAAAGCGAAATGAGCTCATAAACTGCTTTGTGATCTTGTTGGGGAAGCTTTTTACTAGCTATTAAATTTGGTGTTGGTTTTTCAAAGTAACTTCAGGCCAGCTTTTTATTACAATTTTCCAAAGTCAAAGCCTCTAGATTAACACCCAATAATATATCATTAATTTGTTCTAACTGAAGTTTCTTTGGTTAAGGAAAACATTGAGCAAAATATTTACCTATCCAAAAATAATATTTAAATAACAATTATTCCATTTAAAAATTTTTTATCACGCTAAAATTCACCTTGTAATTTTTAAAACAATTAAACATATATTTTATATTATTTTTTTACAAGAAATTAACCATACTGTACTGGTAACTATATATATGTTCTACCTAAAGTTCCAACCAGTTTCTGCATAAAATCATACTTCCGCCTCAAACTTCTTAACCGATCTATAAAATTCTTGATCCCGCACAGTTGCCGGCATTATTCTTCAGCCTTCAGCACTCGGAGTTCACCTGGAACTACTTCACGGAGCCGAGTGACGAGTCCTGCAAGGCAATGAAGGATGGTCGCTGCTACTGGCCACGTGGAAGAATGTTGGGCGGATCGGGCGGAGCTAATGCCATGCTATATATTCGGGGGAATCGCCAGGACTTCGATGGCTGGGCGGCGATGGGAAACGAAGGTTGGAGCTACGACGAGGTGATGCCCTTCTTCGAGAAGTCAGTGACCCCCCAGGGAAATGCCACTCATCCCAAGGGCTACGTAAGCCTGGCACCCTTCGAGCGGCAGGATGAACCCATTCACCAGATGCTAATCGATGGAGCTCGGGAGCTGGGATTGCCGTATGTGGAGCGATTCGAGGAGGGCAGTGAAACGGGCTATGGCCATGTGCCGGGAACAGTGAGAGAAGGTCGAAGGATGAGCACTGGGAAAGGCTACCTGGGTGCAGTGTCCCGCACTCGACCCAATCTCCACGTGGTCAAGAATGCCAGGGTGACGCACTTAGCCTTCGAAAACAATGCCGTGACCTCGGTGACTTTCGAAAGGAATGGGGTCACCCAGCAGGCTGGGGTCACCAAGGAAGTGGTGATCTCGGCGGGAGCCATCGATTCGCCAGCTCTCCTCTTGCGTTCCGGAATCGGACCCATCGAAGATTTGAAGGAGTTGGGCATTCCCGTTCAATCGGAACTTCCCGGAGTTGGCAGCAATCTGCAGGATCACGTCCTGGTTCCACTTTTCCTAAGACTAGACGAAGGTGAAGCGGAGGCCATGACCGAAAAGGGAATGTTGGATGGCATCTATGAATACCTAATCCATCAGAAGGGACCTCTTGCAACGCACAGCACAGTCTCCCTGGTTTCCTTCATCAACACAAATACGAGCAGCAAGAGTGTTTATCCGGATACGGAGAATCATCACCTCTTCTTCCAACGGGGTAATCACCCCTCGCTAGAAATCTTCACCAAGGGCTTATCCTTCCAGGATCAGTATGTAGAATCCCTGCAGGGTTATCTCAGGGATTCCCATCTCCTCTGCGTTTTTGTTCTGCTTTCCCATCCAGTGGCAAGAGGTAAAGTGCGATTGAGGAGCAAGGATCCCAAGGAACCGCCCATTTTAACCAGTAATTACCTAACGGAACCGCAGGACGTGGCCACTTTGATGAGGGGAATCCGATACATTGAGTCCCTGGAGCAAACCAAATCCCTAAGGGAACACCAAGCGGAATTGGCTTACATTCCCATTGAGGAATGTGATAAGCTCAAAAACTACCGATCTGAGGAATATTGGAGGTGTTATGCCAAGTACTTTACAATAACTTGTTACCATCAATCGGGAACCGTGAAAATGGGTCCTGATTACGATCGCGAGTCCTGCGTGAGTCCTCGTCTTCGGGTCCATGGACTGGATAACCTCAGAGTAGCTGATGCCAGCATAATGCCAGCTGTGGTTAGTGCCAATACAAACGCAGCCACCGTGATGATTGGGGAAAGAGCCGCTGATTTCATCAAGGAGGATCACAATGGTTGCGTCGCTGGCGGAGATGAGGGTCTTTGGATTCCGCACATGCACTCGGACGACTTCTAGTTTCTAGTTTGATGATTCCACACACGCATCCCACGTCACAACTGGCAACTTGTCAATATCAAAAGTGGATGCGGTAGATATCGATGCACAATCAACACGAATAGGTAAATTCAAGTATGCGAGGTGATACGATCACCTTTCTTTGGTTTTTGTAAAGGTAGTTTAAGCATAAATGATTACAATAGAATAACGTTCTTTTTTTATAGGATTTTAAAGAGATTTTTCTATGGAAAAAAAGCATCAACTATTTTCTTTTATTATATATTAGGTAATATTAAGTATTTAGTGATAGTTTTTTATATTTATAGTTTTTTTTTTAATTTAAAATGAGTTTGATAATAATATAAAATAACTTGTTGTTGTTATTCCTTAATGGTTTTTAAAATAAACAAAGCAGCAAAAATCAATTTTCTGAATATTTATTGGCTTTCGTAAAATTAAACTCAAGTGTGTTATAATAAACTGGATTATCGAAGAATGTGGCTGAGAGTTTTTCAATAAACGCACGATTATAAGTAGACCATAAATGACAAAGACATTTCAGATAACGAATTTCTCAATGATGAAGATAATCAATGGCCTTCCATAGATTAAAACACCAACAAATTTAGAGCGCAGAACATCGATGGAGAATCAGTTCTAATTCGCAGATCTAAAATGAGATCGCAAAATTGCCACAATTGAGATGTTTGGCATATCTTTGCCTAAACTTGACCCACAAACCCACACAACGGGTTTTTGGTTAACCAAAACTTATACCTCATGCCTCAACAAAAAAAAAATAAATAGAGAACTAAGAGCTTATCAGCTGGGAGGCGAAACACCTGAATAGAAATGCCACCTCAATCGATTCTCCACGCGAGCATAAAGATAACCAAGTGCAAACCGCCGATTCTTCCATTTGCCGATTCTCAATTCTCCAATCTCCGTTCTCGATTTTCGGCTGCACGAATCTAGAATGTAGAATCTCGTTTTGTAGATTTTTGGGGGGGCCTCTATGGGTCGCTCGGGTTTATCACACCTCGTTTGGCTAATCTTCGAGTGATAAGGGGAGTGCCTCGCAGCTGCTGAAGGCGGAAGGTGCGTCTAATTTATGTGTGTTTATACGCTCTATACACCATATACATATAGCTCGTATAGGTACGGCTGTAGGTACGGCTATATACTCGACTCGAGGCGAAATGCAAATGTCTCCGAAAGCTTTTGATTTACGGACGCCGATGGCATACGAAAAGCGTTCGCCGTCCGGCCGTACAAATTCCGGTTGAACGCCGGCCCGACAGAACAGTTCCCATCGAGCGGAGAGAGCGAGCGGTCGTGTGCCGCACCTGGATTACGGATATTCAGAGCTAAACACTAACCAAGGATATCCCTTAGGATTCATTAAGGTATTAGCCAAGGACTTCTACAGGTTTCCTGTTCATAACTTGTAGATAGTTAGAGCATTTCATTAAGTTTTCGACTAATTCCATAAGAAACTTCGGTGAAAACTTCAGTGAAACATAAAGTTACAAAAAAGTTGGTAAAGTTCTTTGTAAACCCAGGATAACCTTTAAACTTCCCTAAACTTGCTTGGAAATTAGTTGGAATTTTTTTAAGTTCATTTTTATAAGGATGTGGAAAAATGTACTCACTTCAAGGACTCTTAAAGTGTATCTAATGAAAATGCAAGTATTTCTTCAAGGACTCCTTAAAAGATGAAATTTTGGTCACTAAACTAAAAAGAATATTTAAAATATTGAAAATTTAGAATAGTTTTTCTAAATATTTAATCCCGAAAACGTTGGGTGGCTAATTAATTTTTATTTGGCAAAACGACGAAAACGAAAAAGAATGCGTGCGCTCGACTCAACTCAATTTTACGAATGCTCTATTCTCCACAATCATACTTAAGCCTAGCTTACCGAAGGTTGGCGAAGACGGAGCGAACTCGCAGAGAGCGAACGAAAGCTTTATTGCGCTCCCGCCTTCGCCCTAAACTAACTTACAGTAAACTTCAAATTCAATTCAATAAGACTTATTTTAACAATTCAAAAAATAAAAAGAAAACGAAAAACTGGCTTCAGCCAACACCGGCCCCGTTGAAGGCCCGTCCGGCTTCAACATATTGGAAGCGGCGCCAATTTATGGATGGCCCGCTTAAAAATTCCTCCTCCGCTGGTCCTCACTTCGACGACCCTGACCATGCCGTCCTCTCCTGCGTGAGTGGCGATGATCCTCCCTATCAGCCATTGTTGAGGCGGCAGGTTGTCCTCGGCGACGACGACCAGTTGTCCTTCCTGGATGTTGGGCTGCTCCTGGTGCCACTTGCCCCGAATTTGCAGGCCCAGCACATAATCCAGGGACCATCGCCGCCAGAACATTTGCCTGGCTGACGAGACAAGTTGCCATCGCCGCAAGCAACTGAGACCCGCCTGGTCCGGGGTCCGGAGTGCTGGGATGGGGAATAGCGGCCCGCCTGTCAGCAGGTGCCCTGGTGTTAGCGCTTCTCCGTCGCTGGGATCGTTGGATAGCGCGCCTAGCGGCCGGGAGTTCATCGCCGCCTCGATCCCGACGAGCACCGTCTCCAGCTCTTCTGCGGTTAGGAGCGCGCTGCCCACCGCTCGTAGGAGTAGGTGCTTTGCAGTTTTCACACCTGCCTCCCAAAGCCCGCCCATGTGCGGAGCCCGAGGCGGTGTGAATGCAAACTCGCATCCGCTTCTTGACGCGAATTCTCGAATGGCGTCTGCCTCCTTCTCTATGCGCTCCCGAAGGCCCTGGAAGTGGCGACTCGCTCCGACGAAGTTCGTCGCGTTGTCGCAGTGGACTGTGCGAGGGCATCCTCGGCGCCCAACGAACCTTTGGAAAGCCAATAAGAAGGAGTTAGTGGTTAAGTCTGACACAATTTCTAAATGAACCGCTTTGGACGCAAAACACACAAAAAGCGCTATGTAGGACTTATACGGAGGCCTTCCACGAATTTTCAATGTCGTATAGACGGGGCCACAAAAATCAACGCCACAGATACTAAATGGGCGGAGAGCACGGAGACGATCTGCGGGTAAATTTCCCATAATTTGCGTCATTAGTCGAGGCTTGCATTTAAAGCAGCGAATACATGATCGAACTATTTGACTGCAGACCTCCTGAGCGTTTACGATCCAAATACGCTGTCGAAGGAGACTCACAAGTGCTCGTGGCCCGACATGAAAATTGGTTAGATGCAAATGCCGGACATAGCTCTGCACAAATTGGGAGCATTTTGTCAACAGCAGGGGAAACTTGGCATCGTACGTTATAGGAGCATTTGCTAATCGCCCCCAACTCGCAACAACGAAAAATTACACCAAGTGCCTGAGTCTTCATGAATGAATGGGTTCAATCGTTGAAGACTTGGGCCAACTCTGGAGTTCTTCCGAACTTTTTCAAGAACTTCGTGATACTCGTGTTTCTGGATGGTCTCGACAATTTTTAAGAAGGCTTCGTTGTACTCATTCGGAGACAGAGTTTTTTCAAAAACTATACTCTTGTCTCTGCATTTCCTTATAAAGCGGAACATGTAACCGAACACTCTAAGCAGCTTGAGGTGTGACGAAAATCCCTCGATGACATCTACCAGTTCCGACTTCCGTACCGTGGCGGCCATCGTTACCACAGTCTTCCTTGATTCTTCAATTAGGACCTTTTCATCGAGAACGAAATGTGAATTTCTGGGCCAGGTCTCTTCTCCATTCTTCAAAAAGGATGGTCCAGTAAACCAGATTGAATCGCTAATTTCCTCTATGTCACAACCTCTTGATACAATATCTGCTGGGTTCTGGTTAGTTGGGACATGCCGCCACGTAGCTTCTCCTGACCACTCCTGAATCTCCGCTACCCTATTCGAGACGAATATCGACAAAGAAGACGGATGGGATCGAATCCAATGCAACGTAACTTCCGAGTCTGACCAATATACTATCCGTTCGATAGGGACCTTTAATAGGGGTTTGATTCTGTGACAGAGATCTGCGAGAAGGTGAGCGGCACATAACTCAAGCCTTGGGAGCGTTTTAGTCTTGAGCGGCGCTACTTTAGATTTTGACGTCAGTAATGACAGTTTAATACCTTCTGCAGTTTTGCTACGAATATAGACGCAAGCTCCATAAGCTCTCATGGATGCGTCGGCAAAGGCATGCAATTGAACCGGTGACATCGGATCGGTGTGCACATACCGCGGAATTGTTATCTCTTCCAAACGAGACAATGTATTTTTCAACTTATTCCACGCAGTTTCCAAATGCACAGGAATCGACTCATCCCAATCCAACTTGTTCAGCCAGAGTTCCTGCAATAGGATTTTTCCTCTGATTACGATAGGACTAAGCAAGCCGAGGGGGTCGAACAGCTTCGATGTCACCGATAGTATGTTCCGCTTTGTCGCTCTGAGACCCATGACGGAATTGTCAATTTCAAACTTGAAAGAATCTTCGTTAGGCAACCACGATATGCCTAACGCCTTCGTCGACTCTGAATCCGAGATCGGTATGGATTTAACTGTGCTCTCAGATGCGGTGACCTCAGGTGAGTTCGAAAACCACTTTGTCAATTCAAACCCGGCGGTTTGAAGAACCTGAGACACTTCAGACCTAATAGATCTGAGCTCCTCGACGCATGCAGCACCAGTTAGCATATCATCGACGTAAAAGTCGGATCCAATCACTTCAGCAGCTCTAGGGAATGAAAGTTTGGCAGATTCACTCAACCTTTTTAAACACCGAATCGCTAGATATGGAGCTGGACCAGTTCCATATGTTACGGTGTTGAGCTGGTATAATCTCAAGGATTCTGAGGGGTCTCTTCTCCACACTATGAGTTGAAATGGCCTATCCGCTTCATTTACCATTACTTGACGATACATTTTTTTAACATCGGCTGTCAGAGCAAACCTGTGCAGCCGGAAGCGGAGCAGTGTGGAGTATAACTCATCTTGGATAGTTGGGCCTACCATCAAGATATCATTTAGGGACACCTGAGATGACGTTTTGCAAGAGGCGTCAAACACGACACGCAACTTAGTAGACGTACTCTGGGGCCTAAGGACACACTGATGCGGAATAACATAATGTGGAGTCAAAGGAACTCTATTGTCTGTAGGAGACATATGACCTAACGCGAGGTATTCTTCCATGAACTCGAGATACATTTTCTTTAATTCAGGATCTCGCGACAACCTTCTTTCGAGCGACAGAAATCTCCTTTTTGCAACCTCGAATGAGTTGCCCAATCCAGTGGGATCAGATTTAAACGGCAATCTAACTTCAAACCGACCTGATGGCAAAACCTGAGTGGTCTTTCTATAGTGTTCTTCACACAACTTATGCTCAGGTGATAGAATTTTCTTTATAGATGGCATTTCTTCCAGTGACCAAAACTTTTGTAGTGTGCTATCAATCGATACTAATAGCTCTTCACTACAACTGAAACTATTCACAACATCTCTTGGGGCAGACGCCTTGTATCTGCCTGAAACAACCCATCCAAGTAGGGTCTTTTGAAGAGTTGGATAGTCAGGACCTTGCTTAATTTGACCAACAGCTAAAAGCTCGAAAAATGATTCTGCTCCTATCAACATATCTATTCTTTGTGGCTTGTAGAAATAGGGGTCTGCTAATGGTACGTTCTTTGGAATTTTCCAGTCACTGATATTCACAGACTGGTCCGGATGATATCCGGATATCGATTTCAAAATCCAAAAATCGAACGAAAATTCACTACCATTTATTCGCGACTTCACCACTGTGTGTACCTTTTTCTTAACTTGAGAATTGGATTCGCCAATACCAAGTAAGTTGATACACGATTCCTCTTTACGGATCTGTAAGCGGCGAGCAAGGTCTTCTGTAACGAAATTGGCTTGAGACCCAGAGTCAAGAAGGGCTCGAGCCAAAATGTATTCACCGCTTTTCGTGCGGACACTTACGATCGACGTGGCCAAAATCACCCTGTCCAACGATGTCGCATGCATAACATGTGACGTGGAAGGCTGATCCTGACTTTTAGAGGGAGACAGACTCTCTTGGGGTGGTGGCAACGCTAAGCTATTCTCGGATACGGTATATCTGTGTAGTAAAACGTGATGCGAGCGACCACAAACTCGACATTTACTTCCCTTGCATTTGGAAACCGTATGACCCTTTCGCAGACAATTGATGCACAAAGACGCAGATTTAACAAAATCGAACCTTTGCATTACTGACAGCCGACCAAACGGACTGCAGTTCGCTAGGACATGGTCTCCAGCATTGCAATAGCTACAACTTTGCACGGACTTAGTGTTGGTCGAAGAACACGAAAACGAGCTTCGATTATGTTTGCTCGGAATTAATTTATCTTGCTTTGGTTTTGATGTTTCCTCAGCAGATAAATGCTGATATCGGCGATTCAACATCTTCTCACAATCGGACCAAAGCGGCAAAGTTTCATAATCGAGCTGTTCTTCCCATTTTTGTTTAGTCACTGGGTCTACTCTGTTCAAGACGAGATAAATCAACATTGCATTGGATATTTTTGTATCATCTCCTATCGATAACAACGATCCATAAATTGATGAAACGGTATCGATAAGGCTTCTTAAGGAAGACGCTGATTGGTGCGTAATTTTTGGAAGAGTGAACAATGTTGAGATATTATTCATAAAAATCAAGCATTCGTTATCGTAGACTTTTTTAAGGCTGGCCATAGCCTTCTCATAATTGCTCGCGGTGACTTGATAAGCCTTAATAGTCCCTAAGGCTTCACCGGAGAGACACGAAATTAGGTGGTTAAATTTCTCGATAACTGGAATGCTGTCGTCTTGATGAACGAGAGTTTCAAAAAGGCTGATGAAATTTTTAAACTCCGAATATTTGCCGCTGAACTTTGGCAAGGCCAAATTCGGAAGTCGAGCTCGAGTTGGGGCTACAGAAGCTGATCCGGAAATTTTTGGATCGCTTGCTGTCTTCAAGGCCGACAAAAGCGACATTAATTTTGCCTTGGTAACAATTGATAGCTCCTCCAACTCATCTCTAAATTCATCGCCATCATCTATATCTTCTATCTCTTCTTGCAATAGATTTGCCTTATTAATTGCAGCGTTTAACGTATCTAATCTACATTTTAATTCTTCTTCTTTAATCGCGATCGCGCCAGAATCGAGTCGATCACTTAATCGGCGAATGCTTTTTACTCGATTTTGTAACTTGGCTTTCAAGTCTTCAAGCAGGTTACTTTTTGGCTTTTCTTGGCTCATTTTTGAATTAAATTATCAAAAACCAAATTTATTAAAGTAAATTATTAAAGGACCAAGTGTGAAAAATTTAAATGAGATTAATTTTCGAACTAAACCACAAAAAAATAATAATTTATTAATTATTAAATTTGTTCGAAAAAAAATTATTAAATAATTATTATTATTAAATAATTATTTAAAAGCGAGAAACAACGAAAATAATTTTTAAATTGAATATCGAGGCACGAAGTATCAAAATTAATAGTGGGTGCAAACGACGGCGAAAAACAATATACCCAACCGAATGCGGGGTAGCGCGTCACTTGACGGTCCGTTAACCTGTAGCGCGCCCAAATGACAAGAACCCAACAACAACAACAACGCTGCTAGCGGCGACCAAGCGAAAGCGAAAACGAAAAAAGTTTACCGCTGCAGCTGCTTGTATATAAGGGCTTATTTATTTGTGTATAACGGCTCAGATTAACTTCCCAACTATTAACTTGCGAGGTTTTAACGATAATTAAAAACAAGGGGGGCGACAGTGATTGCAATAATTTAACACAATTTAACAAAAGTTGCATCCAAATTGGTTCAAATAGTATATATCAATTTAGCACTTGTAAATATATTAGGTATTTATATATATATAATGGCTGTAATATTTGCTACTCTTTGAAATTATTAAAATTGTTTAAATTTTATTTTGCATGCAATCTAGCTCTACTATTTTTGTACATATGTGCCAAGAATTGAAAGCGAGGTGCAATTTTTCAGCACTAGACAATTAACAAATATTTCTAGTTTTTTGTCAAAACTCAGCTTTCAATTTTTTGCACAAATACCTTTGGTTCTTCGTTTGGATCTTTCAATCCTGCTGCCACTTTCCTTTTGCAACTTGAACAATCGCAGGGCATCCCTCGTCGGTGGCAGAAACGTCGAATTAGGGTATTTAATTTCGCGACCGGCACGATTAATTAATAGCTGGAGCTTAAATGTTTTTCTTTTGAACACACGTCGCGGGCAACTGTGTATATCACAAGCAAAATTGGATTTTGTGCAATTTGATATATATGTACATGTATGTATCACCAAAAAAACACAAGAAAAATCACTTGCACTTTGAATATGTGTCACTGTCACTTTAAATAAAATTTGTTGCCTTTTAATTTAATTAATTAGTCCACCCGGGGGCGCCATGAAAATTTAGAATAGTTTTTCTAAATATTTAATCCCGAAAACGTTGGGTGGCTAATTAATTTTTATTTGGCAAAACGACGAAAACGAAAAAGAATGCGTGCGCTCGACTCAACTCAATTTTACGAATGCTCTATTCTCCACAATCATACTTCAGCCTAGCTTACCGAAGGTTGGCGAAGACGGAGCGAACTCGCAGAGAGCGAACGAAAGCTTTATTGCGCTCCCGCCTTCGCCCTAAACTAACTTACAGTAAACTTCAAATTCAATTCAATAAGACTTATTTTAACAATTCAAAAAATAAAAAGAAAACGAAAAACTGGCTTCAGCCAACAAATATATTTAAAAAAAAAATCGCCAAACCCTTTTTAGAAAGCTTAGCAAAAAATATAGGATAAACAGAAAAGTAAACATTCTATCTAAGAAAGAATTATTTTAAGGACTTTCTTGAATACTTAATTGAATTTCTCCTTTTTTAAAAAAATGTTCTAATCAAGTGCTTCCTTTTTCAGCTTAACTTTAGGACCCAATCGCTCCCCAAGATGGAGTTCCTGAGCGCCCAGTGCGCTGCTCGCTCGGCGGGTCCAGCAAATACGCTGATGTCCCTGCTCCTCTCCACGCTGATCACCAAGTACTGCGATCTGAGCGGCCAGCAGCAGTGGCCGGAGGACAAGGGCGACTGGCTGGAGCAGAATGGTGGCTTCAAGCACGACTACGACTTCATAGTAATTGGATCGGGCAGTTCGGGAGCTGTGGTCGCCGGTCGTTTGGCGGAGGTGAAGAAGTGGAATGTTTTGCTGCTCGAGGCTGGCGGAGATCCCCCGATCGAAACGGAGTTCGTTGCCTGGCACATGGCCACTCAGTTCTCGGAATGGGATTGGCAATACCACTCGCAGCCGAATGGACGTGCCTGCATGGCGATGCAGGGAGAAAGTTGCCACTGGCCGAGGGGCAAGATGCTGGGTGGCACGAACGGAATGAATGCGATGATCTATGCTCGAGGCACACGAAAGGATTTCGATGACTGGGAGGCCAGGGGCAATCCGGGATGGGGATACGATGATGTGCTGGAGCACTTCCGCAAGGCGGAGGACCTGCGATCCACGCGACCGGATTACAAGCCAGGTGACCATGGCGTTGGTGGACCCATGGGCATCAACAATTACGTTTCGGACAACGAATTCCGCTCCACGATTCGCGCTGGCATGCAGGAGATGGGCTACGGAAGTGCTCCGGATTTCACCGAGGGATCCTTCGTGGGTCAGATGGACATTTTGGGCACCCAGGACGGCGGTCGTCGCATCACAACCGCTCGATCCCATCTGCACAAGAACACGCCCAATCTGCACATTATTCGACACGCTCACGTCAAGAAGATCAACTTGGATCGGAACAATCGGGCTGAAAGTGTGACTTTTGTGCACCGTGGTAAGAAGGAGTACACCGTGAAGGCCAGCAAGGAGGTCATCGTGTCCGCCGGAGCCATTGGCTCGCCACAGATCCTGATGCTCTCAGGTGAGTAGTGAAGTCATTAAAAGAACAGCAAAGTTCACAAACAAAGTTAGTGAACAAAGCAAAAGAAACCATAAAAGTATCATAATAAATTTTAGTTTTTTTAGAAAATAACTAATAAAACTATACATCTGCTATTAACATATGAATTCTAAATATTGAACTAGTAAAATTAATATTATAAAATACCAGCATCAGAAATTCTAAATTTGAAGGACCAATTTGGCAACTTAAAAGCTAAGTTTACATATCATAAACTTTATTATTTCCTAACTCCCCTAATGAGTTTTTTTTTTAAGCTGCAAAACCCCAATGCAAAGTGCATTTGATAAGAACTATTTCGAAATAAGGAAATGCCAACAAAAAAAATGAAATACCACTCCAGTTTTTTTCCGTGCACAACTGTAGAAATATACTTTACGATCCTTCAATCCCTCTTCAAAGCCCCCAAATCTTCCGCTTGATTTAGTTGTTAGTTTAGCTTCTGTTTTTTATGTGGTTGCATCTGAAAGCCCCTCTGAAAGACGATTAGATAGTCGGGATACGATATCAGACCCAGGCAACGGACCCTCGTTTCGATCAGATGTCAATGTCAAAGCGTGCCCAAGGTCGGGCAAGGTCAAGCGATTATGCCCGCCCGATCGGTGGGGATTGTAAGCATATGTAGCAGCGAGATATACACAAATCTTTTACGATAGGAAACTTTTTCTGTTCCCAAGGGGACTTCCCCTTTAAGTAAGGGGTACAATAATTTACCAGGTGATAACTCATTGACTTCACTTATATTTTAGATTCGAGTGGGTTGACTTTGCATTTTTCGCATTCAATTGGGTTTACAAACCTGCAAAGATAAAAAATGAACAAACGTTAGTATAATTGTTTGAAAATTGTTTAGTAAATATTCTTCAATGATTAGAAACAAGTTTCATAGAATTTCCATAAAATTTCACATGAATTTTAAACTAAATTGGGACAGGTTCTTAAGTTTATCTTTGAACAGGTTTCTATGTATATCCAACATTCTAATAAATACGCAGTAGAATGGCCAGCGGGTTCTTATAATGTTAAGATTTTAATTAGGCATTCGGGAGTTTAAAAAAAAATGTCAAACCTAAACTTTTGTTATCATAATATAATTAAAACAAATATATTTCCTTGATAAAATATAAATTCACAATACCCGCTGGGAAATCTTACTTTCTTGTTGAATAGTTTTCAAAAAATATGTATTTGTGAAAATCCCTTATTAATTGTTTATATTTTCATATTTTTTAAGGCGTCGGTTCCGCCGATCACCTGAAGAGTCTGGGAATCCCCGTGAAACTGGACCTGCCCGTGGGCAAGAACCTGAAGGATCACGCCAGTCTGCCGGTGATCTTCCAGATCGACAAGTCCACGGCACGCAAGCCCACCGAGGAGGAGCTGGTGGACGCCATGTACAACCTGCTGATGGGTCGCTACAGCAAACTGCTCCACCACGAAGCCACCGCCCTGACTGGGTTCATAAACACCACCTCGATCGAGGGGCCCAATCCGGATATCCAGACCACCAACTTCTTCAGCCTGATGCAGAGCCCCGAACTGAAGGGCTATGTGGCTGCCACCGGGTTCAATGATCGCGTGGCCAAGAGCATTTTGTCGGCCAACCAGGAGACCAACACCTACATCACCTATCTGCTGCATTTGAAACCCTTCTCGGCGGGAAGTTTAACCCTCCAGTCGGCGGACTACTTGGAGGCACCCCTTTTGGATCCCGGTTACATGACCGATGAACGCGATGTGGACACCTACATTCGCGCCTTAAATATCTACAAGAATTTGCCGAAAACCAAGGCGTTCGCTGAACGCGAAGCCACACTCCACAAACTCGATTTGGAGGCCTGCAATGGATTGAAGTACCAGTCGGATGACTACTGGCGTTGCTACATCCGCCACATGACCACCACTGTTTACCACCCGGTGGGCACCACTCGAATGGGTCCAGCCACCGATAAAACTGCCGTTGTGGATCCCCAATTGAGGGTCCATGGCGCCAAGGGACTGCGGGTGATCGATGCCAGCATTATGCCCGATATCGTGGGAGCCAACACTAATGCCGCCTGCATTATGATCGGCGAGAAGGGCGCTGATATGATCAAGGAGGAGTATCTGGGCGGAAAGCACACCGAGCTCTAGGCTCAGCGATATTTTACGATATAAGTGTAACGTTTTTTGTGAATTTTTTTTTGTTATAATAAATATATGCATTATAATTAATACATAAAACTGTAAGTCATTTTTTGGAGGCAAGCCTAAAGTCAACAATTTTTAATTTTAATTTTTAAAACAAATAAAATTAAATCTACATTTCTCTACATTTATATTTATTAGCTTTTCTACACAAAACTTTGAAGATCTTTTGCCCTTAGGTTGCTGTCTTAGCTAAAATGCTTAACAGTGGCTGTAAAACTGTTTTGATTTTATAGAAAACGTTTTCGTCAATTCAATTCAATTTTCTTTTGCAATTTTTAAAAATGTATTAAAGGTAATGTTAATAATTTATAATTCAATCTCTAACAGGATATTAAATAATTCCTGTCAAATTAATTTTCTGGTGTGAATTTCAACAGGTTGAAAAAATAAAAACAAAAACTGCACCATCAGCATTAAGTGGCGATTGTATTCAATCTGGGCGATACTTGATGCTCGGCCTGGTTAGCTACGTTTTGGTTTTGATTGACAGCTTTCACTTTTCATTTTGCTGTTTTTTTCATGTATATATTAGTGGGTAGGTATATATTTTTTCAATTTTTCGGCCAGCAAATTGCCGCTCATTGCGGACACTCATTATCCATGCCCGCGACCAACGCAATATGTATAATATTTTCAGGCGCCGCGAAGCGTGCCAGTTTTCGGTTTTGTTTGAGCATTTCGATTTTCATCTAATGGTTCGCATTGCATACCAAACTAAACGCAATTAATTGTTGGCAACAACTGAGCCACCGAGTGGGTGGACGCCTCTTAATTGTATAATCGAGGTGTTAGGGAAACGGAGATTTGCGAAAAGGAAACTAGATAAAGACGTGTCTTCTTTAATGATTTATATCAGATCAGGCTTAAAACTAGTCTCAAAATAGTATTTTTGTATGGTTTTTTTTTAATAACATATCCAGTTTGCAACTTCATTCATTTTATGGTGTCTTACAAATTGAATTAAATACCTTTGCGTCCTGTCATAACCTCGCCATTGAATTGAATTAAAATACAATCTAATCCTTTTCCAACTACTTTTTACTATTTTCCTATTACAAACCGTACTTTGTCCAATTGCTTATGTAGTGTGGGAAGTTGCACTATCTAAGCCCCCACCCACTTTGCCACTCCTTTTATGCAATTAACAAAGGTCACGTAACAACCCTTTTTTCGTGCCATGCACTTGACCAAACCGCAAAATGGAAACCAATTAAACGAAATCGCTCAAGATACAAGCTCAGATAAAAGCCGGGGGATATGGCATGTTTAACACATTAAGTCGATGGAAAATGAAAAATGGGGAAAAGGTACGCGGGAGTACGCACGGAAATTCCAAAATTCCGAAAGCCACTAACCAAAAAGAAATATGTATATACGGTTTAGGTAAGGGATTGGGATGAGAGATGTTCGCTGGGGCTTTTGGCTGCTGCACAAGATGTCAGTCACCGGCTACCAGTTAGCCACCGTCGGCCCCGCCCCCTTTTGGCAACCGCCCATGGTAACCTACATACACGAGGCACTAACATATCGCCGGAGTCTCGGGCACGTCGGCCAAATCGGCCATGCTCGACTGCTGTTCAGATACACAGGTCGAGATACAAATCGGAGATGGACGTGAGTGAAGCGGTGATCGTGTGGGGAAACTCACGGCTGGATATTGGAAATTATAGGGGAGCAATGCTAATTAGTTTGTCATAAGTAATAAAAAAATAGCTATGAAAACAGATATTTACCATATTACAAATTTAAAAATATTTGTAATTTTTCACAAAAAAGTATAAAGGGTTTTTCGCTTGAAAACCTACAAAAATATTTTGAATACTGAATAATATTTTATACTATTATGAAAATGTTTAGGGAGCATATTTTTTAAGTTGGCCAAAATGATTTGATAAATTATTAATTTGGAATCTAATATTTAGCACCGTTTTCTTTCTGTTTATTTTAAATTTCTAATTTGTTTTTCCTCTTGTTAGATAAAACAAAATTTAGTAGTAAAATCAAATAAAATCCCAGGTAATTCCCCACTTCCAGAGTCACGAAATCATCTCTATGGAAGTTAAGAGTACGCGAGGCACTTGCTGCCATTACTTCGTTTCTTGCATTTGTCGTTTAATGAAGTTCATTTTCAGTGCCCAAAAACTGGAGATACCGATGCGGATGACTCAGCGAAAAGATAAAACCATGGCTGGGGCCTAATTGTTATGTCACCTCACCGAGAGCTTTCTTCTGGAGGAGGTTAACCAAGAGAAAGGGGAGGCGTTGGCGGCGCCTCTTCGTTTTGCCCAACTTTAGTTGATTTTTTTATTTATTTTTTTTTATTTTGAGGCCTCTTCTATTTTCACTTTTAATTGCCCTCGAGCAAAATTTGTTTGTTGATTGGGCAATTGGCCCAAAAGAAATATTGCGTCTAACCATGGGCGCATATAGTAGTACTTGAAAAGAGCGACCGGTAAGTGCCGGAAATTGTACGGCGTGACGCTAGTTTTGCCGTGTGTGAACCCCTATGGTAACACCAGTTGTAATTGTAATTGTAATTGTTATTGTAGCGGAAATAGTTGATTAAATATGCACAGAAGCCTGGGAACCGAAAGTGTTTTGGACCATTATGATGCATTAGCGAGTTATTAGAGAGTTTTTTGTTTCAGTAAAAGTTTAACTGGATAAAAATTAAAAAAAAATATTATCTCTAAACGTTATACAACATCGAAGCCTTCAGGTTTTAATATCCTTGGACTGTCAACCCGCAAACAAAGTTGCCAACAAATTAGAGATACATGTTCACAAGATTCATCTAAGGGCCTTCCTTCCAGTTAAGGTCACTCTACTTACCCACTGAAGTATAGCCCTTGACCAATGAAGGCCCTAACACTCGCAGTTAGACAAAAAACTGAAAAAATAACTGAAGAAGAAACCAAAACAAAAGCAGTCAAGAAGACGCACAACTCATCGCAAAAAGTTTGACAAGTTTATTTGTGCTTTTATTGTCAAGTTTTATTTGTTTAGTGGGGGGCAGCGAAGTTTCCTCGACATTCGCATGGAAAACTCGGCTTAAATCGCTTGGGCTGACCTTGCCCCATTAGATGGTGATATATCAAACGATCGTCACATCGTGGCCCCATTAATTTGCAGACATTATACTGTGTGCGACTTTCGTCATTCCTTTGCAGGTGGAAGTGCTTAAACTTTTTAGTCTCATGGACTGAACGATTGGGAAATGTTTCAGCAAACACTAAAGTTTTGTCAACCCAAGATAACTGACCAAAGATATCAGTGAATATAAGATGACCTTCCAAAAGAATGTCTGTGAAAATTTTTACCTACTAAAAAAAAAAATGTGTAGAAATTATTACTCATACGCACTGTGGTCTATTTATTACTCATACGCACTGTGGTACATTTATTACTCATACGCACTGTGGTACATTTATTACGCAGCTTATTCTTGATATCCATCTTCACTATTTATTATGTTTCGACTTTGGTTTCCATTTATTCATAAATTGTTTATCATTGAACAGAAATTAAGTCTCCTAATCTCCTATTTCCCATTTCCTACCGTATTTAAGATATTGTAAGTAATTGAAACTTCATTACAATTTATTAAATTGGAGTTTTCTTTGAAATGAATTTCCATTTCGTCATAATCCTTTCCGGTTATCAGATTGTGTAGCAATGCAACCAGGAAATTGTCAGAAATGCAAACAACTTCGGTGTTTCGGGGACCTCCATCAATATATCACCCCATAGGCAGAAATGGGAGCAATTTCGGTAGTTCCATCGATACAACAAACTAGTTGCGTTGGATATCCGTTCGGCATCAGGTGTGTAATGTAATATAATGACAATTACTTGGCAAATTCGTGTTGTGGTTTGTCAATTGGCGAACACACACACTCCCCTCGAAAAAAAACCGGTTGAACAATAAAAACAATCAACCGACAAGTAAACGCCACGAATTTCACTTTGATCTCCACATCTTTATTGAACTCTTCGGCTTCTTCAATGCCAAAAACTGGTCAATTAATTGCGGTTCTTCTGCCAGCTGTTATTCCATGTCGAAGTTTAAGTCGATGATGGTGTACAGTAATGACTTTTTAAGTGGTATAAATAAATGTCACCGTATTTTAAAATTCGATTTTACCAAGTTTCAATAACTTTCACAATTTTCATCCGATCTGTAAATGGATCACAATTTTAAATTGAATATCAAAACAAAGCTTTTTTTATGTTTTGAAATATGTACCATTTTTTATGCTCATAAGACTTTTTTTAAGTTTCTGATGGTTTTCATACCTCCAAACATTTGAAATTGAATTTCATTGATAGGACACACATCGAAGCTCTACTGTTCATCTTATGAACGTCTTCGCTTGTATGGCTTACGTGCGCAATTCCACAATTCCACTACACAACTGCAAAGCAACTCGCTCTGGAACCGAAATTCCAACTCAAAATGAAGCCCATCGTCCGCGGAGAGAAGTGCACATAACCGTAAAGTGAGCATGAAGGTCGTCTGCTGTCTGCAAGGAAATTCGAAAAAGAAGAAGGCAAAGAAGAAGAGGAAAAGGAGGTGCCGAGGGAAAAGCCGCAAATGTCACATATGGTAAAGGTGAGAGCGAGAGGCAGGAGTTGCAATCGGTTATATGTAACCGTTTTGCAATGTACAGCATCAGCCATCAACCGCAACCGCATTGCTTCTTTGTTGTTGTTCATGTGTGGGAGAGTGCGAAGGAGAGGATCGCGAAACGGTAACCGTTTCACATTGCAAAATGAGCACAGGCGCAACCGCAAAACGGAGCAGAAAGAGCACGAGTGGAAAAAGGAGCGCCAAATGGTAAATAATTTTGAAAAGTTCGATCTTATTTTGAGGTTCAATGTTTTAATTGGTTTTGATTAATAATTTAAAAACATTCACTTAAAATGAAAGAAAGTCAAATATTTTAAATTATGAGTAACCGTTTAAAAAATTTGAGAGTAATATACATATTTTGTATCCGTATTGAATAATATTTGTTGTGCCACTAGGATATACAAAGTGGCGAATATTATCAATTTGAATTCAATTAAATTGATGTGCCAATGTTTTTTCTATTGAACAACTGAGAGTGCAGTTGGATTTGCTGAGAAAAAACGTGCGCATGCGCAACTGTTTTGAAGCCACGACGCCGGCGTCCTCTGCCGTGGCTACCGCCTCTGCCGACGTTGCAGCGGCGGAGACAAAACGTCGCAGGCCAACGGATTTTGTGGCTCAGAAACGCAGCGACTGCCAAGCGAGGCGGATGGCCTAAAACGAAACGGGCTGGCGAGGCGTATTACCAGTGAACCGGTTAACTGATTACCGATTATCCATTACCCATTTTACACGAGATACCCGATTCCAAAACGCGCGCGTCCAACTACTTCTATTCAAATTTATTTATTTTTGTTTCTGTTTACTCAATGTGTTTTCGAGGCCTAAATGAAAGTGCAGAAAGGCAAGTGACTGTGAATGCGAACGTGTCGTCGGCACAGAGAGAAAATATCACCATAATCGGTCAACAATTCATCTGTTCCTCATATCAATGTGTTTTCTTTCACTGGGAAATCTGCTTATTTTGAATATATTAAAAAATCCAGTTCAACTTCCTTAAAACAATTTGGAAACCTTAAAACATTTAGTACACATTTTTTAAAAGTTTGCAAGATTACATATCTCTTCAAAATTCTTTTTAATTTTATCCAGAATACCACGAACTGACCATATTTTTATGTTTTTTTCCCAGTGTGCGTAAATAGTGAATGCCAAAATCGAATAAAAGTGCCCGAATAACTCAATGAAATGCAGTGACAGCGGCAAATTGGAAACAAAAACGCTAAGGACCGCCCAAAGATATTAAAAGAAAGGGAATCCTTTCCCAAATCCAAAAGTAAACCTATCCCAAAATCATGGTTGTAGTTCCCGCTCTTGGCGCCGCCGCGGTTTCCGTGGGCGGACTGCTCTTCAAGGCGAGTGCCGCCTCCAAGGCGGCAGCGGCAGCGGGCGTGGCAGCGGCAGGTGCCTCCAAACTGGGTTTGGCCATCGCCGGTGCTATCAAGCTGGCCACCGCTGTGATCGGCGTCGGCAAGCTGACCATCCTGCCCTTCCTGATAGCGGCCATAGCCTACTATAATTACGATCTCTTCGATCCGGAGAATCGACCCTTTAATGTCCAGCAAGTGGACCTTGCCTACGACTTCATCATCATCGGTGGAGGTTCGGCTGGCACTGTTCTGGCCTCCAGACTCTCGGAGATTCCACACTGGAAGATCCTGCTCCTGGAAGCGGGAGGTCATGAGACGGAAATCTCGGATGTTCCACTGCTGTCGCTCTATTTGCATAAAAGCAAAATGGACTGGAAATATCGGTGAGTCAACTTCGCTTTGAACTCTTTGGAACTCTGGTGAAATTCCACGCCAATAATTTTGGGTATATGGAGAGATTTCTTGGAAGTTTTGATAAAATTCTGAACTCAACGATATTCAAATTAACATCGTACCAGTAAAGAAATTTAAATGTAAGGTTATTGAACGGCAAATAAGACATTTTAGTTCAAACTCCGAAAGTAAAAAAATTTGAGGCTTTAAATGTTTAAGTTTAAATAGAGTTTTTAATGCTTATCATCAAGCATTTATCTGAGACGATAAACAAAACAATCAAAAACAGTCAAAAACAGTACCATTAAAAAAAGTTTTATTGACTTTAGTTAATGTCAAAGGACTTGATTTCAAAGGTGGTTGCATTGCAAATAATTTTTAATTATTTGTACTTTTCAAAACTATTTAAACATTAATTTTAACAGCTTGCCACTTAACAATATTTCGGCCTTTATCCCCACTCACTTGATTTACAAAGTACCTAACATTTGGTGGGTCATAATGATTTTGGGAGGGGTCAAAGAGTTGGCCTTAGCAGTGGCCCGGTTTGCTTTTCTGTTTGCGCCCTTTTTCGACCAACGTGCACCGGCTAAAGTATAATGACTTGCTTTTTTACAAAAAAGCTGGTACCAGACAATAAACACCGAATTCTGGCATATGCAAATCCCGCCGGGTGAGCCATCGATGAGTTGGGGCCATCATTAGCATTCGGAATAGACCAAGACAACTCAACTTGGCCGGGGTTCGGGTTTGGCGAAGTAGAGACAGTGATGATGATCATGATTATAATGATGATGGTGCCAAAGGCCAGATTCGTTTAGTTAGCAACCGCCTGCCAATTTTTGGACTATTTGCCAGCTCTCTTCACACGCAAACAGCAAAACGATTTCAGCACTCGCCAAATGAAAGGGAAAACGAACTGACTTCTACGACAATTCAAATCGCTTTTAAACATTTTATTTATTTGAATCCCCAAAAAAAAGAATATATTTGTAATGATATATACTCCTTTTTTATATGACTCTGTTAACACCAATTACTTTACGACAGTTTTCATTTCGTTTATCTTGATTTGTGGCCACTCTGCTCTTGAGTGTTCCCATTTCTCGCATCTTTCACTTTTCCCCGGCCGACTTTCCTCCATTCACCTGCAGCCAGAATGTTCCGATTGGATTGAGACAAACGTAAACCATTACCATTTACCAGTTCAACTCGATGGATGATCATCTTCCCCTTTTGTGTGTGTGTCGCTTTCAAAAAACAATTAAGAGCGTCTTTTTGTGGAGGCTTGAGCCTCCATTAAATGAACAAATATTCGGGTTACAACCACTGAATGGATAATGATCACTGCTTCTGGGACTAATTGGAATTAGAACGGGCTACCGTTAGAAAGACCTGCCCCGAAGCTCTACATATATATATTTTTTTTTCGGGAAGGGTTACTCGTTTCATTCAGATCGTTTTCTATCTCTCGGCATTTCATTAATAACAGCTGATGATCAACATCCACATGTGGACGTAGTTTCAAATTAACAACTCGAACCACTGCTTAATTATTCATGAGCATTGGCGTTTTTTTCCGAATTTTGTTAGAGCGTGTTACCAATACCGTAATCCATTTAACTGTTTAATGTGACAAGGGGCTGGGTTTGGGTTGGGTCTATGGATCCATAGGCCTAGCGGCGATTTTTGGTTTTCTCTATGGGTCTTCTTCGTTTCAACTCGGAGTTTCACTTTCAGAATTCCACACTCATTAGTATTCCCATTCCAATTCCCTTGCTACTTCCACTTCCATTGGAATTATTTCCTTTCCTTTTGCTTTTTTTATTTCCATTTCTATTCCGATTCCCATTCAATTCCATTCAATCTTATTTTGCGTAATTGAATGCAATCCATGGCTAAAGTGCATGCGAAATAAAGCATAAGGTGGAAAGGTGTACAATAGGCACACAGAAAAAAAAATCTTTCTATATTTTATAATGAATGAATTTTGTAGTACTTTATTTTAAAAAATTTAGAAACAGTTTTGATTTTATTACATCACAATTTTCTGATAATTCATTAGACTTTTACCTAAATTAATGATTCTTTAAATTTTCCGATCGTTCAGTGCATAAAAAAAACAAAAACCAAAATTAAGTGCAGCTTGTGTGGCAATATAATCGAGTGTGTTTCTGAATCATTGCATCATTGGCAAACTCGGGAGAGTCGGTAGCAGTATCTGCATTTTTGTATCTTAGTATTTGTATCTCGTGCCTCCAGTCAGCTGGATCCCAAGTGTGTGAGAGAGAGAGATACACAAAGTGAATGAAAAAGAGTGAGTCTTGAGTGTTTGTTTTGGGTGCAATGTGTACAACAAATCGACACTCGAAAACCGCTTTACAAGCAACGGGAAATTCAGTCAACAGACTGCAACGAAATTGAAACTGACTTGGAAAAAAAGAATAGGAGACTCGGCGGCAATCACTCACACGTCAATCATCGCCAACCATCTTGATTGACTCACTCATGGGCGAAAAAGTTTCACCCGCCTGAGAAAGTCGGAAGATTGGTGGCATCGGATTTGTATCTTTTGGGGTTCAGTGTCAATTTCGTGAGGTTCAAGGTCGTGGGGAATATATGGTTAGAAATGGGTAATTTTTAAAAGACCGGCTATGAAAATCATTTAAAAATTTAATACAATCACATCAGGAGGTTAATGCTATTTAAATCTTAGGGGTATCAGCAAATTTAAAATGATTAATGATATTATTTTTATAATGATGCATAATGTGTTTTGGAAAATGTATGCAAAATTTTTTATTATAAAACGGACTCCGTGTAGTTTATAAAACACCATAACATTTTGTAAGAAATATATTGAAGGCATGCTAGCAATAAAACTCATTCAGCACTGATAATAAACCATACCGCTTGCAATCACCTTCGTGTGCGATTACAGGATAAATGCCTTTAAGTTAACGACGTGCCGCCAAATATTTCATAATTCATAAACTCGTGTGCAACGATCGTTGCAAGCCATTTGAAAGTATTCAAATTCGCAGTAGACAACAGTAGATGCCGGCTAAAACCAACAGCGGTTCTGTAGGGTAAAAAAAAACACCAGCTGGTGGAATAAATGTGGGACCTAGGCAAATAAATAACCTGACTGGTTAACCCCAGAGAAATAGAGAAAAATCAACTTGTCTGTTGTGCATTCCACTTGGGGATTATGCAAGATGAGTTGGCGGATGACCCCCAGCCTTATCCGCATCATTAAATTCCCCTCCTCGCGTTCGTTGATGCCAGAAATATTTTGGCATCCACAGTGGAGACACGCCCATGACGGATTCGGGTTCGCATTGTGAATGCAAGCTGCAAGCGGATATCAATTTGGGCAGCGATCATGAAGCAACTACACTGGGAGAAAGTGGGTTTCGTAAATGGGATTATACAATGAGATAGTAAAGTACTTTCAATGCCTTTAAATAAAATATATTTCAATGAAAAATTATAAAAGGATTTCCAGTTTGCATAGGTCTTGTAAACTTTTTAGTTTATAACATATATAATACCATACTATTTAAATTGTTTTTAATGCTTTTTAGTTACAATATATATATTTATAGATATTTAAAATGTTGGAAAGGATTGTTTGACCATAAATTCTGATATTTTAGAAGTGTGGATTCTGAGATGGGGATATCCTACGCCGGTCCAGTTGGGTTTCCCAACCCAAACCGGATCGCATCTGAGTGACTCCGAGCGGTGTGATAAAGTGGGTTAGGCGGTCTGCGGGTTTGCAGGTCTACAAGTTTGGCGCCGCCATGGAAATGGCACAAAACGAGGCGAAATGAAAAGAAACGGCGCTGATACTTGCCAATTGCACCCGAGTAGCTGAGTGTTGTTGGCCTGGCTCTCAGTCGGTTGCCAATCGGCGATCGCGAATGGCCAAAAGCCGAGAGCCAAAAACCAACTGGCGGCCACAATTGACCGGCGAAGAGGAGAGTGGCTACGTGAGCCGGTTAAATGGACAGGCTTCGATGGCTCGTCATACCGCGATTTGTGTCAATCGGGCCATAAAAAAGACAACTGAACACCATATGCAAGCCCAAAAAGCAGAACCCCCCGATAACACTTAATGTTGATATGGTTATTGGATGTTTATTTGTTTTTGCCCAATCGAAAGTATGAAATTTGTTACGACACCAGACGGATCACAAATATATGCTGTTAATCTAATTAACACCCATGGATTAATGAGTCCAAAGATTATGTAAAGTGGAAAATAAATGGGAACTATTGTGATATAAAGAAAGTGTTGCAAGATTATTCAATGAAAATTTAAGATGTAATCCTCTAGGATTTGTTCTTTAGATATTGTGATTTAAATTTTGGTACTCAGGTTTCTCCTCTTCAATTTTTCCCACATTTTATTTAGCAATTAATCCATCCATAAATCTTTCCATTAATAAATCGCTCTGAATTGTTGCCATTTTACAGCTTAATGCGTCCGCTAAGTGATTTTATATGGCAATCGACAGCTGTTCCATCCGAATGCTTTTTCCCTTTTTTTGGGGGGTTTCGTGGGTTGGGGAACTTCGACGAGGCCTTAACCAACTTTCGGTTAACGAGCATTAAACAATTACGAAAATAATGCAATCAACTCGAATTTTCGGCATGCATATTCATTTCATAAGCGGCAATTATGATTGTTGTTGTTGTCCCTAATGCATGTTTGAAATCCCTCTGTTTTAGATTTGCTAAAAACAATAACAGATTAAATAGTTATAAGATCTCTAAACTTTATCTGTTTCACCGAATGAATTTTCAGAATTATGCCATTAATCTATTTTTAGTCCTCTTTTATATAAGAAAATTATAATTAAAAGCATTTCAAGATAAAGACTTGATTTGTTTTTACCCAAATTAAACTTGTTTAATAAAGTGTAATATCTAATTATATTTATAATAGACTAGAACTATTTGTTTCCCACAATTTCAATAATTGTCACTAAAGAGAGATTTACGGGCACACAAGAAGTCAAGTGAAGCAAGCGAAATGAGTTAATATTAATTTGCCGCGTTTATGTTAGTTAACTCCTAAATGGCTAATAAAAAGCAAACAAATTGCGTCAGTTGGGCGTCTCTCTCTTCCAGCCAGATGGAAGTCGAGGCGAAAGTTTTCTTCTCCATTTTCTCGCCCATAAGCGGTGTGCGGTGTGTGTTTGCACCTGTATATCTGTGAGAAATGGCCGGAGCACGTAGCCAATAAGTCAGTATGCCAAACAATGTGCCGCACATATGCGGTTACAGTGGCGCGAATCGATATTGATGGCTCGTCAAGGGTTAGAGCGATGGAAAATATCCATCACCGATATCTGGGCAGCATAAATCACAAATTTGATTTGAGTGCATGTCGTATGCTAATTACCCCAAAACCCATCTTTACCCCAAAACCCACGCCTGAGGGCGGGAAAATAAAGGGAGGGACAGGTGTGACAACCTAATCGCAAAAGATGCAAATGCAGTCGAGACAAGCGGATGATGGACCGTGGAGCGCCTCAAGTTGAGCACTAAACCATCAGCTGAAATTGACTGACATCTTCACTATACTCTTGCAGGGGGTATAGCAATTACGGTTAGAGATTAAGATTTCGAGTTATTAAAGATATTTTGTAACCCAGGGTTGCCTAATTCATAATTAAAGCAGCATATGTTTAGGAAAAATGTGATGTTTTGGGTAATGGCTCCTTTAAAAATATATATTATGTAATATATTTACTGCCATAAAATATTGTATACGGCTATTCTACTTTTTATTATTCTTTTGTTAAGCCATTGATTATTTTTCCATAATATATAATAATCTTAACCATTGCTACAACCCTACAATATCTTAATTTTTTTCTTTTTATGTCTCAAAGGGCATTATTAATTTCGTTATTATTTTTCCTTAAGCTTTACACTTGTTTCTTTGGCTTTGGCACGCTTTTTCTCTCCACCGCTCGCCATGTTAGCCAAAGTAAAATCATTGCTGACCAAGTTTTCCGCAACTGACATTTGATTTCCGTTTGTTTTCGTCGTGCCTTTCTCAGCCGAATGTGGTTGGTTAAGTTGTCGCTTGATTGTTGCCTGTCACTGGTAATTTATATTTTCATTAACGATTAAAAAGTCTTCCTATGTGTTTAGCAGCAAACTTAATGGGCACCCAGAAGATGTGGAATTTCGTTTTCAGTTTCGCGGTTTCGGAACGGGAGCAAAGTGAAAACACCAGAGTTGTCAAATCGTTTTGTTGGCCAATTTGCCCGTTGGCTTATTGGTTGCTCTCACGGCAAGGAAATATTTTGCTAATGCTGGGAACGTTGGGAGCAGATTATTATCTTAACAAATGCGTAACTAAGACTGGGATATCCGCTAATTGGTGGAGCTTGAAATTGCTGGGCGCAAATTATCGTGTTTTTCTCTGTGCGAATTTTGTTTGCCTTTTCATTTTTCTTTTTCTCTTACTTTTTTGTATGCAGTTATCAATTGTTAGAAAAACTTGCAATACTTAACTTCCTCTTTGGTTTATTGACCCTTACCTTATTTATTTACAATAAATATAAAGAGGTGTAAATATAATAATAAATAATATTGATAACGGTATTAATACCTTTATTAATCTTTTATTATTATATCAGGCAATTTATTTATACATTTTTTTCTTTTATTTTTTAATATATTTTCATATTTTTGCTTGAGCAACGTGTCTGCAATTTTTCAAAGCCACCACAAAATAAGCCAAACTTTAAATGCCACTCGGGGATACATATACTCGTACTCACAGATACTTGCACTCACAGATACTCGTGCTCACGGATACCATAAAACTATTTAAAGGGCAAAAGTACGAAGGGGAGGCCGTCTGGTTCATTGCCTCATGGATTTTTGGTTTTTTTTTTTCCTTGGCTTGGCGTAATGGGCGTTTAACACCGACTTTTTTTGTGTTGTAATTAAGTTGGCCACTGGGCAATTTGGCTTTTTCGGGGGAGTGGGCGTGGCATCTTGACTAATGCGCTTTCATTGTCGCTTTGTTTACTTGGCCACAAAAATTATCGGTTATCTCTTTCACTGCTTGTTTGGGCTTAGATTCGCTAATTGTTTTCTCCCAGTCGTAATCTTTGTGGCTACTACACCTTTATTTTTGTATCTACAAACGAGTTGGGAGCTTAGTTTTTATGATTTCTCCCCAGTTGCACTCACTATAAATTTGTTTGATTTGTTTTACATTATATATTGTATTTATATGTCTGTTTTATAGCACTCAACCACAACCAACTGCCTGTCAGGCGATGAAGGACAAGCGATGCTGTTGGACCAGAGGAAAGGTTTTGGGCGGCAGTTCCGTGCTGAACACCATGCTCTATATCCGGGGAAATAAAAGGGATTTCGATCAATGGGCTGACTTTGGAAATCCAGGATGGTCCTACGAGGAGATCCTTCCCTATTTCAGGAAGTCTGAGGATCAGAGGAATCCCTACTTGGCCAGGAACAAGCGCTACCATGGAACAGGTTAGTCTTTGGATATCAAAAAAGATCATTAAATGTTTTATTAGCAACAAAAAATCTTTAATGTTTATAACACAAATTCTTGAAAACCTCAAAATTCTTTTAATTTAGTATAAACTTTTAGCAAGTTGTTGCCACAAATCTTTTCTCTTTGAACAACTTTAAATGTCTTCTGAATAGTCTTTGCAACACCATAAATAAATCACAGTGGCCATAAATCTTTCTTTTTTTTCGAAAGCAGTAGCACCAACTTTTTAATTTCTAAAGTGAATTTCAAGTGAGATAGAAATTTGTGGGAAAGCGAGAACATTAAAAAAGCTTGTTAAGCAAATGATTTGTGGTTTTTAAATTTTACTGATAAATAAATTTAGAAATTTAGTTCGGATAAATGTTTTCCTAAATTTTTTACAAAGGCTAATAAGACATTTTGATCTGCACATCGAATAAATCTTTTAATTTTTTGTAATGCATAATAATGTAATATAAATCTGATTTCCAGGTGGCCTTTGGACGGTGCAGGATTCCCCCTACAACACACCAATTGGACCGGCTTTCCTTCAAGCTGGCGAGGAAATGGGCTACGACATTGTGGACGTGAATGGAGAACAGCAGACGGGCTTCGGTTTCTACCAGTTCAACATGCGACGCGGTTCCCGCAGCTCGACGGCCAAGTCATTTCTGCGACCAGCTCGCCTGAGATCCAATCTCCACGTGGCTTTATTTTCGCATGTGACCAAGGTCCTAACCGATCCCCACACAAAACGAGCGACGGGGGTTCAGTTTATCCGCGACGGAAGGTTGCAAAATGTCTACGCCACCAGGGAGGTGATCCTATCGGCGGGTGCCATCGGATCACCCCATCTAATGATGCTCTCGGGCATCGGACATGGTGAGGAGTTGGCCAGAGTGGGCATCCCGTTGGTGCAACATCTTCCCGGAGTTGGACAGAATCTACAGGATCACATTGCCGTGGGCGGAATAGCCTTTCTCATCGACTATCCCATTTCGATTGTGATGAAGAGGATGGTGAATATAAATACAGCTCTGCGATATGCCATCACCGAGGATGGACCCTTGACCTCCAGCATTGGTTTGGAGGCGGTGGCTTTCATTAATACAAAGTATGCGAATGCCAGTGATGATTGGCCCGATATGAACTTCATGATGACCTCGGCATCGGTGATGTCCGATGGCGGCAGTCAGGTGAAGACCGCCCATGGACTAACCGATGAATTTTATCAGGAGGTTTTCGGCGAGGTGAACAATCGCGATGTCTTCGGGGTGTTTCCCATGATGCTGAGACCCAAAAGCAGGGGTTACATTAAGTTGGCTTCGAAGAATCCCCTGAGATATCCACTGCTATATCACAACTACCTCACGCATCCGGATGATGTGAATGTTTTGAGGGAGGGCGTCAAGGCGGCGGTGGCCATGGGAGAAACTGAGGCGATGAAGAGATTTGGCGCGAGATTCTGGAGCAAACCTTTGCCGAATTGCAAGCACCTGACTCTGTTTACCGATGAGTATTGGAACTGCTTCATTAGGCAGTATACGATGACGATTTACCACATGAGTGGCACGGCCAAGATGGGTCCACCTTCGGATCCCTGGGCTGTGGTGGATCCCCAGCTGAGGGTTTATGGCATTCCCGGTTTGAGGGTCATCGATGCCAGCATTATGCCGGCGATTACGAATGGCAATATCCACGCACCCGTCGTGATGATTGGGGAAAAGGGTGCCGACATGATCAAGCAACTCTGGTTGACCCCAACGACGGGACCTTCGGCGGGCGGAGGTCAAGGTCAGGGTGCAAACCCCCCGCCACCTCGAACCCAGTGGCGTAGTAGAAGATCGTTAAACGCCACGGAAACATTCAGTGAAAATGCGGATGTTGGAATATCACCAGTGCTTCAATGGCCTCTGCCAAGGTCATAGTGATTTATACGAGGGGGGTTATTTGTTCTAGGGGGTCAGCGAGGGGTCAAATGGGGGTCTGTGTTTCACTGGGGGGTTAGCACAAGTTTCCGCCTTCGAAATAAATTTAATTTATTAAGCTTTACTTGCTTCTTATTCCTAATGTCTTGCACTCTTCAGACAAAAAACAAACAAAAAATATATTTTACGAGTAGATATTATCTCCTAAACAAAACCCCTGACCCCTCCACCCATGACCTTAGTCACTTAAGCGCTTCATGTAAATATCGAGTCATTTATGCTAATTCTTACATTTTTTTTAAATATCGCTCGTCTGTTTGTGTGTGTCTAATCCAAATGTGTATTTTTTTGACTTTACTTTAATTGTTTGTTTGACGCCGCGTACACTTGGAGTACCTCAATTAGTCCATAAGTCGAAGATTACGATTACGATGCAAATGTTTGATTAGTTCTTAAATGTAAACGAACTCAATAAATCGAATAACGACAAATATTAGCTCGTGTGTATGTTTATTGAACCTCTGTTGATTTTGATTTGCACATCGTAATTCAAAGAAACTCTGATAAAAAATTGAATACAATTACAACTTTTTTAAACATCAAGAGGATTATGATTCCATTATCTGGTTGACTTAAAGGATTAATTTTATTTTGCGCTTGGGAAAGTTACACACTTAAATACTTTTCGCTTATAGTTGTAAAATAATTAATTTATTAAAATTATTAACCGATCAAAAGCTTTAGATATAAACACTGATAAGTAAGTGCTTAAAATGTATAGTTTATCCCGATTTACTCACAGTTTGACATCGGCTAACGATTTTTTATAATCCTACAGTTTGAAATTCACCATTAAAAGCTTACGCAAAGCTTACCTGTAATGAAAGATATAAAACGAGATTATTAGTAGGCAAACATTTTTCAAATGAGAGCTTAAGATATCTCAAAAGTTGGGCTAAAACGGACTTAAAGTTGTTGAAGCTTTTGGAAAGCTGCCACCTTTACAAGCCAAGTTTAGAGAAGCTTTTAATTGGGCCAAGATAATGTAGAGCAGTTCCTAATAATATTATATTTGAAATTAAAAAGTAAGGCTTATCAAATATTATTGAGGTATATGAATGAGATATACATTATTAAAAATATTAAAAGTGCAACAAGTGATTTGAATTCTTTAAAGATCGATAAAATATATACAAAACAACTATTTTATTCGAAATTCCAAATTTTTCAAAAACTAATTTATGTAAAATGCACAGTTAGTTAATAAATATTGAAGATGATGTTTTTGTGGTATTACATAACCCATGTACTGGATATATCAGTCCTCAAAAACGCGCAAGGAAGCATTATGCAACCCTATAACCAATGCAGTTCCTCATTTTTAACGTCGGATATTTTCCAGCGGATCTTAGCAATTCGATGCGGTTAAGCGCGCTAATGCCAATGCCATAATCCAATAATCTCCCTTCGGCAAATTAATTGCAGTGGCTTACAATTTCATTTACGACTTCGGTTACAGCCGATGATGATTGCAATTAAGTGCACATTAAAAATCGCAGCAGTTAACGGTGCGTAGAGGGATAATAAATAATTCCCAATTGAATAATGCATTTTGGCGGGCTCCAATAATTTGTTAACAAAATGCACAACAAATCAAGGCGGTGTGCTTGGTTAATTGCCGCAGGCCTCGGGTTTTTTGCCACAGATCCCAACTATTGTTTTTGGTTTTTGTTTTTGTTTTAATGTTACCACTACCATTTTCTTACACTTGGGTCGCGGAAGACGGCCATAAATCTGAGCCACATGGCCGGCTAGATTCCATCTCCATGTGCAACGCAAAGAGCCCATTTTAAAGGCCGATCCCAATTCCAATTGCAGCGCTCTCAAGTGCAACGCATAAATATTTATGCTGCAAAGCAATGACCGTCCAAAATTTTGCAGACATCTGAACAAAAATGAAAGTTGCCAGCAACCGGGGGGCTTCTCGGCCCCCTCAGATCCCCCTCCATCAGCTCCTGGCCCAGCTGCTCCATTTCAAGACTCTCCACTTTTGCCCCCACCCCGTGGAACACTTGCAGAAAATTATGCAAGGTTACATTTGTCACTTAAGATCAGGTAAAGATTTCCGGGACAGTTAAGGTTAAGACTTCCAACCAAAAATGATTAATTAATATTAATAAAATTATAGTAGTTATTTATTCTTATAAATTCGGTTGGTTTCGGAGTAAATTTAAATACAATAAGATTTTTAAAAATATGTTTAGGTACTTGATAATAAGTTAAAGAACTTAATTTTTTTAATGAAGTAAAAAAATACCTTTTAGTTTTAATTAAATTTCTTCCAGTGCAATGTCAAGCTCAAAGTTGGGTTTTTACCTTAACTTTTGGCCTGGTTGTCGGAAGCCGGCAACTTGCAGAAATATATTTGCGATCACAGCGGAACAACAAGCTGCGCCGCTCTGCTGGCGAAAATCATTCCCCCTCTCCCCTCACAAATTTATTTTGGTCGCTGATTTGCATAGAGTTCAATGGGGGGCAATTGCACCTGATTGTGCCCCCACAGATCGTAGGGTTCACAGAGTTGTTCAACTCTTTGACTCGCCTAATGAACGAAGCGAATGTGATGGATTTATTTCGAGTAGGTTGTGGTGGGCGATTTGGGGGAAAAGTTAAGCATAAAGCGAATGAGTTACATTACAAAACGTTTATCAAACTAGCTAATTTAATAAAGGTACAGAACCAAAGAAAAAAACCATTTATGTTTATTCCTTTGATTTTAATATTTCCTTTAAAAAGTATTGTAAGTATCATTGAATATCTACAATATTAAAATGCAAATTATTAAAAAATTATATTTATAACAAGGCAATATAAAAAACAAGGAAGACAAGCAATATCAGCTTGGTAAAAACTATTAAAGCCAAAAAAAAAATGATCTTTAAAATATTGTGTTGTGAAAGATAAGAGAAAATATCAAATATTATTAGTACTTTTGTGGATTGTTGACAGTACTGCAATACCGGATTTATTTCCCAGCCTCAAGTACTCTAAACGATTTCGGTACCGCGCACTTTTACCCTTCGATCAAAAGCGACTGGAGTACGAGTAAACAAACCGGAAATCTCCATCTTTGGACCCGATCTTTATGGCCTTGTTGGTATTGGACCCCAGTTAAACGCCTAACTTTTGGATTGGGAATCATGAATAATAAAACGGTAAGTCGATTGCCAGACTTGTAAATCGCTGGCGATGATCGCTTCGAGCAGTTTTGGCTCAGCCAAAGAAAGCCTCCAAACCGGCCTCACAGTACTTCTCTTTTCCTCTTTTCTTTCTCCCCCCTCAAGTGTGTCGCTCTCTTTCTGATTGCCATCCCCGTCTCTTTCTACGAAATCCCGAAAAGCTCTGGCGTTCGCGACGTGGTAACAAACGTTGAATGGAGCACGTAGCTGAATGACAAAAGCCGAAGACAGCCGAAGCCCCAAAGAAATGGAAACGAAATCGAAAGTGCAGCCATCTCATGGTCATGCACTGGAAAAAATCAGTTTCAAATAAAGTTTTCTTCTTGTATGTAAATGTACGAATCTGTAGATTCTGTAGGTTAAGATACCAGAAATATCTTTGAACTTGGATTAAAAAAAGTTACCATAAAGATTAAACATAAAAGCTTGTTTCTTCTCTTAAATCTTAAATCTTAATATCTTAAATATCCTAAGCTTAAAATGCTTAGCAACATTTCCTTTTTTCCTGGTAAAAAACTCATTTTTATTACCCTACATTTTCTTTAGAGTGTAACAATTTTGTAAGCAGCTTTACTGATGTTTCTCAAATCTTTTTCACTCTCTCCGTGGGCTTGAAGCTCGCACCGTTTGCCTGCGTTTCGCTTGGACTCCACAGACATTGTTGTTATCATTGGCACTGCGAGGGAAAAGCTTTCGAAGGCCGTCCGAAAAGCTGCTGCTCCAATGCTGCCATCGTCTTGACCGTCTTCGTCCAATGTGGCCAAAAGCAAAAGGCGAATTGCTCATTGAACAAGACGAGCTCGTGGCGTGCGTTTCGCAGGGAGCGGCGAAATTAAACCCAAATCATATCGAAAATATCGAGAGTGAAACGAGAAGCGCCGTGAACAATTATCACTTGAAGAAATTACAGTGCAATCAATCGTACTTTGTACCTTATTTTTTTTTTTTTTTTTTTTTCTATTATTATTACTGTTGCATTTTCTGTTGCTGCTTTGAGATGAAAGATGGCAGCAGCAGTCATGGTAATCGTGAGTGAGACAAAGGAAAGTGGCAGGCAGTCGCGTTCAGTTTAAAGCCGCCACACCATAAGAAAAATATAAATAAATAATCTGCTACAGCAGCGGCAGCAACAACAACTTTATAACAGCAGCACTGGAAGCAGAGCAGCGGCCACAAAAATAAAACAAAAACCGAGAGGCAAGTGTAAAAAACCACAAGTGCAGACCAATAAATCTTTACGGAAATGTGCATTAAAATAAGTGCATGTCTGTTTTGCATAAACTTTACCTATCAACATAGATATATGGAGTCTATAGGTATTTGAAATACCATACAAATTGATTACAAGTCGGCATAACAACAATCATTTCCTAATTACTTATATTGTTCAAAAGGTTCCTAAAATTTAAGGAACTCATTTATTCTGGGTGTAATTTAATTAAGTAAATTTACAATGTTTTTAAAACAGCTTTCTTATTTTACATGTTTATAAACTTATATTTATAAACTTATCATAACACGTACAATTTTGTTTTCTATTTTTAACTCCTCATGTGGATAACAGTTTTATACATCATAATAAATACAAAATATGGACAAAGTCAAACTTTTACAACTTGAACAGCAACAGCAGTTAATAAACCCACAAATAATTATTATCTCGTACATTAACACCTATTTGCATGCAAACACAACAAAATGCTGCGATCATTTTCACTTTTATTTTATGTAACAACTACAATTTCTGGCCCTTCAACGAAGAAGTAGCCAGAAAAATAAAAAGAGGGCGCCAAAAAGTAAAAAAAAAAAAAAAAAAAGTAAGATAGTAAATATTTACGAAAAGGAGGCGAGTACTGTGGGCCAGATTCTTATGTAAGAGAAGACTCCTCCCATCCACGCCTTGCATTTTGCTTTATTTGTTTGTGGTCTATTCACACTTTCTACCGCCGCCGAATCGGTGGCATTACTCCACCGATCCACCGATCCAGCGATCTGGCGATCCAGCAGTCCAGCGATCCACCGCCTCACACCTCTGTGCGAATTATTATCAATTTGTGCACGTCGCAGCCATAAAGAGGCAATCATGGAGCGCGTGTATCGCCACTGGCACTGCATATGCATACGAGTCGGGCAATTAAAAGTGCCAAGCAGGCCAGCAAGAAAGTGCTGCTATATAACCATATGGTCGCTTCATGGAGGCAGAGAGAAAAGTGGAATCGAATGGGGAATACCCTAGGAAGTCTGATAAAAATATAGAGGAATTTCTTGTTGGGAGGAAAAATGCGTGTATTTCTTGTTGATCAGCAAAGCGAAGATTGTTTTTACCAGAGGTAGAATTTTAATTTATATGTACAGAATTATTATGTTAGTATAAGACTTTAGTTACTTTTTGTGACCCCTTGAAAAATATAAAAGGAATAAAAGAAACTAAAGGTTTATCAGAGTTTTGATGTAAGCAAGAATTGAAAAAAAGTTAGTGAAATAAATCTAATTAAATCTAGGACACATATTTGATTAAAATCGTACTTTCTATAAACCTTATAAATAAAAATTAATGACTTTAATCAGCAATTGAAATATAATAGGACAACAATTTACATATCTTTAATAACTTAAAGACTAAACTTTTTACCTCCACCTTTATTCCCATTTTTCAATAACCATTAAAGACGCTTTTTCTACCTTGAAACCCCCAACAATTGATTAATTCCAAGGAGGTAAACGATGTAATTAGTCAATTTTCAGGTGTCGCCCGGCAACTGCAGCACACGTAGTAGTACGGAAATGCGCCATGATCGTTTCCTTCAAACTTTTATGTTTTCGCGTATGAGTTTGTTAGCCAAGTTGAGCTTCTTTAATGTGTCACGGTACCGTGACTCGACCGATTGTCGAGAAAGCGTTCAGGCGCGGTAAAGTGGCTGAAATTACTTACCACTTTCGGGCTGAATTTATGTGCGATGCGACCCACAAAGGGCAGGGCAGACCGAAGAAACAAACAAACAAGCACACATAAATCCGTGAAAATGTCATCAATTATGGGGCATAAAGTCTGGCCATAATTAAAAGCTGTCAGATCATAATTGGCAGCCAGTTGAGGCCCGAAAGATGAAAAAAAAAAGCAAACTAAGCCAGAAACTTCGGCCAGTTGCTAACAATGTGTGAATTGCATAATGACGACTCGGCCAACGAAATAAAATGGATGAATCGACATCAACGTGATGTAAAAATGCCCGAGAAAACTTAGCCCAGTATTGCGTCAAATAAAAAAAAACATATATATAGACGAGTATATACATCTTGGAGGGTTTTCCTTTGTCACTCCGCCCAAGGGCGTTGCATAAATTAGCGGGCAGTGTTGCGTCTGCCTTTAACGGGGATTTGAGTGAATGAATTTCTCGCATTTTGGATTTAATTTCTGCCGCTGCCGCTGATGATGTTTGTTTTTTGTATTTTCTGTATTTTTTTTTATGTTAGTTACATGGCAACCGTCGAGCCGTTCAAATCGCTCAAGCGAAATTTCCAGGCAAAAAATAGTTATATGCACATATATCTATCTCAATTTAGTTAACAGCATTTTGCGCATTGCTAAAAATAGACAACTATTTTCGGTGCGGTTAATTAATCGAGAGCAGTTCCAGTTACTTTTGTTTTTTAGTGTTGTGACAGAGGTACCCTCAAAAAATATAAGAAAAAAAAAACTGAACACGAGTAAAAAAAAAAAAGGGAAAAATAAAATAAATATTACATACAAAAGTGATTACATGAAATACGAGTACCGTATGTAGGAAGCTCGATGTCGCTTGGCTTTCACTGGGATCGCTTTAAATCGAGAGCGCGGGGGGAAAACTGGAAAAACCACACAAAGCAACAACAACAACAACAACAAAATAAATAAATAAAAAATAAAAAACAACAACAGGAGCTGGACGGCAATTAATGCCCGATGCCGCCAATGGACAAACAAAATAACGAAATTGCATTTTACTGGTCGAGACATTGAGACATTCAAGACTCCCGAGAGACAAGAGACAAAATAAATGTCGAGGATTTATTATTTTTTTGTTTTTGGTTTGCCATTTTCTTTTTCCGCCTGCCAAACGGCATTGAACTTGAAAAACAAGCCAGCGAGAGAAAGAAAAATAGAGAAATATCAAGGCGGGGAAAAAACAAAAACAGTGTAGAAATGAGAAGAAAAAAGAGAGAAAAGAAATGAATGGCTGGCTAATGAGATGCAGCTGACATCATTTGAATATTTATATTTTTTTAATTCAATTTCTGTGCGATTTGATAACGTTTTATAGCCGTAGTTTTTCGTTTTTCGTTGCTTGCGAAAAGTGTAAACAAGTTCGTTGCCTAAGTCTTTTGTTTTGGCTGCGCGTGTGACAGCGCCATCTGTTGGCCAATGATTGCCAAACTGCAGGCTTTAAGTAAGATATACATACGCATATATAGCGGCTTCCGCTAGACAATAATGCTTGCATGTTGCTGATTTTCGAGCCAGTTTATTTTTGTTTTTTTCATTTTTTTTTCGTTGTGTTGTGGATTTTGTTACTTTTTATTCGTTTTCGTTTTCGTTTGGCAAGTCATGCAACAATGGCAAACATGTTAACAAGAGACCAAAAAGAGGCAGCTACAATGCTCATCAGTTACCCATCATCCATAAATGGATGAATGATAGCGCCGCTCCCACGCTCGATTGTCGTTATCTGGAAATGGATGGAGAGCTGGTTGCTCCATCAATGGATTTGGCTGGGAAATACTGAAGTACTGCGAACCGAGCCGAAAAATGATTGCTATAAAAACCTATTGAGATAGTGTCGTAAATGTGGCCGTTTGAATTAATGAGGCTTAAATTTTTACATGACTATCGATCAGTTTGTATTCCGAATTCAATTTGTTAAGCAATTAAATTTGATTTGATGATTTACACTTAATGAACAAAATGATATGGGTATTAAACTAATTGTCAACGAACTGTGTTCAATAAAAACAATTAATACTAAACAGTAAAATTTAAATTAGTAATTATTTTTATATAAAACATATGTTTTATGCAAAGATCCGCCCTAATGAGTTTTCCATAACTTTTTAAAATCTAAACATTATTTATTTTTCTGGGATATAAAGGTGATAAAGTAGAATTTAAGTAATTGAAATTTTCTTTACTCCATTAAAAAGATATTATAGATTAGATATTTATATTTTGTAGATTTTTTAATAACTTGTATTTTTTTCTGCCTTGCAGTTCTGTTCATATTTCTGTCAAAATATGGGCCAAGAGATATCGCAGCAGCAAAATCAGCCACACCAACAACAACACCAGCAGCACCAACAACAATCGCCCCACCACAAACGACAGCCGCAGCGAAAGAGCTTCAGCGGCATTAACAACATCAACAACACAAGCAACAACAACAACCAACCGATCTATACACCCGCTAGCCACCTCTCCAGCAGCTCCTCCTCCACCACCACCAACGAATATAATCCGAGTAATCCGAACAGTAACAACAATCAGAACTATCGACTGCGACACAAGTACAATTTGAGCAAGCAGACCTACGAGAGGAGTAAAGTTCCGGTGAGTGGAGCGAGTACAAGTCAATCGGATACGGATTCGCACTACGCCAAGCTAAATCTGCAAAGGAGCAGTTCGCAGAGTTCGGATAGCGGGATATATAACTCGTCGTGCCACTGCAGTTCCATATCCTCGATATCGGCGGTCAGCAGCAGTGCCAGCAGCAGTCGCAGTAGCAGCAGCTCAAGTCGCGGCTGTCCGAGTTCTTTGGTCTCGAGCAAATCGAATCGATCGCTGGACAAGCAGAAGCACTACTTGAGCCACCACCTGTACATCAAGTCGTATCTGGACATCTTGGAGGAGGACGAGCGGGCACGGGCGCACTTCAAATCCGCTCGTCCCGGCGGCATTCGCAACTACACTCCAAAGATCTTGGCCAGCGGCGGGGAATCGATTGCCTCCGGGAACTCTAATACGAACACAGCCTCATCGGCTGCCCTTTCATCGAGTGCTCCGGCTCATTGTTACCGGGAAAGTGCCGGAAAGCAAAGGAATTCGGTGGGCAACGCTGCTGGTTCGGGATCGGGAAAACACTGCCAGGAGGATCCGTGGATTTGACAATTACTGAAACATGGCGTTTGGCACAATGACGTCTTTGCTTGGCATGATCCCGCTGCTGGCGATCGGAATGAATTTCTATCGCTATCAAAGCGTCGATCCCGAGAACAAGGTTCAGGAGCCAACCGTCGTAAGTTGGGTCTCCCTTTCGCACTATATCTTCTATAAGATTTTAGAACGGAATATCTAAAGCGAAAAACACTTTTGAGCTAAAACTTTGATCCCATTTAATTTACAAAGCATAAATAAATATCTCCCAGTTTAAATATAAATCCATTGTAACAATAATTCTACACCCAAAATCCCATAAAATTGTTTCCATTAAATATTGTTTCATTTTGCCAATTTAAAATGGTTTTATCTACCTCCCAACTTCTCTGTAGCTTTCCTTTTCTAAATTTAAATACCAACTTACTTATATAATTCAATACACTTTGATTTATAGTTTTCTATTTTAAGCTTGTAATTATTATTACCTCAAAGGCATATTACCAAAACCCTTTAACCATATTACAATAATTATTCATGTTCATGTTCACTTCGTTTACATTTCAGTAGCACTAATGCCACGTTAATCATTTAAAACGCTATCGTTTTTTGTTTTAAATAGATCATTATCATTTTGTTTGGCTACCATTTCTTTGTAAATATATTTATTGTTTGCCCATTTTTGTTTTGTCTGCGGGTATTCAATAAAAAAGCATTTCTATTTGCTGTGTCTGCATATCAATAAAATATATTATAGTAAAATATTACTATTTTATTCACTTTGTTGTTCAATTTGCAACTATAACTCTTTATGCTTTTCAATGTTTTACTTCTGTGTCTACAAATTCTAATACAAAATCATTTATATTTTGTAACCTGATTCGATGAAGAGTTATAGTATTTATTACTTTATCATTGGTCACTATTGTTATTGGATTCTAATCCCTTTTGAAATCCCTATTTTTCAGATACGTCGTCAGTATGATTTCGTGGTGATCGGCGGCGGATCCGCTGGCGCTGTGGTGGCCAATCGCCTGAGCGAAGTGCGCAATTGGACAGTTCTCCTCTTGGAAGCCGGTGGCGATGAAACTGAGATCTCGGATGTTCCTGCTCTGGCGGGATACCTTCAGCTGACCGAATTGGACTGGAAGTACCAAACCACACCCTCGTCCACTCGCCAATATTGTCAGGCGATGAAGGGCGATCGCTGCTTTTGGCCAAGGGGAAAAGTTCTCGGCGGCAGTTCGGTTCTCAATGCGATGGTCTATGTTCGCGGCTCCAAGAACGACTACAACCACTGGGCCTCGCTGGGCAATCCTGGCTGGGATTACGACAGCATGCTGAAGTACTTCCTCAAATCGGAGGATGTGCGAAATCCCTACTTGGCCAAAACGCCTTACCATGAAACTGGTGGCTATCTCACCGTTCAGGAGGCTCCCTGGCGAACTCCCCTCTCAATTGCCTTCCTGCAGGCTGGAATGGAAATGGGTTACGAGAATCGGGACATAAATGGCGCCCAGCAAACGGGATTCATGCTCACACAAAGCACAATTCGTCGTGGAGCGAGATGTTCCACTGGGAAAGCATTCATACGCCCCGTTCGCCAGCGTCAAAACTTAGATGTTCTCCTTCATGCCGAAGCCACCAGGATTATATTCGACAAGCAAAAGAGGGCCATCGGAGTGGAGTACATGAGAGGTGGTCGCAAGAACCTGGTTTTTGTGAGGAGAGAAGTTATCGCAAGTGCTGGAGCTCTGAATACCCCGAAGTTACTAATGCTTTCTGGAGTTGGACCAGCGGAACATCTGCAGGAGCACAATATCCCGGTGATATCCGATCTGCCCGTCGGGAATAACATGCAGGATCACGTGGGTCTCGGTGGTTTAACCTTCGTGGTGGATGCTCCACTTACCGTCACCCGGAATCGCTTTCAAACTATCCCAGTTTCCATGGAGTACATTTTAAGAGAACGTGGTCCCATGACATTTTCTGGAGTAGAAGGCGTGGCCTTCTTGAACACCAAGTATCAGGATCCATCGGTCGATTGGCCAGATGTCCAGTTCCACTTCTGTCCCAGTTCCATAAACTCAGATGGCGGCGAGCAGATTCGCAAGATATTGAATCTGCGAGATGGTTTCTACAACACGGTTTACAAGCCGCTGCAGCACAGTGAAACCTGGTCGATACTGCCTTTGCTTCTGCGCCCCAAAAGCACTGGATGGGTGCGCTTGAACTCGCGGAATCCACAGCAGCAGCCGAAGATCATACCGAACTACTTTGCCCACCAGGAGGACATCGATGTGCTGGTCGAGGGCATTAAGTTGGCTATAAACGTATCCAATACGCAGGCCTTCCAGCGTTTTGGCTCCCGATTGCACAATATTCCGCTGCCGGGTTGCAGGCATCTGCCTTTCCAATCGGATGAATACTGGGCGTGCTGCATTAAGGAGTTCACTTTTACGATTTATCATCCGGCGGGAACTTGTCGAATGGGTCCAAGCTGGGATGTCACAGCGGTTGTGGATCCCAGACTCCGAGTTTATGGCGTATCCGGTGTTCGGGTTGTGGATGCCAGCATTATGCCAACGATCGTTAATGGGAATCCCAATGCCCCGGTCATCGCCATTGGGGAAAAGGCCTCCGATTTGATTAAAGAGGACTGGGGCGCCAGGAGGGCGAGCAATTCGGCATCTTAGCTTCAAATGTTTATCGCTAATTTATGTTTCTACTAGTCAAATGTGGATTAACTGATGTAATATTATCGCTATATATTTTCGTTTTATCGACTTCCTCGTTTCGCCTTCGCCGCTTAATTTATGCTTAGTTATTCGGTTAAGTTGAGTTTAAGAGTTCCCACATACATTTTTTTTAATATTTTATCAAGCATTTTAATAAATATTTATGTATTTATGAAAAAAATGATAGTGTTTTTTATTTTGGTCATTTAGTTGTACATGTCGGCTACTTGATTTCCTTAATGTTGGACGGACATTTATTAAAGTGTTCAGATAACAAATTGTGTGGTAATTTATTTAAAAAAATCGTTTGAAATCGTTTTATTGGTTTTAATCATCATTAAATGTATTTAAATCATTTAAGAATAATTTTACTTCGTAATACGGGTCGGCTACTTGATTTGTATCTACCTGATTTGTCAAATTCGTTGTATCTACATAATCAACACATTATACACAAAGGATTCCTAAATTTACATGTATTATTACATGAAAATTTGTGTGTGTTTCACACTTTGGTAGATCAATTTTTCTTTCCACTTAATTTTTCTGTTTTTAATAGCCAAAGAGGTGTCGTAAAAAATATAATTTTTTTTATAGGGTACACAAAAGTGTATTTTATGCAAGCCCTGCCAATATACTTTTTTATAATAATAAAAAACGTTCGTTTTTTCCAAAAATATGTGAACGGTAAGTAAGCAAATGCACAAACCACTCTTAACACTTAGCCAAGACTGAAACCCCAGAGAAAGTCAAGTCACGAAATTCCCAATTTCAATTTGGCTTTTCGATTTGCCTTAAGTGCTGGGCGGTATTTTGAACCCGCCCCTTTTGGCCAGCTTTTTCTGGGCTGCCCGCTCTTCCGCTTTTCTAAAGCCAAATGTCAAAAAAAAAGTCAGTATAATCAACCATTCCCCCGCAAAGACCCCTGAAAAAGTATAAACTCTGCATTTATGATATGCTGATAGTTTCCGTGTTCCCCCGCCCTCTTTTTCTCAATATTTTTTTTTTCATATTTTCTTAGCCGTGGGCGTAGCTTGATAGCCAGGCTTCCGTGTTGTGCCATTAAAAACAGTTTCATTTTCGCTTTCGTTGAAGCGTTCAAGTGTGCCAAGGTTACCAGAAATTTGTTGACCACATAGAGCTCTCGGCACTCGGCACGTTTTATTTCGTAGGTGTCAGTTGAAAGTTTTTGGGCAATGGCCTGTCGACAATTATCGACTGCCAGCGAAAAAGCCGGACAATTGCGAATTTCGCATGCTACCTCGAGCACCAAAAGAAGCCCAAAAGCAAGTTGCACACCCCCTTTCCGGTAATAACATTGCAGAAATCATAATAACAAAGAAACCGAGTCTATAAACCACCCAAGGCGATGTCCAGACTTCTTACATAAGGCCCCTTTTCGATGGTACACAGTGGGAAATAACTAATAAATAAATGAATGCAAACAATGCCGGGCCAAATATTTGATTTGATTTTAACGAAACGACAAGTCATAGGCGATCGCTTGCGAATGGAAAGTGTTGTGCCAAAGATGATGAAGAAGTGCGGGGAGCCAAGATGATGATGACACACTATATATATACGTATAAGTATATCGGAGCGGCATTAAAGATCGGGGGACGTGAGGTGAATTCATCGGTGTCTGCGGTCAGTGAAACGATGGCTCGGTCACACGAAATTGGGTCATTAAACCGCCAAGAGTTCGCTTCGATCGATGAGACCCCTTGAAAAAAAGAGCCGGCAGATGAGGTAAGATAGGAAATGCACAAAACGCGGGGGCGGGGTTAAGATATGGGTGAACGTGGAGTTACAGTAGGCTATTGTGATTGATATCTGCAGATAGGGAAATTTATTTTAATTTTTATGTATAGTTAATAGGGCTGAATAATGGATGTGTGCTTCAATATCGAAATAAAGTGATAGATGGGCTATTTAAAATCAATTAAATAAATAGTAAATCAATCAAGTGACTATTTAAGTAAATAAAATTAACCCATTGAAATAAGTTAAAATTTTGGTAAGTTTAATAACAAATCCTTTTGGTAAACTGCTATAAAAGATGATAGTGGAATGGGTGAATAAATTATTTAATAGAAGAATTATACACATTATAAAACAAGTACTTTACGCACTCTTAATCAAAGCAAATGGATGATCGAGTACAGCCCCCACTTAGAGTATTGAATAAATCAACTGAGATAATTCGAATAGAGTGAATCATTTCAGGCAATGGCTTTCAACGGTATTCATTTCGTGTATCTCATCAGTTCATGTGTGCATCGAATCGGAATTAATCATAATACTTGTCAAGAGGAATTTGCATTAGCTCCACTATCTTCCCCTTTCCCCCTTCTTCTCCTATATCTTATACTTTATACTCTCTTCTCCCACGAAGCCATCGCCATCCTCGTTAGCTCTTCAGTGCAAACAGAGATACGTGATGTCGAACACACGCGACAAATCGCACAAAAAAAAACAGATACGAATGAAGAAAACAAATCCAAGACTGGTTGGGTTTTTTCTCTTTTTTTTGGGGAAGAGGCTTGGGGAGTTACAGGAGGGATTGAATAATCTCTGTTTAATTTCGGTCAATTATGCCGTGCCTCAGTCCGCCGACGAAGTTGCAATTGCAACGAAGAAAAACCAAAAGCAAAGCCAACACAAACCAAACCGTAAAAAAAACCGAATACACCGAATAAACCGAATAAACCGAACCGATCCGAACCCGAAATCGTTCAAGGCATATAATTTCAATTGCAAACTGGTAAGAAAAGGAGGGGGTGAGTATATGGAGGAGCATTGTCAAAAAAAATATCAGACAGCAGCCGCTTATGTCATAGATGGGGCAAGGTGTTAGGTGCCGCGCCTCACGTAGGCAATCAAAATCCGAAATCCGAAATCCGAAAACCGAACTACGAAATCCAAATCAAAAGCCAAACATCCGCGCGGTTAACTAACGAGGCTTAATCCAAAGTTAAAGCCACTTGCTGCCCTTTTTAATTCGAGCTCTTGTTTGGTGGAGCCTTTCGCCAGATGGTGCACTTAAATAAAGTGAATAGCCACCCCCTCTTGAAGTCCGAAAAACAGATCCAATTGAGTTTAAGGAGCTCTTTGCCAGAGCGAAGGTTTCGATACCCTTGAAAAGGGTATGGGTTTTTATTTATTCCATAAAGCGAACTACCTAAAGAAAGTTTTTTAAAAATGTTTATATATAATAATATACTTAAGGGGGTCTTCCTATGTGACGGCCTGTTTTTTAGGGTTATTTTAGGATTTTTTTTCTACGATCAGTAAATATTTAGAGCTTCAAGTTTTTTATCATTTATTAACACATATTTGGACAGTATAAATAAAAAATTTCAGCAAAAAATATTCGGTCAAACTAGAGTTACAGCGCTCTGAACACCCCCGCCTCGAAAAAAAGAGCTCCCACTTCCTCCACGATTCCGGCTGATCGGCTTATCAGAAAAAAAAAAAATAAACGGCGTTTTAATTTGTAGGCTTAAATGCACGGAATGAACTACAATCAAATGAATATAAAAAAAATTGGATTTTTGATAGACATTTGAAAAAAAAGTTGCAAATTTGGCGTTTTTTTTTTGTTTTTTGCTATAAAAAAATCGAAGTTTTGAAAATTTTCGATTGATAATAGTTCATTCCATGCGTTTACATATATTGAGTGTGCCCTGTAAATTTCAAGTAATTCGGTCCAGCCGTTTCTGAGATACAATGGAGGAAAGTTTGAAAAACACAGTTTTGAGAAAAACGCGTTTAAAGTTTCTAACTGCCAACTCAGCGCTTCGAACCGCTCTTTCTTTTACCTGCTGTATCTTTAAAACGACTTCGAATTTTCTAAAATCGCTTTACTACCGTATTCTAGACATGTTAAGGGAGCAATTTATGAAAAAAAAAAAAAATCGATTTTTTCAACCCATCACATAGGAAGACCCCCTTAAAGTTTAATTAAATACAATATCTAGTTTTTTCGTCCTTTTCCTCATAACATTTTTATTATGATTATCATCAAAGGATTTTACTTTCAAGGGCATTCAAAGGCTGGTCAACAAATCAGTTTTTGTTTTTCTATGAGTTGCATTTTTTTTTGAGGGCGTTGCTATTTCAAATCGCCACATTCCCTTTTCAGCAAGCTTATCTCAATGGGTCCCACCTCCTTGCCCATGGCCCCTCTTTAAATTTATATATATTTGGGTGTACATATATATATATATAGGTGGTATATCCCTCTTCCCTGAGCACTAATTGCACTTTAACACCCAACACACAAAAACGGCGAGCCAAGAAACGAAGCGAAATGGGAAACGGACAGCAGTGAAATATTTCAACAGCTTACCTAAATCATGTTGTTGCTCTTTGCCGTCGCTGTGCTGTTTATTTTTTTTAGCTTTTTTGGCTCATGATTACATAAATTATACCCGTTGACAAAACACAGCCAGCCAGGTTGTGCCAGCCAATTGCCAAAGAGATCTCTCGCGAGCGGAGAAAAAATGAAGCAGAAGTAGAAAAACACACAGATTTTTCACAGCCATGTTTATGGGTTAATAACTTCATTTGGACATATTTTCTGGTCAGTTTGGCATCCCAGGAATGCAGCCAGCCAAGCGAAGACAGTTCTCCAGTTGAAACATATACTCCAAGGAATAAATAAACCCTTCGGACTGGATACTAATTAGCGGAAGTCTTTAGCCAAATTTTTTTGCGGTATTGTGGAAATTTTGTTTAGCTACCTTTCTTGTAAAACTCTTTTGTAATCTTTTTTCTTTATAAATTTATGGAAATGTGAGGATAGGTTTTCTGCTAGATTGTTTTAAATATAATATTTCAGAACAAGTTAGCAAATACTCCAAATAAATACTCCAAACGCATAATGTTGGGCTCTTTAAATTCTGAAAGAATTTTACGTATTTTATTAATTAATTATCAACTACTAATCGATAACTAATTACTAAATTACTTTTTGAGAATCATGATGTTCCAGTATATATATATTTTTAATGAGGTCACCTCTTTAACGTAATCTTTTATCAATCACTTTTCGAAACGTAACCTATTTTTGTCGACCATTTAGACTCAATTACCACCCGTCTGCTCTTCCTCTTTCCCCTTAGCGATTTGACCTTCTGCTTTTGTTGGCATAATGACCGCATCTTCTTCTTCTTCCTCCTCAAGCAGTTGGTAGCTCCAACTGTTGTACCGTTATCAGAGCTTCAAACTTGTTCGCCAGCGAACTTGTTCGATGTGCCAATAATATGCAACAGCTGTCGTTGTTGTCGTTGTCGTTGTTGTTGTTTCTGTTGTTGTTGCTTTCAGCTGTAGCTTTTCGGAATTTCGCGGCAAACGGATCGTTCAGTTGACTTCGTGCAACGCAGCCGCGCAGACGCAGTTAGCGGTTCCAGTTATCCGATATATATATATAAATATATATCCAGCATATATATTTTTTTTTGAGCATCACTATTTTTTTGCCAAAGGATCCCGTGACGTCGTTTTTGTGATCGATGTGCCACAAGTGCCAGGCTACGTGGGCTAAGAATTGCAAGTAAGCCAACAAAAATAAAAAAAATGAAGTGATGTGAATTGAAAGGCTAAAGTTTCGAATGCCTGTCGCCGGTTGCAAAAATAAAAAATAATAATAATAACAATAACGGGTGAAAAGAGTTCGACATGAAATGCACTCAAGTGCATAGTTTTTTTTCTCAATTTCATTTGCACAATCCACCCACAAAACGTTAAAATGAAAAAAAAACCACATTAAAGTATAAAAAACACGTTCAAGAAGACAAACAAACAAAAAAAGTAACATTACATTAACAATAAAGAAAGAGGGGCTTTGATAAGTAGGCTATATGTTGCAGCTACGGCAGCAACACTAACGGTTCGCTTGCCATTGTCATTGTTGCTGTGATGTTGCTGCTGCTGCTGTAACTCTTTCTTCTTCTTCTTCTTCTTCGTCATCTTTTCCCTTTTTTTTACTTTTTGCAACGCCAAAAGACAATAGAAAGATTTGTCTTTGCAGCAATAACTGGCAGCAACATCAGCTGCCGCAGCAACAACACCAACTATTGTTTGCTTTTTGAACATTATGCTCTTGTGTAGACAACGACAAAAAAATAAACAGAAAACAGAAAAAAAAGAAAGAAATTTGCATTTACATTAAAAAAGAAATGAGGTGTAGGGAGACGATGGCCACGCCCACTTCGCATAACTTCAGCGAACAGCAGCAACAACAATGCGCAGCAGCAACATCTTCGATAACAGCAGCAACATTTAAGTTAAGGCCTCAAGTCTGACACTAATGGCTTTTCCAACGGGCATTAAGTTAAAGGAGGCTTTTAAATTGCGGCTGCCTGATTTAAAACAGTCGTTAAAAATCATTGAATTTTGCAAGGCAGCAGTATTAAAACGCTTCAAATGATTACTTTCCTTTTAGCGTAAAATTAACTTTGTATATTTACGTTACTTAACTGCAATGTACACTTTTTAAGCAATCTCCTAAAAGTCGTTAATATCCTAATTTTATTCGATTTGATCGCCAGTGCATGCTTTTAATTAACATTTGGCACGCATCAGCAAAGCACAAATACACTGAAACAAATAAAGAGCTCAAAGGATTCAAACAACAATAATAAAAAAGCAATAAATGCTCTTCAAATCTTTCGAATTTCCATTGAATCAAAATAGAAAATTTTAACAAGAATTTTATAAAAAAAAAGTAAACATTCAAAATCAATTAAATTCTTTCTTTCCGTGCAGCAACAGTTGTTGCAAGCATTTCCCTGGGTGTTGTTGCAGCTAAATGAAATTTTCCGCTAGGTAAATAAGGCATTTTACTTAGCCGTGAGTACTATAATTAATTAATTACACCATTTCAATACAGTTAAACAGGCACTGTTTGCCGGGAATCTCTCGCTTCTGCTTTGGGCCAAACAAAGTCATTGACACAATGACATGTCTGCTGAAGAGCCAGAGCTGAAGAATTCAAATCCAGCCGGCAAATGGCAAATGGGTAAAATGGCAAAATGACTTTGCCACCTGCTGGCCAAGGTGACTGACACGAAATGACACAGACCGACATTGTAATCATGAACCCAACGACTTTATAACGATGTCGAGTGGCTAAATAACCAACTGAGTGACTGACTGTCTGAATGAATGAGAGAGTGAGTGAGTGAGTGAATGAGTGAATGACTGATGTCTGCGTTTGTTTACACTAAATTAGCGCACAAAATCGGCGGGCAAATCACTTTAATTGTCTCAATCATCGTGATAAAGTGGTCGGATGCGTGGGTGCTAAAAGTAGCAAAGTAGCAAATGGCAAAGCAAAGCAAACAAAGGTCTGAAGAAGGCTGATCAGTGATCAGTGATCATGGCCTTCAGCTGGACAGGAAGTCTAATTGGCTTACAGCCAAAGCTTGCAAATATAATAATCTCTATACAGCTGCGTTCAACATTATAGTTGTTGGCTTTACAATTTCAAGAAGGTTGTTATAGTTTATAATTTGTGTAACGGAGTATATTCCTGACGCAAAATATATATTTTTTGATATGAATATTTTATTTTTAAATTAAATTTAAATCAGTTTTCCTTCAATAATGGATTAAAATATATAAACCATGTAAACTCCAATCTTGCAAGACAATTAAATAGGAGTATTCATTTATAATTCTAATTCAAAATATATTTTTGCATTTCTACATTTATTAAATAATTTTAAAATTACAAAATAAATAAATGAATAAATTCCTGGACGATATTTCACAATCAGTGCAATTATTTTTATCTCTTTTCTTTTTGTAGAATTTTTTTAAAAATACTCCTCATACAATCTATATTTCTTCCCAAGTGCCTGCAAATATTTCTATTGTTTTGTAAACAGTTGTCTCTGTACTTTTTTGGCTCGAGCCTGAAAACACCGCTGTTTTTCTACCGCTGTAATGACGCATGTCAATAGCGGCTGAAAGGGGCGTGGCGAGGGGGGCAAAGGGGGGGCGAGGGGGGTGGCGAGGTGGGATGGATGATAACTCCGGGCCGGGCCAACAGGTTTACCTGGTCCCGGAGCCGCAAAGTAAACTTGTTTGCTGTCGCCGCTGACCCAATTTCGTGCAACTTTTTTCGACATTTTTACAACAATTTTGTTGTTGCTGCTGCCGCGCTGCCACTGCCCCGCGGAGGTTTTTCGCACAAAACAAATCACACACACACACACACGAAACAAAAAAAAACGAACCCTAAGAAAAGCAGAAAACATCGCCGATGAAATGGACCCGCAGCTTCCACTCTCGAGATAGCGAATCCAAGTCGGAATCCGAATCCGAAACCGAAATCGAATCCGTATCTGCATCTGCGGCAGGAAAGGTTTGATAGCCACCTGTTTTGTTTTTTTTTTGTTTTTTAAGTTTTTGTTGTTGTTATTGTTGTTGTTGTTTTGCGGTTGGCCCAGTCTTACTGGCCTTTCACTTGGCCACCGAAAGAGCTTGTTTTTGCGGTTGGCAATTGAAGTGATAAGAAATCGACATTGAAATTGATTATGTCAGAGTGACCGGGTTTCATGGGGAAATTAAGAGAGAAAGAGAGCGGAAAATGTATCTTATTTTTTACTAAAAAAAATACAACAAATGGGCTTTAATTTGGTTTATAAATCCATAAACTTGTCAACCCAAGAACAAAAAGTTTGTGGTTATAATAGCTTAAATGTAACTGAACTAATAAAAACTGTTCCAAGAAATTAATGTCAACACAAATGCCTTTTGTAATAAAAAGTTTTTACTAGCTTTTTCTACGCACATTTAACAAGCCAATAAAAATAATGTTAATGACATTGTAACTCTCCCAAGTTCACGTTTTTTATATATAATGCCATAACAATAACAAATAAAAGGGAAACAACTTGTTTAACTCCTTAATAAATGATTAATATTAGGAGCTCTTTATGGGCCAATTTTATATTAATTTGTGGTTCAACCAATTTGATGAACTTATAAAGCGAACCAAATTGATTCGTTTTATTAATACGGAGGTATCGTTAATCACTGAAATGAAATGGCCAACACTTCCCTGTCTTTCGCCAAACACCTGTCACTTTTTGTTTTCCCTCGGAACCCGCGGGCATCCCTTCACCTGTCTTTATGTTTCACACTCATTAGGCCTGGTATGTAAATTGTAATTTTCTCACCCACCACTCCCACTCAAAAAAAAAAAAAGAAAAAAAAAGACAACCCCTCTTTACAAAAAGTAAACCCCTCTCCCATTTTGTAAACTGGATAGACAGGCGCTAAATACCGTTGAATATTTCAACACCCGCTCGATAACACAACTCAAAAACAACAACAACAACTACAGACACCAGAAACACCACAAAAACAACAACAACCATGTGTCAACAAGTCCCTCGGCCAAATATAGCCAAAAGCTATTGAGTCTCGATCTGGGCTTGAACCCCGGCTCAGATACAAAAAAAAAAAAAAAAAAAACTGCTCGCAATACAATCGAAATGAAACGAAACCCATTTCGTATGTCTTTTGCCCAATCGAGCACGCCAATTACGAATACCCCGAAAAAATCCAAAAACTACAGCAATAACAACAACAACAACAGCAACAAAGTAAAAAAAAAAGATAAAAAAGCCTGGGTCCAACCGATTACGTCAGTGGATCGTACAACCAAAATATTGTTGTAATCCAAAACCGAAAAAACGGCCGACGAATTTGAAAGACAAACAAATGAAAGATGGTTGCATTTACGTGGCCAACATTATAAGCCGAAATGAAAAGCCGCTAACAATCCCCCTTTGTCGCTATTGGCCATAATAACGTCAAGGTCGTCGCGGTGTTAACATACAAAATTGGTCAGGAAATGTGGGGGAATCGTGATGGAATCGTGGAATCGTTGCTCTTTGGATTAATGCAACAATGCAAACAACAACTGTTGCAACCGAGTGCATTCGATGGGGCAATTAGGCAAATCAGATCCAAATTGGTTAACTGCTCGATTTTCGACAGGCAGAACATGCAAACAATTGGCAAAACAATTAGAGCACTTTTCGGTTGGTTGAACACCAGAAAATTTGTACAGCTTAAGTTGAGCAGTTGGCGAAGTTTCGAAAGAAAGCAAACTTGTAACTTTAGATCGAAGAAAAAATCAAAGTTGGAAGCTTATGAGAACACATATTCCTTTTAATCTTAATAAAATGTTATTTGTTTGTAAGCTTTGTGCTAAGAATGTTGTTTGGTTGTTATGAAACTTTTTATATAAAGTATTTTATAATTTTACTTTCATTAAACACAATTTAGTACTTGGATTATCAGTGGAAATTAAACTAAGTTGCATACACTTTTTCTCACACGCTTTTCTTTATTTTTCAGCTGGCTTACGAAGAGCACAAGGAAAGCACATGGTAACAACAGCAAGGATAAAATATAACAAGGATTCGAGGACCGAAAATAACAAAACCACTTAAGAGTTTGTACACAAATGGCAATTAAGCAATGGATCATCTAAACCTTTAAATGGAGTTGTAATACAATCATACTGGCAAGCTAAAAGAAAATAGAAAAAATACCTAAGTAATTAGAGAACTCTCAAGTTCTATTACGTCTGGAGAACCAGAAAAGTTCTATAAACTATATAATAAATGGTAGACATTCTTAATGCAACATTTCTACATCTTACTAGAAAGACAAGCGCAATTTCACAAAATCAGTTGAGCAAGAAAGCTTACTAAAATCCGGGCAACATCAGAGCCCCGCCATGCACAAAAGAAAGAAACGCTAGACTTTAGAGAGCGAGAAGAAGAAACAATCCCCGAAAAACCCAAGAAATAACAAGGAAAAGCATAATCGAAGGAAACTCAACTCCCTGAAGTGGAAATCCCCCATCCAAAATGGTGCTAAACCTCCTCTTCATAACCACTGTGATCAAATCCACATTCGGAGTGGTGACCACTGGCCTCTGGCTGATTCCCCTGATGCTGGCGGCCATCACTTACTATCGCTACGATGCCGTGGATCCCGAATCGAGACCCTTGGATCAACTGAATCTGCTTCCCGAATACGACTTCATTGTGGTGGGCAGTGGATCCGCTGGAGCGGTGGTTGCCAATCGATTGAGTGAAGTGAGAAAATGGAAGGTTCTGCTAATTGAAGCGGGTCCCGATGAGAACGAGATCTCGGATGTTCCCTCACTGGCGGCCTATTTGCAACTAAGCAAACTGGATTGGGCCTACAAGACCGAACCCTCAACAAAAGCTTGTCTGGGAATGCAAAACAATCGCTGCAATTGGCCAAGAGGTCGCGTTCTTGGCGGCAGTTCTGTTCTAAACTATATGCTTTATGTGCGTGGCAATCGCAATGATTACGATCACTGGGCTTCGCTGGGCAATCCTGGCTGGGATTACGATCACGTGCTGCGGTACTTCAAGAAATCCGAGGACAATCGCAATCCCTACTTGGCCAACAATAAGTATCACAGTCGAGGGGGATTGCTTACGGTTCAGGAATCTCCATGGCATTCTCCTTTGGTGGCGGCTTTTGTGGAGGCGGGAACTCAAATGGGATACGAAAATCGTGATATTAACGGAGCCAAGCAAGCTGGTTTCATGATTGCCCAGGGAACAATTAGGAGGGGATCAAGGTGCTCCACAGCCAAAGCTTTCCTGCGACCCATTCGTTCGCGAAAGAATTTCCATCTGTCGATGAATTCGCATGTAACTCGCGTGATTATCCAACCAGGAACAATGAGAGCTCAAGCAGTGGAGTTTGTCAAGCACGGAAAGGTTTACAGAATAGCAGCCAGAAGGGAAGTGATCCTCTCGGCAGGAGCCATCAATACGCCCCAATTGATGATGCTATCTGGATTGGGACCCCGGAAGCACCTGGAAAAACATGGCATTCGAGTGCTGCAGGATCTGCCAGTTGGTGAAAATATGCAGGATCATGTGGGAATGGGTGGACTCACCTTCCTGGTCGATAAGCCTGTGGCAATTGTCCAGGATCGTTTCAATCCGACGGCTGTGACTTTTCAATATGTTCTGCGGGAAAGAGGACCCATGACCACTTTGGGAGGAGTCGAGGGATTGGCTTTTGTACACACTCCCTACTCGAATCGAAGTCTCGATTGGCCGGATATTCAGTTCCACATGGCACCCGCATCCATTAACTCGGATAATGGAGCCAGGGTTAAGAAGGTTTTGGGCCTGAAGGAATCGGTTTACCAAGAGGTATATCATCCCATTGCGAACAAGGATAGTTGGACGATAATGCCACTGCTTTTGCGGCCAAGATCGCGGGGTTCAGTGAAGTTGCGCTCAGCGAATCCCTTCCACTATCCCTTAATCAATGCCAACTACTTTGACGATCCACTGGATGCCAAAACTTTGGTGGAGGGAGCCAAAATAGCATTGCGAGTGGCGGAGGCTCAGGTCTTCAAGCAATTCGGTTCGAGATTGTGGCGCAAGCCACTGCCAAACTGTAAGCAGCACAAGTTCTTGTCGGATGCGTACTTGGAGTGCCATGTAAGGACAATTTCGATGACCATTTACCATCCGTGTGGCACGGCTAAAATGGGTCCTGCCTGGGATCCCGAGGCGGTGGTGGATCCTCGACTGAGAGTCTACGGAGTTCGGGGACTGCGAGTGATTGATGCCAGCATTATGCCAACGATTAGTAGTGGTAATACCAATGCACCGGTCATAATGATTGGCGAAAAGGGCGCCGATTTGATCAAGGAGGATTGGCTAACGAATCCCGAGTACAAAATCAAGCGGCAAACTCAACTTCGAGATGCCGAAACAGCTGCAAGTAGTGTTCACATCAGCTTGACCTCCGGCAACTCGAGTTCAGTTGACAGCAGCAACATCGAGAGCAACTTCAGCAACAGCAGTCACATAAACATCAGCAACATCACTGATTTAAGTAACAGCAACAGCAGCAACTTTAGCAGTGACAACAGCAGCAACATCGACAGCAGCAACTTCACTCTGAACTATAGCATATCAACGGATAGTTAGTGAAATGTGTTATTGAATGGGGAAAGCTCCAGATTTTGTGCTCAGGACTCCATTAGCTTTAAACGCTCCTCGATGAGAAGACAACGCAAAATGTTTGCCATTGCTAAAGTAAAACCAATTGCTGGAATGGAAACTCTTGGGAATGGAATAGAAAACTCAACAAAAGCCAGAATGTGATCTAAAAAGCACTTAAGAGCTAGAAATTCACTGAGAACCCTAGAACCAGAAGCTATATATTATACTATTCAGTTATGAGCTATTACAGCCACCAAAAATGTCCATCTACTCAACTTTGTACATCATTCAAGTTTATTTCAATGAGGAAGTCTTCTTGGGATAACCATAAAACCATTCTACAAAGAATAGGAGAACCCTTTTATGAAATCGAATGATGTAAGCACATAAAACTGTGGAACTCATCATAAAAGGTTTATGCCTTGTAAGCCGAACAAACTTTAAAGTTTGTATTGTATCAAGACAATCATTAAAAGTCAACACATTTACCGCGGAAGCTGCTAGAAATTGAACTAAATGTTATAAGCCCTACTGAAAAACTTAGATGGAATCTATAGAGATGTTTCGAAACTCGTACTTCTCATCGAATCTCAACAGATGACGTCCTCAAAAACCCTTAAAGATGATCCATTGCAAGACGGAAACCAGAAATCGAGTCATAGATTAAATGTTTACCTTCAATTATGCTGTAATCCTAGCTATATTTAGTAATTGTTGTCAACATTTTTTTTTGTTTATGTAATGCCTACCCTAAGCTATGATAAGCTAAATTAATATTGTTTGACTATTTATAGGAAACTCCCCATACACGCATTATTTAAACGACATTCTATTTAATAAATTAAATTTGCATAAGCATTAAAGGCGAAATGTTTGTTATTTACCGACAGCCGAAAAGCAGGCAATGCAAATGAGGTAAGCGAATTGCTTTTGGCCAAAATAAAGGTAAAGACAGCGAAGAGAATTGAGTCATCGCGTGGTTAAGTGTATTTTGCTCACGGAATTAATGCAAGTACTTTTTATTCTGGCATGGCAAAGTGTCTGTTCATTAATTAGGAGGGTTATTTCATTAATGAACAGTATTAAGTGAACAAGTATTCAATTCAGAATTAAAGGTTACTCTAGGCCCATATTCCATACATATGTACCATACACACCCCATCTTCTAAACGCCCGGTTATGTTCAGATGGTCCTGAACGATTCCGGCGACAATAATAAATATCTAATTAAGTTTTGAAAGATAAAAAAAAAAAAAAAGAATTAAAGGCGAATTCATTTTGGGCTTTAATACATTTAAATTCATTTTTTATAATAAAACTGTAATATATGAGCTTTTATTTTATAATATCAGTATTAGGTTACATCACATATATGGCATTTGATTGATTACATCACTCACTGCGAGTGACAGCTTAATGAACCCACCCTGAATTAAAAAGTATTCACGAAAATACCCAATAAAAGGCCCCACCCATTCAACTTAATGTCGGAATCTTGGAATTTATATACCATAGCCTAACATTTGGGCGCGGTAGTAAAAATACACAACATCACGCAATATTCTTGTGTCGAAAATATGTATATTTAATTACCAAACCAGCAGACAAGCAGCTCGGTTTTTAACTTGTCGCAGCAACGCCCATTGAAATGTGTATATTGAAAATATAAAGCTATTAACTAGCCGCCAATCGAAGTGTTATAAATCATCTTTCTGACAGACTCGAGGCCACGGCCCCGGTCCACAATTTTCATGCAACAATCGGAAGCCGGAAACGGCCAACGGAATTTGGTCTAATCAACACGAATTATGACCACTTTGGATGTCTTTTTCCGGATATGGATCTCAAAATCGAAGACCGAAGATCGAAGATGTGCTAAGTGATCGGGCCCTGTATCACTTTGCCCGCGAAACGTTCTAATTGAGCAAGAAACCAAAACAAAAGAGGCGGCTTATAATCATTTTAATTGAAGCTGAAGCTGAACACAAAAACCAGATTTTACGGCTTATTAATGGAAATGTCCAAGACATTTACAGCAAACACGAGCGCAAATCACGCATTATACTCAACGAGCGGTTTGGACAAGTTCAAGGTTTATTCGGCTTTTTAATACAGATACCCTCTCTTTTTTTCGGATTTATGAGAAGCGATGAAGTGGGTTTTATCAATTCTTTCTTAGGTGTATTTTTAGGGATTTATAAAGGTAATATTAAAAAAAAATCTATTGTTTATAAGAAACATTCTAACAACATTTAAATAAATAATTTATTTCGAATTTAAAGTCACAGCACTCGTATATTTTTTTAAATTTAAACAAACCTAAGTATTTTATTCGTATATTACGTATACGCCCTGTTACTTTTAAATTATAAAAGATTAAAAAACAAACTTTGTTTCCATACAAGAATAAATCTTTATAAGTGTTTTATTAAACAAAAACATTTTTATATTTTAATGAGAAAAACTTCAAGCTGTTTCTTTTAATGTTTGCACATAACGTATACGCCCTGTTGCTTTAAAAACATAAAAGCTGTCCCTCATTAAAAGAACATATGTTCATCCTCTTCGAACGTAAATCTGAAAACATTTCATTTAATTTATCGGTTTTGTAATTTATTGAAAAGACTTAAAGCCTCATAGTGTTTTATGTAACTACATAACGTATTCGCCATGTTGCCCAGAAAAAAACTTAACTACAGCCAATCTAGTAACCCACTCAAAATCGGAATTTTAAAATAGTAACAGTATCCCTTAGTCGAATCCAAAGCGATCGCCCAGTTCCGACTCGTTTTGCTAAGTAATTCAAGCCACGCCCCCAAAAACAAAGATATAGAGAACAAAGTTAACGAACTGCAGACACGAGGTGTACGTGACCGATTGCAATTTCGCCACGAGAGCAGATCCCCGGCATTGCCCTAGACATATGTGCACACGCAAAGGCAAATATCGCCGGCAAATCCAAATGTCTCGGCCAAAAACGCAATAAAACCAAGCGTATGCAAAATTTGGCAAAAAGAGTCTGCAAAAATCAAAGAGGGAAAACTGGGTCAATGGCCAGCGGAAGTATCTGCGGATCATCTGCGGAATACTCGTTGCAGATAACTTCCGGACATATCGATGTGTTACCGTTCCAGTTAGAGGTCAATCAACTTGTTGTGATCTCCGTTAGACAAGCGATCGTGTCCGCAGCAGTTGACCCAGACCCAATGAACTTGACTTGATCTCTGCGACTCGGCATCCAACTATTTGCATACAGCGCACAACCGGACAACTCACCTGTAAATAAAAATAGAGAAGAAAAAAATAGAAACGCATTAATTGGGCACGATAAATCATGAGAAAACTAAGAATCAGACATTGTAAGAGAATACAGCATAAATATTCATGGCAACCAAGCAGCATTCTTCCATTTAGCGGAAGTATATTTACTTTTTTTGAGTTCTTTTTTTGGTTTCATTAACGACCCTGGTTGGTGATTAGTGACCCATATACGAGTATACCACTTGGAGTGCCACTCTGAACCTGTAAGGCGAGTTCTTTTAGTGGTTACAAAGGTGCCAATCAAGTTTCAATTCGATTCAAAGGCAAACCGAAAATTCTTAGTCACTTGGCCAGCCTTGAGGTACAGAAATGTTGGTCAGGAAATTGGGCTAGTCGTTGGGTCTTATGATTTAGTGGTTAGCTTGAATTTTTATTGAGAATCGTTATGTTGAGGTTCCTCGTTGATTGAGTCATTAGTTTGAAAAGTTTTGAGTGGAAGATTTCAGTTTTACTTTACAGTATTATTTATTTTTTTATTATTAGGTATATTTATTACAATTTACAAAAGTCTAGTTAAAAGCTTAACTTTTCTAATTTTTAACAGATTTTGAAGTGGCATGAACTTAAATTTTCTTACAAGCTGCATTAGTTAATTTTATAATTTTTTATTACAAATTTACAGAATCAAAAGTGGTTTAAGCTTTTGCCAAATTTTATTAGTAATCCCCTTGTTATTTTTTCAAATATATTTATTGATTTTTATTTATAGCATTTCCGTTTGGTAATCTTGATCCATGAACCCCTGCGCCATCATCGTCGAATCACAGATCTCTTCTGCGAACTTCCTGACTTCATCAACTGTTTTATTTGTACAAAGTGTTGGCGTCACGTACTCGATTGGCCATTGATCACAGCAGTCGCACCGAGTAGTGGACTTCAGCTCAAATAATTGCACACTTTAATGTGCTTTAGTGCTTGGCAAACAATAATGCTATCTGGCCAAACTCGGGCTGTGTATCTATTTGGATTGTATCTGTATCAATATGTGCGCTGGCGTATAGCAATTATGCGCATTATGATCCTATCAAAATGTTATTCAACTTCTGTTCTGCTTTGTCATGTCAATCATCATCTGCAAATCAATCGATTTGTTTCGGCTTGAAAGTCCACTTTGTTGTGGGGGAAGTCTCAATAATTGATTAATTTGCACGGCTTGACTTCCTACAACAAAGTGAGTCGGCTTTATTTGTATTTGAATCAGAGAAATCACAATAAATTGCAATCATATTTAAATGAAATAATTGAATTGAATTCTTAAGACATCAATTAAGTTCTTGGTAGTCCATTGATAGATTGATTTCTTTTAGAATTTAAAAAAAACTTCCTTAACCACTTTTTATAGAGTTGTAGAACTTTCGATTGCTCTCGGTTTTTCTGGGGAATTCGCCCTGGAATTCGGTATGGAATGGTTTATAAGCCTTTGGGGACCCAACAGATGGATTCCTTTGGGTCTTGAGCCCGGACTTTGCCAGCAATTCTTGTACCAGGCGGCCTGCTGGTGACTCAAACCAAATCCTGCGGCAATCCTCAACGAACAGTGGTGCAAACTGCGACCGAGGGCACGGAAAAATCTCCCAAATCGATGGGAGGGAATCGGTTCCGGCTGGACAAAGGAGTTCAACGAACTGAGACGACTTCGACTTCTCAAGTAGGCAGCCGCAATTGAATCCCTGTCCTCATCGATGGCATCATCGGTATCCAAACCCGCCTCGTAACCATTTTCCGAGCGGGTTGAATTCATGCAATTCCGATACTGATCATTGGATGAACTCGACCTCCGTTCGAAGGTATCTGCGGAATCCCTGTACAGATAGGATTTGTTCAAGTACCTTTTCGAACCACTCGGCAGGCTATCGAAACTCTTTGATCGCGGAATTCTTCGGTTTCCGGGTTTGCGTTCCTTTACAGCCGGCTTGGACATGTTCTACGGAACTGGATTTGGCACACCCAGAGTTTCAAATTTAAATTACACTACTTCCGAATTTTGATAACAATACAATGCCTACTCCATTTCAGAACTTCAAAATAAAATGTTTGGATACTCTAGGGAATTTCAATATCTCAATAAATACATACAGAATTGTCTAGATTTTTGAAGATTGCAACTTGTTAGTAAATTTACTAACTACTGTTGGCAATTTATTTGTGGGTGTTGCCCTTTTAAAAACTGCAGAGTTAAAAAGGTTAAAGTAAATGTATAGAAAACACATGTTTATGCATATTTACAGAAGCTTGTCGAAAGAGGGAAACCGCCCTCAAAAAAAAAAACCAACCATTAAAGTGTTTGCTTCATGGAAACAAAAAGTAAAATACATTAGACAAAAAAATTTATACATTTTGTCTGCTTTTTTAATTTTTAACTTAAAGCTTGTCTTTGTTCTAAAATTATTTTTTATCAGTAAATAAATATATGTATACTGTTTCAAAGCTTTCAAAAACAATTCGCTATTAGATTTTTGCTCATTCATTCATTCAACATCGTTTCGCAGTTTTTGCAAATATACTCTAGTCTTTTTAAGTTGTTTAAAATGTAGCAAGAAACGATAAACTGGTTTTTTGTTTTAATCAGAAATGAAATCTCTTAACTGTTTCAAACTAACAAATATTACCACATCTTAAAAAGTGTCTATGCTAAATTGTGGAAGTGAGCGATTTGCTTTGTCATGATGATCGAAGAGCAACGCAATCTATTGCCAAGAAAAAACCCATGAGACGCGTTTTATGGCTAAGTTAAGAACCTTTTATGGCCATCACAATTTCATGTGTTTTGCCAGTCATTCTGTGGATTGTCAAGCGACCAGCTGTATCAACATGGAATCAAATCAAATAGTACATAATCAGTGGGATATCCTTCGTTTTAATTGATGTAGCATCCTGTTGCCAAAAACGAATGCCATGGGCCAACCAACCAATGATTGTCAAAAACCCAATAAAGACATGGTCGAGGCCCCAATTCGAAAAAATTGTCAGTCAGTGCAAAAGAGCAACTTGGCCAAATTCAGCAGTTGCCAACTATGAAAACTCGGTCAAAGACAACGAGTTTGCTTAAATTCTTGACTTTATGCGAACAGAAACATTCGCTGCTGCTGTTTCTCCTCCGACAGCACAATACCTATCGATACTAACAGTCAAAGCTTTAATTGCCGTTAGCAGATTACACTGCTCGAAATGGGAGGTTAGGTCTTAAAAAAATTACATTTTATTCCAAAGAATATCTTGGAAATACTGAATTCAAATAGTAAACGGATTAAGCAATCGAACAAAGTGGAATATACATTTTTTTAAGCCAAGTTTCTAAAGAATTGAAATACACATTGCCATTTTGGAGTCCAATAAATTCGGTTGAGTGCCGAAAAAAATATTTTTTTTTTTTGGGTCACCTCTTTGGAAGTTAGAAATAATCTTATTTTTAATAGTCAAAAGTTGACTAATGTTACATAATGCAATATGTTACATAAAGGATACAACTTTCTTGAAAATACAAATATAAACAATTAAAACGAATTTTTGTTTCGTTAATAGGTAGTTTCATAAGTTTCTCTCAGTGCATTTAATCGAATAGCAGCTCAACGAACCTAGAGCCCGCGCGAATCGCAGACGAATTGCGAAATTGGAAGCCGCAGTGCTTTTTCGGCCTTGACTCCAAAGTGTCCGGCGTGTCGGTTGGGCTTGAATGTCAGTGGTTTTCGGTTCTAGGTTCTTGGTTATTGGTTCTTGATTCTTGGCTCTTGGTTCTTGATTCTTGGCTCTTGGTTATTGGTTATGGGTTCTTGCTCGCCTGCGGCCTTCGGAAAAGGTTCTTATCGCGATGGCCCTCATTGGTATTCCAGCCAAGTGCAGCTCCATCGATGAAACTCCGAGATGCTGTGCGATGACACTCCCATTGGAATCCCTTGAATCCCTGGCAATGTCCTTCGACTAACCATACTTCGCCCAAGACGACGTCATTTGGGGCGGAGAACACATCAAAAAAGCATTAAGCGCCTTCTTAATTCATTTCTGTTTTGTCTTATTTTGTTTTGTTTTATAGTTTTTTGTCTCGTTTAGTTGTGTTTTTTTTCTTTTAGTATGTCATACGGTTGCGGTCGGCTGGCCAAGTTTACGTTGCCAAGTTTTTCAGCGCACGAGTTGGTCGGTTGGGGGGATCTTGGAATTTTTTACAACGTCTGCCGCCAATCGCTGCTCTTGGGCTCTCCCATTCTAAGCTCCCGAGTTCACATGCAAGCGGAAATAATTATTGAAATTATCCACCAAACAATGAGGCAGAAAAAAAAAAACAGAAAAAAAATCAGCTAAATAAAAACAAACATTACATGCCGCCAAGTCCACCGTTCACCATTAGCCAGCTGAGTATAATTAGAATCGGGCTTAGATTATTTGGAAACAAATCAATAAATTAGCTAATAAATAGTTAACATGAGTACGTTAGCAGCAGAGATTTATTACCAACATTCTTTTGATTTTGTAATCACTCGCAAAGTATTTAGTTCTCGATGTAAATGCGAAGTTAATGGCTGTTTGGGTTTCCTCATGTTGCCATGTTTTGTTTTGTCTGTTAATGTTTCCTAGTTGGCTACTTTATTGGTTTTAATAGTTTTACTCGGCTGTTAAAAACGCTTTATTATTAATTACAGAAGAAAATGGCTGCAAGTTCTACGCCCACAGAGCAGTATATTTATTTTAAAGTAGCATCGGGTCAAGTAATTCCGTTTATCCCCTCCCCAAACCATTTGTATTATAATTTTATACAAGTAAGAGTTTCAAAGTCGTGTGTATATTGTTTTTCAGAGCCATTGAAATTCTATAAGTTCAGTAGTTCCCCCATCCCAAACTGCAGATAGTAGTCTCGCTCTTCCATTGACACCTCGCAATTAGTTTCGAAGTTATTTTCCTATATTGGATCAGACCCATTATTACGTGATCTCTGTATTCAGTGCACAAATTAAGATCCAAGTGGCGATTTAGTTGCGCATTCCCGGTGCATTTTGGATGGAATGCTTACGATCTTTGATCGATCGACCGATTAATTTCCACACAAATGATATTCCATTCTATTCAGTTTTCACCGACTAAAGGCCCGAACTAGAATGATTGTTTGGACCAAAGACTCGTAATTGTCAACTGCAAAAGCGGCAAATTCTAACTGCCGGTTTCCCCCTTAGACTGAAAGCGATTTCAGTTTAGTTCATTTAGCCAGTCGATCGCTGTAGTTGAGTGCGTCCGGCTGCAAAAGTGATGAGGCTCCTCCAATGACTCTCTCACCGAATCGAATGAGAACCCTTCCCGGGTTGCTCTGGCTTTTGGGACTCGGATTATCCCTGGTGGTGGGTCAAACCTACGATGGCAACTCGGTGTTCGATATGCTGGAGCTGAATCGCCGCGGCCAGGAGCAATTAGATCTGGAGAACCTGGACGAACGCACCACGTTGAGATCCAAGTACGACTTCATAGTGATTGGAGCTGGAACAGCGGGTTGTGCCATGGCAGCTCGTCTCTCGGAGAATCCCAAGTGGCGGGTTCTGCTCCTGGAGGCCGGCGGTCCCGAGAACTATGCCATGGATATACCCATCTTGGCCCACCTCCTGCAGCTGGGCGAGGTTAACTGGAAGTACCAGACGGAACCCTCGAAGAGCTACTGCCTGGCCATGAACAACAATCGCTGCAACTGGCCGAGGGGCAAGGTGATGGGCGGCAGTTCCGTTCTCAATTACATGATGTACACGCGCGGCAATCGCAGGGACTACGATCGCTGGTCTCAGCTGGGAAATCCCGGCTGGAGTTTCGATGAACTGCTGCCCTATTTCCAGAAGTTCGAGGGCAGTGCCATTCCGGATGCCGAGGAGAATCTGGTGGGTCGCAGGGGTCCCCTGAAGATCAGTTACTCGGAGACGAGAACTCCGATTGCGGATGCCTTCGTTCGAGCTTCCCAAGATGCGGGTTTGCCGCAAGGCGATTACAATGGTGGCCGGCAAATAAGAGTCTCCTATCTGCAGGCCAATATCTACAATGAAACCAGATGGAGTTCCAATCGGGCGTACCTATATCCCATTAAGGGAAAACGCACTAATCTGCACGTGAAAAAGAACGCACTGGTCACCAAAATTCTAATCGATCCGCAGACCAAAACAGCCTATGGAGTGATGGTGCAGATAAATGGAAAGCTTCAGAAGATTATGGCCAGCCAAGAGGTGATTGTTTCAGCGGGTGCCATTAATACCCCGCAATTGCTGATGCTCTCCGGCGTGGGACCCTCGAAACATCTTCGGGAAATGGGAATTAAACCCCTGGCAGATCTGGCCGTGGGATACAACCTGCAGGATCACATTGCGCCGGCTGTGAGTTTCCTTTGCAATGTGAGTTCCCTGGAGACCAGACAGATGTTCAGCGTGGAGGCGATGGCGCAGTTCCTGAAGGGACGCGGAGTCCTCCGCATTCCCGGTGGCGTGGAGGCCATTTCGTTTTATGCCCTCGACGATCCACAAAATCCCGATGGCTGGGCGGATATGGAACTCTTTGCGGTGGGCGGCGGACTGCAGGCCAATTTGGCTCTTCGCCTGGCTTTGGGCATCCAAACGGATGTCTATGAGAAGATGTTCGGGGAATTGGAACGCAGGAATGCCAATGGCTTCATGATCTTTCCCATGATTCTGCGGGCAAAAAGTCGCGGTCGCATCAAGTTGAAGAGCAGAAATCCCGCCGAACATCCGCAGATATTTGCCAACTACTTTTCGGATCCCTACGATCTGAATATCACAGTTCGTGGCATTGAGCAGGCAGTCAGTTTGATAGACAGGCCAGCATTTAGAGCGATTGGAGCCAGGTTGTTGGAGAAACGGATACCGAATTGTGCGAAATACGAGTGGAGGAGCAGTGAGTACTGGGCGTGTTATGCCCGCCACTTCACCTTCACCATTTACCACTATTCGGGAACGGCCAAAATGGGTCCTCGATCGGATCCCTCGGCGGTGGTCGATGCCCGTCTGCGGGTCCATGGAATCGAGAAACTCCGGGTGGTGGATGCCAGCATTATGCCGTACTTGATCTCGGGTCATCCCAATGGACCGGTGTACCTGATCGCAGAGAAAGCAGCCGATATGATCAAGGAGGATCACGGCTTCCTATAAAGCAAACTATATTTATGATGTACAATACTATGGGCAATGATCTTTAGATGTTTAAAAGTGTATAATACCTTTCTGAGTGATTTCTAGTGAATTAAAGAGGAAAACGCAATTCAATTGGGAGTTTATTTCATGGGAAGTGGAAAAAGTTATTAATATAGAAATTTATCGTAATAAAAATATTAAAACGGTTCCTATCTTGATTTTAAAATTATAACCAGTGAATTGCAATTAAAACAGGGAAATTAACTACGAATTAAGGTTGTAAACCTGTCGATAGTTGGAAAATTTTTAATTAACATTTGCATATGTCAATAATCTTGAACTATAATTACGAGTGGAGCTATTAAATTCTTCACTGCGAGTGAACACTGATTAAATCTGTACAGCATGATAGTTCATATTTGTTTAGTATGATTATTTGAATGACATGTGTTTTGGTTTTCTTCAAAGAAAACAATTTGGCAACCCGTTTTGCACTTTTTAAATGTATGCCTAAAATATTTAATTTGCACAAAAAAGAGTTTCGAATAATTATCATAGCATTAAGAATAATAAACACTTGTGTCTGGAATATAACTTTTATTTCGGGAAGAAGCATCTTTTAAAGCAACCACAATGTTGTCATAAATAATGTTTATTTTGAATAAACTTGATGACTGAGGAGCTGGCTATGCGATAGGCATCTAGAACCATTAAGTTATACAATATATGCAGACGAAGCGGGCGATTAAATGCGATCTGGTTTGGGAATTACCCTGAGACGACAGGTTCTTCTTCGCATTGAAAGAACCCCGCCCGAATTCTTCTGGCAAAACCGCAGAATCACGATGGCTCTATGTTAATTGCAATCCATAACCAAAAACCCAAAGCCCCAAATGGAAATGGAAATCAAAGAGGATCTTTAGCCATGGGAGGCCCTTTAATGTTTTGTCGCGGCTTCCGCATCTGAATCGCAGCTGCTAACGATCGTCGATCTGCGATCGGATCGGTTCAAGTCAATGTCAGATCTTAGAGCTTTCGATTTCGAGCAACTATGTATTTTTAAACCAGCTAGTTTGTCCGTCGTCTTTGTCTGCGCGATTTGTGGGCCTGCGTGAACGTGCCCACAGTCAAGTCTTCGTGTTCAATTTGAAGATTCTTGGCCTGAACCGAAGTTGAAAAACCAAAAAAAGAAAACCGAACAACCGAAAAACCGAAAAACCGAGAGCCGAGAGATTCGCACTGCGATCGCTTCGTTCGCCGATCGCCGCCGAATTTAATATTAAATTGAACTTGGCCACGGCGTTTGTCAGCATTTCTAGTTACGAATCCGATTGGGCAACACGTTCGCGATCGCGTCGAAGAACCAAGAACCCAATCGCGTTCGTTCCTTCTTTTTTTTGGATACCATATATCGATCGTTGTATCTGGTCGTTGTTTTTTTTTGGCTGTGCAATTGGTGAAACAACAAGTGAAGAAACGTTTTTGGAGAACTAAAAGCCCCCCAGAATGGCAAATAAATCGATTCTATTCGTGGGCCTGTGCCTCGTTTTTACGGCCACTTGGGATCTGAGGATCATCTCTGCACAGGAAAGCAACAATGTCCTCTTCGAAACGATCAACTTCTTGAGACGCGGCCAGGCGGACGTGGAGCTGGAGAACTACGACAACAATCTCGTTCTGGATAGCGAATATGATTTCATAGTCGTGGGTGCTGGCACAGCGGGTTGTGCCCTGGCAGCTCGTCTCTCGGAGAATCCCAACTGGCGAGTACTCCTTCTGGAAGCCGGAGGTCCCGAGCGTCTGGTCATGGATGTGCCCATCGTGGCGCACTTCCTGCAGCTGGGCGAGATGAACTGGAAGTACCGGACTCAGCCATCGGACCACGCCTGCCTGGCCATGAACAACAATCGGTGCAATTGGCCGAGGGGCAAGGTGATGGGCGGCAGCTCCACACTGAACTACATGATGTACACCCGTGGCAATCGCAGGGACTACGATCGCTGGGAGGCTCTGGGCAATCCCGGCTGGAGCTTCAAGGATGTCCTGCCGTACTTCAAGAAGTACGAGGGCAGCAGTGTTCCGGATGCCGAGGAGGACTACGTGGGTCGCAATGGACCCGTGAAGGTGAGCTACGTCAACTGGCACTCGAAGATCGCCGAGTCCTTCGTGGAGGCCGCCCAGCAGGATGGTCTGAAGTACAGGGACTACAATGGACGCATCCAGAATGGAGTGGCCTTCCTGCACACCACCACCAGGAACTCCACCCGCTGGAGCTCCAATCGTGCCTATCTCTATCCCCTGAAGGGAAAACGCAGCAATCTGCATGTGAAGAAGAACGCTCTGGTCACCAAAGTGCTGATCGATCCGCAAACGAAGACGGCTTATGGAATCATGGTTCAGACGGAGGGCCGCATGCAGAAGATCCTGGCCAGAAAGGAGGTCATAGTCTCCGCAGGAGCCATCAACACTCCGCAATTGCTGATGTTGTCTGGAGTTGGACCTGCCAAACATCTAAGGGAAGTGGGAATTAAGCCTCTGGCTGATTTGGCTGTCGGTTACAACCTGCAGGATCACACGGCTCCAGCGGTTACCTTCACCACCAATGCCACCTCCCTGAAGTTCGAGGACTTTGCCGATCCCACGCTGATCAACCGCTTCAATCGCATGGAGGGACCTTATGGTTCGCCAGGTGGCTGTGAAGCCATCGCCTTTTGGGATTTGGATCACGAGAGGGATGAGGACGGCTGGCCCGACATTGAGTTGTTCCTGGTGGGCGGTTCCATGTCCTCCAATCCGGCCATTTCACGTGCCTTCGGCTTGAAGAAGTCCATCTACGATGCACTGTTTGCGGAGATCGAGGATAAGTCACTGAATGCGTTCATGATCTTCCCCATGATCCTGCGACCCAAGAGTCGTGGTCGCATCATGTTGAAGAGCAGCGATCCCTTCAAGTATCCCATTATTCATGCCAACTACTTTGCCCATCCGTACGATGTGGACATCTCGGTGAGGGGTTTGCTCAAAGCCATCAGTTTGATGAACCAGCGGGGAATGCAGACGATAAACGCCAAATTGTGGGAGAAGAAAATCCCAACGTGCAAACAGCACGCCTACAAAAGTTGGGCCTATTGGGCTTGCTATGTGCGCCACTTCACATTCACCATCTATCACTACTCGGGAACCGCCAAGATGGGTCCCAAGTCCGATCGAGCTGCTGTGGTCGATGCCCGTCTCCGGGTGCACGGCATCAAGAATCTCCGAGTGGCCGATGCCAGCATAATGCCGGAGATCATGTCCGGTCATCCGAATGGCCCTGTTTTTATGATCGCCGAAAAGGCAGCTGATATGATCAAGCAGGATCACGGTTTTATCCAGTGAACTCGGGGGGATTCCCGTCACTCCAAAGTTGATTTCCACAATCAGGTGTAAGCCCCATTTGCACTGGCCACTCCAGCATCTTGTTGTTTTTCACACCTCATCAGTTCATCGCCTCGCATCGCGAATCCCAAAACTCTGGCCGGTGTAATATGGGGCTTAAGTTTTTATTAAGGCCTCACTTTGTTTGTTTTTATCTGTAACTCCTTCTTCCTGAACTGATTCTAGTTTAAGTTTAAAGTGTAAGCAACATATGTATAAATAAATCAATATAAGTTTTGTATGTACTTTAAAACCAACTTGTTTTTATGTTTTTATATTTAAATGGAATAATTGCAAGGGGAAATTAGTAATTATAAGATAAAGAAACAAAAACAATATTGATCCAAAGAACATGAAAGTTTTGACAATCCTTAACATTGAACACAAATATTTAATTGTTAATCCATTGAAACCATTTCATTTTATTATGAATACCGAAACAATTTGTATTTAATTTATAAAGCAAGTGCCAAAAAAAAATCAAGTTAGGCCTAAAGATTCGTACATCTATCAAACCTGACATTGACATTGAGTTTTATTGGATCTCTGCATTCGCCTTTGTCTCATTTATTTCAGTAGGAGTTTTCTGCTAATCAATTGGTGGCTTCATTATTAAAAATCTGTGAAATCCATGAAGTTTTCTGCTCGTTTGACGATTTTCGGTTTTGATTTATTAGACGCCTTTGTTTTGAGTCTCTCTCTGTTGGTTTTTTTTTTTATTTTATTGTTGCGGAAATGATTTTTTGCCTCACTCTCGTTTTTTTTTCTTAGGTTTTTGTCTTTTTATGATCGAGCCGGTGTGAATTTTCGGTTGCGTGTTAAGTCTGATGGCTTTTGCAGCCAAGTCTTTGATTTTAACTTGCTTTGATTTGCATCGATTTGACCTTAGAATTATTTATGTATATGGAGTGGGTATAAATCAGTCGAAAATTGAGAATAATTGCTGAGCCAAAAGCGAAATTTTAAGCCTCCCAAGGGTAGACTATATTTAAAGAGGATTTTAATCGAATAAAAAAGCTTTAAGCTTGACTTCAAGCTCTTTTACATTTTACAGCGACTGGTTTTAAAATCCGACTTACATTCTTAAAGAATTCTTACGTTCTTGGGTATTTTTTTAGAACATTTTTAATTAAAAAAATTAACATGCTGAATAAAAGTAACAACCCACTCCCATTTCCCCAGAAAAACTCATCAAAAAATTCCTTTCCCAGCGTCAACAAGTCACTAAGGTTACGCCAGACTTTTCATTAACACAAATTGAAATATTCATGAATCCAAAAGGGGCGTTTCGGTTGCTTAAAAAACAAAAAATGGGAATGCGAACACAAAAAAGACAAATTTTGAATGCAATTGCCATGACCAAAACATGGCCCATTCTCCAGTTTTTTTTTTTTTTTTTTTTTTTTTTTGGAATGTCCTCACTCTAATCCCTGCTCGTCCCATTTATTTGGTTTTCCCTGTCCGCCGGTTGCTGGGATTTGTAAGGGAATCCATTGACTTGGCTTCGGGGTTGGAGGAACTGCATCCATATGCTGGGGTTGCTATCGCTGCAATGACCACCCCTTTATCCCTATTATTATTATTTTTTTTTGGGCTAGACCCAAAGTCGTTTAATCCGCTTTGGTTTTGTTTTCATTCCTCCTTGATTATTATACTTCATGGGGTGGCTGGGAATATATATATTGTATGTATATTAACCCTCGAGTGCCCGTTGCTGGTGCTTCAATCTTCAAAGATTCAACTGACAGACCAGCAGCATAAAAAGTACGGGTCCCACCAGAACAAGTTGCCCATTTAAGTGCCATTGAACCGAGCTCAGATGCAAAAGTTGAGTCAGTTGTACAGAGAACAAAACTTTATACTAGAGAATTCTTTTAATAAATAAATATTCCAAATTAAACACTTTCATTGACGAAATCCTTTTATATAACATTGAAATATTACTTCTAACATATACGTTTGTGAGAAAAAATGTTTGGTAACTCCATTTTTTCCACTGCATTAGAAAAAAGAAAGAAAAGCCAGAGATGAGCAAGCAGAAAGCGCAAATTAGCAAGTGGCAATAAAAATTCTGAGACAATCTCAGCCTGTTTTTTTGGCCCTACAAACACGGCCACCAAGTCAACCAACTCATCAGCGGAGAAAAGATAGAGAGATGTGGAGAAAGACGGCGAGAGCGAGAGGGGAATAGAGATCATTCAGGGAGAACCAAACCGGCAAGACTTTCCACAGTGGAGCGAGTTGAAAAATAAATGCAATTATTACTAGTTTACATGGAATATGGTTAGAGTATGAAAATTGCAAAATTCAATTCAATTTGAATAAAAATGTTCTAATTTTTTGAAATAAATTTTAAAGATTATTGGGATAATTTTCAAGTACTTCAATACCATACCATTTTCTTTTTTTATAGCTAAATATTCAATTACATGTAAGAATTTTACAACCAACATTCAAGCAGAAAATTAAAACCAAACTGCTTTTGTGATTGTAATCTCTTTTTGATCATGTAATATTGATTCCCGTCAGAATCCCATTAAATTATGAAAGTCATCAAATGCAATTTAATGTCATAAATACTGTAATTATAAATATTACCTAAGTTTCCACGCCCACTGGCTGTAAAATGAAAAGCTATCAATTCCCCAGATTTGCCTCACAATATTACAATCCGCTCCACAGTGCCTTGGCTGCTTTGATGCCAAACGGAGGCAAAGATCTAATTTCACCCGAAGCACTCGAGCTGCAGAGTTCAGTTACCGGCCATCGCAACCATGGAGAAGCTGCTGCTGTCCCGGCTTCTTTTGCTGCTCCTGCTGGCCCACCAACTCGTCCAGGTGGTCCACTCCCAAAGGAATCCCCAGCTGGACGAGCTCAGGCGATTGGGGCTGGGAAACGTCGTCAATGTGCCATTCTTCAGCGATGGTAAGTCTTTAAAGAGTGGAGATTGTGACTTCTCTTGATTAAAGATAATGGTGATAATTTAATTTGAATTTCGAGAATTTAGTGAAATGAAACCGTTAAGAATTTCCTAAGAAAAGTGTCTACTGAAATTAAGTCACTTCCTTTGATTTTTAATTTTCAATCTCACTACCTTTAATTATATAGTTTTACACTAAGATACCAATAGCAAATATTCAATATTAAATTCTGTGCAATAATTTGGAATGATTCATCTCTTGAAGGAAATTAAATAATTGTTACGAACTATTATTTTTTGAATACTTTTAAATTTAAATGTTATTTAGTTGTATTTCAGACAAATGAACATTGAATATTCCCATTAAACTTATATTCATTTATTTTTTCGCACTTTCAGTGCCCCAAAAAAACTATGACTTCATAGTGGTTGGATCCGGAGCAGCTGGCTCCACGTTGGCCGCCCGCCTCTCGGAGAATCCCAACTGGAGTGTGTTCCTCATCGAAGCGGGCGGAGTGGAGAACATAATCCACCAGGTGCCCCTGCTGGCGGCTCATCTGCAGTCCACCGCCTCCAACTGGGGCTACCATTCGCAGCCACAGAAACACGCCTGTCGCGGAATGCCGGACAAGAGGTGTGCTCTGCCACGGGGAAAGGTTCTGGGAGGCACCAGCTCCATCAACTACATGATCTACAATCGGGGCAACCGAAGGGACTTCGATGGCTGGGCGGCAGCCGGAAATCCCGGCTGGAGTTACGAGGAGGTGCTCCCCTATTTTCTGCGCAGTGAGCATGCGCAGCTTCAGGGATTGGAGCACTCGCCGTATCACAATCACAGTGGTCCCCTGAGCGTGGAGGATGTGCGTCACCGCACTCGACTGGCCCATGCCTACATAAGAGCTGCCCAGGAGGCGGGTCATCCGAGAACCGACTACAATGGCGAGTCCCAGATGGGAGTCTCCTACGTGCAGGCGACCACGCTCAAGGGAAGAAGGCACAGCGCCTTTCGAGCCTACATAGAACCCATTCGGCAGAGGCGTCGCAACCTGCACATTCTAACCCTGGCCAGGGTCACGCGCATCCTCATCGATCCAACCACGAAATCCGCCTACGGAGTGGAGCTGACCCACCAGGGAAGAAGCTTCAAGGTGAAGGCTCGCAAGGAGGTAATCCTTTCAGCGGGAGCCTTCAACTCGCCACAACTACTGATGCTATCGGGCATTGGACCAGAGGATAATCTCAAAGCCATTGGAGTGCCCATTGTAAAGGTTCTTCCAGTTGGCAAGAGGATGTACGATCACATGTGCCACTTTGGACCCACTTTCGTGACCAACACCACGGGTCAAACGCTATTTGCCGCTCGTTTGGGACCGCCGGTGGTCAAGGAGTTCCTGTTGGGTCGCGCGGACACATTCCTCTCGAGCATCGGTGGCGTGGAGACGCTCACCTTCATCAAGGTGCCGTCAGCCAAGAGTCCCGCCAGCCAACCCGATGTGGAGCTGATCCAGGTGGCCGGCAGTTTGGCCAGCGATGATGGCACCGCCCTCGCCAAAGGAGCGAACTTCAAGCCGGAAATCTACGAGAAGATGTACAAGGATCTCAATCTGCGGCAGCAGGATCACTTCAGCTTCCTCATCATGCACTTCAATCCCGCCTCCGTTGGTCGCCTTTGGCTCCACAATCGCAATCCCCTCGAGTGGCCCAGGATCGATCCCAAGTACTTCTCGGCTCCCGCGGACGTGGAGAGCCTGCTGGAGGGCATCAAGGAGGCCATACGGATATCCAAAATGCCGGCAATGCAGGCCATTGGAACGAGGCTGTTGGACAAACCCGTGCCGGGATGTGAGGCCTTCCAGTTCGCATCGGATGATTACTGGAGGTGCTCGATTAGAACCCTTTCCTACACCCTCCACCACCAGGTGGCCACCTGTCGGATGGGACCCGAAAGCGATCCCACTAGTGTGGTCAACCACCAGCTGAAGGTGCACGGAATTAGGAGTCTCCGGGTGGTGGACACCAGCATCATCCCGGTGCCACCCACCGCCCACACGAATGCGGCGGCGTTTATGATCGGTGAGAAGGCGGCGGACATGATACGGTCCGAGTGGAGTTGATTTACTCCCGGCAAAGATCGCATTAAGATACAGAAACGAATTATGTAAAGGGGTTAATAAAATGCGAGGGGAAAGTTGAAAGAAAGCAGCGGGTTCACGTCATAAAAATGTTACGGTTCTAAAGGCATTCGAGAAATTGTTTACTATTTGTCAATTAACAAGAATTCATCGAAATTTAAAATCTTTTATTTATATATTTATAGCACTCAAAAGGAATTCAAAGGTAAACGATAATTTATAAAATTCATTTTACTCATTAAAAATCATTCTTTTTTCAACTTTTTTTAAGATTATTCAAACATGATTCTTATTTTGCGATAAATAAAAGCCATGATCATTGAGATTAAATGCAGATCTTAAACTTTTATGTATTGAACACCCAAATTCTTTTAGTGTATTGCCAAACTGGGTCTGGAGAACAGCCGGGGTCAACCCAATTTGGTCGACGTCATGACCTAGCTTAATAACTTCTCACCGATCCGATCCGTTCCGAAGCCGAACCGATCCAATCCGAATATAAAGCAGGGCAATCGAGACATCGCAAACGGGTTTACGCACTCCAAGTTCAATGCCTCGACTTCGACTTTTCAGGCCGACAAAAAAAAAATTAATAGAGCGTACGCCGGGGAGTGTATGCCTCATCGATGATGTATATACAATATTATATTATTATGCATACATATAGAGTTGAAGTGCATTTTGGAGCCCAACGCAGGGAGAGCACGCGCCAAAGTTAAACGAACTCGCGCAAATGGCAGCCGGCACTTAAAATGTGAGAATCTTGTCATTCTCCCTTCACATTTGGCCAACAGCAGGAAAACAGGGCTTAAATCCACTGGATACCCTGTATTTAAGAAGATTCTATACTAGGATAGGACAAAGGAAATAGGAAATCCCAATATTTGTATACCATTTAATCTACTTTAAATGATTTAAATGATAACAATATTAAAAGAATAATTATAGTTTCCCCTTTACAAATTTTTTTGGACTTTTTTCAGTGTACCTTTCAACCATTTAAGAATAGCGAACTCATTCGAATCTGGATCAACTGGAGTTATCTTAATGATTTCTGCACCTCTTCTTTGTTTTTGATGTTTCTAGCTAAACTCTGCATTTTTTATTTTGTTTGTCTTTACTGCTAATTGGTGCTAATTTTGTTTAAATTTGTTTTAAGTTCTTCAACCGGTTTAAGCCAACTATGCTCTGCTTTTATTAGTTTACTATTTCTGCTCGCCTTGCTCTTTGGTTTATGTTTTAGTTAGTGTTGTTCTTTTCTTATCTTGGGTTTGTTTGCCTTTGGGTTCGCTTTGTATAATGCTTAATTTCGTTCCTTTTTTTGGACTCTATTCCACAGTTCATTTAGTGTTCGGGCTTCATTGGCATTAGGTGTTACTTTTTAATGATTTTCCGTGTCGGTTAATTTTTTAAGCTACTCTTAATTTCGTCTATTAGTTTATTTCTTCCTGGGGCTGATTTCATTCATAAAAGTGTATTTATTGGGTATGCTAGAGTTTGCCACTTCAATGCAAGAAGGAATTCAATTTTGAACATTTTCAATTGATTTTGAATACAATTGAATACATAACATAAAAAAAACTACAATATTATTTCAAAAAATCAAAAAATGTTTTTTGATGATATAGAAAAAACGTTAAGAGCCATGTCACTTTAACATCTGATAAAAATTAGAAAAGTTATGGAAATTGGAAAAGCGGTTGTATCATAAAAATTGAAAAAAAAAATGGGGGAAAAAGATTAACTAATGATTAATGGTTTCTACTGATCGTTAAAGAATTAAACTATAAACTTAAAGAAGTTTGCCAACTGAAAATCTGAATAAAATTAGAAAAGTTATGTATTTCCTTTGGATTTTTCATCAACATTTAATAGAGTCAAAATATAGAGTATATATATTTATTTTTGGTTTTAAGAGTTCCAAGTTTATTTACAAAACGTTTCCCCTAATCCTGATAATAACTTTCCCTTCAACTCGTTTTAATCACAGTACGCTCATCACCGAATACCCTACTCCCTTTGGTGGATTGCAGGGTATGTGGTTTATATGGCGAACGGGGTGGGTGGGGCATCATTTGGCGGCGGTGGCGCTGTATTAACAGCAACAAAGGCAACCCACTGACGTCTGTGGGTGTGTGCGTATATGTGTGTGTGTTGTGTGGGTTTGTGAGGTATTATGGCACCTGAGTCACTGTCATTGCCAGTCCAGTCCAGTCCAGTCGAGTCCAGAGCAGGAGCCATGGCTTAAAAGCAACTCCCCCGAGCGATGGCAGCTCATTTGCCCACCATTAGCCCAATGCAGTCCACACAGATCTCACACCTGCTCCACCAGCTCCTGTCGCTCCTGCCGCTCCTGCTCGTCCTCTTCCCGGCTGGAGCCCAAGGGGATGCCAACCGACGCCTGTTGGACCAGATCAGCCAGGTGGGGTTCGTCAATGTCATAGACCAGGCCACGCGACCCAATGGTAAGTCAAGTGCAAGTGGAAGGCTCTGTGTGTGTCGATGTGTCTTACTAATTAAACGTCTCATGGGTACATAAACTAATAATTATTCGGTATCCACTTGAACAGAATTATTATTTAATGCAGACATAATAAGGATTGTTTGTTTTGCTATTGATGAAGCACTCCAATAAAGGTTTTATAACTTTCTGGTTTATCCGAAAAGAAATGTCAAAGAGTTCAGTGTTCAAATTAAAGAAAACATGAATTCCGAAAACTAAGTTTATATTTATTATTCGTTCATCTAATTTAGTTATTAAAAAAATTGTTCACCTTGAATTGATATCAAATTTAATTTATTTTATTAACCCAAACCTTTCTATGAAAAGATATATTGAGTTGTTTTTTTTAAGCTTTTCTTTTTATTATATTAAAATAGTTCCTATATTTCCTTGCAGTACCCAAGGATCAAACCAACTACGACTTCATTGTGGTTGGAGCCGGAGCAGCTGGCAGCTCACTGGCGGCCCGTCTTTCGGAGAATCCCCAGTGGAAAGTGGCCTTAATTGAAGCAGGTGGTGTGGAGAACATAGCCCACTTCGTGCCAACTCTGGCCGGGTATCTGCAGCAGACAGCCTCGAATTGGGGCTACAAGTCGGTGCCCCAAAAGCTCTCCTGCCATGGAATGCACAACAACGAGTGTGCTCTGCCCCGAGGAAAGGTCCTGGGAGGAACCAGCGCCATCAACTACATGATCTACAATCGGGGGAACCGAAGGGACTTCGATGGCTGGGCGGCAGCTGGGAATCCGGGCTGGAGTTACGAGGAGGTGCTTCCCTATTTTCTGAGGAGTGAGAATGCGCAGCTTCAGGGATTGGAGCACTCGCCGTATCACAATCACAGTGGTCCCCTGAATGTGGAATATGTGCGTTTTCGCTCCCAAATGGTGGATGCTTTCGTGGCGGCTTCCGTGGAATCGGGATTGCCTCGAACGGACTACAATGGAGAATCGCAGTACGGAGTATCCTATGTCCAGGCAACCACTTTGAATGGCCGCAGACACTCGGCCTACTCGGCTTACCTAAAACCAGTGAGGGACTTCCGCTCCAACCTGCACATTTTCACCTTTTCCCGAGTGACTCGTGTTCTCATCGACGAGGCAACGAATTCCGCCTACGGAGTGGAGTTCCACTATGGAAAGAAGGCATTCACCTTTAAGGCTCGCAAGGAGGTTATCCTTTCAGCGGGGGCCTTCAACTCCCCACAACTACTGATGCTATCGGGCATTGGACCAGAGGATAATCTCAAAGCCATTGGGATTCCCATTGTAAAGGTTCTTCCAGTTGGCAAGAAGTTGTACGATCACATGTGCCACTTTGGACCCACTTTCGTGACCAACACCACGGGTCAAACCACCTTCACTTCAACGATCACAGTTGCCGAGGTGGTATCCTTCCTTCTGGCCGGGAATCCATCCACGCGATTGAGTTCCATTGGCGGAGTCGAGGCCCTGGCCTTCCTGAAAACCCAGCGATCGAATCTACCCAAGGATTGGCCAGATATCGAGTTGATAATGGTCGGAGGCAGTTTGGCGAGTGACGAGGGCACCGGCCTCAAGTTGGGTGCCAATTTCAAGCAGGAAATATACGACAGGATGTACAGGGACTTAGCGCAGGCGCAACAGGATCACTTCACACTGCTGGTGATGCAGTTCCATCCGCAGTCGGTGGGTCGTCTTTGGTTGCGGGATCGCAATCCACTGAGCTGGCCAAAGCTCGATCCCAAGTACTTTGTGGCCGAGGAGGATGTGGAGTTCCTGTTGGACGGGATTAAGGCCAGTCTAAGGATCATCGAGATGCCGGCGATGCAGAGGATCGGTGCGAGATTGCTCAGGAGAACGGTGCCAGGATGCGAGGGTCACGAGTTCGCCTCGGATGACTATTGGAGGTGTTCGATTAGAACCCTTTCCTACACGCTCCACCACCAGGTGGCCACCTGTCGGATGGGACCCGAAAGCGATCCCACTAGTGTGGTCAACCACCAGCTGAAGGTGCACGGAATGAGGAGACTCCGGGTGGTGGACACCAGCATCATCCCGGTGCCACCCACCGCCCACACGAATGCGGCGGCATTTATGATCGGTGAGAAGGCGGCGGACATGATACGATCCGAGTGGAACTGATTCAACCGAGAATCATTAATAAACTGCGATTCGAGAGACTCGAGAGCAGAACGCCATAAAGACTCCATTATCGAATTCGTAATTTCGGATTAAATAATGTCTCAAGTGAAAGTAGGTAGTCAAAGTATATTATTTCACGCTTCTCCTGAATGCAAACATTAAATTTGCATGGCCAATAAATTATATTTATTAACTTCGATTATAACTCATGCGTTAATTTCGTATTATTAAGTGTGTAAGGTTCATAAAAAAAATAATAAAAGTGATTTTTAAAAGAAATAAAACACCGAATTTAAAATAGTACTGTTTATTTGATTTATAAGCAATGTTTAAACGATAAGATAGATCAAGTGATTGAATAACATAGGCTAAAAATGAATATTGATATTTTCCAAATATTAATTAATCCCATGTGCCATTAGGCATTATGTTCAATGTGCGTGCTTTACGTGATAATGTCTCCCCTTTTCAGCCTCCAATGAGCAAACGAATTCTCATTAAAGGATTATCGATACCCGTGTAATTGTATTATTTTATTGAATCGCTTGCCAAAAGCCAGAAGAAGTGAAGAGTAAACTCTGCTTTGGTTGTTTGACTTGGCAAGTTAATTAAATAGAATTACCTTAACGAGTCGAGCCAGTTGAGTTGAGTTGAGTTGTGTTGCATTTTAGGCTTTTTGGGGTTGGCGACTCAGGCGAAGAAAGGGGGGGATTTCGAGGGGTTTTGGGCACCCCTAGGGGTTGGCCAGAGTGCATTAACCCATGCCCGCACAACCGCACGGGGGTTGAAAAGTTTTGGCCCGGCCAAGGAAAAGCGAAACGGGCGGAGACGTAGGCAAAATGGCAACATAAAACATGAAACACACAAAAACACAAAACATCACAGGGGGTTGCTTTGCCTGTTGGATTTTCTCGGATGCCCGGGATGATGGGTCGATGGGATGTTGGGATGTTGGGATGTTGGGATGCTGGGATGCTGGGTGGGTGGTTGCATACAAGTGGTTATCACTGTCCTAGGCTTCCGCGTCCTTGTTGTTGTGTGTGAAAAATTCAATATGCATCAGGGAGTTTTCCGTGCCGCCGGAGGAAGTCCTTCGGCCGCAGGGCTACACAATGGATACCAAAGGTTGCACGCAAAAAAAAACAACCAAATGATTGTGATCTCTATCTTTGTTTAAACGGAAAATCGTTACTTATTTCATCCTATTAAATTAAAATGATTTCGTCACAATTCCTTTTGAGGAAAGTAAAAACAACAATCAATTTGCCTAGTTTCCTATGTTTTCAAAGCAAAGCACATAAGATGGAATCATATAAAATTCATGAATAAAGAGTGATTAATAATACATACAATTGCCACAAAAACAATTTCTTGCCACCCTTATAATAAAAGCTAATGGCATTAAAGTAAATACATTAGTGATCAAAGAGGTTATCAGCATGATAAGAAAACTTCCGAAATAGAAATTCAAACACCATTTGACTGATAGGAATCATGTTCTTTATATAATACAAAATATTATATGGTTCTCAAGGGGTTTTCCCGCCCAATCAAAAGTCAAATGCCCAGTAATTTACAAAAAGTTTAAATAACACTTTTAAATTAAGTTCAAATATGTAATAAATATATATTTAAGTAATATTAACATGCCAGAGCTTTATTGAACGGGTAATTCAACTTTTTGGTAATAAAAAGGGCAAAGCGTATTGTCCGAATTTTCTCCGTATTTATTTTTATCAAATAAATTAAGCTTATTTATGAGGTTTAGTTAAAAGTTTCAATTTTCCAAATATAAAACGAAATATTATATATTGTGTAATTAGAGATGACAAACCTCTGGCATATTTTCAACACCTCCAGACGTAATTTTTTTCAATTATTTTTCAGTGTTGTCATTATCGTGAATGCTCTACAATCACAGATCAAAGAGAAGTCGAATGTCAGTCGCAACTGAGTAAATATGCAACCCTGGCTGAATTCGCAATGTCCTGTCAACATGCGGTTTCCTAATTGCAGCATTTCAAAATCAGTCAACAGGCGTTTGACGCAACAGTAATGCCGAAAAGGGTTAAGCAGTGGGTGGTTGGGTGGTTGGGTGGCTATGGGTAAGTTGGTGGGCGGCAAAGGCCGCTTTGAAGGGTTCGCCGACTCACCTGAAACAATTAACGCCTCATTGGGACCCGTTGTGTGTATGTTGCCCATCGTTGCGGTTCCTCGCTGTTCTTTATTTATATATTTATTTGTTTAGTATAACTCCTTTGCCAAAAGCTCCGCTGAAAAGTTCTGCCGCAAAAAATAACAAAAAAAGTGCACACACGATATATAATTAGCACACGGTAAAAAAATATAACAACTTGTTTATCTTTGCAAACATTTATACATTTACTTCTCCATTTAAAATTAAATTAATTTTTATATTTTTACTGTGTTTCATTATTTTATACTGTATTCTTGTAAGGAATAGATCTAATTTATTTGTTGGATTTAATAATAAGTTCATTTATTATTTATTATATTATGATCCCCCTCATTTTAAAATTTGTGAGTGGTTTAATGTGCAATTATTTTTCCTATGACTTGTATTTTTGTTTATTTTCTCTCTGTGTGTAAATGAAATAAATAGACAGAAGCTTTCAATGGGCTGTGGCCTCGATATTTCCAGCGTCGCCCGAGAGTATGTTAAATTAAAATTTTTGATTAGCGTCAAACACGCGCACCTTATTGTTTTTATTTATTTTCGTTCTCAACGTTCTTGTTGTTATTGTTTTATATCGTTTTATTAAAAGCTTTTTTTTGTGTTTCTGCCTCTAGGGAACAGCAACAACAATTAGCATCGGCAACTTGTTCTGCATTTAATTTGATGTGTGTATATAAAAGTATATAGAGTATTTGAACGATTGAATCGGAATGTGGGGGCTCATAGTATGAACACTTGAGGAGTTCAGAAGTAAAGAAGAAAACCACTCGACAATTGTAAACTTGTGCTGGTGATTTTTATTATTTTTATGGCACTACTTGGGGGACTTTTGTTCGCATTTTTTTTATCAAAGTTCAAATAAAACAGAAATAAATTGCAAAAAAATAGAGCATGACGGGGGGAGCGGGGAATGACGTAAGCAGGAGTGTGTGAATGAGAGCGACAGAGAGAGAGAACGAGAAGGGGAGATGGGGCGCGTCTTATCAATGAGCTCATCATTTTCCACTGAGAAAAATAGGGGCGTTTAGAACAATATCTCCATCTCGATAAAAGGCAACAACAAAAACAAAAGGGGAATAAAATAAGCGGAACAACAAAAATAACTCGCGCACACATACATGCATACACACTGCAAAATTAACCCTTAGTGTGCCTCAATTCTGATTGGGGTTGCTGATTGGAGTTTCTAGGTAAACAAAGTTTGTTATTGCCGCTTTGTTGTTGCTGTACCCAGGCTTATTAGCCATATTTCACCAGAATCTGAGACTAGAATTCGTTTAACGACAACCGGCTTTGCATATCACTTATATTACGCATAAATACAACCACGCCGGGAGAATTATTATCAGCATCCCACAGTTTGTTTCTCGTTTTGTTTTTTTCCGTTATTTTCGATGTTTAATTTACACATACTCTTCACTCACAACACAGCAACAAAAATACGCAAAAAAAAATTGATTGATTAATCAGGTTTTAAGAATTAATTGATACCGTTTTAAATTAAAACCCAATTCTTGACGAAATTTACCGCACAAGAAACTCGAGCAGCCTACAAGCTAGAGCTGGAAAAACACCGATTGTGTTGGGGGAGGAAAACAATCGAGGTTTAAATGGCAGTTGGCGTTAGTGTATTGTATTGTTGGTATTTTTTAGCAATCGATACATTTTCCAATTGGACCCTTGATGTAAACAAAACAAAAGAAAAAAGTACATAAAATTATGTCTCGCGGCGGAGAACTGGTCTTTAAAACGAAGAAAACCTCCGAGAAGATATCGGAAAACATTCACATTTTCGCCAACGATCCATCACTGGCGTTTTTCCGGGTCCAAGAGCATGTTCGCAAGGTTTCCCCAGCAATTTTTGAGAAACGAGATGAGGTCTTTCAGCTGCAAAACAATTTGCAAGGACATTGCTACGATATGGAATACGGAATCCAGTAGGTGCTTTCTCTATGTATACCCTTAAATAACACTAATTGAATATATCAATTAACAGAGCCCTGCGCACCATTGAAAAATCGGAGAGCATATTCGACAATATACAGGAAATGATCAAGGCTTCGATTTTTCTTAAGCAACAACTAAAGTACGAGGAAAACAGAAAGAAAATCAAGAAGGAAAGCACCAAGTCCTCCGTTTACAAAAGGTTCTCCGCCCACCTAGCCTTGGATCTGCCAGACTTACCCGATTTTGGTGGTGTTATGCGGGAAACCAGCCAGCGAATGGAGAACATGATAGGTCCTGGAACAGGAGCAGGACGCACGGAGGCCCAGACCACACAGTCAAGTAATCCTGGCGAGCTCCAGAGATCCTACACGACGCTTCACTAATTAGGTTTAAATTTCTTAGGTATAATATGTATTCGTAGCTTTGTTTATTAAAAAATATAATATATATATATATAAACTTGGGGCCATTTTTAATTTAAAAATACGCTACTTTAAATAGGCTCCCGCAAGAAATTTCTTAAAACTTTTTAAACTCATATGATATTCGATAGACACAACTATCGCTTGTTAAGCTATCGATACATTTCAGCTGACACCTGAACAGCCCTTTATTTTTATTATCTAATATTATTAGTTTCGAGAAAAGCGCCGCTGTGAAAATGAACCGAATTTGCCAGAGTCTTTTGCGCCAGAGCACCTGGAGTCCCCGAGTGCTGGTTGCCGGAGGAACTGCATCCAATCCTGGCATGCTCACACGCTTCTTTGCAGCGGATGCGGCAACCGGCACGGCGGTGGACAAGGCGACGCTGGACAAGCTGGTGCGCACCAACAAGGTTGTCATCTTCATGAAGGGCAATCCGCAGGCACCTCGCTGCGGGTTCAGCAATGCCGTGGTACAGATCCTGCGGATGCACGGCGTTCAGTACGACGCTCACGATGTCCTGGCAAACGAGGCCCTGCGACAAGGTAAGTTGCAGTCGGAGAATCCTTTGCTACTTCCTCTTATACCCTGATTTAACTCGATTCCCCATTAGGTGTCAAGGAGTACACCGACTGGCCCACCATTCCGCAGGTCTTTATCGATGGCGAGTTCGTTGGCGGCTGCGATATCCTGCTGCAGATGCACCAAAGTGGTGATCTGATCGAGGAGCTCAAGAAAGTGGGCATCGTCTCCGAGTTGCTGAAGGCGGAACAGGCCAAAAAGGAGGGTTCCACGGACGACAAGGCGAAGTGATGAGCCGCCAGAGCACCCAAAGATCAAATAGACTCCCCCACACAAACTAACTGTTAGCCACGCAACGTTTTTATTATTAAATGTTTAACTCATAACGATAACAATATGCCCGCGTTCTAATTTAGTTGCTTGTGTACAAGCCAATCCTTCGGTTAACAAAGCTTTGTTATGATTAAGATTTACTTAGATTATGAAAGAGCAAGCTTGATGTTTTTTTAGTTTCTGAATCGTAAGATATAGCTTCGTAAAAGTAACGTATAATGAAAATAATTGTATAAGATGCTTGATTTCGATTCAGGTATGCATGTATATTCAATTATTTTCGAACCTTTTGCTTGTCATCGATTTGCTGCAGGATATCCAGAATTCGGCTGCGTGCCTGTAGAGCATCGCTCACCTGCAAGAGTTCAAAGCTCTGTTGTCGATACTGCGGATTAGTCATATTTACCAAAATCTCCATTAGGTTGTCGGCTATAGAGTGACGCATGGTTTCCTCCGCGGGCATTGGTGGAATTTTACGCTTCGAACGATTTTTGCTTATCTGAGATGCGGGATTTTCAAGGTTATCACTTAGAGGATGCTTTTGCAATTCAAGCTTCTCATCCAGAGAGTCAGTTAGCAACTGATCCTGAGATTCCATTAAAGGCTCATTCTTAAGCTCCGTTTTTAGAGTCTGAACTTCAACTGGAGGACATCCATCTGTATTTGAAATCTTATGATCTTGAAATTCCATTGACTGCTTCTTGTTATCCATTTTACTTAAAAGGTTTCCGACATTACTTGCTATCATGATAATAATTATTACCCTTAATGCTACTTATGTAACGATATTACATTTGTTATTATTTGCGCAAACAATATTTTATAGGCACCCTAAAACCGTTAATTTTATACAATAATTTAGACTGATAACGACAAAACATTTTTTTTAGAAATTCGGCAATTAAACAGTTATTTATTGCAGCTGTTAAGCTTATTTAACCCTTGTGCGATCACCCTGCCAATATTATCACAATTTTTAATAATTTGACTTACCAACGTTTAACAACTTTATTTATGTTTAGAAATATGTTTTACAGTTTTAATAATCTTTCTTCTACAAAAAAATTAACTTCAAGAATTTAATTGTTTTATAAATGTTTCTTTTGGGCTATGACTCAGTGCAGTTACTAAAAATTGTATTCAAAATATAAAAAATGTTTTATATTCTTTCGTTTTTCCCAATATAATTTAAGAAAGGAATACACTCATGCCAAAATTATGTTTCTTCTTCCGCTGAGTCAGCTATATTTACATTTTGTCAAACATTTATCTAGCCCCATTTTTGGTTCCGTTCTTATCAATGTTTTAAAAGAGAAAGGTAGTATCTAGTGACAAATTTAATTCCATTTCTTATCACATTTGTTGCTAGTGAGACCCCTAACACAGAATAAGAAAAATAAACACGGCCAGCTAATCGGTAGTAAATTAATTATATTTCCAAGGCAGAATATCAGGGGTTCTAATAATAATTTACTTATCGCCCTTACAACAATAAAAACCACCGGTTGATTTGACAATTTTGATTTATTTAAATATACATATCGATATATTTTCATATATTAAGTTACATACAATATAATACATATTGATTTAGTTGGATGTTTGCCTACATTTCGTTTTTGTGGATTTTTGTGGTTTCAATTCGTTTCACATCAATTGCTTGTCGTTACGTTTCTTTTTATATTTAGTCCATGTTAGCGCTGCAGTTTAGTGGTGGTAAAACGAAATAAAAAAAACTTATACCATAACTTGCTTATTAGTTAACAATAATCAAAAGTGTTAAAAGCGATATGCCATGTATGCGAAAGGGTTGCTCCTCTGAGAGGGTTTTTTGTAAATGTTTTCTTTTTGTAATACTTCGAAAGTTCAGCGTTGAAAGTAAACAAGTGGAACGAGTGTGTGTGGATCAGACAATGGAGGACTTGTCAAGGAAGGAGGACGTCTCCATCAGAAGCTCACTGCTGCTGTTTAGTATATCGTATAGTTGATGCGGTGCATCGCCGGCGATTGGATTCCCGAAGGGAAAGAATGACGATAGCGTCGACAGCTGTAGATTCCCGCTCACCGAGTTGAGTCCGTTCGTGGGTGTGCCCGCCTTCGTCGTCGTCGTCTTCTTGCGACGCTCGACTCCGTCCACGAACTCAGCCTCATCCTCTTTCTCCGGTCTCTCGTCCTTCGACTGGTTGGGTCGCGATTCCCCGGTGGCCTCGTAATAGGCGTCCGGCAGATCGTCAAAGTTCTGGAACTCCAAACAGCGCTGTACCTTCGCTATGTTGCTCAGCAGCAGGCGATGGAAGAGATCCACCTGCGGCTGGCTACCGCCGCGAATGTCCAAAACGGGCAGCCAACGATAGTAGCACTGGTCCCACACCTGCAGGTCGAAGATCCGGAAGGCCGGCTGCAGGAAACGATCCTGCGGCACTGAGGAAGCCGTGGAGAACAGCTGCGGATTGATGGTGTTCCTGGAGGGCGTGGATCCACTGGCAGTACCATGCACCACCTTATTTCCCACCGCCAGAGATCTACGATGAGCCGCCGCCGCCGCTTGGGCCCCCAGATCCCCCCGTTGGCGCTGGTACAGCGGGTTGCTAAAGAACATCTTGTCCTTGTCCGAGAACTGCTCGCCCCAATCCCAAACGGGCCGGAGGACGAGATGCAGGTCGCGTACCGCCTTCACGCGCTGCGCCTGCGTGTCAAACTGGAAGGTATCGAAGATGGGCATAAAGCAGGCGTCCCACAGGGTGGTCAGGTACGTCTGCGTGAACTCAAACTCGTCGGTGAACTGCTGCAGCAGCTGCCACACGCAGTCGAGGAAGAGCAGGAACACGGGGCTCTGTTCGCTCTCCTGCAGCTCGGCGTTGCCGCCGGCCGGTAGCGCAGGATAAACATGACCCAGCCGACGCTGGAACGGATGCTCCAGGGCCACCCATTCCTTTTGCACCAGCGACTGGAAGCCATCGATCGTACGGAAGTGCGGATCGAGCAGTATTTGCGTCAGACTGCTGATCACACAGCACAGGTCACGGCCATTCGACTCCTGGAGGACGCAGGTCACGCCGCCGCGCAGAGTGGCGGCCGCTTCACTAGCATAGCGTAGGCACAAAGACACATAGAACAGCCAGTTGGTCTTTTCGAGTAAACCCAGGTACTTGTCATCCTGCAGCATGAACTTCTCCGGCGTTTCCGGCGTGCAGAGTCGTCGCAGTTTCTGGTAGGACCGCAGCACGTCCTGGATGCTCGGCAGGCGATCAGTCAGCTGCAATAGCCTGAGCTGTCGCTCCGCATCGCACTTGCGCACCAGCTCCAGCATAACGTTCTCTGATTTGGTGTCCTGCTGCGCGGCCGGCTGCAGTTCGGCTAATCGCACGAGGGCAGCACTGTTGCCATAGCTGTACACCCAAAAGGCAGCGCGTGAGTCGCAAAAGGCGCGCGACAAGTCCAGGAAACGATCCACGCTGCAGCTCTTCGGTATGACGAAGTGCGGCGGCACTGTATACTTGCCCGCCTGGAGGGGATTCTGCAGCAACTGGACGCTGGCGCTGCTCACCACCTGCCACTCGGTGGCCCCGCAACGGATCAGCTCCCTGGCCCAGTCGTTCTTTGTCGCGTACATGCTAGTTCCGGAGGCGCCGAGTGTGGAATAGTACGGCTCCTTGTGCGCGTACGCAAAGCTCAGATCATGCCGCATCGGATAGGCAAAGCGAACCAAGGCAGAGGCAATCAGTTTGCCCTGATCACTGGCACCGAACACCTTCGAGTCCTGCTGCTGGAAGGAGAACTTCAACAGCCGAAAGTTCTTGCACACAATGTGCAGGGCGGCAATCCGTCCGCTGATGTTGTGCTGCTTGAATGGCTCCAGTTTCTTGCGCCGACTGCTATTGTTACTGGCCATGCCACGCGCCGCCTGCAGCGCACTGGCCGCCCGTCCCAGTTCGGCAATGGTGTAAATATGATCGATGTTGTTTAGCGTGATCTCGTTGCGTCCCAGATAGGCGTTCTCCTGGTAGAGATCCACAAGCGGTGCGGCAGGATTGCGCTTGGCGTGGAGCGGTACGAAGGCCAGCTTGAAATTGGTGACGCTCAACAGCCCGAAGGTGGCCTCCTTATGGTTGCCCCCGTCCGCTGATGCTGACGAGGAGGAGCCCGAGGTGGTGGGGTTTCCACTGCTGTCCATGGGATCGATGGGGGAGTACATGTAGGCCGGTGCCGAGGCCGCGATTTGCTCCCCCTGCAGCAAGCGCGGCTTGGCCAGATGGACGTCCCTCATGTCGCTGGGCAAACACCATTCGTTTGTGTCCGCGGTGGCGCGCAAATCTCCGGGTAGCGGTGCCACATAGCTGGTGAACGTGTTGCGCTTGTGGTGGTCAGCATTTCCGGCGGAGCCTGCAGCTCCACCCCCACCACCTCCACCTCCGCCGCCCGTGGCCATTAGTTTGGATCCACCACTGAACGTCGCTGGAATATTCAATTATTCGCCACTTCCTGTCTGGCCGCTACCGTTATATATGCGCTGTGCGTGCGGGCTGTATGCAAACAAATAGCACACAAATTAAAGAACGGCAAGTTAATATATGAAATATGGTTATATGGAAATGCCATATGAGGAATGAGGAATGGGAATTATAGAAAACGAAATTAGAATTATCGTTTTTTGTGATGATAAGTTTATCAGTGGAACTTACCGCTCGGATTACCTGTGTGTGCGTGTGTGTGTGCCAGCGATCGCCGTTGGTTGCTGCTTGCGGGTTGGTTGGTTTCTGTTGTTGTTGTTGCTATTCTTGTTGTGTTGTGGTTGTTGTTGTGCGCGAGGTCAATCTGCTCTTGGGGTCATCCGCTGGGGTCATCCAACTGCACCATCTGGCTGCACACACACGCAATGTCGGACGCAATGTGCATTTATTTATTTATTATTTTTTGCTGTTCGCCAACAATTTGTACGACACACTAACACGCACGCACACACACACACGCACGCATGACATTCGGTGGAACCGTTGGCAGTGTGACCAGTGGTATTCGTGTTGGTATTTCGCGGCATTAATTGGCGGTAAGCCAGTATTTTGTTGGTATTTTCGTAGGACGAACTTGCAGTGAATTAAAGAATAACTATAATTATACTCTAAATGTTTTAAAAAGAAAGTGTCCTTTGCCGTGCATAATTCTCCATAAGTTAAATAAACTTGGATCCATCTAATTTTTCAAACTTCTAACAAGTCACAAATTTTTCTGGAAGAAGTAGGTTTTGCTAAATGTGTCTAAGTTCAGTAACCGCTAAAATGACTAATAGACATTAACATATTGATAAGATATTTTAATTTTTAATACTTTCAAATTATTTGAAAAACAGAAGGGACAGCCACTCAACCGCCAGTTTTAGCCGCATCCCATCGCTATCGTAACCGATAACGGCGACACCCATGCGACCGTTCCATCCCTAGCCCCACGTCTCTCGGTGTTTGGAATTCCGTATTGGCAAATTTGCAAAACCAGCCCGTCGCCCTCGGATTATAATTTCCCAACGAGGCGAGAACGATCCCAGTCTTTTTGGAGATCGCAGTTCGCATTCCCCTCCGAGAGTCGCATGTGCTGGCAGCGACACAGCGCACATTTGCTGAGACGATTCCGAATCCGGACGAAACGCCGGAGCCCCATTACTCAATTAGCCGGCGGACTACGGACAATAGCACACCAGCCGTGGAAGATGGCGGATCAGGTCAAGTATCTGGACACACCGGACAAGTCGGAGACGGACAAAAAGCTGTACAAGTGAGTGTTATTCGAGCGGGGGGCCAGCTAAACCAGACTTAATGAATGATTTCCTCTTCGCCATGTTAGGACTCTGCTGTTGGGTAATGGCTTGCACGCCCTGATTGTCTCCGATCCCAGTCCCATGCCACACGATGGCTTCACCACCTCGGAATCCTCATCGGACAAGTCCTGCGAACGCGAGTCGACCAGCAGTTCGGTGAGCAGCAGCAGTGATTCCAGCTCGTCCAGCTCCTCGGACAGTGGGAGTAGCGTTGAATCCGGTAGCGAAGAGGGCGACGAGAAGCTCGCCGCTTGTGCCCTGTTGATCGACTATGGCTCCTTTGCGGAGCCAAAGAAATACCAAGGATTGGCCCACTTCCTCGAGCACATGATCTTCATGGGTTCTGAGAAGTATCCAGAGGAGAACATCTTCGATGCGCACATTAAGAAGTGCGGTGGGTTCAGTAATGCCAACACGGACTGCGAGGAGACGCTCTTCTATTTTGAGGTGGCAGAGAAGCATCTGGACTCGAGCTTGGACTATTTTACGGCTTTGATGAAGGCACCGCTGATGAAACAGGAGGCCATGCAACGCGAACGCAGCGCCGTTGACTCGGAGTTCCAGCAAATCCTGCAGGATGATGAGACAAGACGGGATCAACTGCTGGCCAGTTTGGCCACCGAAGGATTCCCACACGGCACTTTCGCCTGGGGCAACATGAAGTCGCTGAAGGAGAACGTGGACGATGCGGAGCTGCACAAGGTGCTACACGAGATTCGGAAGGAGCACTATGGCGCCAACCGGATGTATGTTTGCCTGCAGGCCCGCTTGCCCATCGATGAGCTGGAATCGCTGGTCGTGCACCACTTTTCGGAGATCCCCCACAACGATGTGAAGGCGCCGGATTTAACCAAGTTCAACTACAGAAATGCCTTCAAACCGGAGTTCCATGAGCAAGTGTTCTTTGTGAAGCCCGTGGAGAACGAATGCAAGCTGGAGCTGACTTGGGTGCTGCCCAATGTGCAGCAGTATTACCGCAGCAAGCCCGATCAGTTTCTGTCGTATCTGCTCGGTTACGAGGGGCGTGGCAGCCTGTGCGCCTACTTGAGACGCCGCCTGTGGGCTCTCCATTTAATTGCCGGCATCGAGGAGAACGGCTTCGACATGAACTCCATGTACGCTCTGTTCAACGTGTGCATTTATCTCACGGATGAGGGTTTCAAGAATCTGGATGAAGTCCTGGCCGCCACTTTCGCCTACGTGAAGCTCTTCTCGAACTGTGGCTCCATGAAGGAAGTTTACGAGGAACAGCAGCGCATCGAAGAGACGGGTTTCCGCTTCCAGGCTCAGCGACCAGCATTCGATAACGTTCAGGAGTTGGTGCTAAACTCGAAGTACTTCCCACCGAAGGACATTCTCACGGGCAAGGAGCTCTACTACGAGTACAACGAGGAGCATCTCAAGGAACTGATTAGTCACCTGAACGAGATGAAGTTCAACCTGATGGTCACCTCGCGCAACAAGTACGAGGGTGTGAGTGCCTACGATCAGACGGAGGAGTGGTTCGGCACGGAGTACGCCACCATTCCGATGCCTGAAAAGTGGCGCAAGCTTTGGGAGGATTCGAAGCCCCTACCCGAATTGTTTTTGCCCGAGCCAAATAAGTTCGTCACAGAGGATTTCACGCTGTTCTGGCAATCGTTATGCAAACCAGAAATTCCCGCCGTACCGAAGAGGCTGCTCAAGACGGACACCTGCGAACTGTGGTTCCGTCAGGACGACAAGTTCGATTTGCCCGAGGCTCACATGGCTTTCTATTTCATCTCGCCGCTGCAGCGACAAAGTGCCAAAAAGTTAGTGAATTAACAATACTTTTATATTCAGTTCCTGCATTTATTATCTCCTTTTCTTTTTCAGCGATGCCATGTGCACACTTTACGAGGAGCTGGTGAAGTTCCATGTGTGCGAGGAACTGTATCCAGCCATCAGTGCCGGTCTTTCGTACACCTTCAGCACCATTGAGAAGGGATTGCTGCTGAAAGTGAGCGGCTACAATGAGAAACTACACCTTATAGTAGAAGCCATCGCCGAGGGAATGCTTCATGTGGCAGATACCCTGGACGAAAATATGCTGGCTGCCTTCAGGAAGAACCAACGCAAGAACTTCTTCAACACCCTGATAAAGCCAAAGGCACTTAACAGGCAAGAAATGGATAGATCAACCTGCTTTCTGGTGACCAACTTATGTGTCTTGCTCTTTCTTTTCCAGGGACGTTCGCCTCTGTGTGCTGGAGCAAATCCGCTGGCTAATGATCGACAAGTACAAGTGCCTCAACGATATTACCTTGGAGGATCTGCGGGAGTTTGCCCGTCAATTTCCCAAGGAACTATACATCCAATCGCTAATCCAGGGCAACTACACGGAGGAATCCGCTCACAATGTACTGAACTCGGTGCTGAGTCGCCTCAATTGCCAGGCGATCAAGGAGAAGCGCTACGTAGAGGATAGAACCATGCAACTGCCGCTGGGAACCAATGTAATCCGATGCCACGCCCTCAACGAACAGGATACAAATACGGTGATAACGAACTTCTATCAAATTGGACCGAATACAGTTCGCGTGGAGAGCATCCTTGATTTGATGATGATGTTCGTGGACGAACCGCTGTTTGATCAACTTAGAACTAAGGAGCAACTGGGCTACCATGTGGGCGCCACTGTGAGGATTAACTACGGCATTGCCGGGTATTCGATTATGGTCAACTCGCAGGAGACCAAAACGACGGCCAACTATGTGGAGGGTCGCATCGAGGTGTTCCGCGCCAAAATGCTGCAAATTCTGCGCCAGATGCCGCAGGACGACTACGATCACACTCGCGACTCGCTAATCAAGCTGAAGTTGGTGGCCGACATGGCACTGGGCACCGAAATGGCGCGCAACTGGGACGAGATCCTCAACGAGGACTACCTTTTCGATCGCCGACGTCGCCAAATTGAAGTGCTGCGCACGCTTCAAAAGTCGGAGATCATTGATTTCCTCCTGGATATCGATACCAACAACCTGAGAAAGCTGTCCGTTCAGGTGATTGGCCATCGTCCAGCGGATATGCCGGAACCTTTGCCCGGTTCCCACATCGCTGGCGATGACGAAGACAAGGCCGCAGACGCTAACGAAACTGGAGATGAGAGTGGAACTGAGAAGGATGAACACGAGGATGATGAGGATTCAGAGGAAGAGGTCGACGACGAGGATCTATTTGTGGCCCTGGAGAACAAGCTGAATGTGGTTTTCCTGCCCGCAGTTGGCAATGAAAAGACCATTCTGGATATTAACGAGTTTAAGAAGGGTCTGGACGTTTATCCCAAGCGAAAGAGTCAACAGGCGGAGGAGGAGGATCTGTCGCTCGCCGCCCGCATTGAAGACGCCATTGGCCAGGCGTGAGACCCTTGAGCAGACAACAAACCCACCCACCCAAACCAGCTGTCGTCTTCATATACCTCACCTATTTCCCTTTTTTTTTGTTGATTAGCCAAAGGTAGAAGAGTAGTTGCAATCCCTTTTACACCAACCTCCTGACCAAGTCAGCAATTCGCTCTCATATTTTAATACACTCCTCCATTATTAGTTTGAACTTCAACCCACACTTCGGCGCAGCTAATGACGAATGCATTTTGGAGTATTGACACACCGCATATGATTGATCGCATTGTCTGTCTTTCGTACTGATTTAATACACAAATAAAAATCAAAATTAAAAGCAATCCAGTTGCGTTTTAACAGGGATTTCAAGCTACAGAAGCACCACAAATTTCGGGTGTTATATTATTTTAAAGCATATCTATTATTTTTAGTAAAGAAACAAGAAAGGAAGCTAACTTAAAATCTGATTGAAATTAGAAAAGTTATGGACTTAGAAGTAGTAAATTTTTGTTAATTTGCAGCAAAATAATTTGTTTGAAATTTAGAGAGACGGACAGACGTACACGTCTAGTTGGAATCAGATCTGATCAAGAATATATATACTTTGTGGGTTCTGAGCTGTCTCCTTTAGTGCGTTGCGAACTTCTAACAGAAATTATAATACCCTCTGCAATATATAATATATTATAGTATAATAAACACTTGCTATGCAATTTGCCAGTATGGGGATTCTCCTCTCTCCGTTTCTCTCGTTTTATTTATATGTACATTAACAATGCGATTTGTATATAGACATTAAAGTTACATATAAAGAATGTTTTTCGTTTTCATTGATTTTCACTTTGTTCTCGACTTGTGCCCAATTGTCTTACAAGTGTACGTTATCCTTCAATTGTACAAATAAGGATTAAAGCCGATATGGGGTCAAGGACTCAAAGGAAGTTCAGATTGTTCGATTTTCGTCTCTTGGGTTCGATTTATTTTACTTTTGCGTATGGTGAATATATGTGATAATGCGTATTAACAATAAGTAACAATAGTTCAATGATGATTGATGTCTTGCTTTGTCTCCTCGTCTGCATCTTCTTTGCCTTTGTTCAGTTGAACTTAATAATAGTATTTAACTTACGATCATAACACAAAAAAAGTTGGTATACAATAATAATAATATTAAAGATAATAGGCGCAATAATGAAGGAAAATAATGCTGGAAAAAAAAACTGTTGTATAAAACAAAAAAGGCTTATGCTTTAAGTTTCTTATAAAAAAAAATGGGAAAATAACAAAATTGTGGTGTAGAAAGAGGGGACGGTGCGTTTGCGGGTGTAGAAAAATACAAAACCTGCCGTACGTTAAAGAAAATCTCAGTTAATTCATGTGTTTACAACAATAGAACCTCAGATCCAACTTTAAATGAGTTTTTCTCAAATATTGAAAAGCTATATATAAAAAGACAACTCAGTAGTTTAAAAAAGTGCACTTAAATTACAAATTAAATGTCTCCTTTTTGAGCTATATTTACATACTGAGAACACCTTTTCTATAGAACCTCGTTAGCCTTTTGCGCATGTGAGGCATACAAAATCAAAGATAATCCTTTGGATTCTACCACTTGTTCATTGTCAAAACAATCAATTTGCAAATATGTACATTGGTTTTATAATTATTGAAAGCCCGCTAACAATTTCACTGAAAATTTGTCGTTTTGAGGTCCTCGGTTGGTTTGTGGTTGCCTTTCCTCACAGCTTCTGCAGTTCGGTGCTATCGTTCGCATGGTAGCGACTCCTCACGATCTTGGTGCGGCCATCGTACTGCTCCTCGGGATCCAGCAGACCCTCCTCGTGTTTGGCATCCGGCGAGGTGACGCCCCCGTTGCCGTGCATGAAAATGCGCGAGATGAGCGAATTGGTCGATCGCTTGAAGGCCAACCTACTGCCCTTTTCGGGCAGATCGTCCAGGCCGCGATGCAGCGACAGGTTGTCCAGATCGTACTCGGAGCCACCAGCTCGTTCCGCCGCCAGTTGCGCCTCATATTCCGCCGTGCGCAGCGTCTTTGCCGTCGGCTTGCGATACATCTTAAGCAGCAGCGAGGAGCACACCACGCTCACCGAACTGGCGGCCATCGCCACGGATGCCATCCACGGGAGCAGGGTGAATCCGTAGGCAGCAAACAGGCCGCTGGCCAGCGGAATGCCCAACAGATTGTACATGCTCGCGAAGAAGAAGTTGTAGCGGATGCGACGCACCGTGCAGCGGGACAAGTCCAGACAGGCCACCACGTCCAGCAGATCGTTGCGCATGAGCACAATGTCCGATGCCTCGGCGGCCACATCCGTGCCAGCGGCAATCGTTATGCCCACATCCGCCTGCGCCAGCGCCGGGCTATCATTCACTCCATCGCCCACCATGGCCACACGGATGCCGTTCGCCTGGATCCGCTGGATCTTGGCCACCTTGTGCGACGGCAGCACCTCAGCGTAAACGGTTCGAATGCCAACCTAAAAGATGGGATATTACATTAATAATGCAATTGAGTGTTATTAAAATCTTAATTTACAGAAATGCAAGGTAATGCGTCCATCAATTTAGATTCAATTGTTAAACATGTATTTTAAATCACATAAAAGCAATCTATAATTTTAGATACAATTATTAAATCTGCAAATATGCAATCTATAATTTTAGATACAATTATTAACCACGAATCTTAAATCACAGATATGCAATATCTGATCTTATAAGCAATCAATTAAACCCACCTCTCTTGCAATGCTGGCAGCCGTGTTCTTGTTGTCTCCCGTGAGCAGCACCACATCGATGCCCATCTTCTTCAGCGTGTAGACGGCGAGGTGCGCCTCCGGCTTGACCATATCGGAGACGGCGAACATGCACACCAGCTGCCCGTTGAGAGCGCACAGCACCGCCGTGTGTCCCTTGCGCTCCTCGTGCGTCATGCAATCGCTGATCTCGAGCGGCACTTCAATCCCGTTGCGCTGCATCCACTCCCGGTTGCCGATGAGCACTCGGATCTCGGGGCCATCGATGATCTTGTGATCGGTCAGCAGCTGCTGCTGCTGCTGCTCCTCCTGTTCCGATACCAAGTCGGATAGCAATTGCTGATGGTTCAGCTCCATGGACTTGCGCACGCTCTGCTGCGGCAGCAGATGCTCAACGCTGGCTCCATTGACCACTGGAACAGATCCCAGGGGATGGTTGCTGTGCAGGTTCTCGTAGTTGATGATCCGCTCCGCATTGCACGCCTGTCGCAGCGTCTGCTCGTAGTTGGAGACCGTGACACGGATACCACAGCCCGGCACCGCCTGGAAGTTGCTGCTCTTGCCGAAGCTGCCGCTCTGCGGAGTGGCGCCCACGTCCAGCATGTCCTTGGCGAAGTGCACGATGGCGGAGGCGATCGGATGCTCGCTGTTCTGCTCCGCAGCACCCACAATTGTCAGCGCTCGAGCCAGGCTGCAGACTTGGGCGGTGACGAACAGGGTCACCTTGCTGGTCATCGGGGTGCCGTGGGTAATGGTGCCCGTCTTGTCGAAGACCACGGTCTTCACCTGGAATGATGGAGTTAAGCGGAAATGCGTGATTAGAAAGCTATAAGCAGGAATCATTTTTCATTAAATGTGTTTGTAAATAAGGGAAAAGTATAGAAGTGAATTAAAAATGTATAATAAGAAAAGGTAAGAAGTTGCAAAAGCAAAACAATGAATGGGAAACAAGTTACTTTTTCTTGAAGAAAAATTGTAACATATTTAATTGAGATCCTGAAATTTAATGAGAACAAAGTACAATATTCAGATCCAATGGTTCAATAAAAGCAAAGCAAAATATTTCAAAATTTAACGCAATAGTTTTTAGCAATCATAACTTTAGGGAAGTCTTTTAAAATATTGAAAATTTTGTACATATATTATTTACTTTTGTGACGTTATTTATTTTTATTCAAATGATTATTCAAATAACATCACCTTCGATTTGAAATGCTTGTTGCCAACTTTATTTTGAATGAAGCTTGATTTACCCATTACAGAAGTATGCACTTAAAGCCCTCAATAACCCAAATCAATCTCACCTTGTGGGCGTTCTCCAGGGCGGTGGCACCCTTGACCAGCATGCCGTTGATCGCTCCCGTTCCGGTGGCCACCATGACGGCGGTGGGCGTGGCCAGGCCGAGGGCGCAGGGACAGGCGATGGCCAGCACACTCAGGGCGCACTTGAAGGCATAGCTAACGATGATGGTGTTCTGGTCCATGTGCATCTTGTGCTCCATGGCCACCGGCACCAGTTCGGGATTGGCGAAGCCAACGATGATCCAAGCGATCAGCGTGATGCTCGAGACGACGACCACGAAGGGCACAAAGTAGCCGGCAATGCGATCGGCTAACTGTTGAATGGGCGCCTTGCTCGTTTGTGCCTCCTCCACCAGACGAACGATCTGGGCCAGCGTGGTGTTCTCCCCCGTGTGCGTCGCCTCCACCAGGAGCACGCCATTCTGGTTGATCGAACCGCCAATAACCACGGAACCCTTGCGCTTGGCCACCGGCATGGACTCCCCGGTGATCAGCGATTCGTCGCAGGTCGAATGACCGTAGAGAACCTTTCCGTCCACGGGCACCTTGGCGCCCGGGATCACCTTCAGGATATCGCCACGCTGCACATAGTCCACGGATATCACCTTCTCGCTGATGATGTCAAAGTCGGGGGAGATCTCCACCAGCAGCGCGTCGGCCGCCTTGAGGGAGAGCAGCTTGGACAGCGCCTCCGAGGTCTTGCCCTTGGCGATGTGCTCCAGCCAGCGGCCCAGCGAAATGAAGATCAGCAGCATGGGCGGCGTGTCGAAGAAGGTTAAAGGGGAGCTGTTCAGCTCCAGGAGAACGGCGGCAATTACCACGGCCACGGAGTAAACGTACGATATGGTCGTCACCATCGAGATGAGCACGTCCATGTTGGTGGTGCCATGTTTGATGGCTCGATAGGACTGCACGTAGAAGTGGAAGCCGCCGAAGAACTGCACCGGTGTGGAGAGCAGGAACATCACCAGGTTCTCCATCGACAGCCCAGGCACCAGGCAGCACATGTTCGCGTGTCCCTTGTCGTTCATCTCCAGCATGAAGTAGATCATGGCCACCATGCAGGGTCCGCCGAAGATCAGGGAGACCAGGAAGGCGTTGCGCCACTTGCGGATCTCCTCCTTGTGCTCCAGGTAGCTGTGGGCCATCTTGTCCCGGCCCGTCATCAGCTTGGCCTCGAATCCCAGGCCCTCGATCGCCTCGCAGATGCTCCGCGGCCCCGTGTCCTCCGTGTTGTACCGGAATTTACCTAAAATTAAATAAAATAAATACATATTTTGTATCAGTAAATATGCTTTAAATATGAAATATTTAATTAATAAATATGTGAACATATATCAGTCATATGCAGTGCAGCAAATAAAATAGAATGCCACATCAATTAAATAAAACAAAATCCATGAATTAACTTTATATTCTTAACTTAAATCAAATTGCAGTAGTCTTTTTGTAATTATTTATTATTATTATACAATCAAAAGAAGTTAATTTTCATAGGTTAACTACGAAAAACCGGACTTGTTCCAGTCGGAAAAATAGAGAAAGCTGGCATCGCAGAGGATCCAGTCCACAATGTTGATCGTGAAATTGGCCAAAGAGAAAGCCAATTGCAATTGACCACCAAATGCTGATTTATTCAAGCAACTTTTATCCCAAGCCTAGCTTAAAGAGACCACAAATATTTGTGATACAACAACAAAAGTCATTAAAAAAGACTCCTTAAATTCGTTTCAATTCAAAGTGTAATGCATTATTCTGAATTATAATTCAAGAATTAAAACAAAAGCTTATAAGTTAGTGTTTTAGGTTTATGTAAATTGATTTTCTTTTATAAAAAAGAGTTAGAATGACTTGCAGAAGGGTAAACATTTATATAATGACAAGCACTTTGCTTAAAACAATATGTAGAGTATATCTTAACGAGATATCAATTTCATCAGAGTTTCTGTGGGCTGTTATCACTTCTATGGACTCTTCTGTTTGCTTGGGCTTCAGTAAAATTGTAAAGGAGAAAGCCAGACAAACAGAAGGGGTTCTGAGGGGGAGGGAAGCTTCGGAGGTTGCGTTTTAGCCGGCCTCAAATAAAACTGTTGGTGCACCTCAACGACTGGAAAATAATGCCGGTTCTGCTAATGAAATTGGAGCATGCAACCGGTTTTATGGCGAAATCGATGTTCAATAGTTAAATGGCTTTAACTAGTTTATGTAAAGTAACTACAGCGGTTCGAATATTTGCTCATATTGAAACAATTTAATTATAAAGGGTTCTTTTAATAATAATAATTAAATAATAAACATTTCAAATCTATCTGTTCAATTTGTTTTATATCCCAATTTTATTTTAACAAACTTTGATCTGGTGAACTTGCATAAATTTCATATGAAACTATAAGTAGTCACGATTTTAAGTGGGATCATTATCTTATAGCAGTCTGCTGTCATAATCAATATGTCAAACATGTGGCTGAATTGAACGCATTAAATAGAATTCGGTGGGACTTAGGAGCTCCCGGATTCTTGGGGTTGGAATATCGCTGCTGCTGCTGTAGGTTCATCGCACCCGATAAGATAACTTTTCAACTTTGCAAACTGTGTAAACTGAATCGCTGCTGTTCTCGATTATTAGCATGTCGCCGGTTGGGCAACAACTAGAAATTCCTGATACTATTGCCATCTGCTCTGTATGTTTTTTCCCCCCTTTATCGTGTTATTACTTCTCCACGTTTGCGATCCGAGAAAATTACGAAATCAGAACCCCTCTCGATCATTCGGTTTTCATTCCGGGAAAATGGGAAGACGTCACACATTTCATTTTGGTTCATTGATAAACAGATGACATTGGGCGAATGACTCATTATATTATATTATTTAGATTTCACAATTTGTGTAACAAAAACTAAGGAATCTTTAGAGGAATAACATTTGTTTATAGATTACTTGAAGTGTTAAATTTATTTTATTCGCAACCCGTCAAATCAAAATATTTCACCTCTATCAATTCCAACATTGCCCACATTTTTCCCTACTCATTGTAATCAACTTGAAACCATCTTATCAGATGGGGAAATATAACAAAAGATGATGCTGTTCCCTTTCAAAATCCCGTAATTGGTAACCAGGCAAATTTACTTTTAGATTAGAATAGCAGTCTGTTAACTAAATAGTTTATTTGCCGTCAGTATTTTGCCCCCAGATCAACAAGATTTACTCATCATTAAAAAAATAGAAAACAAAAATTTGTAACCCAGTAAAATCCCTTAATTTGTGAGCTTATATTCGTGAGTTTAGAACAAATTATTAGCATTCCAAACTGCTGCAGTGCGATTTAACATTGCTACAAATATTTATGAAATACAATTTAATTACTACAAACAGTTCTATAAACCCATGTAAATCAACATTTATTCAAAGCTCTGTGGGTCAATAAATATACAGAAAGGCAAGTAGATGACAAGCCACATGATATCATTCGGAGTTATTGTTTATCATTCAATTAGAGGGTCATCATCAAGTGGATATCAAACGGGTCGTGTGCAAAATTGAGGAAGGATTATAGTGACATAATGCCCCGATCACACGAAGGGTGACAATTGCCGCTAATTATTGATGGTACCGATCGATCTTCCCCCAGTTTTCAATTGATAAATTATCTGCGGGTCGTGTGCGTTTGTAAACTCCAAAATGTATTGAACAAACATTTTCAAAATTGTTTGCTTGCCAATCTAATTTTGTTTTTGTTGTAAAAGAAAGATATATTATTTAATCAACGCACAACTTATTTAATAGATATTTCTAAGCAATTTCTTGGATTTTTAATTTTTAAATACAAGTTTTTACTGTAGGAAATTCAATTTAAAATTGAATTTTTTTCTATTCTATTTTTTTTCTGATTTTTTGACTTGCTCACTTGCTGCTTCTTATCGCCCGCGTTTCGTTGTTACAATTTTAGAACATTTTCAATTTGAATTGAGATTGCCTGTTGTTATTGTTATTGTTGTCGTTGTTGTTGCTGTCGTGCACTTATCGCCGGACGATAAGAATCGGAAGAAAACATATGTTTTGCTCAACAGTTTACACGCCCAATTCCGACTACCGATCGGGCAAACAAACTTAAAACAAGCTAACAAGCAGAAGTTCCAGCAACAAATGAGAAACAACACGTTTTACTATTTTAATGGGAACTAATTGAATTCCGAAGTTGAAGTCTTAGAGTCAATTAATCGAAAGATAAGGATCCAGATGATATAATCGTGAAATCTCTATAGGTTAAAACCCCACCTAAAATATGTTTTAATTTTATTGTCTGGCATTGCAACCTCTTTGAAAAAATAATTATATATGCAAGTCGCAGCATTTTCCTTTTTCAGCTGAAACCCATTGACATTCTCATTGGGTAACCAGTTTATTATTACTTTTGAATATCTAAAATAGTTTTCAGTGTCATATGTACAATCGAAATAGTTTCATTTGCTTTTCTCCATCGAGTTTTTTATCCATGTCAAACGCGAAAAAAGCGCAAAAGGCAAGTCAACTGAAACCGAAACCAGTTTTATTGCAATTATAATTACGAAGCTCTCATTTATGCATTTTCCCTTGCTGTGATACTTGACTTTTTCAAATAACGCACGTAGGCAAATTGAAATCCAGGTATGCGAACGGATTTCCGCGAATCAACCAGAATTTAATGCCAGTCGTGTGATAAAACATAAGTCGGGCATTCTATTGCATAATCCGCAACTAATTTCAAAACAAGATCTGCGAGACAAGAGCAGAAATAAATAAGCAACCGAAAATATAAGAGCACAACTCTAAATCAAAGTGAAGGTGAATGAAGCTGGAGACTGCAGATAGAAAAAATTCACAAGGCTACCTGAACATAATACTATTTTTTAATGTATTAAAATGCGCTTGAAATCCAGATACTTTTTAATAAATATAAATATTTTAAAAGATATACATAGAAAGAATTGTATACACATTTAAATCAGTCAAATATATTTATATTTATTAAAAAAGAAATTCAAACCAAATTGTTTATAACCATATTTCTTCAAAGATGAGGCCTTTAATAGAACCAAGACTTCCTGACTTTCTGTTACTACAGCTACTATATTTTCTCGCTGTGTAAAAAGTGGCTTAGAGTTCGTGGTCACGCATGCGAAGCAGGGAGAGTCGAACCCCAAAAAAAAAAAGAAAAAAAGAGAGAGGTCTCCCTCTTTCCAGACAAAAGCGAGATTAATTCCCCAGTTGCTGTCTGCGATCGTGGGTATATATTTTCATACATACATATGTACATATATATATTTAGAGGCGTATGCCTGAAGCTCTTTCACTTTTGTTTTGGTTTTGATTTTTCCACCTTTTTGGCCAGGCGGACTTTCAATTTCAAGGCTTAATTGCCAGTTGGCAAATGCCTGTCCATAACTCGATTGGCAATCAAAGTTTATGGAAAACAAAGAGCGAACAATCGCACGCTGTCTTTTGTTCTTTGGCCGGCAATCGCTTTTTGATCCCTCTCTTTTTTTCTGAGTTAAATTACAAAGGTTCTTCCGGAATAAATATTAAAACAAGACAACAAAATGATCTAAAGAATTAAATAAAGTCTGAGGGAAGGTACTCAATGGAATGTAGAATAATATAAAACTCATAGCAATGTACATACATATTTAGTTTGATTAAATAGTATAACATTTTTGAGCGTATCTTTAGGGTGCGTGTGTATTTGTTTTGGAATGAGTGCATTTATGCATAATCACTTTCTGCCCCCTATTAAATTCCGTGGCTGTTCCAGATAACTCAACTCTACGGCCCACGCACACGAACGCACCAAGTCTAAGCACTTTAATCTAGTTGCCATTGCCATTGTTTGCCCGCCGCATAGTGTACAGTGTACACTGTACAGTATACAGTGTGTATAGGGTCCCTCATCGCACTATTCCCGAGCACTTTCTTATCATTGGAGCGCACTCACCACCCCGGCCCTCCCGAAAAATATAAGCCCCATTGCCCCAGCAAGGCATAAAGTATAGCGACTATATCAGTTACAATAAACAATTGCCGGGCAAGTTCTCAATTGTGAAATGCGAACAAAACATTTGCACCGATTTCAGCAAGTCAATGTTGGCAAGTTAACAAGGGAACAGATGTTGCTGCGCCAAAATAAATAAATAACATACCCCTGAAGGGGATATACATACATATACGTATGGTTAAATAATAATCATATATATTAACTGCTTAACATCCCTTGCATTAATCAGTAAACAGAGTTTTCATTCTACAATGTATTCCTTGAATATTAAATCAAACAAATAAGTATGTGAGATTTACAATATGGTATTATCGTTGAAACTATTTATAAAAAAAAAAGGGAAAAACGAATCCTATATCCCTTGGGTTCAAGGGTATACAAGATATCAGATTGAAATTAACGATAATGTAAACCCAGCTGTGGGCGGTGGGTGAAAATGAACAGCAACAGGTGCATATCGGTTGATGGCCTGGTTCCAGGTGCTCATTCCGAATGTTGCGTAACACTTGTCACTTGCACTTGTGGAGCGCTCGATTTCGAGTCGAGTATTGTGACCCCGCCCGCGATTCTAAACAGTCAGCCACCTTTTGTATTATGGATAACAACTGGGCTTCCCACAAAAGATCCCATGAGTCTTTGCCAACATGTTTGAATTCGCTCATTATTTACAAAACAAAGCATTTGTTTTCGTTGCTAATTAACAATTAAGTTTAGAGTTTACTTTAAACTAATGGATTTGGGATAACAAAGATAGTAAAACTCCCTATTATTTATAGAACTACTTTCAACTTACCCCTCTTTGTTAGCAGTGTAACGGAGGCGCTCGTCACGCCCTTTATTTTGAGCACATGACTCTCGATCTTGTTGACGCAGGAGGCGCAAGTCATGCCCATGATCTCCAGCTCCACCTCGGCCTCGCCGTTGTCCGGTTCGTCGATGAGCTCGGTGGGGAATCCCAGCTCCGTGATGCTCTTGGCAATATTCTCCGCCGTCACCACGTTCGCATTGAACTTGACCTCCGCCTTGGCGGCCAGCAGGGCAACCAGGATGCTATCCAGTCCGTAGATCTTCTTGCAGTGCTTCTCGATGGCGGCCACACAGCTGGCGCAGGTCATGCCGCGAATGTGCAGGAAGCACTTGGTCAGGAGCTCTTGTTCGATGGGAATGGCCACAGCGGCACCATTTTGTACGGGAGCAGCCACGGGAGATGCACTCTTTCTGGGCGATGAGGCGGGCGTTGGACTGCTCTGCCGGGAATCGTGCACCGAGGCCTCGAAGCCCATGTCATCGATGAGCTCGGCTATCTGGGCGGGATCATACTGGGCGGGATCGTATTGAACGCGGGCTAATTTGGCGGCCAGCTGCACCTCGATGGAGTGGATGCCCGGCTTGGTGCCGATGTTGCCCTCGATGTTGCTCACGCACGACTGACAGGTCATGCCCACCACCCGGATGGTGGTCGAGGCGCTCGAGGGGATTGGCTTGGATTCGGCCGCTGGCTCCGGATAGCTGCACTCGAAGCCCATGTCGTCGATATCGCTGGCTATCCGGGCGGGCTCCGTCTGCAGGGGATCGTAGTCGAAGTAGCCCGCCTGCTCCTCCAGGATGACGCGCACCCCGAGGACTCCGGGCTTTTGGCCAATATGCTCCTGGATATTTCGCACACACGACTGACAGGTCATGCCCACAATGGGCAGCCGAATCGTGGACATCGTCATCGTCTTCGTCGCTCCTTCTTCGTCACTTAGCATGCCGTATTTGCATTATTTTCCGCGGGCGGGTTGGGGATTTTCTAGTGTTACTTGAAATTTTGAACTCTTGAGTTGCCCCTCGCTATCGCTAGAAATCTCTGTTGCACTCGGTGTTGTGTCACTAACAAAAACTTTCGGAGTCAAGTGTGTTGTGCCGCGGTTCGGAATTTGTTGTGGCTATTCGTTGGCCGCCTGCCGCCGCTTTTCACTTGGCCAAACTCCACACGAAACTCAAAATTTGTGTGTTTTGTGTTGAATTTTCCAATTAGCAGGCAACAGCTGCTCCGCTCCCGTTATGTTTCTTTCCCCCGTTCGCACGGCACGCAACTAGCGATGGGCGGCAGCCGATAGGCGGGCGACTATCGGTCGCCCGATTAGCGAGACTGCCAACTTGGACTTGGAAAATATCGATTAGTGAGTGTGCTCATTTATTGTTTAGAAAAAAAGCTCTACTAAGGCATGGCAACATTTCATCGATTGAAGAATACATTGTTTTGCTTTTGGAATTATAATTGTTTTTATCAGCCCAATATATACTAAAAAAATCTTTTTTGGTACTATAGAAAATAGAAAATATTTTAAAATATTTTCCGAATCTAAATAAAAGAAATAAATTTACCAGAACTTCAACTATAAATAAAACTTTAATCTACAAAAGATTCAATTTCCCACTCTTTAAACAAAGATCAATGTAATGATAATAAAAACAAATATTTTTATATCCACGCAGAGAATAAAGTTAAGTAACATTTTATAAAAATAAAGGAAAGGCGGCAAAAATAGCGATCACTGGAAGTGGGGGGATTCCCCTCTACCAGCGCACCCCACAGTGTAATTATGTTGTTGGTTTCTTTTTTGGCGATTTTAACTGACTTCGTTTTTTTTGTTGGTTTGTTCCGGGCCGCTTTTGTGTAATTATTTATATTTAACAATTGGCTTTTGTATACAACGTAAATTTACAATTTATACGCCGACACCCACAATGTACTTGCGTTTCGTATTTACAATTCTAGACAACCACAATTAGTCAGGAACTGTGGCCAACCCTTGACACTGTGAGGCGCTCGACCGCCGAGTGACATAGCTTCGGAAGTGCAATTTATACCGTCTGCTCTCGGAATAAGCACTTGGGAATCATTGTGACCCCTCGGATTGTTAAAAAGCTGTTTCGTCAGCAGATGGCGCTGCGCTCGCGCTCTGTTTCCAATTGGAAATTATTTTTTAAAAGCTGCATATCATAAATAAATTTTTTAACGTCAATTCTAATATTGTTTTTTAATATAAAACATTCAAAAACTGTGGTTTGCAATTGTATCGTTTAGTAATGTTTTAGTTATTTAATGATACAAAAAATAAAAAAAATGATGATAATGAACTAGTAGTTAAAACTTCATTTTACGTAGTATACAAATTCCAATCAAGCTACGAAATCAAATTCGATTACCGATAACAAGTCGATTGGACTGTCATCACTTCACAGCTGATCAATTAGAACACTTTTGGTTTGTTTTCGGAAGCGGCTTTAAACTTTTGCTATTTCCACATTCCCCAACTTTGTACGTACACTTTATAAACAAATCCCAGGCGAGGATCAGGATCGGGACGAAGTCGGAATCAGGATGCCGGTGGTCGAGTTGAGCGTGGACCGCAGCCTGGTGTGTGCGAACTTCGATGGCTACAAGTTGTCTTTTGATTCGGTGCCGGTGCTCAAGCAATCTCTTGAAATCGATCCCCTCCGTTTGGAGCCCCATGCGAATCAGTTTTCGCTGCTCCATGTGGAGCTCTTTGCCCGACACAATCACCTCTTCGCGGATCCCTGGCTGCGGCACTGCAATTACTATGTGAACGTTCGCCACCAGTTGGTGCAGTGCAGCTACGATCCGCAAAGTGGACGAGCTCGTGGCCAGCGTGTCGTCTACAGCTTGGACTGTCGCGACCAGGGCGACGGATACCAGCATAGTGTCGGGGACTACAACTATACGATTTGCTTCATCTCGGAGCGTTTTTGTGTTATCTGCGATGGCGTTTCCACGTACCATCTCGTTGACACTGGAGATCGATCGCGTTCTGAGCCGGTAACATGGCAACGAATCGCCCAAACGCCAGTGGATGTTGCCAACGATTATCGCGGCTTTGTGCTCTATGATGCCCGACTGGATGTTGTGCAGGAACGGAAGCAAATCTCCCTGATTTCGGGACACGTGGCACGCCGGGATTTGGCCGCAGTTCAGGAGCAGACGCATGTCTACTACATGGATCTCGTCTGGGGTAGATGGACCCAATCGCCGACAGACGGCGAGTGGGAATACAGCATTTGCCAGCGGCTGGAGACCACTGGTTCGGTTCACTATTGCGCTTTTGAGCCACGAGCCGAATCCCTGATCATTGCCAGCAACCGCGAAGTGCAGACACCCGAGCAGCGAAAAGCAGCTGATGAAGCAGCCGCTGTTGCTGCAGCTTCCGCTGCTCCATCTGGCCAGATGCAAAATGGTCACGACCACAAGTTCAGCTGGAATCAGACAGGTGACGATTTGCTCATTCGGTTTCCATTGCCTCAGGGTTCTAACCGGAATGAACTGAACATACGCTGTACCAACACCAGTGTCCTGGTAAAGCATCTGGAAGAAGAACTGCTGTCCGGGGAGTTATACGCCCGCGTTGACAACGATTTGACCACCTGGACCGTAGAGGCAGATAGCCTTCAACTGACGCTGGTTAAAGCGGAGCCACAAAACTGGCCACAATTGCTGAAGCAGAAGGATTTGGCTCCCGAAGAGGCTGGAACTGAGGAGGACTCGGATGCCGTGGCGGATCCACCGCTGCCCATTCCCAACCTCGAGGATCCCATCGAAGATTGCGACCTCGGTCTGACCGACGAAGACATTAAAATGGGTGAGTGTACTATTCTTTTGCATAAAAAATTAATTTTTGAGAAAAAGAAAAAAATGTTTTGGATTGAACGTAATTCGAACCCGGTCTGCTGGTGCCAGAGGTGGATGTCTAAAGCTCTGGGCTAGGCAATATTATGATTTTTTAATTGGAATTGAAATCAGCGATAAGCACACATATTCAATTACTTATTGGAATTATATTTGTGTGAGTTTTGGGTGTGACGCTGCAGCGCCTAATTCAGCAAAACAATTAAGATACATAAATAATATATTATAGAATAAGAAAATGTTAATAATATCTTTTTAATTACCTTTTCTAGTGCGCTTTAATCTCATCAGCGGAGGGATCACCCACACCATTTTCCTTGGCTCCACGCCGCTCCTTTTCTCGACCACCTTGCGTCCTGGATTTCCGGCCGCCTTTGCCACGCGCCAGGGCGTCGATGCCTCCGTGTGGCTGCAGATGTACCAGCCAAGTCGACCGGACGAATGGAGCGTGCGCCACGAGGGACAGTTGCATGCCTTTGGTTACGTGCAGGCCTCCAAGGAGCAGCGCAAGTTCACCGCCTGCTGTCCGGATCTGGACTTCGTGGTCATCTGCGAGAGCTTTCGCCACGTGCTGGTTTACCGACCGCGTCACGATTCCGCCGGCGGTCTGCGCAAACGCAACGGACCGCCTGTCACGGTCGGCAAACAGAACCTCGTTACTCTGGAATACGACGTCGGTGAAATCCTAGGCATGTCCACGGCCAACAATCTGATCACCATCCTCACCTGCCACAACCTGCTGCATCTGCAGGTGTGACTTTCTGACTTTTGTAATAAATACGTATGAAAATACACTGTTGAGTGGACAATACATGCATTTGATTTAATCGCATTAAAAATATTTACATAAATATCCTTCTGAGGATAATTCCATTCAAGAATATTTCTGAAATATATTTTATTTCTCTAAAATTAACCACATATCTTGTATAATTTCCATAAACCATCAATGCATATTTAATAGAGACGTAAATCTGCTAATTAGAATTTAAAAGAGGATAAGATTACATTTTCAAAAAACTTGACAGCTCTTCAGTGAACCGCCCATTTCCGATAGGCATCGATTCAAATGCCGATAACACATACGTGTTCCTGCAGTGCTGCAAAGCGGCCGGCAAAAAGAGTGTTGACACGTGTCAGAACATTTCGGCCAGAGTTTAGTGTTTTTATGGTTCTCTATTTTTTTTTAGCAATTGGCAAACAAAACGTAATTCGGACGAGCTGTTGGGTGAGTGGATGACAGGTGGCAATTCACCCAGAATCTTGGCATTGACCCAAAGTTTTGGCATTAACCCCGTTGCAGCTGGAAAACCGTTCATCAGACGAAAAGCGAAAAAGGCAGGGCGGTGGATTTTGAGCTCGTCAAAATAGCAAATACCAAATAAGCATAGCCATGAATACGCAAGTTCTGGTAGTTTTGGCCCTGGCCATGCTGCAGTGCATCACCGCCGTGGAGTTCACCTTCGACTTGGCCGACAATGCGGAGGATTGCTTCTACGAGGAGATCAAAAAGAACTCGAGTGCCTACTTCGAGTTCCAGGTTTCGGCCGGTGGCCAACTGGACGTGGATGTGACGCTGAAGGATCCGCAGGGCAAGGTCATCTACAAGCTGGAGAAGGCCACCTTCGATAGCCATCAGTTCGTGGCGGAGACAACGGGCGTGTATACCGCCTGCTTTGGCAATCAGTTCTCGGCGTTCTCGCACAAGATCGTCTACGTGGACTTCCAGGTGGGCGAGGAGCCCGCTCTGCCCGGCGTCGATGAGCACGCCACGGTGCTCACCCAAATGGAGACCTCATCGCAGGCGATCCACAAGGGCCTGAATGATATCCTCGACGCCCAGACGCATCATCGTTTGCGCGAGGCGCAGGGTCGCAAGCGAGCCGAGGATCTCAACCAGCGGGTGATGGTCTGGTCTTCCCTGGAGACCGCCGCCGTCATCCTGATCGGTCTCGTTCAGATCATGGTGCTGCGCAACTTCTTTACGGACCGAAAGCCCAGCCAGGCGCACTACGGGCGGCTTTAAAGGACTGGCGGTATTGGGATCTAGCTTTGTTTAAGCCCTTGCATTGATGCGGATGAAGAAGACACCTCCTCCTCGACCTCCTTCTCCCGCCCCCCGAAAAACGAAACCCTTTCAATCTCGTCTTAGCCACAACGTATTCATTCCCCCAAGGGCGTTTCTTTTTGGGCCACCACCCGCTTACCTTCTCCCAAAAAAAAACGACATGTAAAACCTTTTTGTTGTGACCCACCCGGAAACAGAATGTTTTTTTTTTTAAATACATGCAAAAGCAACCATAACTCGATAGCTAAAGATAAATCAATGAGCGTTTCAATAGGGGGTCCTTAGGCGTAATATCCGGTTTCCTTATTTATGGATGTCGTGGCCTTTTTTTTTAGAAACAATAACTGAAACGCTAAAGAGAGTGAAAGAAGTAACGCAAATAAGACCCCATTAAGTAGAGTTATGCGTTAAATTTAATGACCATAAAATGCTGTGCAGAAGATCGAGTACTTTTTAATAAATGTCATTGTAAGCAACTTAAAATAAACTTTAAGGGGGGGGGTAAGGTTTTAAAGGCCAAAAAAAGGGCCATGTTTGATTTTTTTTTGCGGCGAAATGAGTAAGTTTATTTTATTGAACTTAATTACATGTTATTGTTTAACTTTTGAAGAGTATTAGAAAAAAAAATTATTTAAAAATATTTAGAAATAAGCCTGTGGCGGTTAATCTTCCAAAGCGCCTAAAGAAAAAGTTGTTTTGCGGTGAACATCATAGGGCGTTAACGGATCATCTTAAAAATAAGATGTGATATTCGTTGTAAAGATAATGAATTTCCCGAGGTAATCAGGAAGAGTTTTTTTTTAAATTTATTTTTTTTCTATTTTTGGGAGCACTTGAAAGTGAAAAGTGCGATTTTAGCTTAAAAAATTGCTGTTAATTTATTTTTTAAAAATAGAAAAAAATTAAAAATTAAAAAAAACTCTTCCTGATTACCTGCGTATTTATGTTGAGAATTTGTGTTAAAAATTTGAAAAGGATCGGTTCAGTAGATTTTGAGTTCTGATGTTCACCGACTTTCAAAGTAGCGTCTTCGGCAAAATCGATTCAAAGTATTTTTATACGTGAAAATACGTCCAAATACGGTTGTTTAAAACGCTGTAACTCCGTTAGTTTGGCTTTAATTGACTCAAAATTTGTACACAATATTCTCGACGTATTGGTCATTCAGAAAAAAAAAAAAAAAAAAATGTAAAAAAAAATTTTTTAAAACCTTACCCCCCCCTTAATATTAAATAATCAGGTCTCTTGCGATGGCAAGCTCTAATTTTCTATACTTCCCATTTTTTAGCTGGCGTGGCCTTCTATTCAGAATATACATAACTCAGATGTGTTTCATATCAGCTGAGTCAATAAAAAAGAAATACGCTTCTATGGAAGAGTATATAAAAAGATATGCTGAGGAAAAATGCCATCAAATTGAGTGTTAATTATATTGATAACGAGCGAGGAATAGGCATAATTAAATGGTTGAGATAAGTTATTGCTCTCCAATTCAGCTTATTTAAATCAAATAAATGATAGAACATAAGTCTTTGCCAATAGTAGAAGAATCTTTAACTAAGATAGGATCAGCATCTGATTAACTAAAAACAAACAAACACTTCGTGAATTACACAATGGATGTTAAAAATGATTCATAAATAAATAGAAACCACAACTTATTCAGATAAGAAAGTATCGATATATTCTATATACACCTATTTTATGAATGATAACTAATAGCACGTACTTATCAAATGGAATGAAAGTGTATCCTTATCTTCAGTGGCCATTATTATTGATTCCCAATAATGTATTAATCTTGTTAGTAATCATCTATCTTATCAGTTGTAGTTTTCGGAGAACTATGTCAACTTTGGCCTGTGAGTTTTTTCATAACTGATAAGATATAATATATGGGATGGATTCAGCATTCACACCCCGATTTATCACAGATGATGCGATTTTGAAATCGTCATGGACTCGGGTTACTAAACGACAATTATGCAAACAAAATTATTGCCACTGACATGATAATGCCCTATTCAAATGCAATAAATCTTTTTAACTGTTTTATGTACGGCTTGTCATCTTTTATTTGTTGATCTTCTTTGACTGACTTTGGGAATTTCGTGGATCTTTTGTCAATCGCGGTGGCATTGCCAAATATGTCCAGATATAAATACGATAAATGGTATGCAAATTTAGTCGTTTGTCTCTATGCCAATTAATAGTATTTAAATCAGTCCAAGACAATGATACATCGTCGACACTGTGTTTATTGCCCCATTCATAACAATGGATGCAAAAAACAAAACAAAAACGATTTGCCAAAAATTCAAATTTCATTTTTATCATCTTGTAACAATAAATAAAGACAAGAAATTGCCTAAACTTACAACATTTTGAAAAATATGCAGCAAATGTGTTTTTATCATGAGAAATTTGAAATAAATTAAAGGACATACATATTTCAAAATGCATAGTATAGAATTTGCAGATCTTTAAAATGTGATTTAGTTTCCTACGTTTTAAAATATAAATTAAAATTTATTGTGTTAGCGTTTCATTATTATTGTGTACAAGTTATTCAACTTTTTCAATACTCAAGCAATCATTTTTCTTTTATATTATAAGTTACCATTCTATTAATTCTTTTGAGAGTTAACCTCTTGGCCAATGGAATTTATTGTTAGTTTGTTTTACCCACCTCTTTAATTATTTACCTGGCTGGCCCGAAAAGGTGTTTGCCCCGAACTGAACTCTTGACTTGGCAACAGCAGATGGCCAGCAACTTGAAACCAAAGTGAAAGGGAAGTTAAAGTGGCGTCTGAAGGACATTTGTAAATGAATTGTCAGCGGATCGATTGATCGGTGTCAAAATGGGGTTAATCAAACGTCAACAGAGTCTGCATGCTAATTACCCATATTCATAATGATAATAATAAAGCGAGTAATCGTGGCACACGTGTCAAAGATTATAACCCAGGCTCAGAAGATCAAACTATCAAATTATAAAAACCTATTAGTTAATGATGTGATATAATGAAAATGTGCAAAGTTCAAAAGTTCCAAAGACATTTATGCAACCTTTGGTGTATTTAATAGGTCTTTTAATTCATCATACTGCACACAAATATTTTAAATATTATTTCTTCCAGTGCAACAATTATTTATGGACTGAATATTTATGGGTATGAATAATATTGGCCAGCAGGGGAAATTAAAAAATCAAATTTCAAAACCCATTCAGTTTTGCATGGCGTGGCTCAATAGATAATGGTCCAATCAATGAATCGTCACTGTTTGGGGCTTCCAAAAAACAAATAAGCCGAACACGCCCCAAACTTCCGAAAGCCTCCACGCCCATTTTTACCCTCTTCGTCCCTTGGTTACCATCTTAACCATTTTTGGCCAAGAGGTCGCCACTTTGGCTGCTGCGGAGTCTTCGGGTTTTATGTATCAATTAGTAGTCCGACGACACCGGTTCCATCCGTCAATGGGCGATCTTCAGCGGGATGCCGCGAGGGTCACTTAAAGAGTTCATCAGATAAAAAAGAAGAATAAAGAAATATTTTTAAAAATAAATAGAATTATAAATATAAAAGAATTAACAAGGTGATTTAAGAAACATTCGGCACTTGGATGAAAATATAACCAAGCTTAATAGACCTCAATTTTTAATTATATAAGGTAGGTTTTTGAGATTTTTGAGATGGTATCCAGTCAATTATAAATTGCTTAACTTGTATAAATATACCGAACAAATTTTAAGGCCAATGAAAAAATAGTTTGTTATATATGTACGAACTCATTGATCAACCCACTTGGCATACGCATTTATAAAAGCGATTCGGTTTCCCTTTTTTTTCGTTTTCGTTGTTATATCTTTTTTTGTAGTAGTAAGTTTGTTTATCATTATCGACTTTGCCAAATATTTCCATTGCACGAAAACATATTTTTGCTACTTTTTCAGATCATTAAGATGATTTCTTTACACAAAAAATGAAGTTAAATTAAATCTAAAATTATTGTTTCTATTTCTAGTTAATAGAGGGATTTAATACTTTTATTATAAAAACATTTATTTCAGTGTGGTTTTAGTTTTACTGTTGCTGCAACCTGCCTCGTGTATGATATGGCACAAATTTATTGTCGATGAATATTCCAGCCATATGCATAGCCAATAAGTATGTAAATCGACCTCCAATGGCCCACTAATGGGTGGCGATGTTTGTTAATGTAACTATATATTATATATTCCCATTTTCACAGAGAACCAGAAAGGGAGGGCGATCGATTTAGAGGGAGAGGGAATGTAAGCGAGAAATTAAATAATTAACAAGCTAGGCAATATGCATATCAAATTTTTTTAGTTATGCCAACAAACTGCAGGAAACTCTCATAAATAATTAATAATGTATCTCTGATGCTAATTCAACTTGAAGATAAATTTATGGCACGAAAGAATTGGGGTTTGGGCCTACAAATTCCGGATAGAGTTACAATAAAATGCATTTCATAACTAACAAAACTAATTTTGTAATAATCCCAATAATAGTCTGATTTATGTGGTATAATTGCCTTAATCAAATTATTTGATTTTTAAATTGACTTTGCAACGGTTGCATTTTCATTATAAATTCCGATTGATTGGTATCAAAAACACGACATTGATTTGACTCTAATCATGGTTAAATATATATATTGTTATGTAAGTTGCTTTTTATATTTAATTAAGGCATTTATCTAGCATATTGGTGAATTTAATTTTAAAGCCCAAAATTTTAAAGTTTATTAAATAGTATTTAAAAAGTGATGTGCTCTTAGCTTGATATATAAATTTACTTTATACATATCCATATACCTATGCAATCTACAAAAATGCCAACAAAAGCGCTCCAAAATGAACGTTCACACATTGTTTTATTTAATCAGTTAATAAGTATCTTTGGCCCAGACCCTTGCCTTCTTTTTTCGATTGAATTCAATTCAATTCAATTATTTGCATGTCCCGCCTTTGTTGACCATCTCGTCTGCCTTTTATTTCCCCTGCCGGTCTGTTTATACCCTTGCAGAGGGTATTATAATTTCAGCCAGAAGTAGTGAACGTAGTAAAAGAAAGCCATAGTAGGATGCTATTTTTTTGACGCTTTTCTTTAAATTTTTATGATCTAACCCCATTCCAAATTCCCAAAAAGTTGGTTATTTTAATAACATTTTGAAGTGGCCCCTCAAAGTAATTTCGTTTCATTGATTTTATATAAATAAATTATTTAATTACATTTTAAATTGTTGTTAGCCTGCAAGGGTATATAAGTTTCGGCTCCCCGAAGTTAGCTTCCTACTTTGTTGTATTTTTCTGTTGTTAGCCAAGTTGTTAGCGATCGTTCAGATATTTTGTATGCCTTGCCTAGTCGGAGGGCCAAATACGCATAAAATATTTAAGTTAAGATGGGTCAAGGTTTCTCGAAAATCAGCGAGAAGGGGGAAGTCCCCCCAAGCCGAGCGCCATGGGAAAATTACACGCGTTTCTGCGGAAAACCAAATGAAAGATGTCGCTATAATGGTTATACAACGCCAGATGTTTTGTTGTGATTTGTGTCGATCGATTTTGAATAGAGCCGTGTTTTACGAGTTTTATAGATAAGCTAACGATATGTGAATGGATTTAACTGTTGGTGGGCCTCGATTTCGGCCTTTTGGACCATTTGAGTTCTTTTTAATATATAATTAATATTTGAAGAGCAGAGCGAATGTTACATCAACTTGAAAATAAAAAGCTTGATGCTTTAATTCATTTTATTTGTACTTAGTAGTTTTCTAAATACCCGGAAATTGCCTCATAAAATTTGTTAAAAATTTGAACAGCCTATTTGGAGCCATCATAAAACTGCGATGGGATATTGCACAAGAATCCACAAAATTATAGTTAGTTAGCAGGTGGCATTATGCTTTTTTTTTTGGACTCTAAGCAAAAGGCGGAGATGAGGCGACATGCTTATCAATGTTTAATGTTTAATTCATGGCCCAAAAGCAAGGTGAGCCGACACGCATTGCTAATGACAGATGTAATAATTTTTTTTGGCAATGCCAGCCAGATATTTAGCGAGCATTTTGCGAAAGCCCCCAATGAAACAGAGACAACTAACTGAAACTGAAACTGAAACTGAAACCGAATCCGAAGAGCCGATGAAGATGCATATGCAAAGCTAATAACAGGAAATCCAAGCCACCCGATAACGAGGTGGATTGCGCAATCCGGACGGAGAACACACGGCATTCGGTGACTGATGTCCCATGTCCAAGTCCATTGGCCGATCTCCATTGGCCGATGGTCGATGGTTGAGGTATTTTGGGAGCAGGCGTATTAATTACATCCGCCCAAAGCACACGGGATCGGGGATTAGCTGGCCTACACTGCCAGAAACATTATATCAGTTTGATGACGATGAAGAAAAATATTTTGTACTATTAAACAATTTTATAATTATAAATCCTAAGGAAATTAATTATGTGATACAAATTACCTGATTTAATAAACTGACAAAATAATCTACATTTTGATTTTTTAGTTTTCAGATTCTCACAGTTGTTTATATTTATATTTATTGGAAAAAGAATTATAACATTTTTTAATATATTTTTTATAAAAACTTAATAAAAAGAGGCACACAGACAAGGAATGAATTGTTAACAAAAGATATAGACATAAGCTATAGATTCTGCCAACTTTTTGTGTCATTATTCGTTTATTTTTGGTTTTTTTTTTTACAAGAGGTTCTATCATATTTGTAAGCTGTCAAGTTTTAATGCGAATTGATGGGAAATACAATGACGAATTTAATGCCAAGTCAAAATATTTTAGTTTTTTCGATGTATTAGCTGCGTTACTTTACTTTTAGTTTCATTGCCATTTATATTGGCAGCTACTATTTGGTCAAGCCCTCATTGTTGTCCCATAAATATTGCGGCCTATTTTTTTTTTTTTTCTGGGTGTAGCAGACCGGCGATAACTCAATAAGCCGAATCTGCATTTTCGGGCGAAATGCGAACGAGTGGCTGAAGCGCAACTAGCCGACAGAAAAATAGGAGAAGAAAAAAGGTTGCGCAGCATCTTAGCCATTCGAACTAACCCAAAACTAATGAAAGGCCCCCTTTCGGCCCACCTTTTGCATTTGGCGAGCGAGATGATGATTGGGGTCTCTGGAGATCGAAGATTGGGGGGAAATGGAAATGGAAATGGAGATCGCTTTTGGGGGAAGCTGGCGAAGATGAAGATGCGCCGACTAGTTTTCGGTTTTCGTTTTTGATTTTATTTTTTTTCGGTTTTTGGAGCCCTTGTATAAAACGCGTGGCCGGGTCATTGGGGGCATCATTGATCGGTTGGACATCGAGGGCTCAAGCACGACCACTGTGAAGATGAATGTAAGCAGATCATTGATTAAACCACGGCTAAGGATTACCAATAAAGCCAAGGACATCCATTCGTTTTATCAGTGACTTAAGATAAAACCTTACCTTTTTTTTTACTGTGATTTAAAAACTGTTCTGTTTTTTTTTTTTTGTTGTTTCGTTTTTGGTGAAGTTCTTTGGCGCCCTTATTGCGCTGGCCATTTGTGCGCTATGTGGATTAACCCAAGCGGATATATCACTCAAGTTGCAACAGCAACAGCAGCAGCAGCAGCAGCAGCAACAGGTGCAAGAACCACTGATTGCCAAGGAGCAATATTACAAGACGGGCAGCAGTTTCCAGGAGAGCAACTACGGCAATTCGGGCTACCAGATCTTCGAGGTGCACAATCACTTTGCCGGCGGCAAGGGACCCGCCTACCTGCCCCCCACCCAAGGTCAGAGTTCACAGGGTCACGATGACAGCCTGGATCTGTCCTTCCTGAACTTTGCCGATGCTCCAGCTGCGAATGTTGCTGCTCCATCGGCTGCTCCGATTTCCGTGCCCTTCCCATCGAACTACCAGCACGATTTCCAGCGAAAGGCTCCGGCTGCATCTTCTGGTGGTTTCAGTGGCCCAGCCTACTTGCCACCCACCACTGCCACGCAGCAGCAGCAAGTGCAGCAGCAGCAACAAGTGCAACAGATTCAAGAAGTTCAACAGCAGCAACAAGTGCAGCAAATTCAGCAAGTTCAACAGCAGCAAGTTCAAGAGGTGCAGCAGCAAGTGCAAGTGCAACAAGTGCAGCAAATTCAGCAGCAAGTTCAGCAGATTCAGGAAGTGCAGCAACAGCAAGTGCAGCAACAACAGGTTGCTGTTCAGAATCAGGAATACCAAGCTCCCGGATATTTGCCACCTGGCTATGACTTCGCCAATCCCGACCAGTTGCCTTTGTCGCTGACACAGAATGTTGCCAACTCGCAGAGTGTTGCATCGGTGCAGAATGTTGCCACTACATCGAGTGTTGCTGCCGTGCAGCAGCAGCAAGTTGCTGGCGAGTACCGTGCTCCTGGTTACCTGCCACCTGGTTACGATGAGCCACGTCCTCAAATCCAAAGCCAAGTCACCTATCAGCAACCTCAGCAGCAGCAACAACAGCAATTGCAGCAGCAACCACAGCAGTTGCAGCAGCAACAACCCCTGCAGCAACAGCAACAACAAGTGTATGTTGCACCCACCCAAGCAACTGTTGTTAATTCCGGCGAACTTTCCCAGAATGTTGCATCGGTGCAAAGTGTTGCTACTGCACAGAGTGTTGCCACGGTGCAGCAAACTGCTGGCGAGTACCGTGCTCCTGGTTACTTGCCTCCTGGTTACGATGAGCCACGTCATCAAGTCGAAAGTCAGGTCGCCTACCAGCAACCTCAGCAGCAGCAACAGCAAGTGCTGCAGCAGCAACAACCACAGCAGCAACAGGTGTATGTTGCACCCACGCAAGCAACTGTTGTCAATCCCGGCGAACTTCCCGATGGCTACGACTTCATCAAACCTGAAAATTCCGAGGCAGCAATTGCCGAGTTGCACAGCCTGCAGACGCAAACCAAATTGCTCAAGCAGCAACAGGAGCAGCAATTGCTATTGCAACAACAGCAGCAGCAGCAACAGCTGCACCAACAGCAGCAGCAACAGCAGCAGCATCATCACCAGCATCATCACCAGCATCATCAACAACAGCAACATCAGCAACAACAGCAGCAACAGGTGGTTGTCCAGTCACAGTTGCAAGTTGCCCAACAACAGCAATCTACCGACATTGTGTATGGTCGTCCCAAGTCGCAGCAGCAGCAACCTTTGGCTCCACAAACCTACCAGCAACACTTCACGGCTCCTGCTTATCTGCCACCAGCAACTGCTGCTGCTCCCGTTCATGTTGCGGCTCCTGCTCCCGCTCCGGTTCATGTTGCAGCTCCCGCTCCAGTTCATGTTGCTGCTCCCGTTCGCGTGGCAGCTCCTGCCCGTGCTCCCATTCATGTGGCACAACCCGCTGTTCAGCCTCAGTTGCAAGTTGCCCAACAGCAGCAATCGGTTGCTACTCAATCAACTGTGGCAACTTCCTCGGCTGTGAGCTACCAGCAACACTTTACTGCTCCTGCTTACTTGCCACCTGCAACTGCTCCTGCTCCCGCCCACGTTCATGTTGCAGCTCCTGCTCCTGCTCCTGTGCGTGTTGCAGCTCCCCTTCCAGCACCTGTACGTGTTGCAGCTCCTGCCCCGGCGCCCGTTCGTGTTGCAGCTCCCGTTGCAGCTCCCCTTCCCGCCCCCGTTCGTGTTGCAGCTCCCCTTCCCGCCCCCGTTCGCGTGGCAGCTCCTGCCCGCACCCCAATCCACGTGGCAGGACCCGCTCCCCTTGCCATTTCCCTGCCGGCTCCCGCGCCCACTAAAGTGACCCACCTGCACTCGCTGCGCAGCTACATGAACACCGTGCAGCCCTTCGCTCGCTACGCGCAACCCGTGCGGCAGCAGCAGCACCACCACATCCACCACCAGGTGCAGCAGCAAGTGCAACAGGTGCAGCAGCAACAAGTTGTCGAGGTGGCGCCCATGTACCGCGAGCAATCGAAGAGGCCGCGTTTCTATGCCCCAGCCTATGCCACCAATGCGGTGGTGCGTCAGCAGCAGCAGCAGCAGCAGCACCACCTGCACCACCACTACCACCACCGTGTGGTGCAGACGCCCCAGAAGCTGCAACCCGTTGTGGCAGCTCCCACTCTCAACCTGAAGGCGCAGCAATCGCTGCAGAAATTCATGCCGAAGGACGTTCAGGTGGCGGTGAATGTGGCGATGGCTGCCACCGCACCAGTGGTTGCACCACCCGCACTGCGTGGCAGCTCGCGCGTGCGCACCGTTCAGATTGTCAAGCCACATGCCCCACCCAGAACGTTCAAGGTGTTGGAGCAACTCGATCAGGCTGGCGTGAAAACCATCAAGATTCTGGGTGCCACAAATGAGCAGCCGCAAGGACGCCACCAGGTGGTGCGTGTGGTGACCCAAAACGCGCACAGCGGTGCCGAGAGTCATGTGCAGACGGTCAAGATCTACGATGAGGTGCAGCAACCGCTGCGCCTGCTGCCACAGAATGTTGCCAGCAGCAATGGCTACTTGCCACCAGCTCGTCCAAGAGCGCGAATCGTGCGGCAGGCATCGAAGCCACTGCGACTCCATCGCGTTGCAAGTCTTTGAATGGTGGAGTCACAATTGGGGTCACCAAGGTCAATTCCCAGCACTGATTAGTTGTTAATTTCATCAAACTGTTTTCTATTTTTTTTCTGCCCCTGTTTTTTCTGCCTCATTTTGCATGCATTTCGCCGTCTCCACTGAAAAAAAAATCCGAATAGCAATCGCATTCGAAGTGAAATCATTTGCATGCAGCAACACACACAACCGATTCGAATTTCTTACCTAATAAATGTATACTTATGTAAAATATGTGAATAATGCGGCTCTTTAATTTGCTGATTGGACGACGATTGGGGATCGCTGTGGGGATTGGGAATCGTTGCACTAACCGCAGACCTTGAATTTTTTTGTGGCCAACACAAATATAATACTTGTGAAACGGAAATAGTCGCGCTTTGTTTATACATTCCGACTTTAATTGGCTTTTAATTGGTTTCGATTACCAAAGTCAACAGATTTATTGGGCCTCAGGGTTTCGCTTTTCATTTGCGCTTGTTTATGGGGGGTTTTGGGAGAAACAGATGGGTATTGCTTTTTATTTGAGATTTATTACAACAACGTGTTTAATTTATGGGTGGATCTCTCAAATTTAAATATGTTATCCTTCCAACTTAGTTTACCTATTAAAATAATAAATTTATAAGATATAACTGATCAAGTTTTTTATCTTATTGATTTTACCAGTTAATATATATTATGATAGAGCAAATAGATAGTAATCATTGAATGAATTTATTCAGCATCTTGTTTGTATGTTTTCAACATCTTAATGAAGATGATGATTTTGGAGATGTCTCTGCTTGGGGTTTACTATCCGAAAGGCGTGTCTTCACACTCTCACCCAAATCGCTTGACCTTCGCTGTGGTTTCATTGGGGTTTTTGGCTGTGGGTCTTCGGTTTTCGGTTTTCGACGGGTTTTCTATTTGTTTTGCTTCCGCTCTGAGTAAGAGGCGTTTGGTGAAAGGCCAGACCGGATTTAGGGCCTACACGTTCCATTTTCTGGTTATGTATCACTCGATGACAATTCATCTCACCTTACTCAATAATAAATATCTTAGGCATGCGCTGCATAAACCCAACTAGATTGGTAAATACAAAAGTATTAGTTAATGTTTTATTTTTCTATCTTTCCCAACCTTATGTTGGTTTAAATATAAATAAAAATTCTTGGCGTCTAATAAAAAACTAAACATTTTTAAAATATAACATTTTTTTATTTATATTCGTTTCCATTTTTGAGCAACCAAAACTTTATAACAATCAGCATCTCTTAAATACATAATTGATTTTTTCAAGTGTAGATATGTGAATGCATTTAATGCGGATGACTTATTGATGTTAAGCCTGTGTTTGGACACCACCTGATGACATAATTCCCAGCTGAATTCAGCTAAACCCCGAGCCTAACAAAGGCGATGACCCACTCTAATTTTTATTGAACCACTGACTTTGTTAAGAAAAATAACAATGAAAACCTGTCGGAAAAGCCATGCACAGTTAAACAAATACATCATCAAAACGATGTAATTTGGTTATCATTTTTGCATAAATAAAAAAGTACAAATATATAAAACCCTGTAAAACAATTAAAATAAATAAAAAGAAATAAAAAAAAATTGACTATTCCTCTTTGGATTACAGTATCATCAAATTTGTTGGCCTTTTAAATTATGAATAGGTAACCATTTCCAGTACTTTCTTATATATCCCATATATCCTAGATTGTTCGCGGATTAAACTCCAACCAAATGCCACCTCTGTGGACACCCACAAAGATCTTTGGATCTATTTCGGTTCCCTTTTGGGTTCGGGGACTTACCAGGACCTCGAATCGCTGGAGAATCGCCGCCAGAGCTGCCTTCGCCAAGGCCAGGCCCAATCGCATTCCCACACACTGACGAGGTCCATTTCCGAATCCCAGAAATATTCCCCGCTGCTTGAAGTTCTTCAGTCCGCCGTCCATAAATCTCTCGGGTCGAAATACATCCGGTTCCGGATAAAAGTCAGGATCATTGTGCAGGGCATAAATGGGCACCATTATATTATCGCCGGGTCGCAGTTTTAGGGGCTCCGAATGGTGACTACCCTTTAGTTCGTACGCCTTCGTGCAGGTTTTTGAGGCCCAACCGCCAGCGGGATAAATTCGCAAGCTCTCTGAAAGAAAAGGTTTAAGTACTAATATTCATTTATTTATTGCAATATAGCAAAACCCACCATTGAAACAGGCACTTAGGTAAGGCAGATCTATGAGAGCATCCAGATCTGGCAGATCTCCACCAGAACTTATCTCCTGCAGTTCCTCAAATAAACGCTGCTGACAGTCGGGATTACGAGCAAGCTAAAAAGATAATAGAAAATAAAAGATAAAAAGTTTGATTAAGTTTTATTTTATAGTTTCTATGGGGAAGATCCACAATAACAGATATAAATATTATCGACCACGAAATAGTTTTTATATGTTTGAACATTTTAAAGTTTAAGTTCCACAGCTTAAATGTTCCCAAATCATAATTATTGGTAACAGAACGTTTAAAATAGTTTTAAAATAATTCTACAACTCAAATTTTCATCTTGAAAAATGATTTAAAGGTTTTTTTTAAACATGTATAATTTCCATAAAAAATACAATAATTCTAGATTGCAAATATTTGAGCAAAACCATTTCTTATCCGAGCATCAACTTACCAGCAAAAGGCAATGGGCAACGCTATTGGAGGTGGTGTCCAGTCCATCGAACATGAAGGTCATGGCATGCGAGGCCATGTCCTCTTCGCTGAGGTCGTGCTCCTTTTGCAACGCCAACAAATGGTTGATGAAATCATTCCTCTCCTGGTGTTTGGATCGTCGCAGACGAAGCGCTTCACTGATCATGGCGCCAAAAAATCGATCATGGGAGTGGGGAAAAATCTTGGGGCGCAGACGTCGCGGTAAATTGGGAAATAGTCCACAAGCGGCACCAGCTATGGCCAATCCCCGATTCTCGGCGGACATTTCCTGATTCTGGCGGACAACTGGCAAAGGATTATCGCTGAAGGTTCGCGCTTGGATTCCCAGGACACAATCGAACAGGGATTCACCGGTGAAACGCAAGCCGAGCTAGGAATATAAAAATAAAACAGTGTTTTAATTTATGTGATTTTAGATTATTGCAAAAAAAAAAAAAAGGGGTATAAAGTTTGCCATTAAAAAAATTATATAGTCTGTAAAGTCCGTAGTCCTTGTAAATTCCTGCATTTAAAACTACGTTGCATATTTTAAGACACTTTTAAAATTGATTTGAAACGTCCGAAGGTTTTTGTTGAAACACTGTTTGCAATTTTTAAGGGTAAAGTTGTGTTATTGAAGATATTTAAAATATATTTAATATATATTAAAAAATATATCATTCTTACACGGAAATATTTTTTAAAAATATCCTTGAAAGAATTTCTGAATTCTCAAAAGATTTTTGTAGCAACAAATATCACTCTATATATGATGTTATAGAACAACTCACATCGATGACATCCAGTTCCGTTCCACCCTCTGACTTCCTCGATATGAACTCGCAGAGATCCCTGCAGACGCGCTGCATGATGGCGTGGGTGGTCCGAATCCTTCCGTTGGTCAGCAGAGTTGAGAAGACCGCCCGCTGGCGGCGCCACTCGTCGCCTTCAAGGACAAACGGATTGCGGGCCACCAGACGATCCTTGGCGATGTCCACCATTTTGGAGACATCGTTGTCCTCGAAGTGACTGAAGGCGCTCACGTAGATTTCGTAGACCAAACGGGGCTCCAAAACGAGCAATTTGGGGGCTCGTAGTAAAAAGCAGCCGACATAGCTGTGTGAATTCCGATATCGCCTGAAAAAATAAAAATTGAGAACAATTATTGAACAGTTTTCTATAGGGTGCATGTCATAACGCCCAGTGTCATAGCGCCCACGGGCGTTATGACACAAACAATTGTGTCATAGCGCCCGCGGGCGTTCTGACACTTTTAAAAGTGTCATATCGCCCGCACCGAAAATGTCACAGCGCCCGTGGGCCTTATGACATTTGCAACCTGTGTCATAACGCCCTCAATTTCTTAAAAATTGCAAAACGAGTTTTTTGGTAGCCTAATTAGTCAAAAAAAATGATTTGATTAGGTGGGACACCACATTTGAAGAGCAGTCATGCTCAGATAATACTGAAGATGAAGATGAGGACAATACTTTACACTTCAGTCAAATGGTTAAGTTCTTAAACGAATAATTTGCCTTGACACTCCGCGTGATGTGGTACTATTACCTTGTAGCCACTTCAAAATACGTTTTGAGTGCTACAAAGTGATGAAAATGAAATCGGCGAAGTCTCTATTGCTCTGCCCATATTGCAGGCAAATAGTAGATAGCCAAATCAAAGTTTATCAATAATGTTTAAATGAAATAAATGACATGTTAGCACAATTTTGTGTTTAAATTTACTTTATTAAAAGCGCAAGCAAAAATTGTTTTACATAAAAATCGCGCGATTTTTATGTAAAAAAATTTTGCCTGCGGCGCTTCTTACTCTTACAGCCAAATCAAAGTTTATCAATAATGTTTAAATGAAATAAATGGCATGTTAACACAATTTTGTATTTAAATTTACTTTATTAAAAGCGCAAGCAAAAATTATTTTACATAAAAATCGCGCGATTTTTATGTAAAAAAATTTTTGCCTGCGGCGCTTCTTACGCTATTGAGCACTCGATTCTCACGATAAATTATGCTGGGCGGCTATTTATACCAGGTATTTCATTACTATTAGGTTCGGGATGCTCCCTCCTGAGTCGATTGACTCTGTACCCGGCTCTTGGATCTCTTCTGATCCGCACTTACATGCACCCATTTATACCAGGTATTTCATTATTATTAGGTTCGGGCGTTAATGCACTTCTCACAGTGTCATAAGGCCCACCAGAAAAATGACAAAGCGCCCGCGGGCGATATGACACTTTCAGAAAGTGACGGAACGCCCGCGGGCGCTATGACACAATTGTTTGTGTCATAGCGCCCGTGGGCGCTATGACACTGGGCGTTATGCCATGCACCCTTTTCTATATCTACTTAACACGAAATTCTCGCAAGATTGGAATAGGCTATTGAGTGGTTTAATAGTAGTTATTTCACTGCTGTAAACAATTTTTACCTATAATATTATTTAGATTCTTTTGTTGTAACCAATTTTAATAACATTTTTAAGTCTTAATATGTGAAATAGACCCACATGTAAATGTCGCGCATGTCCATGGTGAAGTGCTGGCGTGGCCACACAATATTGGGAAAGGACCCGAGGAGCGGAAGGACGCGGGGCTCCAGCACGCCACGCCTTCGCCAGTGGCCAAAGTTGGAGACCAGAAAGGCGTATATCAGCCCCAGAAGCGTTGCAATTCCCAGCAGAAGTGATCCAAACATGACGACGATGCAAGCGAAACTGAGTGGGTGCAATTCAATCAAATATGGGAATCTCGGGGAGACGATATAGTGGCATTTGGGGAAGGAGGAGGTGATCTCCAACTAGCGTGCGTCAATTTTATATTTTATTTTTAGGTTCGCGTGTCTCCGGGATGATGGGGGTGCCATTATCGAATTAACCAACGACCTGTTCTCAAATCAGAACGACTAAGGAGCTGTAATATAATATATGTTACGACCGTTGAACTTTTATAATCTGAAATAGTTTAAGCATGATCACTTTGATTTGTACTTTGATTTCACAACAAATAGGTTTCTGGAAACTGAAATTATGAAAATGTGCTGAAAAATATACAGTACGGATAATGATATCCATAATTCAACCATACTTCTATAATCTAAAATAATTAAGCAGAAATTGTTAAGTTCATTGGTTTTGTAGAAAAGCTAACTTATTTAATTACAAAAATGTAAATCAGCTTCTATAAAAGGTCAAGGGTCAAAAGATTAAAATATTGAAGAAAGCACTGGCAACAACCTGGCAACCCTGAATGGCGCAAAGCCACCAGACAATGGGAACACTTAATTCAACAAAAAGGGGCCATTGTCACAAGAGGTGCGTGTTGCTTGGCGGTATTTAATTTATTTTGGCCACAAATATTGGTTTACCCTCGGCTTGCCAAAGAAGAAAGCACCACGCAAATCTTTTCTCTTTCTTTCAATTCGCAACACACACCAAACCTTTCATTGGGCTCGAAAGAAGTTTCACTTTTTTGTGTCATTTAAACTGTAGCAAATGCATTCGATATGGTTTGTTGTTTAAGCTTCCACTGGCCTAATCCATCAACCAAAATATCGAGACTCTATTAAGGGATTTGTGCAGTAGTCGTCTTCTCCATCAATCATGAAAGATTGTACAATGATTGATGATATTATGTAAACGAAATGATCTAACCACAGAGCAGAGAGAAGAAAATGAACAATGGTTTTGCAAAAGGATTATATTTTAAATTTGACAAGTAAAACTTAAAGATTCTTTCAAATTTGTTAATAATATTATTATTATTTTATATTTCATATACATTAATATTGTTTTTGATAATTTCTAATGATATTTTTTAATTTGTATTTGTCTTAACATACAAAGTTTATATTGTTTTTCATGTTCTTTGGGGAAACATTTTAAGGTTGAATAATGTATTTAATGGCATTCCATTAGTAATAACTTAAGTACTCACCTCAAGTATATTTTCCCTGAGTGTAATTTCGGTTCCCACTGGTCACTGACATTGACTTTGTTTTGCCAGACGAGTCTCGTTTAGGGAGCAAAGCGAATCCAATTGATTTAACCTCATCATAGCTGCTAACTAATCTGGAAACTTAAACTAATCCCAAACCTGGACACAAATATATTAAAACGAAAGCGAAAACAAAGAAAATGCCCATGAACCTTTATTTTTTATAATATATATACATTTTTATGGTTAGATAATTTATATGTTTTTGATTTTCAAATGTAACGAAATAATACATTCGTTTTTCCCAACTCCTAGCCATTGTTTAATATTATTTGTTAAATAAGAAACCCTAAGAGTTGCGAATCTAAAATAAAAACAGAGCTATCAAACAGAGACACATTCGCGAAAAGATACAATGGCATTGTCTTTGAATTTCGTCAGTTCTTTAATTACGCCTAAAACACTTACCCTCGATTGGGGTTTTGGCAAATAGTGCCAATTATATGCCTTTTTGGGTGTAAACAAATTCGGATTCGGATTCCAAGCGTGTTTAGAACAAATATAGCCAAAGCCAAAAAAGAAAAAAATAATAACAAAAAGCCATAGATCTCGAGATCCCGAAACAGATGTTTGCTTTGGCCAAATAACTTTTAATCTTTGGGCGATTGGATGCTGAATTGGATGGAGGCTTTTGCTATGGATTCGAGAACTATAAAACTCAGATGGAAGTTCTTGGGTAGGCACAGTTATCCAAAGATACGCAACTGAAAGATGCGATTTATCTGCGTTGTGATACTGGGCTGCCTGGTGGCAGGCACCTATGCCGCAACCACAGCCAGCGATCCCACATCCTCCTCATCCTCGACATCCCCGTCGACATCCTCAACCTCCACTTCCTCCACATCCCCGTCCACGTCCTCATCGACCTCGACTTCTCCTTCGACATCTTCCACTTCATCGACAACCTCCACATCCAGTTCGTCCACCTCGGACACCGCAACCACCACCACCACCACGACAACCACAACCACTGTGGCACCCACGACGACCACAACCACCGAGGCTACAAAATCCAAGAAAGTGGAGCGAAGGGTTCACTACAGGAATCGCCGATCCAGGAAGGATAAGAAGAAGAAGAAGAAGGTCAAGAAGGTCAGGAGGAGGAAGAACAAGCGCAGCCGTCGCAGCGGTTAAATCAAACCAAAGATTTCAAACTAACCCACTGATTCCACAGCAAAAATAATTATAAATTAATTTGACCAAATAAAGAAATATAACCTACATATGGAAGTTCATTTTCGCAATTTTAGAAATTTTAGTTGGGTTCAAATTACCAAATTAGAAACCCTTGAATAAAATACGCTTTGTATTGAGTTTTTTAGTTAATGCTTTTATTTATTATATTATATGGTGGGATCGACTCTAAAATCGATCTCTCAAAATGAGTTCTATGACACTTTCGGTTATACAAATGAATTAAAAAAGTTGTTTTTTTTTGTGGTTTTTTTTGTAGGCTTTTGTTTTGTGTAATTTTCGATTAACTAAGGGGAAAGACATGCGACGACATCAAATGAACATCGGATAGAATGTCCACACAAATGTAGATATATATACTCGTATATGTAGATATAGGTTTTAAGTAAATTGTCTGCCAATTTGCGTATCTATATGTTGTGTATATATATATATATATAGGTATATATGCGAAGTCATATCCGTAGACTTAGGTGGCTAAAAACGTTTTGAAAATCGAATATCGAATCGAAACACAAAGTGAAGAAGATAGTTGCAAGTATAAAAAATAGGTTTATGTTTGTTTATCCTTCTACAAATCTTCCATCCTCGTTTTACATTATCTTTTTTATATAAAATCTTCTTCTTCAATCTTCTATATCCACAACCTCAACCTGGCCAGCAGTATGCGTGTGTGTGTATGTTTTTTTCTTTTTGTATCTATGTTTATAATCAGCGACCTCAGTTTTGTTTTTTGTTTTTTCGTTTTTTTAGGTGGAAACAGGAAGCGGCAACAAGAGCAAATTCTCATTGCTTAACTGCGATTGATTTGAGTTTTGATTATTTTTTGGGATGGTTTTCTTTATCAGTATGCTCATCTATAATATATAAATGTGTAGATCATCGTTCAACGTTTATAAAAAAATATATATGTATATATATGTTTCGCCATGAAGTTTGAACTGTTCTCTCAAGACTTTTCTTTCTGGGATGTCGATAATGCACCAATGTGGGAATATTTATACAATAAGTATAAGTATATCTGTAAATGGATATGTTTTACTTTTCTCATTTTATTTCGGCAACATTGTTATTGAATTTACGTTAAGGTTTGCTTGTGAACTCTTTTGGGTTTTAGTTTTTCTTTTTTGGAATGAATTCTTGCTTTAGTATTTCGAAGAATTAACAAAAGTGTGAATGCTGAAGGCAGAATCAAGAGTTGGAATCGGTTAACTTTACAGATAACTATAAGTTAAGGGCTTTGCCAAGTGCACTTCGCAATTATTCAAGAGGGAAGCCTGTATAATAAGAGTTCTTCAACATATAATTGTTCTTATGCTTCCCCATCGAATAGTTACAAAATGCACAATGGATTGTTGAACTGGACTTCATTGGTTTACATAGAAAAGTATACAAAACTAAATTGCTACTTAATTAAGGTACAAAAAAATGGAAAAAAAATAAGCGAATCGAAAGTTGATGGAAATCTCTTTTTCGAATTTGGGCTTTAGGAGCTGTTTTTTGTTTTGTTTTTTTTTTTTTTAGTTAGTTAGTTAGTCTAGGGTAAGTAAATGGGGTTATTATGCTATTACATATTTCATATTTTGTGGTTCATTGTGGTTGCTTATGCGCCTTTCGATCTCTAGATATATATTTAATATTGTATTGTATTTCGCCTCTCATTTCGTTCTACGCTTTTCACTTCTTTAACATTCATTTTGTTTTTGTTAAATTTTATTTTAAATATCACGGCATTCAGCTGAGGTCTGATCTGATCTATTTCTTATGCTTATATATCTTTCCATACGATTTTGTTTATCATTTTTTATTGCATTGGCATTTCACATTTTAGTTTTGGGTGTTTACTTCTTCTTTTATTTTTTTTTTTTATGTTTTTGTTTTTGTGTTGCATAAAAGTCAAACAAACAGCGAAGAAAAAAATAATAATGGCTTTCGGATATCGTCTATGGACTAATCTTTTGGACTAAACAAAACGGGCAAAAATTAAACTAAAATAGCTCGTGACAGAGACACAGATACAGATACGAATACCGAGGATGCGGATAGAGATGGAGTTATAGATACAGATACGGATACAGATGGAGGGGATATAGAATAGAGCAAGCACCAAGAGCTAAGTCTAGGGATCCTCGCCAGCTCGCGGATTGAAGAGCTGGCTGCAGATGCGTCGCAAGTGGAGCTGGCCGCCCAGGAGGCCCGCTCTCTGCATTAATTCTCACAAATGCCGCCGCCCCAACTGGCGATCCTTCCGCTCCTCCTCCTGCTCCTCCTGCTCATCCTGCTCATCCCGCTCCTCCTCGTCCTCCTCCTCGTCCTTATCCTCCCGCTCGTTATCCTCATCATCGTCCGGCTGGAATCGCGATCCACCCCGTTGAGCTCCAACCGCAGTGGTGGTCGCACTCTCGCTGAAGTGCATCAAATTGGTGTCCATCAGGCCGTTGGTCAAACTCAGTGGCGGTGAGGACTGGGATGGCGGTCCTTCCAGCGAGAGGCGACTGTTGGTGCTGATGCTGCTCATGCTCAGCTGGTCGTCGAACACCTCGATGTTCACCACCGTCGAGAGTTCACCGTGGTCGCCGAACGAATGGCGAATGGGATAGGAGGAGTCACCGGTGGCATCGCCAACATTGTTCACCTCCAGTTTCTGGATCTTGTTGTTCAGCATCGCGTTCGGATTCAGATTGCCTTTGGTTGGGATTATGTTGTTGTTGATGTTATTGTTGTTGTTGTGGGCCAAGCCATCCAGTTGATCCGTGGTGAAGTAGTTGCCTAAAATCAAAAATGGAATAGAGATTAGTTAGCTATTTAAAAAAAAATCTAAAAGAGGAAATTTTTGCAAAGGATTAACCATTTAAAATGGGTTTTTCATTTGAATTTCAAATATTTTTCATAATAATCGAACCAAAATTGCTAATTGCTAGACAAAAGAGCTATTTTTAAGATCTTTTTTAAAGTTTATTGATAATGCGTGGAATTTTAAAACATTTATGAACTTTTTTTTTTTTGGGTTAAATGGGAATTATGTATTTTTGAAAATCATAAAAAATGTTCCATTTTCCAGATTTAAAAAAATTCTATTATATTTGATAAGATTTAACCTGGAAAACAAGAATCCAAAGCCCAAATAACAACACTTTATAGTCGCATTTGTTGTTTTAACTAAAATTGCATTTATTTAATCATACATCGTTTAATTAAATTAAATTTAGAGTTTAGCGATTTCCTTGCCTCCTTTTTTTCATCCATCTATCCATCTCTCAAACGTAAATCATAAATACTGCGAGTTAGATATCATTTTTTATATAATATATATACAGAAAAAAATTGATTTCCTCACTTTATACAATCTTTCAAAGAAAAACTAAAAAAAAAACGAAATAAAAACATACACAAGAGACCATTTGTAATAAGTTTAATAAATTAACAAACAAGTATGCATGGTTAAGAGAGAAAAATAATAGAAATTCAAAAAAAGAAAACTTGAGTGAATCTAGATGAAAACTTGAACGAGTATGGAGAAAACTTAACGAAAGCAAAGCCTAAAAACAAGTTAAAACAATTGTGACATTGGACAATCAGTATTATAATCAATATTATGTAGTTCAGTTATTAGTTGCTTGCACTCGAATAACACGCAGTTGGATTTTCCGGGCAGGATAGTGTTTGATGTCTCGGGGAAAATCGGTCTACAGATTACGTAAATTGAATACCCATATGGGGTTGCATATTTATTTAAACCATTAACTTCCAACTGTGTGTCCTGCAAACTTTAGCTGCAGTGTGTTAGTGTTTGTGTGTGTGTGTGTGTGTGTATAAGCTAAGGGGGCAGGATATCAATTTTACAAATTTCGATCGCCACACTGAGCGGATTTTCGGGCGCCTTTTTATATACAATTTGAGAGCATTAATTATGGTTGTGTGTTTAGTGTGTGTTTACGTTAACATTTAGGCCTTTTTCATTCATATATAGCATATATGTAGTATATATATATATAATCCTTTTTTATATTAATAATTTCTAGAGATGTATAGCTAACAATATAACTTTGCACTTAAAAATCGGTTAGTAATTAAATATTTTTTGTCGCTTTTCCTCGTTTTTCTTTTGTTTGTGTTTTTTGTCTAAACGAATAGCTACAGTCGTTTTTTATTTTTTTTTTTTTTTTCTTTGTTTTGCTTTAAATTATGCATTATAACTAAGTTTTTGTTTTTTCTTTTCGATAAATCACAATTTTTTTGCAGAGTTTTGTGTTTTTTGTTTTGTTGTTTTTTTTTTTTGTTTGTTTGTTTGTTTGTTTTTGTTTAGTGTTTAGTGAAATGATATACGTTTTTACTTTGCACACAGCTAAAAAGTAAAGAATCTAGAGTCATCATCGTTTGTCGTGGTTGCTGTATCCTGTTTGTATATATTATATATAATATATAACTTTTGAAATTTGTTTTTGGTGGAGGAGTGTCCCTCCCTTCGTTTGCTGCTGTCCTGGATTTTTGGGGGAATGATGTCCTTGGTTTCCCTACTTGGCTCTGGTTCTGTCCACCGCCGGCTGATCACCTTCCTCCTGTTTCAGAATGGCATTGGGCTCTTCTGGCCGCTCCAAAGACCCCTGCTGATCCTCTGAAGACTCTGGATCCTGCTGGAGGGCATGGGCAGTGGGTGCTCCGCCATCCTGTCGATTGGCGGTGTACAGATGCCATAGAACCACCAGGCTAAAGACGCACAGCAAACATATCGCTAATTCTTATCTCTTGCGTCGCTTCGTCTTCTTCTTTGTGGCACTCGGCGGGCTGGCCACGCCCACACCAACGCCCACGCCCACCGAGGTGATACCCGCAGTAGCTGCACCTCCAGAGGTGGCTCCACCTATTCCTCCCACTCCTGAATGACCAGCCGAACCGGATACTCCGCCGCCGGACAATCCAATGCCCAGGGACAAACCCAAGCCCGTGGGATCCGAGTGAACCGTCGTCTCCACACTGCTCTCCTCCGCCGACGACGTGGAGGACGAGGTGGCCGCCTCGATGGCCGCTATCAGGTTGATCTTATGCTCCAGCTTCTTGGTCTTTAGCTTGTGCGGCGCAGCGGCGGAGGAGGAGCACGAGGTATACACCAGATTGTCATCGGATGTGGTCGCCGGAATGGGACCTTCGCTATCAGTTGTGCTTGTGGCATTTGTGGTGGTGGTGGCCACGCCACTGCTGCCAAAGTGCAACAGATCCTCGGGCAGTGATTGCTCTGGTTCCACCTCCACTTCTATATCCTCCCCATCCTCCTCCGCCTGCTGGTTTTTATAGGGAACCTCCTTGCCGGGGTGTCCCTCTTGCAGTTCCAACTGGGAGTCACACATGCTGATGCTGATCAGGGGACGCAGCTCCTCGTCATCCGGTTCCCGATCCCTTTGCTGTTGATGTTGCTGCTGCTGCTGCTGCAATTGGAGTTGCTTCAGTCGCTTGTGCTTCTTGCTCAGCTTCTTTACCGGCTCCTCCATCACGACAATCTCCTCGGAACCCGATGAGTTGTTCGAAGTGGATGTGGACTTCTGCAGGGAGAGCGCTTCGAGGGTTATGTAAACCGGTTCCGGTGGGGTAACCACCTCGGATTGGGCTTCCGGGTCGGAGTCCCTTAACCTTTCCTGTTCGTTCTCATAGTGCAGCGAACCGCAAAGAGCTAGTATCAAATTTTGTTCCGTGAATCCTCGTGGCGGTGGAGAAATCTTCCTTGGAACGGCGGCCGCATTCTCCTGGAGAGGACTCTCGAAGTTGATCAGGCTAACCGCTTCCTTCTTGGAGTCCTCCTTGACCTCCAGTGGTTCGAGGGCGGGAAGTGGTGGCAGATCTTCCAGTGGCTTCAGCCCGCTCAGAAAGTCCTCGAAGTTGTCCTTCACCACCTCTTTGGGTGGTGTAATCAATCCCGGCAGAAGTTTCTCATCCCGCTTATTTTCCGGACTCGATTTGGTTGGTTTCTTGCCCAAACTGGGATAATCCTGAGCGGCGGGCAGCTTGGGTGGTGTCTCCTCGACGACCCGTCTCCATGGACTGGTCACAGTGGTCGCCGGGATGATGAGGGGCTTTTCGGCTTCCAGAGCTTTCTCCTTGGCCCTCTCTTTCTCCTTTTTCTCCTTGAGCTTGGCCTCTCTTTCCTTTTCTCTCAGCTGCTCCTCTTTCTCCTTCAACTTGACTTCTCTTTCAAGCTCCTTCAGCTTTTCGGCTCTCTCCTTCTCCTTAAGCCTCTCTTCCTTTTCTTTTTCTTTGAGCTTTTCCTCCAGTTCTTTCTCTTTGAGCTTTTCTTGCCTTTCCTTCTCCTTGAGCTTCTCTTCTCGCTCCTTTTCTTTTAGCTTCTCCTCCTTTTCCTTTTTCTTGAGCAGCTCCTCCTTGATTCTTTCCTCCTGAAGCTTTTCTTCTCGTTCCTTTTCCTTGAGCTTTTCTTCCCTTTCCTTTTCCTTGATTTTCTCAGCTCTTTCCTTCTCCTTGAGTTTCTCTTCACGTTCCTTTTCCTTGAGTTTCTCCTCTCTTTCCTTTTCTTCGCGCTCCTTTCTTAACCTTTCTTCCCTTTCCTTCTCCTTAATCTTTTCTTGTCTTAGCTTTTCTTCCCTTTGCTTCTCTTTTAGCTTTTCTTCTTTCTCTTTTTCCTTTAACTTTTCTTCCTTGAGCTTTTCCTGCCTTTCTTTCTCCTTCAGCTTTTCTTCTCGTTCCTTCTCCTTGAGCCTTTCTTCTCGCTCTTTTTCCTTTATCTTTTCTTCCTTAAGCTTTTCTTCTCTCAACTTTTCTTTAAGTTTTTCTTCTTTTTCCTTCTTAATTCTTTCCTCCTTAAGCCTTTCTTCTCGTTCCTTTTCCTTTAGCTTTTCTTCTCGTTCCTTCTCTTTTAACTTTTCTTCTGCTTCCTTAAGCTTCATTCGTTCTTCCCTTTCCTTCTCGTCCTGTCTTGCTTTTCTTTCCTTTTCCTTCAGCTTCAGCTCCTTTTCTCTGTCGATTGTCATGGTTGCCACTGATCCTCCGAGTTGTTGTTTCTTTTTAGCCATCTTGGGGACCTCCTCCTCCGGATTCTGCTGATCCGACTGATCCTCTTCCTCCGCATCCTCGTCCTCAGCACCCGGCGCACTCATCTCCACATGCAAACTCAAACCTTGGGCACTGGCACTGCTCACCATGACGGCGGCAATGCTATTTTTGTTGGCCAACAAACTATCAGCATGATCCGATTCCGCATCGGAGATCTCCTGCTGCTGCTCCTTTTCATCCTGGGGTTTCTTCACCACCACTGGCTCCTCCTCCTCCACCGTGATGATCTCCAGCTCTTGGACCTTCTGGATCTCCGGCTTCCTTTCACTGACTTTTCCGCTGGTCTTTTGCTTGTTACTCTTGTTGTTGGCCTTCTTCGCTGATTTCGCGATGGTGGCAGTGGCCTCATCCTCGGACGTTCCACTTCCACTTTTTTGGCTGGCAGTTTTATTGTTGTTATTGTTGTTGTTGTTATTGTTGTTACCCTTTGGCTTATTTAGGTTCGAAAGCTCGGCGAATTTCTGCGCCTGCGCGGCATCCTCGGCTGCTGCCAAAGATCTCAGGGTTTTCTGCTGATGTTGCTGTTGCTGCTGATGTTGCTGCTTCTGCGATTGCTTTTGGGACTTTTGCTTCTCCTTCTGGACGAGCACCTCGTCCACTTCCTTGGCAATCACCGGCACAATCAGCTTATTCACCAGCACCACAGGCGGCTGACAACTGGCCTGTTCGATGAGTTCCGATTGCGCAGCTTCCTCAGTGGTTTGCTCGCTCTTCTGCAGAAGCTTTTGCCTTTCAACCGGATCGCTGCAAAAGATGGCCACCACTGGTCGAAATAGAGCCTCATCGCAATTCTCATGGATCACCGTCTCCTCGGCGGCCAGTTGGCCAACCACCTCGTCGAGCATATCCGTTTGCAGTTCCCCCGAGATGCCGGCATTCAAATCGGTGACAGTGCCCAATGGATTGACCATTTTCTCCACCCGGGAATAGCTGCAAATGTTGGGCAGAACGGAGGCCAATGCCGAAATGGAATCCATCTCCGCATCCGATTGCTGCTGCTGATGATGATGATGATGCTGGTGCTGGTGCTGGTGCTCCACCTCCACCTCGTCCAGATCGTTGAGACTCTCGTGCTCGGCGAGGGCATCGTAATAGCAGGCATTATCACAATTCGAGGAACTGCCACCTCCAACGGCGGTCAGGTGTTCCCCAGAAGCTGGAGAGGATGCGGTGGCCAGGTGGTGATCGCCACTGGTGATCGATGGTGCAACCTGATCTCCGGCTGCTCAGGGTCGCGGGGCAACAACGGTGGGGCACAGGACACAGAACACAGAGCGGAGAAAAAGAGAAATAGAAGAGAAAACAAATTATGAGAAAAGCGCATTTTGGTTTCGTACAGGAAACAAAAAACAAAAAGCCAAAGGCGAATTTTGATTTGGATCTTTGATTTGACGTTTTTGAAAATGTTTAATTACTTGCTATTAGATTTTAGCTTCTCTTGGTTGGTTTTTTTATTTATCGTAATTGTTTATATTTGAACTAAGCTTTTTTTTGTGGCATTAGGCGCGTTTGAAATTATGTATTTTTCGAGCAGTTGGATCGATCGAAAAGGAAGCGGAAAACACTCAAAACAAAAATTGGGAATATCGAACGTTGAACAGAAAAGTAAAACTTTGTAAATATATAGATAGTTGTTTTGGGCAACTTAAGAAAAATGACAAACGAAAATATAAAGTATATATAATTAACTTTTTGTTTTTTGTTTAGTGTGAAAACGAAAACGAAAAGAATTAAAAAATTAAAGTTAAGAAAATAGCGTGACATTGATTTTGGGTAAATAATAAGAAAACTGGATATTGTTTTTATCGTGAATTTTGAATTGCGTTTTCGAAATTTTTATGGCTTTGGCTTTTTATTAAAAGATTCATGTAGATTAATGTGCTCTTTCCTCTCAACCGTTCTCTCTCTCTCTCTCTCCTCTCTCTCTCTCTCCCCTGCTTTCTCCCTCACTCCATCTCACTCGACCCCAATCACTCTATTGCTTTCTCACTCGCACGTGCAAAGAAACTTTCGGTTTAGAATTTTTCCATTCGTCATTTTTAGCAAAAGAATAAAAATTAAAAGTGTATCACAAGAGACAAAGGTACAGAAAAGGAGAAAAGGGGAACCCCAATAAAAGTTGTAGCAAAGCGGAAGCGGAAGGGACAAAGCACAGAGGTGAAAATTGCAACGTGGTTAAAAGTGCAACCAGATGGTGAAAAGTGTCAGAAATGTGGTGAAAAGGATACAAATCAAGGTGAACAAAGCAAAATGGATGGTGAAAACTGAAAAAGGATGCTGAATGTTGAAATTTTGAAATGTTTAAATCGCTGGTGTGGAGACTCAAGTTTTAGTGAAATGTGTCATGTTAATGGTAAAGACATAAAACAATTTCAAAACTGTAAAATGGCAATGGCGAAAATAATATTAAATAAGAATATTTCAGCAAAAGGGAGACAAAAAGTTTAAAAAGTGAATAGAAGCTGAGAGTGTAAAAAATTAAGAAAAGAAAAAGTTTAAAAGCTAAAGAACTGAAAACTAAAGTAATTATTAGTCAGGAGTATGAAGAAAGGATACAGGAAAGTTTATAAAAATTAAAATTTTTCGCTTTAACAGTGCTGCGTTGTGGTGAGACAAGCTTTTAAATTGGGCTGAAATGTTTTTTTTTTTTTTAAGGAAATCAGACAAGATCAAGGATAACAATATTTCAATACATTTTATCCGATCAGTCCGACCAAGTCCCAGGTTAAGTGCACGACAGGATTAACAGCGACCAATGGGGCAAACTAGTGTTAAAAGTTGATGAATATACACGAGTTGCAGAAGAATTCTTTTTGGGGGAAGGGTTTTTGTGTCGTTTATTTTTTTCTTATTGGGGGATCTGCTGTGACAAAAATGTTGTTAGCTTAAATTTAGTTGTAATTAAAATAGAAATAGATTAATTTTAGTTGTATCTCGTTTTAAGGGCTAGACAAAAACACCAAAAGAAAAATTCATTGTTAATTTGCATAAGTGATTTTAGTTCCGGCTAGAAAAGAAAATTTCAAAAACTAAAGTTTAAAAAGAACACCAACACACTTACACCACAAAAAACACTCCAATACATACGCTCAGACACACACACACACACAGAGAAGTGGGAAATGTAAATGGAATGAGGAGGAGAAAGCTTAGTGAAATGAGAAAGTAGAGCTGAAGGATCATGCAAGGGTGAGAGAGGTGAGAGGTGGGAGGGATGGCTGCAACATCATCGTCATCATCTTCATCATAATCATCATCATAGTTCATCATCATTATTATCAACAACCAACAACCAATGCCAATTTCGTGGTGTTTCATAATCAAGATTAAAATACAGATTTTTTTAATTGGTTCTTTTGACCACCAAAAATATTTTGAATTAAACATTTTCATTTAGAAAGCGTTCGAAATAAAAAACAAAAAAATATATGTAAATATTTATAAAGATAAATATGTGTTTCCAAAACAAAAAACGTAAGTGAGAATGTAAATAAAATCCAAAAACGTATAAGAGAGAACACAAAACGTTTGTATAGATCGTAGACAATTAATAAACAAATTTGTGAAGACATCGATAACCAGCTAACGATCAACGGGGATGCCTTTGATTCCGGGGATTAGATCGCTTCAATGGTCGCAAAATGGAACCGAGTTCTCTTTCAGAACCACACAAGCAATAAACCACAAGCCAAAATCATCGGCCAGCATTCGAATAGTCTTTCACAACATGCGATATTTATGTGTACATCTATCCAGGACGAAAAAAACTAAGGATTCGTTTGCCACTCACCCGAATTCTCACGACGCGCCGCTGCCGTTGATGGGGATTCGCGCATGGCATCCGCCAAGTCCTCCTTCAAACGGGTATCACCATGTCCATAATCCGAATCCAGGTGACCATGTCGGAAGCGATCCATCAGCTTGGGACTCTGCTCAATGCTGCCTGATGGGGGTGTACAAAAAGCGGAGTCAGATCGAGAAATGCATGATCCAAGGAAATCTGATCTACTTACTGTACGAACCCGATTCGATGAGAACCGGTACTCCGGCACCACTGCGTCCCGTCACCGCCGAGCTACCGATGCCAGCTCCTCCAACGGATGTGGCTGCATTGAGGGGCATGTTCAGCGGACTGGAGCGATCCTTGCCGCCCAGCGAACCCACTCCCAGGCTCGAGGCACCAGCTGCCGTCGATGGCAACGTGGTGGTCGACGTCTTGGTAACACCAATCTCCACCGCCTCTGCATCAACGTGGTTTAGATTTGAGCTGGGGGAAACAGAAGTCCAATTTACAAATTAATTTAACATAATTTTTGAATAGATACTCAAATGAGTAACTTCATTAAATAAAAGCCAAGCTATTGTTTAACATGGTGATGTAAATTAATAATCAAGAATTAAAGCATTTATGTACATGGTTGCCAAAAAGATGTTTAAATTAAACTATTAATTTAATGAAACACTAAATAAGTAAGCTATAGATAATCGCTCACCCGCTGGGCGTATTGTAGTTCTTGAAGACGAACTGCGGTCCCATCCACAGCCGGCGATGGGGACCCGCATGCGTGATGATCTCCACCTGGGCCAACCAACTCTCGGACCGCTCATCCGGCTCGTCGAAATTGTGGGCGCTGTCCAGCAGCAGGCTGGCATGGCGATCCTTGATCAGCCAATTGTCCAGCGTCAGCGGTGGTGCGATTTCTTGAGATCCATCCTTGCGCCGGCCCAAGTTCCATTGGGCGCGTGCCTCCACCTCCAGTTCGATGGGCGTATCATCACAAATCTTCTCTTTGGCAACATCTACAAAGTGTTATTAAGTCTTTGTAATGAAATATCTTTTTTAGATGATAGAGAGGCTACATACGTGAGGCTTGCTTCGTGTCCAGATCGTATTGAATAAGTGCCCCGTGGCCGGCCATCACGAAGAGCGAGTCGACCGCCTTGCGCTGGACGCGATGCGGTTGCTCGCGCGTTGCCATCGGTGGCTCCAGGAGCCAGGAACGCGACTTGGCGAAGATGGAGCAGACGCTCAGCGGTTTCCCGCTGTCATCCGATAGCGAGCTCAGTCGCTGTCGCTGCCGCTGGCTGCTGCTGCCGCCCACGCCAACGCCATGACCGCCATGACCGCCATGACCACCGGAACTAACGCCCGGACCACCGACGCCACCAACTCCGCTCCCAACACCCAGGCCCGCCGATCCAGGCGGCGATCCCAGCGTGAAGGGCTGACGCAACTGGGCCAATGGCTGCACCACCGACGGACGCGGATACGGCGGCAATGTGGGATTGTGGTACGGCTGCAGAGATTGCACAAACGTTGTGCTCTCCGAGTGCGAGATCGGCGAACTGGAACGGCCATCGGCACCCAGGCCGGCGCTCCGGTGGAAGCGCGACAGCTTGTTGACCACGTGCAGCGAGGTGTGCGTGCGAACGCCCATGGCGCCGCCGTAGGGCGTGATGGGGAAGACGTGGGTGGTGCCGCGCAGCGTGGACACCGCCGCCCAGCGCGAGTCCAGCGAGAAGGCGATGTGCTGCACCTTGGCGCTAGTATCGCCGCGATGCAGCACATACAGATGATGAACGGCGGCCAAGCTGGGACCCACGGGATGCGGCTGCACGCGAAACACGTGGAAATCATGGCCACGTCGGTCGGCGGTTAGCAGCAACATGCCGGAGCTGTCGAACTCCATGGCGACCAAGGCCTCGCTGTGGGCCACAAAATGAGCCACAATCGGATCGCCACCGCCTTGTGAGCCGCCCGTGGAGCTCAAAGGAGTGCCCGACGTGGGACTGTAGTCCTTCACCGGATGCTGGAATAAACACATAAAATCAGTTGTAAATTAAGGACGCTTCGAATGGAAACACAACTTAGGTACCTTCACATCGATGATGGTGACCACGCCGGACTGCTTGGCATCCGGACCGCCGCTGGCCGAGTCGAAGCTGCTGCTCTTCGAACTGGCGCCGCTGCCACCGGTTGTGCCCGTCAAGCCGGCGGCCACCTGCTCGCCCAGCTCTCGCAGTCCCTTGCCAAACGACTTGGCCGCATTGAGCACGGTGGCCGTGTAGCTGGGAACGCCCTCGCCATCGCACCCGCCGCCACTGCGCTTTGAGTGCAGCAGCTTGTGCTCCGCATACGCCAGCCAACGCGGTCCCAGCGCAATGGGATTGGGATTGATCCTGCAAGGGAAAGTGCAAAACAATGCATAAGTTTATGTTCGAAAGTTTGTGCATTCGTGCAAGCTTAATACCCAAATTATCCCTGATCAATTTAATTATTATACCTACATTTTTACCTGATTTAAATTTGACTGCAAAGAAATCTATGAAGCAACCTTTAACTATTTTTTATCACCTAACCCTTGAACACTAAAAACTACAATCAGAGTCAATTGATCAGCTTAAATTACCTAGTAACACGGTGTAAAAAAATTGCTTCTATTAGCTGGTTATTATCAATGTTTTTAGTTACCTAATTCGCAATGATTAGGTGGAATATAATACATAATTAAATATTCCCATAAAAGTGAGTGAAACTATTAACAATAGCATACATTAAATATTAACCGAGTTTAATTTGATCAGGTATTATTTTCTAAACCAAAAGACAAGGACACATTAAATCAATAGATGCAACTCACCCCGGACTGGGATAGCAGGTGGTGATGGTGAGGCGATCCTCCAGCGTCCTGGCATCGAAGACGGCGATTCGTTCGTGGAACGTGATGACCACCGCCGAACGATTCGCCTGGATGTCGAGCACGGCGTTCTTGAACTTAATCGTCTTCACCTGGACGCCCGTTTTGAGGGACATGAAATTGACGGCGCTGAATTGAACAGCGGCCGAAACGCCAATTCCGCCAACTCCTCCACCGGCGCCGCCAACTGATGTGATTCCTCCGACGCCGCCGCCGCCACCCAAACCCGAGCCGCCGGCCAAAAGGCCACTGGCCGCTGCACTGCCTCCATCGACGAACGCCACCAGCGGCCGTTTCTCGGCAAAAGCATCGATTGGCTCATCTGCGCGTCCGTTCTCGTCCAGACCGGCAGCCGTCGCCGGTGTGGGCAGCACCCGGAGGGCGGTGACGACGCCGTGGCGCCAGGATAGCACCTCGACCGCCTCGCCATTGGCCGGAATTGCCCACACCTGGACACCCAGACCATAACCGAGGATCAGCAACAGTGGCGGCGCTGCATTGCCCTCCAGTTCCCAATCGTCGCCAAAGCGGGGATCACTCACATCCGCAGCCGTTTCGAAGCGCGCCCAGGTGATGGTGTCCTTGGGATCCTGCACCGGTTGATTGGCCAGAGTTACATCGTTGATGAACCCAATCGCCGAGTCGAGAATCGACCGATCCGATACGGTTTGCGGTGGCACAATGGCGGGCACCGATGTGCCCGATTTGCTGCTGCTGCTGCCGCCGCCGCCGACGGAATTGGAGCCCAGACCGGAACCCAAGCCCGAACCGGATCCGGAGACCGATCCAAGGCCGGAACCGACCACGCCGGAGGGATGGCGGCGTGGCGAGTCCGCGGACATGTTGCGGCGGCTGCTGGGATACGCCGGTGGTGGTGGTGGTGACTGCTGGGCGCCGGAATCGCTCCGCGTCTAGCTGCTACCACAGCTGCTGCCAATGATGCTGTGCCTCCACACTGGTGGTCAGTGGTTGGCTGTTTGTTTTTGTGGGTGGCTGTTGGCAGTTGACTCTGGGGTGGCAGTGGGTGGCGGTTGGCGGTTGGCAGTCCTCGCTTGTTGCTCTCGCTTATGCGATTCTCTTTTGTCGCCTCTTTTGGAGACACTGCGTCTGATCGGCGGTTGCTTTTTGCTTGCTTTCCCTCTCACTCTCTCGCTGGCTCTCTTGTTGTCAACTGCAAGTAGAAAGCAAAAACAGTAAATAAACAAATTGAACAATATCACACATATATTTCCCGTGCTCTCCAAAGTTTTTGCTCTCTTTGGGGTGAACGCAAGTAAGCCCCAAAAAACCTTCGCCCCAAATTGTGAAACGTAAACTATGAACTAAAAGTTTAAAGATCTTATGATAATATCATGCACGTCCTTGTGTTGGCTGCTGTTAAACGTATAATTATTCATACATATGTACATATGTATATAATATGCTGTGCGACATTTCAAAATGTTCTTATGGAACAATTTAAAATATCTTATGATAACCAAAATCTTAGAAAAACCTTTCAACAGGTTTTCATAACTTTAAAAAATTAATCATACGACATGTGATCTGGATTATTTTTTGTAAAGAGTGTTAAGGGCCACCCTAATGCGCACATTTCATAGTTTCATAGTTTCTTTTGGTCATTCAATTTTGTTCCGTTTTTCCTTTGTCTCAGTCAAAATACTTTAATCTTTGGACAGAGTTACCCCCACCAACTGCCACCCGCACCACCACCCTCTTCGCTACCCACTTTTCACTCTCTTGTTACCAATTTATTAGCGAATTACGTCTATATTCTGCTCTGCGCTTTGTTTTTATTTGAATTTTTCTTTTTCGTTTCCCTTTTTTTGTCTCCCACCGCTTTTGTCAATTTCAGCAATTCCATGGGGCGCAAATTAAGTGCAATAAAAAACAACCCAATATGCTTACAAATTGAACGTATCAAACAACGCAAAAAATAAAACAATATTTGCCGTTGTTTTTTTTTTCACACTGCAAACACGAAACTAAAACAAGCTCCAAACCACAACAACAAACCTCAAAGTCACGCAGAAATCATCAGGCCATTTGCTTTAGCTGTTAGCTTCTAGTTTCAATTTTCGGTCCGCTTTTTTGCCTTTGATTTGCCAGCAAAACGCAATATGCAAACACAAAGAAGATAGCAATGAATTGTTGTTCTTTGTGTTTCCTCTTTTTATTGGAAACAAAAGTTTAAGCCCTGCCAAAGATTTTTTCTCCACCTTCTTTTCGTCGAACCCAAAGGAAGATCAGCAAGAAAACGACAACTGTCCAAAAAGGTAAGCTTTTAAAGCCACATGACCCAAAATAAATATTTTTTATTTCAGAATATCGTAGAGTTAATGACTCAATGATATGATCTGGTTACTTCCAAATTAAAAAAAAAATTTCTCAAACTTCGTTAATTTTTACTAATGCCGTTTTAACAAATATAGAACATACTCCATTCTGTTTGTTGTATATTTCACAATCGCCATTCATTAATGTTCCATCTTTTAAAAGGACAGAGGGTGAACGATCCCCTTAAATGATTACTCAAAAACCGATTGGCAGTATATGTACATATGTGCATGCGTATATACATATTTATATATAAATATGCAGTTTGCTAATTTTTCCACGTGTGGTGGCAATTGATTAAACGAGTATTTCGCCACTTATATGTACATATGTAGATAGAAATGAGGTAATTACCAAGCTATGTAAGTACAAATATATATACATATATGTAAGTGCACAATATTCCGTATTTAATTGGCTAATGATAAGACACGAAGTCGTGTAGTAAAGGCGTAATGATTCAATTAAACGCTTATAAACATTTGCGAAATACGAAGGTGGAATTTCGAAAGAGGGGTAAGTACTTTGTAAAACTCCAAATTCCCGAAACAACATTCCTTGATGCATACATTCTCATATGTTTTTATGTATGTAAATACGCGTCCATATGTGTGTTGGGGGCTGCTTAATGGTTAAGCCCCCAAAAACTGTATCACAAAGCGGGTAGTGGGAGAAGCGCAGCTGCATCGCTACATTCTTCAATTGGCTTGGCACACGCGCAACAAAACCAAAAACAATAACCGTAATAGCAACAAGCAATGTCACACACACTTACACACCCAAAGCAACTTGTGAGAGTAAGAGAGGGTGGTCCACCGCCCCCTTGGGGCTTTTCTTTCCCTCTCACCCACGGCGACCATCAGTAACGCATTTGTCTTTGTTTAGCAATAGGCATCCAAACGGCATTAATTCGACGTTCCGAGATGAGAGTGCAACAAGGACGGAGAGAGTGGGGGAGAAAGATAAAGACCCCTCAATGTTAATACAGTAAAACTTGGAAAACAAACTACAAGGCACCATTCAAAATTTGGGTCATCTTTATCATTCTCCGATATTGAAATGTATGATTCTTGTTGTATTTCAAGATGAGTGTACTCTATAGCTCGCTGTACTAACAAACGTAATAGATACTGAATACAAGATACAATTAACCTTATACGGACTCAAAAACGGTACTTATTAAATTAATTTGTTTTCCAAATTTGCCAGTTCTTAAGTTCAATTTGTGATTCTCTGTTAAATTTAATACGATTCTTCTTATAGACGTCCAACTGTACCTCCCCTTGTATTAGTTTACACGTATCCTTGACACTCGATCAATTCCAGAGCAAGTTCAAACGGTAACTTGGCCACCACATAAACGAATATTTTTGCTCAATGCAATTTCTTTTTCTTTGGGCTTCAGAAATACTAAAAGAGAAAATGCAAACGAAAAGAGAGACCCCAAAAGAGAGTGTTTATGTGCTGAGCATGTTTTTGTTGGCTCCCCATTGTTTATGCTGCCAAAAGCCACTTGACAAAAATCTCAGCAAGAATTTTTTTCTTTTTTTGTTTTGTTTCCTTTTACGATAGGCAAAAATATATACGACAATAGCTTATTCACAAGCGATTGCAGCTTGCGAACAGGTGTTACTAAAAATATAAATACCAACACACACCGTTTAAATATAAGATATGCAATTTCATCAGATCTAGAAATAAAAACTAGGTTTTTAGCTCTGAGTAACCGCAACTTTAATATAGTAAAATATACGATAAAATACTAACATTTATTTTTACCTTTTCACCTTACTCTAGCCATTTCATCTGTCCTTCTACACTTTTATGGAAGCATACACATTCAAATTTAGCTGCTTAACGTATCCGTAAAACGTATTTTATATAGCACAAGTTCATCAACCCACACACAGCTGATAATTTTTACTAGATTACAGGCGAAAAATTTCTATTCGAGAAGATTAATAGGAAGTACGTATATCAGTCACACACGCCCCCGTACACCTTACCAACTGATAAGGTGCTTAAGGTCCCCGTTCTCTTTCCTCAACCTTTGGCAGTCCTTGGACGGGAACAAAGGAACCCCTTGATCTACACAGTAGATAAAACTAACCTAAAGGCGATATTATAAGTAAAGGTATAACTATTAAAGACGAACTGTTTGTAGAACGCTGGACTTTCAAAAGTCTGAAAGTTCCTATACAAGAATATAAATAAAATATCAAAACCTTGGGGAATGATAAAGTGTTGCAGATAACAAAATTTAGTTGTAACATAAAAAGTACTGCTTTTTATTAAAAATCTCATTTTTGAAAGTATCTTTAAAGACTCAGCTAACTGAAGTCCCACTGTAGTGTTGACAGGCGGAATGCAATTTTCGCTTTTCTTATGTTTTTCTTCTTTTTTGTATTTCTGCTTATTTTCAATGACACCCACCCACTCGCCCAAACATTGGCAGATTTTTTGGCAAACATTTCTATTAGGTAAAAGCATAAATAGACATAGAGGAAAGTGAGGTGTTAACCCACAACAAGCGCAGGCAGAAAAGGGGGAGGTAATTGAAAAATGTCACTTTTAATGTGCGTTTTAAATTTTGTAAATTAAGCGAAAACAGTTTGTGCCAACCAAATATTTTTGTTATTTTTTGATTACACGACCGAGTTTATTTGTTGTTGCCTTTGAATACGGTTGGAAAACAAAGAGCCAAAAGCAAAGCAATTATCAAAATATATACAGAAGTCGAAAAGTGCGAGCGAGGTAGGGATAAATGAAAAGAGAGCCGAAAACGAAAACAAAACTTTGACACACAGATGCACTTGAATGCACACAAACGCAATGACAGAAACTCAGCTGCAACTGAATTTTGTTGTTGCCCTCTCTCGCAGCAAAGTTCCACCATCCTCTCTTTCTCTCTCTCTTTTGTGCAGCACCGCACAGTGAAACAAATTTAAAACATTTATATACAAAATAATTCGAATTTAAAATGTAGTTCCTAATACAATGCCGAATTTTAAAAAAGATAAAAACCATATTTGACAGTTTTGTAAACCAAAGAAATTTTCTTTGTTAGAAGGAGACACTTAAAATATTAACATTTTTATAAGTCCCCTTTTTCTAGTAAATTAAAGTTTTTTTGATCTTTTAACCCAATGTGCTCAAATGTGTTCCACTATCAGTTTGTTTCGATTCCTCTGCTTTGTTGTTTCTCGTCTAATGCGCACATACACACACACATACACATAGGCAAATGTATCTGTGTGATTTTTTCTTCATTGTTTGTGTTTTGAAATATTGTTTTTATTCGCGTCACAGCCAAAACAAAATTTCCACTACTTTTGACATTTAAATAGCAAATACTTGGTTGTACAATCTCAGCTCTTTCTACGTTTTTTGCATTCCTGATTCTTCGCTCTCTCCTTGGCTCTTTGTTTGCACAATTTACAGGTCTGTGATTTCGTCAGAGCAACAATAAACAAATAGTTGCATAAATTGAGGTTTGATTTTTCATATATACACGATTTTTTTTCGATTTCGTTTCGTTTCTTTCTTTTTTTTTGCGCGTCAAACAAAAACAACAACTGAAGGAAGAGGAAGAACTTACCACTTGCGTTGTTGTTGCTGTTCGTTGGTTGAATCAGCAGCAGCTGAAACACAACAACAATGCCACTCGTTTCGCTCGTTCCACTTTTCTCACACGTTCCGCAAAGCGCGCACAAAAACAACAACACAAACAAAAATCATATGTTTTCAGCTGCTCGCTCTTTTTTGCTCTCTCTTTAGCTTTTGTTGTTGTTGACTTCCTTTTTGGTGTGTGCTTTCTAGTTTGTTGTTCTTTTTGGAGCTCCTCTTTTTTATTATCTTCGTTTGTTGCAGGCGGCAGCAGCAGCAACAAAATCCCCAACTGCGTCTTGCTTTTTCACTCTCTGTGTTTTCTCGCCCCTTAATTTGATTTTGCCACGCCCTCCAAGTGTTGCTTAATTGTTGGACTGCTACTAATTTACAGATTTTAGCTTTTTCGAGACGCGCAGCAAACTCTCAACTGCGAAGCTTGAGTTTTGTTTGAAAAAACTGAACTTTTCTATTTTTTTGTTTCTTCTTCTGCCGCTGCCGCCGTCGACGCAGAGCCCTATTGCTGGCTCACTCGCACACAAACACACACACACTCACGCACACCACCAATACAGACTGCGTCGTACGTTTTATTTTAATTTCTTTTTCGTCGTTATTCGTTTATGATTCTGTTGTTTTTGTTGTTGTCTACTGCCAATGTTGTTGTTGCTGCACAAAAAGTAACTGCGACATTAACTCTGCAAATCTTTCGCCTTGTTTTTGTACTCTTCCGTTAACTTATATATCGATTAAGAGACGATTTATGCGTCGCAACAAAAAAAAAAAAAACAAGTAAATAACCAAGAGAGACTGCTGCCAAAACGAAAAGGAAAAAAAACTAGTACTAGCTGGGCTAACTGCTAGCGAGCGTTTGCCTTTATTTCGTATAATATCTTCAGCGGACACTTAGTATTATTAATTGTTATTATTTTGGTTGCTGAGCTGTTTCTGTCTCAGTTTTTTGTCTCTCTCTTCTGGGTGCTGCGCCAATGTGACCGTCGCGGCTAGAAACAAAAATGCCAAGTTAGTGGAGGGATTACGGTATAGAACTTGAAGCTAGCCAGTGATGAAACATCTCTGGTTTAAAGTGACCATGCATGGTCACATCTTTAAAAACGACGCCAAAACTTTTTAAAAATGTGTGCACTTTATTTGGGATTTGGGTAATTGCGGTCCTCTGTAAAAACAGCGTAAAAAAAAGTACAGTACGCAACTTTAATATCAGTCAATCGATTACGAAGTTTTATAAAAAATCAAATCATTTGCGTATTTACGCTGTTTTTACCTTGGACCGCACTAGTAAGCAATTACCCATGTTTCATATGTACATAAAATTTAATGTAAGCGATAGAGAAAACACCCAAATAAGAATAAAATGAATGTGTTTTATGAACCGAAACTTTTGAGCTTTTTATAGTACAGTATTTTTTAGTATGTTGTCCTAGACCGCAACTGTTTGGCATGTTTGGATTCACGCCATTTGGCAACACTGGCGCTGCAATAGCGGCAAAAAAATTAATTTTTTGCCATTTACGTTGGCGTAAAGTTCTGTCGCACAACAATTACAAAGCTCGCCCAGTTGGGTTGGTAAGCCTCCATTTCGGTTTCTTCGATTGACTTCAATATACAATCCTGCATTCGATTTTGCAACAATTGTCAAACTGAATTGTGTTTGTTGTTTTTCGAAATTCGCAAAGTGTGTGTTTATTTGCGGTTGCGCCTGTGTGGGTGCGTGTGTGTGTGAGTTGGGTTGTGTTTTGGTATCCAGAGTGAGTTCATCCAAAAAGAAAAAGGAAAAGAAAATGTTATATGTTGAAAATATTATATTTGGGTCAAATCTGTGTGAGTGTGTATGGGTGTATTTGTGTATATAACACTCTCTTTTCCTTAATTTCCTTTCGCCTTACTTTCGTTTTCTTTTTGCGCTTTGTTGTTTTTCTGTTCGGCATGTTTGTTTTTGTTGTTGTTACACGCGCTTCTTCTACCGGCGCAACTAATTTCGATTTATTTATAAAACGTTGATTTATACACGTTTAAATATTTCGCTCAAAACAAATGCAAGCAAAATAAACGTATGTGCTTCGATAAGTCCGCGTGTGTGTGTGTCTGACCTTCATGCAATTTTCCAATTAGAAAAAGGGGGAAGAGTGGAGAGAGCGAGGTCCTGTGATAATGCAATCAGATCGCTTGTGCGTGCGTGTTTGTGTGTGTGTGCGGAGATTTTTCCTAGCATTAATTCAATTTTCCGAGCAACAAGCACTTACGGTTTTAAAACAATTACACGGCCACTTATACAGTTTGAAAGCTTTTAACCAGTCAATTTACCTCTTCCTGATTTTTGTTTTGCCTTCTATTTTATTTTCTTTGGCAGCACAAGAGCAGAAAAGGCGACGGAGAAGAGAAAAACAAACCAAAAGACACGGCAAATCAGTCTAGTCAACAAAGCAGACCAAATGAGCACGCACTTCGAGACTAACGAGCAGCACAAACTAAGCCAAAAATAAAGCTAAAGATAAAGGAGAGGCCAGAAGCATCACACACACACACACGCTCCCCAAACACACACACACTCGCACACATCCCATCCCATCCCATCTAATTACACTGAGCGAAATCGGCGGCAAGATGCGGGTGGTGGCCATGGTAAGTGGCGGCAAGGACAGCTGCTACAACATGATGCAGTGCGTCGCCGAGGGACACGAAATCGTCGCTCTAGCCAATCTGCATCCCAAGGACAGAGGTGAGTCTTCAAAAACCATCAACTAAGAATCAACAACAGCGATAAACAATATAAACCTTTAATTTAGTAAGGATTTTGCAAGGCCCTTTTGATACTCCTAACCAATTTATAATTTGCCAATTCCAAAAACCCTTCTTCAGGGGACTTAAAGTTCTACCAATTTTTTAGGCAAGTCTTTCGATTTTCAACAAGTTTAAACATATTGTATACCCTTTATAAATCAATGCCTTTGGTCAGATCATTATTTTGTTACAATATAGAGTTGTCCAATTCTTTATTTTACAATTTTCAAAATTAATGTGCTTCACAATATGTTTACAGTTGCCCAATTTGATATTTTTAAAGTCAGATATGTGTATATTCAATTCCATAAATCTTGCAGTTCATTAGTGAATGTGGTTTTTATTTAAACCTTGTCTTAAATTTTGAGGTAGGCAAGTTCCACAGTGTTAGATTGATGCCATGGATCAGATTAGATGGTCAATATTATTTGCGAAATCACTTACCACCGATTCGCCTTGTACCCGCTGCCATTTGATCTGAGGCCGCAATGCCGCCCAATTGTTGTTACCTTCCAGACGAACTGGACAGCTTTATGTACCAGACGGTCGGCCACATGGGCATCGAGATTCTGGCCAGCGCGATGGGATTGCCGCTGTACCGGCGAGAGACCAAGGGCAAGAGCACCCAAACTGGCAAGCAGTACGTGCCCACCGATGACGACGAGGTCGAGGATCTATATAGTCTGCTGGAGACATGCAAGGTGATTGATTGCTTAATGATTGTTCGTTCTCTGCCTACCGCCCCCTCCCACCCCTCGAAAACCCCCGATTCCGATTAAAGCTGGTGATAAGGAAACTTGGGTGGGAAATCGATTGCATGGCACGGTACTCCTTGTTACATTTGTTTTATTGCTGTTGCAAGTTCCAATAATCGAGTTGTATATATTATATTTGACCACTGATATGTCTAGCTAGAGATTAAGTTTCAGAGTTAGATCAAAGCAGGCTCTACCCTAATACCGAAAATTACTTGAAACTGATTCGAATAACTTGTTTGTGTTCCCACAAAATTCTGTTGATATTTGTAGAAATTAAGGGAATCGGAAAGGTTATCAGATATGGTTTACTGGATTTTTCCTGCACAGGAAAAATATTTGTATTAAATTTCGAAAAGAAATAATTGCGAAAGAAAGTTAAAATGTTATTAGAAAGGAATTTCATTTTTCTTTAAATAATAAAACAAATTGCACACCTTATAAAATTTGGATACATACATGTATAATTTTTTTTAGCTATCCAGGTTTTTTTTATATCATTTGCGTGATTATTTGGGGAAACCCATGCGTTATCAGCTGTGGTATAAATAACTAAAACTATTTTCAATACTTTCCGCTGAGTGGAGCGTTTGTGGGGCTATCAAGATCAGGGACTTGTTTCATGTATCCGTGATTGTTGTGCCGTGTCCTTGGCTCCTTGGCTCCTTGCTCGCCTGTTCACCCACTCATCCTCGTTCCTCATCAATCAAGTGCAGCGAGGAGATTGCAACTGCAACCGCAAACCGCACCGTAATTGGGTGGCACCTCCTCCTCCTTAATTCGCGGTGGGAAATCGCCGGGCGGTAATCTTATCGCGATGCCCGGCCAATCGAGACGGTACGAAAATGTTTTTGTTGCCGTGCACGTGAACTGCCCGGGTTAAATACAAACAAACAAATAAATAAATAGAAACACAGCGGAATATATCACACAGAAACCGCATCGAACCAAACAATAACAATAACGAGTAAGAGTAATCGCACAAATTGTTTATTTACTATTTACCCTTCGATACTGCAAGAAATTGAACGAACCAAGGAGACTTTAAATGGTGATTACAGTTTGACAGGCGCATTAATAACCCGCTATCAGTATCTCAACTGCACTCAAACTGTAATTACACTTTTGCATTCGCTTAGCTGATAACACTCCATGTCCGACTTTGTTATAATTTCTGAGCTGTTTTTCACTCGTCATTAATATTACATTTTGATCCGCGTTGAGCTGATAGGAAATTAAACTGTTTTCTTAATCCCATTTATGGGAAGTAATACAGTGTTTGTTTTTTTAAAGGTAATGGGTTCTTAAAAAAGAAATACTCTGCATAACATATTGTTTTTTATTGGTTGTAACTTTTATATTATAGAAAGTTGTAACGTTTTTAAGATATTATGATATTATATTATTTTTTTTAATAATCATTGATCGTAGATATACCTTCTTATTTTTACTATGTGTAATATGATATCTTATAACACCATATTGGGAAATCTAGAGGTTCTATAGCATTGTTAACCGAGTTTCTTACATTTTAGAGGCGCACTCTTTCGCAGACCTTCTCTTATGCCTTCTCTATCTTTGCACATGTTCTTTCTAGGTGAATAACTAATATCTGCCTTTCATTTGACTCCATTGACAGCACGAACTCCAAGTGGACGCGGTGGCCGTGGGCGCCATCCTCTCGGATTACCAGCGCGTTCGGGTGGAGAACGTCTGCAGCCGCCTGAACCTGATATCCCTGGCCTACTTGTGGAGGAGAGATCAGACTGAATTGCTGCAGGAGATGATCGACTGCCAGGTGCACGCCATCATCATCAAGGTAACCAAAAACGATTCAGAAATCCCATTCAGATTCCCAAAGAAACAACATCTTCGATGGTTGGCAAATTCGTTTGATTGTTTAAGCAAAAACCTGTAATAATTTCGATCAGCTTGGTATTGTATCGAAAGCAATCATTTCACTTTAATCGGTCAATTTGGATCGTTATAAAAATAGATTACAATGAGATAAACGTTTTGCGGGTTTCGTAATCGCATGGAATCCCATTTTCACGGCCTGGTTCCTCAGCTGAATTGTCGTTTCTGCTAAATTTAGCCCATGTAAACACTAGCGCTCCGATTGTTCAGCTGAAAACGATCTACTTCACCTGAATTCCACATCACTCGCCCATTTGCAACGTTTGTAAAATACAATTATTTACTGTTTGCTCATCAATTTGAGTCCTCAACTTTTATTGTGCTTCGATTGATGGATGGCGTTGTGAAGTTCATTACCACGATTTCTTTTCAAAGCAGAAGAGATGATTTGGCAGATTTTTTATTTGCGGATACAACACTAAAAAAAAAATGAAAATGAAATAAGTAATATCAAAACAAAGATCAAATCCGACTTTAAGAATTATTTGTTGAATGCTAAAAGCACATATTTATTTAGAAACAAATTTCATATTTTATTAAAATATTAAATGAGGTAGAGTATTTAAATTATTGCTTTTCAATTTAAAGAGTACAAAATATGCAGAATTAAAAGATATAATATATATCAACTAGAACTAAAAATGATATCAACGATAGCAAATAAATGATATCAAGAGTTTAGTTGGTACTTTTGATTAGAGCGAATTAACTTTTAAAGTATAGGAACATTGGGGATTATAACCAGGATGTAGACAACGAATTCTGCCCTCCATCGAAGGTGTTCCTTCTGTCGCAATATTCCCCTATCCTAACCACCCGTGGCGCCTCCCTCTCTCCCCCGTTGAACGTGCCGGTCACAGGTGGCTGCCCTGGGCCTCGTGCCGGACCGCCATCTGGGCAAATCGCTGCGCGAGATGCAGCCGCACCTGCTGAAGATGCGCGACAAGTACGGACTGAATGTCTGCGGCGAGGGCGGCGAGTACGAGACCTTCACCCTGGACTGCCCGCTCTTTCGGCAGCGGATCGTGGTCGAGGACATCCAGACGATCATCAGCAGTGCGGATCCCATCTGTCCGGTGGGCTACATCAACTTCACCAAGCTAACGCTGCAGCCGAAGGATTCGAGCGGCGGCGGCGGCGGCGGCGGAGGAGGAGCTTCGAACAGCAGCGGCGGCGGCGGCGGCGGAGGAGGAGGAGTCGTTGGAGTCGTCGGTGGCGTTGGCGGCGGTGGTGGCGGATGCGGTGATGTCGTCTTCGTTAAGCGTTCACTCGACTACATTAGCGACCTGAACGAATCGACGTACAGCGACCTTAGCGATCCGGACTTCAGTGAAACGGAACTGGAGCTGATCGAAAAGGAGACCCGACTCCGCGAATCACTGAGCCAAAGCGAGCTGATATCGCGGAGTAACTCCTTTGGCCGACATCTGGCCGCCACCGCCTCCTCGCCGATACCCATTGTCACGAAGAGCGCCAGCGTCGACGAGCCCACAGCGGCGGCGGCGATAGCGCCGATGCTCGGCGGTGGCCAGCCGTACCTCTGTTCCACCTCGGCGTGTGCCTCCATGCTGCTGACCACCGGCCATGGCAATGCGAATGCAGGCTTGAATGCCCACAGCCATAACACCACCAGTCACAGCCATAGCCATCACCATCACAATGCCGATGGCGGGATGAGCAGCTTGGCCAGCTCACAGAGCCAGGCCGGTGGCCATGGACTCGGCAGCAGCACGGCCGCCGTTTGCGGCTCGCTGTCGCTGGCCATCTCCTCGCTTGGGCTAACCGCAAATACCTGCTGTCATCCGGGAGGAGCTGGAGCTGGAGGAGGAGCACCTGCATCTGCTGCCACACAACCGCCCAGTCCGCTGAAGTACGAGCGGGAATTCCGTCCACTGGCCAACGAGGCCAGAGCGGCCATCAATGCCAAGGGCTGGATGTGGCTGGCGGGCATACAGGGTATCCAAAAAGAGTCTCTATTGCATCTCAATACTATCTCTGTTCCGAAACAACACGGTGGTCGTTCAAGCTAATCAAGTTCAATAACCATAAAGTACTATTTCAACTCATTACACTGAACTAATTAAGCATAAACTTGTAAGCCAGGAAGTTTATGTACTCATATAAACTTAAACCTAGAAAACAATTTCTGTATCTTGAGCTCTTTGCTAACATTTGTCTGATTTTTAAAGAATTTATTTATCATTTCACCTCATTAATTTAAACTAGAAAACAAATACCACATTTGCTTTACTTTCTAACCATTTCATTCTACTCAAACCAATGACCACCGTGTTTTCTTTGTATATTTCCACTGAGAATTAAATGCTAATACCTTTATTAATCCTTCGACAGGCTCCGGAACGGAGGGCATTGAGCAGGGAATGCAGCAGGCGCTGGACAAGCTGAGCGATCTCTGCCACTCCAGGGGCTACGATCTGCAGGACCTGTGCTACGTCACGCTGTATGTGCGCTCCATTGGCGAGTACCCGGCACTGAATCGGATCTACCATCGCGCCTTCGACTTCCACAATCCGCCGACGCGTGTGTGCGTCGAGTGTCCGCTACCGGATGGCTGTCATGTGGTGATGGAGGCGATTGCCTATCGCCAGCCAGTGGCCGGTGCGATATCCAGTGCCGAGGAGCGGGATCGCGAGGGCGAGGAAACGGCGGCGGCGCTGCTCAACGGTCGCCGGAATACGATGCATGTCCAGGGCATCTCGCACTGGGCGCCGGCCAACATTGGTCCATATAGCCAGTCCACACGGGTGAGAAGTGTTCCTTAAAGAGGAGAAAATATAAGTTAACTGAAACCATAGCTTGGCTACAATCATTCCTTAATCGTATTTTCATATTAAGAGCTATCCTGAATGTTGGTTTTTATCTGTTTACTTTTGTTTCCTAAACAAACTATAGCCATTAAATGAAGTTACCATTTAGTATAACTTCTCAGTTTATGTGATACCCAAACTAATTGAACATCTCCTCTAGATTGGCGACATTACGTACATCTCCGGCCAAATCGCCCTGGTTCCGGGCAGCATGACAATCATCGAGGGCGGCATCCGTCCGCAGTGCAAGCTAACGTTGCGCCACATCAGCCGGATCGCCAAGGCGATGAATGCCCACGGCCAGCTGCGGGATGTGGTGCACGGCATCTGCTTCGTTACCCATCCGGCCTTCATTGGCGAGGCGCGTCGCCAGTGGGAGCGTCGCACCACCAATGCCATCATGGACTACATTGTCCTGCCAGCGCTGCCGCGTGAGGCACTCGTCGAATGGCAGGTGTGGGCTCACACCCACAACGATCGGTTCGACTGTAAGGCAACATTAAAGTGGAAAAAAATAGAGGATTCCTTAAACTTAACACTATTTTTTAGATGAGGAGACTGGCTGTTCGGTGGGTGACTACACCATTTCGATACGACGCCGCTGGAACTACGAGAACAATTGTGCGGCCATCGTTTGCTATGTGTCCACTGGTCTGGCCTCGTCCACCACCCAACTGACCCAGCTGAGCGACGATATACTGGGCAACCACTGCCGTTTGGCGCAATCGGTTAGTGCCGAGCATCTGGACGAGATCCTGACGTATGTGGTGAATCGCCTGCTGAAGGACTATCCGCTGGCCAAGAAGCCGGCGCCACAGACGACGAACTCCTCGGGAACGCCACCGGCCACGCCCACGCAGCAACCGGGCGGCGCTGGCGGGGATCAGCACCAGCAGGTGCCGGCGATTCATCTGAAGCTATTCTATCAGGTGAATGCCGCACCGGCGACGGATCTGCTCTTCCAGGCGCTGCACGATTTCCGGATCAAGTGCCAGGAGACGGCGGCCGTTGTCTACACAGTGCTGCCCGCCTGCAGTCTGCACAACTTCAGTACGTTCCTGTCCATTTGCGGAGTGAGGCACGAGTAGAGGCGCCACACGCAGCGAGTCCAAGGATGACGACGATTAGGAGGAGGAGTAGAATGTTGAGGATGAGGATGAGGATGTGGATGTGGATGATAATGATGAAACAATTTGCTGCCACCGCACCAAGCAGAACACAGAATATATATATATATGTACACCACTATATATACACCCACAAGATATATGTATAATGGAGGGTTCTCCCATTCGTTGGACAAAGAATTGCATTGAAGGAGAAAATCATCTTTGAATAGTTCACAGGCAGTTGACCTCTTCAGTTTTAATGAGACTTCAAAAGTTATTACCACAAAAGTGTCATAATTTGTGCATTGTAAATGGAACAAGTCAAACTTAACACAAATTTAACATTTTAGCCAAGATATTCAAAATATTTCCAGCACCCTTTGTGAGTTCTAAAATTACAAATCAATAGAAGGTCAACTGCCAAGAATTATGCCTAGATAACTAGAAAGGTCCCACAATTTGTTTTTCAGTTTGAAAGATCATCTAAAACCGACCCAATTAAATGTAAAAGCAGCTTGCCCTTTGTTGATATTGTTAACTAGCAAACGATCTATAGATCGGCCAGATATCTTGAGGCCTGCATGCTGTATCCATTAATAAGTTCCCTTCGTGTCGCAGTTTTGGACCAAACTCTCTTAAAAAAAAAAGATAAAGAAAAACCAAAAACGGATCTATGCAACTCAAGCGTTTCAGCAACTAGCGAAGGAAAGCCAAGCATACAAATTCAACTTAAAGCAACTTTATATATTATATACGAAGAAAGTAAACCATTTTTGTGCACTCTATTGCCCAGAAAAAACCAAAAAACAAAAAGAAAACAAAACAAAGCAACTGTAACTATACTCTTATACAACTATTAACTACTATTACTATTTTCGATGTGCTTTTCTTTACGCTCCGATTTTTTATATATATATATATGTACATCTCAGCGATTTTTGTTCATTTTTAAAATAGCCAGAAACTTTTGACCAAACAAAAAGAACACTCACAAAAACACGACAGCATTGTGAAGCAAATGATTTTTATATGACGATAAGCTTTAAATATTGTGGAAACCGAATGATGTGGCCCATTCTTTTGACCACGTCGCATCATTTTCTTTATCCAAAAAATCCGAATGTAGCAAATATGCCATAGAGAACCTAGATTTTATCAACTTGTATTTTTTTTTTTTATAGATATCGAAATTACCGAATAGAGATTATTGAATGTGTTGCTTAAAGTACAACTTGTCCATCCTTTTTCCTGCACAATCTGCGACAAAATGCAAAAAAAAAAAAAAAAACATCCGTGAAACGATTTTGGTCGAATTCCACACCAAAATTTTGTCAACATATACTTTTTAATGTAAAGTACGATACAATATCGATGGGGACGCTGAGCGGGGGAATAATATAAAAAAAAAAAACGATTATTACATGCTATTATGTATTGTTATGAAAATATATTGATATTGATTGAGTGTCATCACAAAAGTCGACATAAAAAACCAAAGAAACTCTGGGCGTTCTTTTTATTCTCGGGCGGATGCGAGCTGATAACGGTTCTTTGCTGGACGGTTCAAGAACTCGCTATATATTATATGCTCTGGTATCAGTCTTATCGCAGTTCACTGATTTATGGAAAATATCAATCCAAATGGAGATTTGCGAAATGCCTGGAAATTGCCAGAGCTACGTATTTGTATTTTAAATTAACCAAAATATTACTAACGACCTTATACATTTAAAAATAATTCTTTTAAATTACACTTTTGTGTGGTTTTAAAAGAAATTTTAATAAACATCTTTATACCTATGCGTTTTTAAAAAGTGTTTTGTTTTATCCAAATCATATGTATTTGTCAACATATAAATATTTTACAGGTCACTAATATATTTAAATCTTCCCTGGAATGCAGGACAAACTAAACTAATTAGCAATCAACAATGCTGTTTTAATTTTCGAGAGTCATTGTTCAATTGTTAAATTATTACATATCAATGTTTTATTAAGGTTAAGGTTTGGGCTTACATTTTAAATATAACATTAATAACATATTTGAAAATAAGCAATTTATTTTTAAATAGACAATAATTGGAATTATGTACATGCTTATGTACATATAACACCAAATTTAATATTTTTTTCCTTTATTTTTTTTGTAATTTGTCAAGTTTTTTAAAAATCCAGATTAGTAGAAACCATTTTTGAATAACTAAATTATAAAGATATAATAATTGGTCATATATGTACATACATATATCGCTTATTAAGTGTTTATTTTTGTAATGCCGTAGGAAATAGATTTATAAATTTGTTGCTTGGATCTTTGAATTGAAATGTTAAAAAAATTTTGTTTTGTTTATAAAAAATGTACAGATAAAGGGGAATTTTGTTTATTTTCTTAATATTTGCTATGCAAAATCTTGAAATACCGAAAAAGTATGTAAATAATTTCGCCCCACTTAAGTAACGGTAATCATCCAGATCCAGCTGGAAGTTTAACGGTAAACCTGGGGCAACGTACACGTCAGTGGTCTCGTTACTCAAAGCAAACGCATATTTGCATCAGACAAACAACAAAAAAGAAGGCCAAACATCTCACTCTCTCCGCTCCGAAAATGTTTGGGTAAACAAAAAGGAAAAAGCTCGGAGAGAGTTAACCCTCTAGTGGGCGGAACCACAATATTGTTTAAGACACGTCAGTATTAGAGGCGAAACATTTTTGGAAATAATCGATAAAATTACAATTTAAAATTTAAAAAAATGTAATCCTTTTTAATAGGGTATTAATACAAAAATTAAATTAGAAACACAAATTAAAGCTCCCGCTGCCTTAAGATATTATTATTCAAATCCCTCTTTTTGAATTTTGTGGTACGTACCTACCGTTTTGACTTATTCGATTACCTGCGAAACATCGATAAGTTTCTAGAAAGATAAAAACATCGACACGTCAGTGGTAAGTTGGAGCGCAGAGCAATAAATAGCCGAGGTGCAGAGAGCGATAATCAATTTCAAAACAAAAGTACAAGGAATAACATCACAGCAAAAGAGAAACGCGATTTATTCAATTTAAATATTCCAATAAGAACAACACAACGCGCTGTGAAATACATAAACAAATATCGTTACATTTCCATTATATCAATTAAAAACCAAGCCAAAAAACAACAAAGACTATACTACTGTGACAAAAAGTGACAACTAACTATATAAGTGAATATTTTTTTTAATAGTTTTAGTTAGCAAATGTAAGTATAAGCAAAAGTGGTTTCTAATTTTAAGCTTTCCGTTGTTGTATTGTTTGCGGCATCAAAATATAAAATTCAAAAGACTATATGGTTATTGGAAATCCAACAAATGAATAAGTTAAGATACATAATTTTTTTTTTTTTTTTTATGTGCTCCTAAAACCTAAAAATTTTTGAACAATTAATGTGTGTTTAACTCAATATATATCTGTTCAAAAAGAAATATAACTTTTAATTACTTCTAATGACCATTCTGAAGCAAAAGATTTATCTATGTATTATATATATTCAGCTTGAATGAAAATTTGAATATTTTTGAATGAAATATGGACTAGACTATTAGTACGAGTGCTTGTAGTTTTCCAGGCAACATTTTTAAGTACCTAGCATATGTGAACAGATAAATTCATTGAAGAGTAATTAAGATTTTCCCCAAATGAAGTTAGCTTTTTGAACCTCAACTAAGGCGGTAATTTGCTGGTCCGACTCCCGTTTTCCAACACTAAATGACCACTGACGTGTCTTTTTGGCCCCAGAGTTGCACGCTCGTGTGTGTGTCACCGCGTGTGATTGTGTGAGTGCGTAGAAAGCGCCGGCAAAAAGTCAGAAAGCAGCAGCCAGATATTCTACTCAGTCATTTCCATTTGAAGCGTCGAGAAAATTAAATCGAAACACAGTGAAACTTGTGAGCCGTTCAGCGATAAGTGTAAGTGCCAATGAAAACAATCAGCGACTAGCAACAATACCTGAAAAGTGCAGTTGCACTGCCAGAATATTAAGTGAATATAGGACAGGATAACCGAGAGCGGAAAGGGCCACTAATACAACTACACTGCAACTCAGTCGCCATGTTGGCAATAGAAAAAGAACTATAAAAAATGCCTGCCCCTTAAAAAAGTTTGCCAGCACGTGCCCAAAAATAAAGTAAAAACGTGTGAATTGAGTTTTGAGTTGCATCAATAAAGACCAAGCTATGACGTGGTGGTCGAGACGCCTAAATTATGCTAATATCCAAAAAACCAGTTTGGTGAATAAACTTGGGGTTATTCTCCTCCAGTTGGTTTTGAATAGTTTAACTTAAATTCAAATTAGTTGCAACTGCATGTTTTTGTTACATTAAATTAACAGTTTATTTCGCACGAGTTAAATTTTTAAAGAGTGAATAGCGCCTGCGCGTGCCGCTGTCTGTGTGAGTGGGTGTAGGGATGTGTGCGTCTGTTTGTGCTCAATCCGCTTGGTACACGTCATTTATTTGGCAGATTTAAGCTCATTTGCTCTCCTCTCCGATTGGCCAAAAGTACACGTCAGTGGCATAGAAACAAAAGAAAAAAAACTTGTATAAACTTAGAACCCGAAACAGCTGTGCAAATTTAGTTATTTGGTGTGACTTTCTCCAAAGTGCGTGAAAGAACAAAAAGGAAAACCAGTTCTTTGGCCGCTCTTTCACCGGCAGCACTCTCAGAAAGAACCAGAAAAATGTTACACGTATACAAATTTCGCTGCTCTCGCCCACCACTCTCTCTATTTCTCTTGCGGCGACGTCGGCGTCGGTCAATGTCAGCAGCGATGAGCACAGCGCTTAACAATTGCCGGGCAGTTAGCCATCGAGGTAGACGTGTTCTTTAGCCGATCTTGATTTCTTAGCAGTAACTCCCCTAAAAGGTACGTCGGTGTCAAACAATTGTAATACAACAATCTGGCTGCCAAAGTGGCACAACTAACGGTACCTGTTGACAGTTGACCGACGTCAGCACTTATAGTTCTCTCGAAGAGAGTGCGTGCATGTGTGTCTGTGTGTGATTGTGTTGACGTGTACAAAAGCCGAGCTTGAATTAATTGCCAAAATTAACTAAGTTTGTACCCATTCTTTTACTTGCAGTTTTCTGAGAGATCTTCAATATGAGGTTATGCATATTACTGGCTGTCGTGGCCTTTGTGGGCCTCTCGCTGGGCGAGGAAAAGAAGGAGAAGGACAAGGAGCTGGGAACAGTGATCGGTATTGACTTGGGAACCACATACTCCTGGTAAGTAATCCTGTTAATGTCCTGGAAACACAAACCCTGAGATCCCATATCCCACGTGACTACTGGCTCGTAAAATTTAAAACAATCATTAAATTATTCATTGTGCAGTGATTTTTGTACTTTCATTAGCTATTTAAATATGTAGCTATATTATTTATATTTATTTTTCGTGTACTTATAAGTTTATAACAATTCAGAAAATGTCTAATGACCAAGCTTACGGTTTCGAATTGAAACGACTTGATTAATTAATAGAATATAAATCCCACGTATTTCTAAACATTTAATTGTTTAACCCTTTTACAAATTTGCTGAAATCGAGAAAATTTTGAATATATTAGCTCACTTCCACGTGCGCAAATGATTAGTCATTTTCCCTCGTAGTATAGATTCAAGTTCAAGTGTTACAATATCTGCTCGTGTAGATTCGTATCTCAACCTCATGATCTAGCAACTTCCTACCTTTATCTTAAGATATAGTACTAATTTTACAATTTCATCTTACAGCGTTGGTGTTTACAAGAACGGACGCGTTGAAATTATTGCCAACGACCAGGGTAACCGCATCACTCCTTCCTACGTGGCCTTCACTGCCGACGGTGAGCGTCTGATTGGAGATGCTGCCAAGAATCAGTTGACCACCAACCCGGAGAACACGGTCTTCGATGCCAAGCGTCTGATTGGACGCGAATGGTCCGATACCAATGTGCAGCACGACATCAAGTTCTTCCCTTTCAAGGTTGTCGAGAAGAACTCGAAGCCACACATTAGCGTTGACACGTCGCAGGGCGCCAAGGTCTTTGCTCCCGAGGAGATCTCCGCCATGGTTCTGGGCAAGATGAAGGAAACCGCCGAGGCCTATCTGGGCAAGAAGGTCACCCATGCCGTCGTCACTGTGCCAGCCTACTTCAACGATGCCCAGCGTCAGGCCACCAAGGATGCTGGTGTGATCGCCGGTCTGCAGGTTATGCGCATCATCAACGAACCCACTGCCGCGGCTATTGCCTACGGTCTGGACAAGAAGGAGGGCGAGAAGAACGTGCTGGTGTTCGATTTGGGCGGCGGTACCTTCGATGTCTCCCTGCTGACCATCGATAACGGTGTTTTCGAGGTGGTGGCCACCAACGGTGACACCCATTTGGGTGGTGAGGACTTCGATCAGCGTGTGATGGATCACTTCATCAAGCTGTACAAGAAGAAGAAGGGCAAGGATATCCGCAAGGACAACCGTGCTGTCCAGAAGCTGCGTCGTGAGGTCGAGAAGGCCAAGCGTGCTCTGTCCGGTTCCCACCAGGTGCGCATCGAAATCGAGTCCTTCTTCGAGGGCGATGACTTCTCCGAGACCCTGACCCGCGCCAAGTTCGAGGAGCTGAACCTGGACCTCTTCCGTTCCACTCTGAAGCCCGTGCAGAAGGTGCTCGAGGATGCCGACATGAACAAGAAGGACGTGCACGAGATTGTGCTGGTCGGTGGCTCCACGCGTATCCCCAAGGTTCAGCAGCTGGTCAAGGACTTCTTTGGCGGCAAGGAACCGTCCCGAGGCATCAATCCCGATGAGGCTGTCGCCTATGGTGCTGCTGTGCAGGCTGGTGTGCTCTCTGGCGAACAGGATACCGATGCTATTGTGCTGCTCGATGTGAACCCACTGACCATGGGTATTGAGACCGTCGGCGGTGTGATGACCAAGCTGATTCCCCGCAACACTGTCATCCCCACCAAGAAGTCGCAGGTGTTCTCGACTGCTTCCGACAACCAGCACACCGTCACCATTCAGGTGTACGAGGGCGAGCGTCCCATGACCAAGGACAACCATCTGCTGGGCAAGTTCGATTTGACCGGCATTCCGCCAGCACCTCGTGGCATTCCCCAGATCGAGGTATCGTTCGAGATCGACGCCAACGGCATCCTGCAGGTCAGCGCCGAGGACAAGGGCACCGGCAACAAGGAGAAGATCGTGATCACCAACGACCAGAACCGTCTGACGCCCGAGGACATCGATCGCATGATCCGCGATGCCGAGAAGTTCGCCGATGAGGACAAGAAGCTGAAGGAGCGCGTCGAGTCGCGCAACGAACTGGAATCGTATGCCTACAGCCTGAAGAACCAGATCGGTGACAAGGACAAGCTGGGCGCCAAGCTGAGCGACGAGGAGAAGACCAAGCTGGAGTCGGCCATCGATGAGTCGATCAAGTGGCTGGAGCAGAATCCCGATGCCGATCCCGAGGAGTACAAGAAGCAGAAGAAGGATCTGGAGGCCATCGTTCAGCCGGTGATCGCCAAGCTGTACCAGGGTGCTGGCGGTGCTCCGCCACCGGAGGGCGGCGACGATGCCGATCTCAAGGACGAGCTGTAAGATGTTGGCCCCTAACGCACACGCATACAGCCCAGATCATAGTGTTGGAATTCAGACTGATTAAACACAATTAACTTAATTGCAAACGCAGTAGCCACAACAACAACAATAATAAGAAAATATAGCAGAGACCACAAACAACAAGAGATAAAATACTATACTTCACACCCCTCAGCACACTCCCCCGCCCAAAACGCCCATCCATTTTCGACCTTTAAGGCAAACTTTCCAAAAGAGAAACCCCTTCAGGAAAACAACAACAAAAAACACAATCCTTTTTTTATAATTTTATTTTTTTTTTTTTGCTAAAATTTAATTGAAAGTATTTTTTTGTCAAAAAGAATGAGAAATGTAATCACGATTTATTCGAGTGTTCCTCGCATTGCTCGCGTCCTTCCGCCCACTCCCCCTAAAGAGTTAGCTGCATAATTATGTAAAACTGTAAATTTTTTTTATATATATACACATAACTGTGACGACTGTAAGCCCCCGAGATCCCCGAGAAGTCGCAAATCAATAGGTTAGCCTACGGATATGTAAAGCGGTAGCAACAAAAACACAAAACACAGACAAATGTTATATGTATAAGCGATTAATAGCCTGATTTCACGGGCACATTTTCCATGCACATTGCGCAAAATCAAAGTGAAATCCGTGTGGCATTAATCGTTTGTTGAGTTGAAGCACACGCGGATTGCAAATTGAATTTGGGCAAGGCGAATGTGGGAATGTGTCTGGGGAATCGGGATATATGGAAGAGATATAGATGATATAGCGTCAATGCGAAAGCAAAGGGAGCTGCGGGGCGTGCGGAGAATAGGTCGATGAGAATGCAAACGGCAAAAGAGCAAATGATAAACCATAAAACACACAAGAAAACACTGAAAAGCGGTGGCACCACCATCAGCCACCAAGCTTTAAAGGATTCTTCGATTTTACGAAGGATTTTCTAATTTATTTAAAGATAAAATAAAAAAAATTGAAAAAAAGAAAAATAATCCATTTGATGTTTTTGGATAGCAAAGGGCGGTTTCACTATTTCAGCTAAAAAGTTTGGGTTTGTTTTTTTTTTTTTGACCCTGGCAACCGATATGTAAATAAAACTCTTTTATTCGGTTTTCATCATCTTTATTGTTTTCACTTCATTCGCTGGCATCGAAATTCATCATCATTTCCTTGCGCATTATATCAACCTTATCTCTTTTGCTATATAATTCCTGCGATAACGGTATTATCTTCTTACGCCAACTGATTTCTCTTCATTTTCATTGTTTTAATCTTAATTATTCTTAAATACATTAAAAAAATACATAAAATATTTTGTTGGTTTCCGTTTTTGTTTTTTTGTTGTTTCAATATCAGTACTGTTCTCGTTTCGCATTCGATCTTGAATTTAACAAACTCGGAACAGCGGATATTTTCACACCGCCGCAGAACTTTTAAATTTCTGGGCCCTTTTGGTGGAGTGGGAATATCTGAGATTCCGGTTTTGTTCAATTTAAACCCAATTCGAATTTGGGAACAGGTCTGGATGTGTATGTGTGTACATATATAAATAAGCTAACGGTATATTGTTTATATGTTATATGTATATGTATTTCTATATAAGTATATGCACTCTCAGATTTCGAAAAAAGGGAACACCGAAACTTTAAATTCGGCTCACGTTCAGTTTTGGTTTTTGCTTTTGTTGTTGTTGTTGCTGCTGTTGTTGTTCTTGCTGTTGTAGGTTTCCTGCTTTCGTCATTCGATTTTTTCAAAAGTTCTTGAAATAGTACGCTTTGAAGAAGAAGCAAATAGGCTAGGAATCGGAATCTTAATAGGGTTGGGTTTTTTTCCTTTTTCGGGAGAGAAATGGGGGAACAGAGGTGGGTATCCGGCCACTTGACTAAATATTTTAAAGACTATTTCTATATCGGTTTAGCCCCTTTCATTTCACTTAGTAAATAAAATGCAAAGAATAAAGTTGAATACACCTGATCAGTGTGTCCAGTGTTTTAGAGAAATAGTAGATCTACCTATGTAACTAAAATAATCCAATAACACTCAATATAAGTTAAATTCAAAACAGCTATTCCAATATCAACATTTTAAAGACAAATGTTTTAAATAAATATGAGTGTTCTTTCCTCAATGGTCTTGAAATATTTGATTAAAATCTAATTTAATGAAAAAAAGGAACACTTTTTCTAGTTTCTTGTTATTAGATTATTTTTTTACCTTTTCTTCTAAATCGCTGGCCACACTGCACCTATTTTTTGTTCTTTTTTTCAAACAGAAGCTGACTGTATGTGTTTCAGTATGTGTGTAATGGCTCTTCAGCTTTTGGATCCAGCGTTGAAGATTTTGATGTTGGTCCTTCCTGTCTACCTGGGTTGTATTTTCTTCGTAAACATGTTCCCGCTCGCTTCTCCACAATTTTTCCTCAGTGTGGCCCGGCCTGTTGTGTGTGTGTGTGTGTGTTTTGAATTAAAGTGTCTATGTGTGGGTGTGTATCGGCTGCTGGACTGCTTGGCTGCACTGCTTTTGTTGCACTGCTTGCGCTTAGAGGCGCTTGGGAACCGTATCGGCATTATTCTCAGGCTCTTCGTCCTTGGGCGGCTGACCACGTTGCTGCACGGATCACCGAGTTACCATTATCAAATCGGATCAGATCGTATCGGATTGTAAAAAAAAAATCAAAAAAATATACACACAAGACACAAAGTGGAAGAGAGGAGAAAGTAGAATAAGAAAGCGGAAGAGAAAGAGAAAGAAGAAACACACACATCAATATCAATTCAATCAATTGTAGGAGTAAATGGGTGTACATACATGTATACAACCGTTTTTCCAATTAAACATTGCAAATTAATAACAATATACTTTTCTTAAAAAACACAAAAATTCAACCTTTTTTTAAATTAATTTTTTATAAATATTTTAAACTACTTATATATTTTTTTCTTTTAAAGTCTTTCGAAACAAATACAAAAATAATAAAACTAATAAAGTTTTTTTTTTGTAATTTATGAAAAAAAGTTTAATTGGATTTATACCAACTCCGTTTAAATGATCATAAATTGGAAAACGGTGAAGAAGGATTGAAATGGTATGGAATGGCTGCAGGATGCTGATCTGAACCGTGAATGTCTATACCGAATGTGTCGGCAGTTCCAACAGAAAGATGTAAAACAAATTATCGGGATATACCCCATGGGAAATCCAGGAAAACGGAGCAGTGAAATGAGTGTCCTTCTAAATCTCCGTATCTCTCCGAGGTTTCTTTATTATGTGTGTGTCTCTGCGTCTCTGTGTGTTTAAATTTGTAGATATTTTCTTTTAGATTCTCAGGAGTTCTTTTTAAATCTATAGAGATTAAAATCCGCCATTTATTACATTTGAAATCATTAATCTTTTCCATCTGGCCCGGTTAAAAATCTATGGCAATATGATTTAATAATCTCTAGAGTTTTCTCAAAGAGCCCCAAGCTTAAATTGTCGAAAGTGCTAATTGAGGGTTATTAAGTTGTCCATGGAAATGGAGAAGCAAGCAGTGCCAAACATGGTGTAAATTGGTAGGTGTGTATTTATGGCATGTGAAGTGCAATGTTTAGGCCCATTTGTTTAATAATAAAAATAAACCAATAATATATAAGTTTAGCATGTTTATTTGTTGATTGTTCCACATTCGCATTAGCGGGGTTTTATGTGGGGGAACATAAAATAAACTAAGCCAGGTGGATGCTGCAGCAGCCAGCTTCTGTCACCACCGGTTTTGTGTTACTGTGCATCGGCGTTGTGGGTTAATGCAGGATAATGAATCAAAAGCAATTTTTTATTAAACTTCTTTAACTTAAACCTTTTTGGTCAAATACTTTCCAAGTTAAACCAAACCATTTCAAACTCTTTATCTTAATATTTGTTAGAAGTGGAAGATAAAGGTGAAAGAAATTCTACTTTAAGTACTAAAAGCAATATATTTTGATTTAAGGACTTGAAAACAAATTAGATCATTTCACAATTTTCATAAAAACCAAAAAAATATTCATCATTTAGTTATCATTAAAGATAGACTACATAAAATTTGAACAATATTTCAGCTTTAATAGATTTGTGCGAGTTAAAGAAGTTCGTCTGTGGAAAAATAAGAGATAACGACGATCACTCGGCCTCAGCCTCAGGATCTGGGCGACTTAGGATCTCCTGACAGAGTGCAATGTAGTCCTTGAGGAGGTGTAAAGCATAGCATAGAGAAAAGTGAAATTAAATTAAAAAGATTTGCGGAAAGACCAGGAAACGGGGCACATGAGACATGAAACACAGCGGTGACATATATGTAATCCTTGTGCGTGTTATCAAAAACGAAACACGCAGGCCACTGACATAATTTATTTACAATTACGGTCAAAATAACAGCCGTCGTCGGACACATTTCGAGTTACTTTAAATATTTATATGAGAAGGGATAGAAAAACATTTATCACAAAAGATTATAAAAAGTTCATTTTAATTTTTTTTTTACAATGAGATAAATTCAATAAAAATTAATTAAGCAAACCGTCAAACAGATTATTCAATTACATTTTTCTTTAAATAGTACTTCTTGAGGATGTTTAGAAATTATTATAAGGGAACACCCAGTAAATTAATAGCTTTTTTGCTTTTTTTTTTTTGACTGTATCTGTAACTGAGTGAAATTTAATGTAAAGGGACACTCTGATTGAAGGTGGCGAAATGATAGACTGCGTTTTGTATTAAATATCAGTTTCGTTTTTATTTTAGTTATTGTTATTATTACTTTTGTTCTCCATTATTTTCATTTGTCATTTCGTTTTATTTTCTCATTTATTAATTGTAAACAGTTTTCTGCACACTCTCAGATTAACTTATCAACGGTCCTCGTCCTTGCTATCGATCTCTATATAGATTTCCATATATATATATTTATACTTTATTTCTAATTTTCTTAAAAAACGTTCTTCACTTCTTGTTTTATTGTTTATGTTTTTTTGTTTTGTTTTTCATTCTCTTAATTACGAAAATATTCATATGATCTTAACGAAACAAAAAAAACATATTGGATTAATTCGGTTTGGCAGAAGAAATGCAATTCTAGATTATTACAGTTGGGAAATGCTCCCGCAACTACATACAATACGTTTAGAATAAAGAAATATAAAAAAAACAACAATGGGGCGGGAAGAATTCAGCAGAATTTAAATTGAACCGATTCTGAATTATACCCCTAAAAAACTAAACTATACCGATTAATGCCGCTACAACTTGAACAAAGCCAAAGCTATGTATTTACTTTCTTTTGACTATACTGAACACACACAATCTGCAATGAATTTGAAATGCTGGCTTTTCGTTTCGATTTATTCATTCATCGTTCGTTTTTTTGTGGTTTTGATTGATTGTTGAGCACTGTCACACGAATATTATTGCTTCTGTGGACGATAGGGCAACACTTGCCGTTGCACTTCGTTTCGTTGCAGTGTGTGCACATGGGGAAAAGGTGTAGCCCTTGGTCCTTTTCCCATTTTTATAATTTGCAGTTCTCTTGCTGGCACGTGCATGCTCATGAGTGTGTGAGTGCTGTGAGTTTTTGTGTGCGTATGTTGTGTGTGCTTCGCTTTTAAGGGGCTTCTTTTTTAATTCGTTCGCTTCGTTGCGTGGGCGCTGCCGTCGTTTCTTCTCCTTATCCTCATCCATTTCTTCCAAGCGGTTGCATTTCTTCTTCATCTTATCTTCTTTTATTTATCATTCTGTTTGGGGGTTCTGTATGTGAGTGTCTGTGTGTGTATGTGTGAATGTTTGTGTGGGTGAGTGGATGTGGATACTCAGTCGAAAATAAAAATCTTCTAGAACGTATTCTTTTAAGCTTGCTTGGCGAAGAAGCGTAAAATAATATGTTCTGGAATGTATAAAATTCCGACTGGGTAACTGTATTGAATGGTGTCTCTCTTCTTTTCTTGAATCTTCTTTGAGGGAGCTGGGGTTTTCCTTAATTCTTGCCCGCCGCCGATGGCTTGGGAATCATCTTCGGCTTATTCGTAAGCTTTACTGGCTGCTATGGGATTTATACAGGGTATCATTAGCGTTGTCGTTTACATAAATGCTGATCGTTATTTTTGTTTCTTTATTATTTTGGAAGTACTACGTTGCTTATATCGTTGTTTTCTCTACGTTAAATAACTTTCTTCTCTTCCTATATCTTATCTCTCTTTCTCTTACACACTCTCTCTTCTCTGTCTAATTCGAGTCTTTTTTGTTTGTTTGTTTCTTGTTTTCTTTTTTATTTTTTGGTCAAGTGTTACACTGCCAGTGTTTTAAAATGCCACACAAAAAACATACAGACATCAAAGGTGACGAACCGAACAGTTATTAAGACACAAAAAAAAAATCGGTTAATTGACTAAAGCAAATAATATATATATATGCATGTGTGTGTGTTTCTTTGTGTGTATGAGAGTTATGCATGTATAGTAATCTGAAGGATTTCCTGCTCTCGGTAATACTAAAAGCTAACATAATACATATGTTTTCGAATGTTTTAATATAGTTTGGTCGAAAGAATTGAAGTAAGTTAAATTAAAATTCAAATAGCATGAGGTTTTCACATGAGCTGTTTTTTTGAGTGTGCTAAATGAATAGGTGCGTAATGGTTCTTCCTTCTATTTCGTTTTCAATTACAATTTCTTCTGTTAAATTTCTTTTTCTTTTTAAATATAAACGCATTTTGGTTTTGTTTTGTTTTTTTTTTAGTTTTTATATTTGTATAAATGATTCTTTGCTCCTGGCGCTCAAAAACCTCAATACAGTTGTCTCTCTCTCCGTCTCGATTCTCTGTCTCTCAGTGTGGTTGTTGTTGTTGTGGTTGTTGTTGTGTATTGCTGTCTATCGGTCTGCCCGTTGTAAACTATCGTTTCGATTTTTTTTCCGATTTTAGTTTAGTTTACATGCATGCAATTAATGGAGTTTTTGTTGTTGTTGTGTTCGTGCGTATGTATTTGTGTTGGAGTTTTTTTTATTGGTGGTTTTATATAATTAGTTTTTCTACACACAATGTTAAGAATCGATCGATTGGAACGATCGATTTTAGATCGATAGGTATTTTTTTTTCAGACAGGCAGAGACACGTTCAGATTCAGTATCATATTCAGGTTCAGGTTGTCGATCGGATTTTGTGGATGTTTGATTTGATTTGATTGGTTTTTGTGGTGGTTGGTTTGGTGGTTTTGTATGTGTGGGGAGAGAAAACAAATAAAAAAAGATATAATATATATATATATATGCTTAGTTGAATGATTTTTAGGTGGCGTTTTTAGTCAATACATAGATTTTTAGATTTAAAAATAAAAACAACAAAAAAAGATGAGAGAGTGGGGTTTTAAAGGGTCAAGGTAATAGCTAGTTATTAAGTTTTAAATTTACCGCTCGTAGTGGCATTTTGAAATTGGCTGCTGCCTGCAGCTGAATTTGATAAGCTAAGCTGTGTATTTTAAAGCCATACAGCCTGTTGTTGTTGAAGACGCCGTCGAATTTGTTTTTGTGCCGGATGTACGCAAACATAGAAAAGATATAGAACGTGTATTTGAGTATTAGTAAATCGGGTAAATTGATTTCAAAACTGACCTTGGAACAAACTGATTAGTAGGACGCTTGGGACGATACTCGGGATGCACCATGAAAAGCATGTGTGGAAATCCAGTGCCAAAATAGGCGCCATCGGTGTGGTGATGGCGCGACGATTTCGGTGTGTACACGTCAATGCACTTGGGGCAATAGGTCTTCACCATTGCCTCGCCGGGGATGTCCGACAGACCTGAGGATAACCAGAAAATCGAATTAATGTATAATACTTGTAAGTTTATACATACAAAACTCACTAGAGTGAGTCTTTAATAAATCAAACTTAGTTTGTTCACACATAAAAGATGTAGGTTTTATTGCTAGGACTAACAACTAATATCCTGTTTCACTTACCAAAAGTTAATAATAGCAGTCAATATTAGGAACATATTTAGCTAATAGATTTCTTTTTTTTCCCCATAATCCTGCTTTTCATTTTGCTTACTATTTATGTATTTATGGAGTCAATATCAACAAGTTATAAACTACTCCTAATTCGTATTTCCGGTTTAATAACTCGATTTCTTGCATACATGTTGGAATTTCACTGATCGCTTAGTAACAAATACAAGTGTTTGTTATTCAGGTCTTGTTTAACGGAATGCGAGAAGATCAGGCTAAGTATAATCAAATAATTTCTTTGAACCCTTCGATAAATAAACATATTTGCAATATAATAGAGTTGACAAGGCACATTTTGCAGAAACATGAGGAACAGACTTTGGGCAACGATGTGTCATCCAATTCTCGTACCACCCTCGATTTATATAAATATTTAAGTAATGAAGAGCTGTTTACAAGTCGTCTTCGTATTTGGTTTCAGTTTCTGCTTGAATTCGCATTTTTCAGTAATTTCTAACTGAGCTTTGGATTGAAACCGAATATAAATTTGTAGAAAACTGATTATTTTTCAGATCAGACAGACAGATTTTTAATTAGGGGACTTGTTTTTTGGAAATAAATAACAAACTTTAACAATTTGTAAGGAAGTAACAAGATCAAGTTCTATAGTCTTTATAAGAATAAATTTGTTGTTGTGTTGTATTTTAGACTAAAGATTGAGATAAATTTTTTTGAATTAAATAAAGCGATTCGTTTTAATTTTAGAACATTAAGAATCTAGGTTCTCGTTATTTAGATTAGTTTCCGGATAAAAAGGAAAAAATTAATGAAGATAACATCTTAGGATATTTAAGGATCTTCAATGATCTGGTATTCAGGGAATAGTTTAGTTTTGATAAGCCTTTGAAAACTGTAAATTTCTTAGTGAAAGTTCTACAAAGGATAGCTCAATTTAGACGTTTTCTCCCAGGATCGGTTTACGCACCTAAGGGCAGCATGGGCTGACTTTCACAGTAGACACGTGGGCAGTGTCCGAAATCGCCAGTTTGATATTTCTCGATCATTTGAGCGATGCCGCGATTTGTTAGTATATATCTAGCGTGTATGAGGCCGTAGAGCATCTCGGCGGCCTGCTCGGTCATATCGGACTGCAGGGGATTGTCCTCGAGTTCGTCCTCTGTGGGATAGGATAGTAAATTAGCAGGGTATTTCGATTTATAGAGGGGGGCTTCAGCCCTACACATACCCGGTTCCAGATCCAAGATCATGTCCAAGGCTTGCCGATAGTTGGGCACCTGCTCATTTAAACCAGTTAAATTGAATTTATCCTGTATATAGTCCTCGTCCACCTGAAACCGATAAGAGAATTAAGATCTGTTCCTATATATATTATTTATTGAATGGTGTACAGTTGGACAAAATATTGCCCCACCTTGCGGCACACAAATACACACTGACAAACGCAACTCAGGGCTGCACTTTGCAATTGTTGCACTTATAGCGCGCGCTTAGATAACGCGAATATAGTAATTCGGGGGAAATTTTGAAGGGGTTGATGGGGGGATTTTATATCTCACCTCGCAGAAGAACTCATTGCCACGAAGTCCACAGAACCAGGTGACCCAGGAGACTTCCTCGGAGCTGCTCATTTTGCTGCGAAATAATCGAATGGAATTGTAATATATATTTCCTGTCAAATTATCCTGCACACGCATACAAAGGATGCACATGTCAAACATACACGCATTCGTACACACACACACACACACTGGGACAAACGCTCACGCACTATTACATACATTAAGGGGATTATTTTGCGTAATTTGGCCTGGCGAGCGGAATTTATTGTTGAAATACCATGGAACGCAAACTTGACGAAAGTTTTTCTTCGGTTTTTTTTTCTTTTCGTTTGCCTCCGCTTCTTGTTGCTTGCACACACACTCTTTCTTTTTCCGCTTCTTTTCTTTTTTGGTTGATAGGTTTGCCTGGTTTTCTTATGTGCGATATTTTTGTTTTGTTTGAAGCGTTATTGGTTTTGGGGTGATCACACCGTTTGATTGGGGCAAAATGAAATTTTTATACTCGTATTTTGACAAGCGCTCATACAAAATGTGCCGAGCAGTAAGAAGAAGCACGGTGGAAATTGAGAAAAAAAGAGACACATATACAGGGCCCACACACACACGCACACAGAGGCATGCACACACGCACGCCTTAACACCGAGGAGCGCAATCAACGCACACGGGTCCGCTTTTTAGCATTATTCGCGCTGCTGTTGTTATCCAGTGGCTAGCACTCACCTAAATTGTTAATAATTACGCGATTTGATTGACGTTTGCAATACAGCAGAACCGGTAAAGGCAAATATTGTAGCGAAGACGGGACACCAGGTATGCAATCGCGCCTATCGATGAGAGCTGCCTGGGCTCAGCACTGCCGTGCGCTTATCGATTGTCGTACCATCTCTTTACGATATATCGCCCGCTCAGGCTTGTGTGTTTTATAACACTGCATCGACGAGAGCGCCCACTTTTGTCTGACAGGTAACATCGTCAGGGGCTGGTATTGTCGTGAGTATTCCACTTATTCGTTGCACTTACCTTAATTGTTTCTTTCTATGTTTTAATAGCTTTAAGGTTAGCAAGTGCAATTTCAAAGAACAAGCAATACTAACAAGTTTATACGAGCTCATCTTGTAATTTTTCTAACACTGAAAGCTTTAAGCTTGGAAGTTTTACAACACAATCAGCTGTTCCCCTCTAAATCACCATTCTTTTTTAATACGACTTCAAAATATTGAATTTGGAAATACTAACCAAACGAAATGGAGCTAATTTTTTTTATAAAGAAAGACAATCCACTACGGACAATAATATCGGTCAGAAAGTGATATGGCTGGCAACCCTGTTAAGCAGCTGATATGGGGCTGCCACATTTGCTTAAAATGCCTATTATTATTAATTTGTGTCTATCGACAAATCGTTTTTTAAACAGAATTTTAAAGGTTGCGAAACTTTAAAAAAATCCTACATTAAACAAATATCATTTTATCTCAACGGGAAAGGTATTTTCTTTTAAGTTTCTAGCCCTATAATAAAGTTGCATACCAGTTTTTTCAAATTTTGCGAAATAGATTTTTTCGAAAATTTTCTGGGAGTCCCCCTTGATAATTTTGCAAAAAATTTTTTCATTGGCCAAATTAAAAATCGGCTGTCCCTTAAGATATGCAACATTTCTCTTTTGTGGGTGGTATTTACGATCACTATTAAGTACGATCCATACGCGATCCCCATACGATCCACATATGCTTAATATATGATCCACATACGATACAAACACGATCCATTTACGATCCACGTATAGATGGGTTTGAAACTCGGATATGATTATTTGGATTCTGTTGCCACCTTCTAGGCATTGCTGTGCGCCTGGTATTTGGCTTTCGAAATTTGCCAATTTTGTTGTCCAAATGGACAAAAATTGTCTTCGATCTTATTGTTTTTCATCATTTCAGAAACCAGGCGAAAATAATCAGAAGAAGGTCGCGTTTGATAAATTTTAGAATTAATACGATATACACCAGCTACACGTTTCTGTTCGCCCGGTGTCTAAAATAAAAAAATTTTCAATTTGCCTGCGAAAACTCTCCGGATTTCGTTTAATTTGATCAAACTTTGAGACTTCAGACACCAGGCGATCATAATCCATAGTAGGTTGCAACTGGTTAAGCAAAGTTAGCTAAAATGAATATGCACCTGCGGGTCGTTTCTGTTCGCCTTTTATTTTCACGGACTATTTAATTAAATTTATGTACATATATTATATGTTAAATATTATAATGTTAATGTTTTCATTTTTTAAACAGCGTACATATTTAATACGATATTTAATTTTCAAAGCTTATTGACAATCTTAAATATTTCTTTGGCATTCTGCCGTCCATTAATGACATAGGCCAGTGGATCGTCCCGGCTCGATTCCATTAGGTTGTCGCACGATTCCTGTCCGATGTCGAACATAAAGGATGCATCGATGTCCTGCGGCAACTTGCCCCGCAGAAAACTTATTTCGTTGTCGGCCAGCGAAGTTTTTCTGGCCAAAAGCAGGGCAGACAGATACCTTGGTTGCTTTTTCTTTTCGGCACAGTGCATCACCAGGGCCCAGGTGTCGTAGTCCGTGTCCAGGACGTACGTGTTGTAAATGCCCTCATCTAAAAATTAGATTGCATAAGTTGTGAAATAACATTTTAAATATAGCATGAAATACAAAACACTATACTAAAATCTCTTATTTTTTCACTTACATATATCTTCCGTGTGTTGCCAATGTCCTGGTTCATCGAATTTGGGTATCATCCAGGTGATGTTGCCCACAAGCTTCTCTCGCAATGGATCCTCCGCGAATATGTAGCTAAAGTTCATTGTTATCTATTTGAAAAATAAATATAAATATTTGAGATAATGAAGGGGTAAAGCTGATGGCAAAGGCGCTTACGTGTTGATCATCCTTGGAGAAGGAAAAGTGACTGCGCATACAAGCGTATTCCGGTAGTTCCTCCGTGGAAGCATAATATTGCACCACGTGCCAGCAACCCATCATCCTTTCCAGATCAAAGTTTTTAATGGCACCCACCTGTAAAAAGGATAAGAAAAGAAGATGTATCAGAAAATTAAATTTATATCTTGTAAAGCTGTTCTTATATTTCCTATATATTCAATTTTAGCTACGAATTAATCGAATACAAATTTATTTGATCTTTTTATAGGTTTCAAAACAAAATTGTTCAGATATCAGTAAAAAAATTAAATAAACCTAACTTTCGAAAGGTCAAGGCTGCAAGTGCGTAAATAAGTAAGACAAATAAAGATTTAGGCCGCAAACGGTCTTGGCCATTTTCCCTCTGCAACTTGGCTGGCTGCAGTTTATTTACATTGTTTGGCGACCACAAAACAAACTTCAGTTTACAGGAGAAAGAGAGTTGGTGAAGCGAATGGAGCGACAGACGACGAAAGCCGTTAGCGCTGTCACCGTGATTGACTACTGACAGTTCATTGAGGAGTCGGTGTCGGTGTCGCTGTCTCCGTCACCCTCTCACTCCCTATTGCCGTCTCCCTCTGCGACGCTATTGCCATCCCGTTTGCTGTCTTGCAAGACGCGACTTACAGACGCGAAATGCAGACGGAGTCAGCCTCTGATTGATGCGCCTCAAAAGCGCATTGCCCCGCATGTGCCGCCCCCTTTTCACTCCCCTTTCACTGCTCCTCCTCCTTATCCTCCTTCTTCACACCCCTCTCTCCTACCCCCTTTCTCCAAATCTCTACGTGCGTGTCTTTTGTCTATTCTTTTTGATTGTCTTCTGGCTCTGGCTTTTGGCTCGCTTTCGGGTATCTGTATTTGTGTGCTTTTTTTTGTGACTGCACCTGCATCAAAGTGCAATTGTCGCCGCCAACGGAGATGCAGACAGTGGTGGGCAAGGGGGCGGAGAAAGGGGCAAAGAAAGGGGAGAAGAAAGGAGACAAGACAGCGAGGCGCAGACGACGTCTGAGCCACTTAGAAAGTGTGATTGATTTTGGCATCGGTGTGAGCCCATTTCTTCTGCCTTGCTCTTTCTGCGCCTCGCTTTTATGTCCCATTCATTCTGGTCGCTAGAGATGGAACGTGTGCGAAAATCGATGGAGGGTTAAGACCAGAGTCAGTCCTAGTCCAGGGTATTATGAACAGGGGAAATCCATTCATCATCAGTTCACTTTCAGTGAACTATTCCGCACACAAGCCATTGTTTTGTTTGTAATCCTTGCAGTTGGCTTTAACTTATTGGGAATTATAGGACCCTTCCAGCTTACCTTAAAGTGTAGCTAGTTTTGAATGTACTTTCTATGAAAATTGATTAACGCTTAGCTCTTTTGTAACCTCAGTTGTCTTCAACAACCCACTATTTTATCAGATGCAAAAGTTTAGCTAATTTCAAATTCACTTCCTGGAAATATATACTCCTGTAATTTATTTAAGATTTATATATAATCATTACTAAGCCACGAATGTAGACTCGACTAGTTTCCCCCATGTATATAGATGGTGTCATCGCTATTCGCTTGATATATGTCACAGTGTGCCCGGCATATTGATGAGCCTTTGAGTTTTAGTTTGGTTTCGGGTTCGAGATGCTTTTCTCCGGCGGCTGTGCCCAGAATGAAATCGAATCGAAGCGAGGTGAAGAGTGGCGAAGCGGAGCGAAGCGTTGCCAAAGAAAGTGATCCAGATAGAAGAGGCCAGGGACGTGACCAGGGATGGGAGTCGGTACGTTCGAGACTGCACCTGCTTCCAAGTATCTAATGTGGCACCAACTGTCTGCGTTCTTTTTGATTTGTTCTTTACTCAGGCCATTTTCTGTGCCCAAAAGTGACCTCAATTTTATTCAGATTTTAAAACAGTTTGAAAAGAAATAAATTTGCAATTTTATGGCATATAAAAGAAGTTTTTAATTTCTTTACCACTTTTTTACTTCTCTGCTACTACTACTCTTCTCTTCAAAAATCTTTTTAGAATTTTCCCTTAATGCATTTTTTGGTATAACAATTTTGACTGACTTATAAGCTAAGCCAATAACTTATTGCTAAGCTTCTCTAATTGACCTTGATGGGATGGGTTAGTGGGTGTTGGGTGGTTGGCATTGGGAAGTAGGTACCCACCTTGGGACACTGATTACTTGGGCCGGATCGCCTCCTGGTCTGATAGGCATTGCTATTGTGCCTCGTCCACAGATCGGCATTTGCTGAAGGGAGAATATCCAGGAGAACTAGGAGCCCGGCGAACAACAGAAACGATCCACTCCTGCCCATGATCGGGGGCATTATTCCGGATTACGGGGAGGCGCTATATAATTCCTTATTGTCGTTAATCTTCCGGCGGTTTCAGACGAGCGATTGCCGTTGTGTTGTGGCTGGCACTGTTTTCGATGGCACTGCGCCATCTCCGCGAGCAGCATGCGACATTAGCATCCAGCTAAACTACACTTCAAATAAATATTCAAAATAAAAATAAAAGAAAAGATAATGTTCTGTATCTTACAAAAAAATTAATTAATAAGGGTGGTAAAATAGATTACCCTTACCTTTGCTTAAGAAAGTTAAAACAAAAATAAATTGTTCTTATTAATATAAAAATATATAATGTTTTCATTTTTTGTTGTGTAGACGAGCAACAGCAGCGGATCAGAACGCAACGGATTCGGATGTTTTTGCGGATAAGGCGCCTTCTTATTGCCACACAGTTCTATGGGAATAACTGGCTGGGTGATTATCGGAAAGCTGGAAATAAATGCGACATTACTGAGCACTTGGCTGATTTTTAGCTAAATTTTGAATTTAATATTTAGTCATTCAGAAAAAAATCTTTACAAAATCAAATAACGGAAACAACTAAAAGTGGTCAAAAATCTTTTCCCATTACTGCTTCATTTTAAAATCAATAGTTGGCTTTCTATATAAGAAGGGTATAATTCTGTTCCCAATCCCTCTTTGGACTCAAAAGTTCTTAAAGATTCCTATTTAGTTCTTTTCGAAAGGACTCAGGACATGAATGTCTAATTTTTCAATTCCTTCAGGCTACACTAAAAAATTTAGCTAATTCCTAGGCGATCGCATCACCCTCTCCCGCGTGGTGAATTTGCCCGCTCAATTTAATATTGGAATTTAATCAGCCGTCGCGCATCTCCCTCGCACTTGCTCTCCTTCCAAGAGTGCGGGTGAGTAAGTCGCTCTTATCAATTATAACGTCCGTTCGTCCAGTCAATGCCTTCCATGGACATCTACATAAATACATACATATAAAAATGTAGACTTTGTAGATTGAGAAGGAGGGGCCGGGAAAGGGGAATTTGTATTTTTGGCTGCATCTGGTTTCCACTTGTCGCGTGGACGCAGATTTCCAGATTTCCAGGCAACTTTCTCGCCGCGGAGAGCGAAATTTTCGGGGAGGTGTCGCCGTGTGGTGGAGGTGTAATGGAGGCCGGCGGGAGGCTGAGAAGGTGCGTATGTGTGCTTCGGGGGGGAGGGTGGAGTGGAAACAGGAAACATTTTAATAGCCTGCAAATTTATTCTTTACGATCGCCAGAACGAACGAACAGCGCTCCGCTGGACACTTTCTCTTTATTGCGAAACGAGTTGCGCGGCATTTTCACGACCGGACTGGAATGAAACTGGACATCCTCAGAGGTTGCTACTTTTGCCGCTTCTGCTTCTTCTTCCGCCTGCGTCTGCTTTTTGAGTTGCTTTTTTTCTTCACATTTTTTTTTCATAGTTTTTTTTAAGTTGTCTGGTTTTTTGTTGGCCAGCCCAAAAAAGCGGCGCAACTTTCGTCGCCGCATTGCGTTGCAATGCGTTAGTGGCCAGTTCCGGCTTCTACGGCAGCTCCTTCTTCGTTCCACCTACTTCTCCCTCTCTCTCTCCTTCGTTCGCCTTTCTCCATCCTCCCCCTCACCTTTTCTCTTTCCCCTTTAGCAGACGCACCAAGGCGGCTTTTAATGCACCAGCGAAACGAAACGAAATAAAGCAACAAGTGCAATCGGAGAAATGTCGCTTGTTCCTTCGGCTCTCCTGCTCTCTCTTATTTTTTGGCCATTTCCTGCTCTCTCGCTGGATGAATGAAATTGCAGATCGGAGGGCGAATAAAGGGCAGGATCATTGAAAGGGGGATTGAAACGGAGCAAAGAAAACTGGAAAAGGAGATTCGACCAGGACAACATAAAAAGAAAGGAAAATCAGTAAAATTATTAATATTTTTGATTAATTAACAACAAATTAGCATATGTAGATCGCGCAGTGTGGAAAGTGCTAATTGTTATGTTGCATTGCCAATTTGTTGAAAAAAAAAACTTGTTTAAAGGCACACCTGATCTAAAAACAAATATTGCCTTTTCTAAAATATATCATTATTAATTCTGCTTTGTGTACTTTTGGCGTGCTCATCCGGCTGGCGATTTCTCAATGAATTGCTTAGAGCTTTTGGACACGCCAGCCGATCGTCCAACCGAATTGGACATGTAACAACCAGGAGCGGATTCGAGGGGTGCGGGGGCTGCTGGCGCTTGAAGTGGCTCAAGTGCGAGTGCCCCGCCCAAATAATGGCAACAGGTGGGGCAGCAAAAAGCAAAGCCACAGGTGAGCCACAGGTGACAGTCAGTCAGACGGAATGTCTGGCGCAGCGTGGAGTGGAATGTCAAACGTTTATTTGCCGGTAATTAAATTTGAAAATGATTTAAATTTCACCAGCGAATATTTCAAATTGGTCTTAACACTTTCTTCTCGCACACTGTGTGCTGCGTCGTCTCTCTTTCGCAGCATCCGCTGTCTCTTTGTGTCCGCAGGCCCACCCGCAAGCTTCGATGACCCACCTAAATCCTCCCCCCCTCGTCGCAACCCCCCGCATTCGATCCACCGCCCAGGGGCAGTCCATGGGAGCGATCCGGCTGATTGGAGATTTGTTTTCTATTTGCAATTGATCGATGCTCGCCTGCCAACCAACAACAACAGCCACATAAAATTGCGAAAAACAAAAAAAAAAAAAACAAAAAACCAAAACCAAAAAAAAAAAAAAGAGTTAACGCAAAATTGAGCTGGACGTTGTTGGATGGTGTCCACGTCCGGTGGGTTCGTTAATGGCATTCCGAACTTGGGATCAGGATTATGGTACCGGCCAACTTGGACCGGGCCAACTTTCGGCTCAAAGCCATGCACCTTCTTTATTCATCTCCGCCAAATTGTTGAAGAATTTCAGTAAGTTTTTACAAAAAATTATTTATATGTATTTCGATTCTGAAAATGTATATTTAAAATGTAGTTAATTGTCATTCAAAAACCGCACTTGCGAACCACTTGAACCTTTTTCCAGCAACTAAACCGAACCATTAAGATGTTGGCCTTTGCAAGTATATTGTGGATATCAACTTTTACCCAGGCAACTCTTGGAGCATTATGCTCCTAATTCTCCAGCTGGAAACGCTGAGTGCGTGGAGTGCCGAAAGCGTGTGGGATTACTTCAAGTGCACTTGCCACATGATACACCGTGGCTTGTGGCTTGTGGTTCGTGGTTCGTGGCTGGTTTTGCTGGTCGCTCAATTATGCAGCGACACACAGCGACATAAAGTGGAAAATCTGGCGGGATTTGTTGAGGAGAGGAGGGGGATGGGGGAGAATCAGCCAGCGGCTGTGCGTGCCCTTCCCATGGCCAAAAAAAGAAGACCAATAACGAACAACCAACAAACAACGAACAACCGACAACCGACAAGCAACATCCAACATCCATCATTGGCCATAACCCATCAAGTGGGTTCCGTTTTGTTTGCGCATGCGCGGCGCATTCAGCATCGATATTTCACGATCGCCGTCATCCGTCTGCGGCTCAGACTCAGTTTTTATGGCCATCGCATCGAGTAGTAGAAATACCAAAACCAAACAACAAAAACAACAAAAATATGGATGGAAATGGTGGGGAAGAGATGGAGGTGACTTCGTGCTGCTATTTGGTGGGTCCGCGATTTTGTTTTCATTTGGAAAGTGGGTGTGTTTGTCTAGCTGTCCGAACTCCCAGACTTTGTCCCCCGGCTCCAATGTCAACTCGTTGGTCATTGGTCATCCGGAGACCAGAAAATGCAGAGAATAGAGGAACCACAACGTTCAATGGGCCTGGGAAATCAAATTTGGCTCCTTCCCCTCGACAAGGTTGGGGTCAAAATCAAAGCCCGTGGAAAGGAAATGCGAGGAATGTTGGGGAAAAACGAGGAAAGTGATCTACGAGGCTCTTCAAATATGATCTTCCTAATATGAGTTTCGGCGGGGGAAGTTCATCCAAGTCAAGTGGTTGAGTGATCAATGGTAGTTTATGCTGGCATCTTGGATGATATACAAATATTTACCCCATGAGCTATAACTTTATTCGGTTAATCACTATTTCGGTTTGAATTTTTCGAGCGTACAATAAATTAACTTAGACATGCACTTTAAAAGTTATAAATAATATTGTTTATCTTATAAGTTGGAAAAAATATTAATGCACATTTTTGAGATTGTATCAATCACTTTAATCACTTTAATTTCCACAAAATAGAATACCATTTATTTTCGCTTTCATTCGGCCCCTTATAAAGATTATGCTAGCCTGCGAAATTATTTGTAAGTATCCCCACATCTTTTATTGAATTAAATTGGCTTATCATGATTATTTTTGTTCGATTAAATATACAAAGAATATTCGACAATTTAAGAATCAATTTTAAGTGCTTTACTTCAAAAAATGTTTTGATTTATTTTTAGCTTTCTCAATTATTGGCTTTCATGAGTGTTACCGAACCCATCGATATGAAAGTTCTTCGTTTCGTTTCGTTTCTCAGAAAATCGACCAAACCCAGTCCGAAAACCAAAACTTTCATGTCGAGAATGTAGCCCAAAAGTATTCGAAAAGTGTTTTCGTTTCGTTTTTTTTTTTTTTTTGCGGAACTTTCATAATCGACTACTTGCATCGATCGTTCGATCCCAGCCATCCAGCCATCCATCCATCCGTCGATCCATTGGGGTCCGCACCTGAAATTCCATTCGATTTCCAGGCTGAAGATATAGCCGCGGGCCAAGATACTCGGATGCTTGCAGATACTCCCAGATACAGTCAGTTGCTTTCAGATACTCAGATACAGATACAGTCACTTATACAGATACAGATACTGAGATACATACATGCGTGAGCCGGCTTAGATTGCCGAATTGCGAGGCGGATCGAATCGCATCGGATCGAATTGTATCGCATCGTATTGGATCGTATCTTATTGAATGAATTTCGTGGGGAGCGGTGAAAAAGGGGGGAAAGGGGAGAGGGGAAAGGGGAGAGGGGGCAAGTGGACTGGTTCGTCTGAAGAATCTTTTTCGACAGCGGCTAATTGACTTTCAATGTTGTTTTATTTTTCTTTCGTTTCGTTTAATTTTATTTGAGCGTTGTCGAGGCGAGAAAGTGAAATTGATAGGCAGACAAGTGGCTCTCCCGGCGACTCCGAGCTGTCTGTCTGTCAGCCGAAGGATGAGGATGCGGATGAGGATGCGGATGAGGAGGTGAGGAGGATGCGGATGCAGATGCAGATGCAGATGCAGATGCAGATGTAGATGCAGATGAAGATGCATATGCAAATGCAGATGCGGGGCTTCAGCCGACCGAGTGCGATTCTAAGGAGGCGCTTTCTAAGACCCCGAAAGCGTACACCGTGAGAAATTTCCCCCTTTAATTGGATATTGTATGTGATAAATAATTTCAAAAACTTACGTTAGGAATATTAAGATCGAGATTAATTGTAATAGTTTCAAAATGGATTAAAATAGCTTGCATATTAACAATAGCTTAATTTTTTGTTAGTTGAAATGTAATTTTGTTCAAAAAGTATTTTACAATACAAATAAAATATTTTAGGTTCAAGTTAAATTTCTAAGATGTAGCTGATATGCTGAAAATAATAGCACCTTGAATAAAAATTCTTCAAAAGTATTTGCACCAATCGTTTTTGGTGCATTCCTGATAATATATAGTCAACAAGATATATTAATTTTTATGTATATTGCGATTTAGGGGCTTCAGGTTAAAAGTAATAATGCAAAACTTTTCTCCCAGTGCACTTGCGGCTGTGGCTGTAACCCAATTCTCCTCCCTTGGGTGGCGGCTTCTTCGCCTAATACTTCCACACCCACAGCGGACAAAAAGTGTCTTCTCATGGCCTAATGGCAGCCATTGCTACTGTTTGCGGCACATGTTGCCGATGTTGTTGCTGTTGCTGTTGCTGTGGCAGTTGCAGCAGTGCAGCAGATGCCGTGGCACTTGCTTTTTATTTCGTTGTTGTCGGCGTTTTCACTTTGGTCGAGATCTGCCATTGCCACCTTGTAACCCCTCTGGGCGCTGGCCAAACAGCCTAAAGGTTATACTGCAGCAGAGGCAGAAGCAGCAGCAGCAACAGCAGCAGCAGCAGCATGTTGCAGCAGCAACAACAACAGCAACAACAAGCGAGAGAAAAACAAGCGCGACAGATGACAAACGCAGGCAGTTTGCCGGCGATGATGAAGTGTCAATGCAATGAAAACTAAACCAATAAATTGTGAGAGCGACCCAAATAGTTGGCTAGAAACTGGCGTGGCGAAGAGGATTTTGGCCCGGCCAACAACAACATATGCAGTATATGTAGCATGTATATAGTACACACACACACACACTAGCAACTCTTCAGATGCAACAAGAACCGTAGAATCATCCCGATGGACACCGCAACGTACTTTGAACCGGCGCATCGCCGTGTTTTCACCCAGACCTTTTGCAATACACTCGCCGCCACATTTGGTCAGCCAACCCCCCACCAGCCCCACCCCCCATTCCCCATTCCCCATTCCCCATCCCTCTTCCGTAAAGAAAAAAAAAAAAAAAAAAGAAAAAAAAACTTGTGAGAAATTGAAGCGCAATTCAAGTCGGCGATGGATGGTGAAAGTAACAAGATACTTTTAATAAGACATCTTGCGACGCCGCTTAAGATGCGTGAGGCGTGCGACCAGAAGAAAACAAATCACAGAGGCTGCTGCCCTTCTTCTTCCAGCAGATGAAGGCATACTCCACATGGCATACTATACTATAATATAGTATACTATATACTATATATAAACTACATATATGCATAAAGCTGGCTGTTCTTCGGCGGCGAAATCATGCAAAGGCCGCCAGTAATTGACCAAGTTAGCAGCAGACGTTAGCGGTAGACTGGCTGGCGCGTGTTACTTAATGTGCAACGCGGCGGACCAATAGACATCGCCGATTGGCGGCCACTTTCTGGCGGAACCGGAGCACCACCAAGAGCACCACTAGCAGCACCTCCGGATCAGCAGCAGCAGCAGCAGCACCACCACCACCAACAAAACCACCATAAAAACTGCAAACTGCAAACTGCAACTCCAATCGAAATTACTCCAATTTGGAAACGGGTCTTTTTGGTCATATTTAGCAAACAGGAATCCTCGAGGAGACGCGGCGCCCCTAAAAAAAATAAAAAAAGTAAATAAAAAGGCTAACTCAAAACTGCAAAGTGGAATTGAAATGTCGATGAAATGTGGCTTCGCAGTGGGTCATCCACCAAATAGTTTAAAGAATGTTGCATTCAAATTCGAAGCAACAAATTAAGAATTATATGGTAAACGCATTCTATGTTTTGAAAGGTCATCATAAACATCAAATATGTTTAATATTTCGTCATAGATAGTTATAATTATCAACAATAAGAAAAGTAATCACTTCATTTCCTTTTTTGATTAGAAAGATTATCACCCTTTTTATGAATTATAAAAAAAAGTATATCCACTGATAATAAATAGTTATTCGGTTATATGATATTGTTTTTAAAAGAAACCTTTAATAAATTAATAATGGTTAAAAAAGATTATAAATTAGTTCGGTTTATGTATTTTTGTAAATTTAGCAAGTTCAGTAACTAAATCTTAATCCGAATCAAATTTTGTGAATCTTTGAAACCTAATTCTTTTCTTTTGTGTAATTTCCTCGAAAATTTCACAAGCTATTTTCCTTTTGGCCCATTGTACTGTTGCAGCGGCTTCAGGTTATCAATTGCCTTCGATGTCGCTGATGTTGCAGTTGCAGTTGCTCATCCTATTATTTCAACGAGAGCAAGTGCAGCACTTTTCTCGTTGTTGTTGCCACAGTTGTCACAGTTGTTGCAGTTGTTGCTGTTACAGTTTTTTGTTGTTGCCCCCCGACAACACCAAATGCGGCAGTTGGCAAAAATACTTTATGGAAAAGTGGAACAGTCGATGAAACATTACAGGCGACTGTATAAATAAAAACACGATATCTCTTTCCCTTTTGTGCCTTGCGGCCCCTGTGTTGTTTTTTTTTCTTTTTCACTCTCTTTTAGGCACACTCTTTTTGTTGTTGCAACACCCACCTGAGTTCCCCGGAACCACCTGCAATATTTTTTATTTCTTATTTTCTTACTTGCTTTTGCAACACACAGTGTGTGTGTGTGTGTGTGTGTGTGGCAATAAAAGGGCGCCTACACCCGCCGCTTCTTGGTTTGATTGCCTGCCACAATTGGAGCATGGACAGTGGACAATAAAAGTGGCCGGTGGGTTGGTGGGTTGGTGGGCGGTGGGCGGTGCCATCTTTTTGGTCAGTGGCGGCGACCGAAGGGGAATAGAAAGTGCAAACAGTTAGAGGACTTGTCCCCGTGTGCAATTGTCACCATCGTCTGCTTCTGTAACCCATTGCAACTGAAAGTTGAAGCTGCGGCTGCCCAGTATAAACAAACAGAAGACTGGGGAAACCGAACTGGCAACTAGCAACTAGCAACTAGCAACCGACGACGCATGCCACGAGCAACAGCAACAGCAACAGCAACAGCAACAACAACAACAGGCAGCAACAACAACATGCAACAACAACAACAAGCAACCGGCAAGCTGTACTTGAACAAGTCGTACTTGGCATCGTATTTTGGATTTGGACTTGGCCGACTGCCTTAGTGGAGGCCTCAATGGAAAGAAGAAATTTGCGCTGCCGACGCTGGCAGCGACGTCGACGTCGGCTGGCTGCTGCTGCTGCGCATGCGAAGTGTTCCGCTGCGAGAAAGCAGGTGTCTGCAGCATTCGGCGCTAAACCACGGCGCGAAGCGGACGCGTTTCTCTCTCTTTTTCTCCTCCTTCAGGCGTTCGGCCATCGATCGATCCTCCCGTTCGACAAAACTAACTAACAAACAAGCAAAAAAGCCCAAGAAACAAATGCAAAAAACAAACAAACCGAATTCGAGCAAAACAAACAGCAAACACTGCTTGCAAATCGAACAAAGTTTAATTTAGAAGAAGGCTACAACAAAAAAAAAAAAGGAAAGGAAAAAGAAACGAAAAAAAAAAAACGCAAGCAACACGGAAAGAACCGCTTGCAAAACGGTTAGCGTAGTGATCAACACGCTTTTTGTGTCCTTTTTCTTTGTTTTTTTTTGTTTTTGATATTTTCTTTTGTGTGTGCTCCACTTGCGATCGTTAATTGTTGACCGCGTGCAACGCCCCCTCGTCCCCCGCTGGCTGTCATTAACGTCAACCCATCAGCAACATTGGCAACTTCGGTTGCAAAAGCAACGGCAACGGCAACAACAACTGCAACAGCAACAGCAGCAAGAGCAGCAGCAACAACTGCAACAGCAACGTGCACCAGCAGCAGCAGCAACAACAAAATCAGCGGGCAGAAGTAACGGCCACCGTTCGTTCGAGTGCAACTGTTTTCGAAAGTTGCCGCTAACGCATCCTGTTTGTCAACCTTCGGAATTCGAAATTGGAATCGGAACTTTAACTGGAACAGCCAGCGAAAACGGTGGAATTGGGCCAAGGACCTAGACGGTGAGTTCCGCCAGTTCCCGCAGTGGGATCGAAAGACCCGGAAGTTAATCTGCGGTTCTGTAAGAAGAAGCAGAAAGCGGATTTTAGTGGAGCTTAGGGAAGCAGATAGGTCCTGAACCATTATGTCTGAAAGGATTAGCCCAGATGCTTAGGGATTTCTTCAACTCTTATCTTACTTGTTTTGACTTTACATCATCTGTAATAAATTTTATATCTTAACTTTGATCCTGAAAAATATGAATAATAATTATTTCAATAGCAATTCAATTTATAAAACCAAAAAAATGATTTTTTTATTACTTTACCAATGTTATATCGTCTCCATATCTTCTTTTTTTTTAAAGGATATTCATATAAAAATCCTAATCCTAATATCCTAAGTCTCTGCAAAATCTTAACCTTTTTTCTTGTCTACGACATTAAATAGTGATAAGTGATTTCAACATTTTGATGAAAGGACAATAACAATCTTTTAATATACAAAACGGTCAATCCTTTTAAGTTTTGGGAGCTACAAGTAAAGTTTTGGTAAATGCGTATATTGGAACTTCGATTCATTTTTTAATAATAGACAGATAGAAGAATGCTAATTTTGACTTATTGCTTCTTTATTTTCTTTAACATGAGAAAAGTAAAGTAAAGTAAACCTTTAGTCTGAAAGAATAGCAAATACAATTAATTTTTAATTGAGAAACAATTAAGATACTCATTGTAGACAATGATCAAGGTCACTGAGCAGAGATTGAAAATATCAATGAATTTTTTCCGAAGTTCTACTCAGTCTTTCTTGCATTCACTGATTTCTCACTCTCTCTTTCCTTGGAATTTCCTCACCCCTTAGTCACTATCTTTGGCCTTCTAATTGGCCAACTAAGAGCATTCATATTTGTCTGGGCCAAGATGACCCACTTCACTTATGGGGAAACCTATTAACACTTTTCACCTCCTCAGTTACCCTTTTCTTTTACGTCTGAAAAGTTAAGTGAGTTGTCATTAAACAGATTCTTTTCTTTCTTGACTTGTCGCAGCTTCCCTTTCTTTCTTTCTTTCTTTTTTTTCTAAATTTGGTTTTTCAGTTTTTTCATTTATGGTCAGTGGGTGGGGAAGGTTAGAAAGAGAAAAGGGGGAGAGGGGACACTTAGCGAGTCAATCAATCATCATTGAGTTGACTGAGAAATTGCTAATAAATTGCAATTAGCGGGAAACACTTTCATACACCAGGTAACGTTAACGTTAACAATGAGAAAGAAATAAAAGCGAAAAGCACTTTCTACACAGCGTTCTCTCCTCTTCCTCTTTCCGCTTTTCGCTTCTTCCACCGCCCACAGCAAAAGTAAATATCGAATAATGATAAACAAATTAATTATACACCTAACAAACAGAAACATCAAATCAGCAGCAGCAGCAACAAGCACAGTAACGGCAGCAACATGCAACATCAACATCAGCAGCAGCAGCAGCAGCAACACAAACAAGTGCGATGCAGAAATCTACGAAGAAACGTAGAAATCGGTGCTAAGAAGATTTGGCTGCCGCTTATCATTTTCCTTTCACTGCAGGTGAGTTGAGCCGATGCAAATAATTGAAATCAATTTAAGCCAAAAGCCGCAGACACAACAGCAACATAAGCTGTGGCAGCGACTGCAACTGCAACATCAACAGCAGCAACAAAGTCTAATAAATAGATAATTCCCATTAGCAGCAGCCGGCTTAAGCTTCTCTTTCTTCAGAGGCGTACGCATATATTATTATTGGGGGGATTTTTGGTTACTTGGTTAGGTTTTTAATTCAAATTCAAAGATATGTGATTGAGATTTACTTTGTTTAAGATCAAAATGATTGTCTGCCAGGATTCACTTTTATTATGAGGGTTCTAGATACTATTGTTTAAATTACTCAATCTATTAGTCAGAGAGATAATTAATTTGTTTAGATTGTAGCTATTTTTGAATCATCTTGAATAGTGACCCCTGTTTTCAGAGCCACTGCTCTCGCTTGAACATCCCCCCTCCCTTTCTGTCTGCCTGTCGTCTGCCTTGTGCGTGTGAATCTAAGTGCACAAGTGTGCAAGTGAAAGAGCTCCCCACTCGCCCCACTTGCCCCTCCCTTTCCCCCTTTTACGGGAATGAAATGGAATGAAGAGGAATGGAATGGGACGGGATGGGACGTGTAATTGGCATGGCCTCGTTTCTCGTGTGAGTGTTACATGTGCTGGTTTTTAGTTCCTGGAACCAATCAGGAATATATATGTATGTACATACATATGCGATATCGAAGAGGCCAGCGAGGAAAGTAACGGCGTATCGGGTAATTAGTGCGCGTAATGGAAAGGATACTCGTTGGAGATGCCATCTGGGGAATTTAGAAACTTAATGTTAAAACGGCAACGTTTTAATTAAGATTGCGAATTTATTTAGCTCGTGGCTCCATTTAAACTTAAAAAAGAGTGGTGCAATTTAGCTACAAGTGTTTAGGTAGCCAGATATAGATATATATTCATTAATTATATTAACTTGAGTTCCTTGCATTTTCTGTTTAACTTTTAATAACATAAGTATTGAGGTATAATCATGTAATATTGTTCACCCACAAAAATCTGCATAAAGGATGTAATATTGTTCTTGTTACATTGCCACAAAAGGGATTTCTTTTGCACAAATAAAATTAAGCAATAACCGAGTGCGCCGGGAATAACTGTGAATTCAGGAGGCCCTTTTGGCTTGAAGTGCAGGCCCATCTCGTTGGCCGTCCGCAGCATTCCTTTCTCTTTTTCGCCTTTTGGCACATATTAAAATTCCATGTGCATCCCATTTGCCTAGGTAATACCCATTCCATCCCAGACCGAAACTCTTTTTTGGCCCAGCGCTCGTGACGTTAGAAAGTTTTTTTTCTGCTGCTTTATTTTTTTTTTTTTTTTTTTTTTTTTTGCCAGCCAGTTTTTCGGCCATTCTGGGGCGATGACACAATTTAGCCTGGCCAGGGAAAAAAATTGAAATACAAAAAAAAAAAACGAAAAACTAAGTTCCCATTCCTTTAACGAGCGGCAGCATGTGGTGGCAGCATCTCCACTTTTCGCTTCCTTTTCGCTTTCATCTTGGGTCGAGAAATACTGGCGTTCACCTTTGACCCTCCACCAGCCAACAACAAGACCCCACCCCTCCCCCTTCCTTTGCTCTTAACCCCCCATTCATGCAACCCCTTTGGGGCCAAGTGGCTGCCAAATTCCGATTCTCTGCTAATGTTTCACTTTCTCCCGATTCGGTGTGCTGCCAGGCAGACAGACAAACAGTCAGAAAGACAGAAGGCCAGAAAGACAGACAGCCTCTTGCCAAAAAAAGTGCCTAGCACATTGGCCGAGGTCAAGATTGGCTAGAAAACAGCCGGTATTTCGCCTCCTTCGTCTCGGTTTTCATCTTCTTCGCCTCGGTTTGCGTCTTCGGTCTTTGGTCTCCAGTCTTCGGGCTTCCGAAGACTTCTTTTGATCTTGAGTTTCTAGTCTTTAGTCACATCATTAGTCGTCGTCTCCTTTGGGGATTACGGAAACCGTAAAGGAATCAGATTTCGGGGGAGTGGAGCTCGGAAATTAATGATGATTGTTTGCCAAAACATTTGGCACACATTTCAATTAACGCACTTTTCCCGGGATGACGATGATTAGTTTCCACCGGTGAGTTGGCAACCGAATCTTAATTACCTTTTGGTAAACCTCAGATTGAATTTTGAGAAAAACAAAGTAATAAAATGTACAATTGTTTTTAAAGGCCTTTTCTATAATGAGAAACGGAGAAAAGCGTTGTAAATCATAAAATAAGGAACACAAGTTATTTTATTTATTTAAATATACAAAGTCAAATTAACGTATTAATATTTAATGATGATGAATATTAAAGTCTTGTAGTCATAATGAAGATTAGACTTAAATTATTTTAAAAATCAAAGTTGTTGAATGAGATTAAATATTATTTAGTAAACTTGATAAATTAAACTGTTGCAGGAAAAAATAATTTTGAACGTTGGAATAGTTATACATTTTTTTTTAAATTTATTTTATTATTTGTAAGACGGAATCCCACATGGTCTTGCATATTTTCCCGCCCTGCTTGAATTTTGCTCGAATTCAGCGATGGATTTTTTAGTATTCATGGGATTGCTTCTGCAGTTGCTCCAAATCACGTTGCCGCATGCAAATTTGATTATAGAATTTTGTTGGCAGTGGGTTTTCGGATTCGTGGGCAACTTGTTTTGGCATCCACTATCCACAAGCCTCCCCTTTTCCCCCTCCCCCTCCCCCATTTCCCCTCTGGCCACTATCCACTTTGCAACCGCCGTTTGCCATTTACCTTTTTGTCGTCAATCGTCTGCCGCGCTTGCCACATCACTTTCTACCAAACAGGATTGCTTCAGGATGCCGTCGTCGTCGTCGTCGTCGTCGCCGCCGCCGTTGCGACATCCCAAGCCCAAAAGACTACAAAACTGCGATGCCCCGATACCCCCGATACCTTATTCGATACCCCCGTCGATACCCCCTCGATACCCCCTTGGATACCTCCACTCGATACGGAGACTTTGAGACACTCGGATGCTCAGTTTTCTCAGCTCGGCTCAGCTCAACGCGACTCAACTCAACTCAACTGAACTCAGTTCAGCTTCCCAGTTGGCGGAGAAAGTTGTTTTCGGCGGTGCGGCACAGATTTGGCCAAATGGGATGCAGCAGGCTCGCCATCTTCGCTGGGCATCTTCATCATGGGTATCTTGGCCAAGATCGCCATTGCCATTGCCATTGCCATTGCCATCTTGCCATTGCCATGGCCATCATCGTCCACCTGTCCGCAATTGCTCCACTGCTCCCCCCTTTTACTCCTCCTTCTTCTCCTCTTCCTCCTTTTCCTTCTCCTCCTCCTTCTCCTCTCCTTTTGCCGCCCATTGGTTAACTCGTCTAATTGCCAAGATTGCAAGATGGCTCGGTTACCTCGGTAACTGAATCAGTCCGGCGACAAGTACATGGCATCGCCATCGAAATCTCCATCTCCATCGCCATCGCCATCGCCATCGCCAGCGGATCAAGATCTTCCCGAATGGCGGGGCTAAACTAAATTGAGACCTGCTCACCCGGAACATGGAACACATGGCCAAGTGAAGGACGCGAAAAGAAAGTAATGGAAAATTAATTAAGTTTATTAGCAGATCGCCAAGTTGGCCAGAAGATTAGAAAGTATGGCCATGCATTAATCACATTTAATTGAATTTATAAATTAAAAAAAAAGATTTTAAGGGGGCTTATAGAAAGGAAGATGTACGTTTTGTAACTTAATTTCCATTATTTAAGGAACAAAGTTGAAAAAACATAAAAGTATGTATGTGTTATGTCATGGAATTAAGGAAATTTCATTCATGCATTTTGATGGTTTCCTTTGTACCATTTTATGATTTTCAAGATTGCTAATATTTATAATAGTAATCTAAGAAAGTATTTACATATTTAAAATCCTTTTAATAGATATTAATTTTTAATTATAGTTTTTTGCATACAATATTTAATTTTATTTACTAGTCATGTTTTTTGTATTGTAAAATGTAAGGAAATAGGAGCTTTGTTCCTTGTTTTCTAACCAAATCTTTGGAATGCGCTGTCTAATTTGTTTGCTAGCCAATTGGCATTGAAATTGCCAGAGACATAAGTGTAGAGTGGTTGCTTCCCACCCATCTGGCCCCTAATTTATCTAGATTGTATTTAATCTGTTAGCCGGCTATTATCGAGTACACGTCAAATGCCAAACCCGGCAATTCCGTCTCGATGTCGATCGCGATCTCAATCTGGGTCTTGGCTTTAGTTTTAGCCTTGTTCGATGCCTGCAATCTCCTCTCTTCACTCTTCACTCCTTCCTCTTCAGTCTCTAGTCTTCAGTCTTCCCTCTCCAGTCTTCAGTCTCCAGTCTTCCGTCTCCAGTCTTCAGTTTGTAAGTCTCAAGTATCTAGTATTTGGTGTTTGGTGTTTTGTTTGCGTTGTCGTCTGGTCTCCGGTCTGGTCTAGTCTGGTTCTAGCCTTGACATCGCCTTTTAAGGCAGGCGGATCTGGCTGGCAATTGGGTCGCCAGCAGCCGCACGTTGCACGTTGCACGTTGCTAGCTGCATGCAACATGCATGTGGCACAAGCGCGGAGAAATGGCAAATGGCAAAGAGTTGCTGGTTGGGTAGGGAAAAAAGCGAAATTGTTGCACTGCCTGCGGTTTTTTCTCTCTCTCTCTCTCTCTCTCTCTGCACATTATTTTGTTTTCTTTTCGCTGCCAGTGGGTTTCTTCTGCTGCCTTATGCAATTGAGTTGCATGCCACATGCCGCATATCCGCCTTGCAACCTGCAACCTGCCACACTGCCACTGCGCCCATTCCATTCGACATTCCCAACTGAAATCATTCCGCCTCCGTTCATCTTAACGTTTTTTCTATATTCTATTTTCTATTTTCCATTTTCTATTTCTCTCTTTTTCTTCCTCTGTGGCAAATGGGAACGTACAGGTGGCACTCGTCTGCGCGGACGACGTGGAGGTGGTGAAGGCCATTGCCGGCGGACCCGACGACGATCTGACCATCGCCCTGGGCGACCACGAGAACGAACTGGACCAGATGGCCCAGGAGTCCGAGCAGGAGCAGCAGGCACAGGCGCAACAGCAGCAGCAGCAACAGCAGCAACAGCAGCAACACCAGCAGCAGCAGCTGCCGCAGATCCAAATGCAGTTGCCGCAGTCGGTGCCCAAGGTGTCGGTGCACTACCAGCACAACATGCCACAACCGCCGCCCAGCGTCTCCGTCGGCCTCACCATGCGCAGTAAGTACAGGGAAGCCTCCCAACTAGTGATCAAAAAGTACTCATAACAAATAGAGGGGTGATAGCTTGGTAAAATTTGTTGGTGAAGCTAAACCACTTTGGTTGCAACTCAGTGGAATCCAATTTGTAATTTTGTATTGTAGTTTTCTAGTCACGAAACATTTATTTTGCAAATTGAAACTCAATTAAAATGATATGTAAAAAAATTATGAAATGCTCATCATAATAATTGAGGAATTATTAAAATATTTGATTTGAAGAGTGTGTTGCATTTATTGGGACTTTCTTTTTGTATCGTATTATATTTATTTCATAAAACCTTTAAATTAGTGCGTTGTTTTTTTTGTTAGTAAACAAATTCAGAGATATTATTTTGCGAAAAAATATGTTTCATTGAAGTATGTTTTTTATGATTTTCTGTTTAAAAACAAACACCAACAAAATTGTATACGTTTTGCAAAACCTATTGGATATGTTTATTTTTAACTTTTGGTTGAACCAAGTTTCAAAAATGTAAATTAGCATAAATAACATTACATTCAAAATGTTATATACTGATATATTTATATATATATATTAACTATATTTGAATTATATTATATTACCTACATGTTTTTTTTGTTTTTTTATTGAATCTTCTCTTGAAGAGACTTACAATAAGAATTCAAATCTTTACCTATACTATGTGTTATTATTTTATAATATTTATTATTATTTATTTGTTATATTATGTTTACATATTACATATTTATTAATCATATATTTATTAATCATATATCGTTTTTTATTTGACAGACAACCACCAGAACATTCCGCTGAGCTTCGGCCAGCCGTTCGGACCTCCGCCGCCGCCGGGCGCGCAGTTCTACAAGGGACCCCCGCCGCCGCCGCAACTGCAGCAGCGACCGCAACAGCAGCAGCAGCAGCAGCAGCAGCAGCAGCAGTCGCAGCAGCAGCAGCAGCAGGGGCAGCAGGTGCAGGTGCAAGTGCCCGATTTAAGTGTCGGCGGATCGAGCAACAACGAGATCTGGGCGGCACCCGTGCAGGACATGCCGAAGATCGTCTCCCTGGACGTGAAGTGCGAGAAGAATGGGATGAAGGTGTTCGTCCAGTTCGACAAGCCCTTCAACGGGATCGTCTTCTCGAAGGGGCACTACAGCAACATGAACTGCGTCCACCTGCCATCGGGATTGGGTCGCAGCTCGGCCAGCTTCGACATTGGACTCCACGAATGCGGCACCGCCGGCAATACGGATAACTACAATCAGGGCTATGGCCACGAGTCGGGGAGTACGGGCGCGGGCACCTACTTCGAGAACATCATCGTCATCCAGTACGATCCGCAGGTGCAGGAGGTGTGGGATCAGGCGCGCAAGTTGCGTTGCACGTGGCACGATCAGTACGAGAAGAGCGTGACCTTCCGCCCCTTCCCCGTGGATATGTTGGATGTGGTGAGGGCGGACTTCGCCGGCGATAACGTGGGATGCTGGATGCAAATCCAAGTGGGCAAGGGACCCTGGGCTTCGGAGGTTTCCGGCCTGGTGAAGATCGGCCAAACGATGACCATGGTGCTGGCCATCAAGGATGACGATTCCAAGTTCGATATGCTGGTGCGGAACTGTGTGGCCCACGACGGCAAGCGGGCGCCCATCCAGCTGGTGGACCAAAGGGGCTGTGTCACTCGGCCCAAGTTGATGTCCCGCTTCACGAAGATCAAGAACTTTGGGGCCTCCGCCTCGGTGCTGTCGTATGCCCACTTCCAGGCCTTCAAGTTCCCCGATTCGATGGAGGTGCACTTCCAGTGCACCATCCAGATCTGCCGCTACCACTGTCCGGAGCAGTGTTCCGCGGAGACGAACCTCCAGGATGTCCACCACCTGCAAGTGGGTCCCGAATCGCAGTACGGACCACCGCCCCAGCTGCACGTGGATGCCTACCATGTGGCCAGTGCGATTGGCAAGCGGAGGGACGAGAGGCGGGTTCAGAGGAGAGCAAGAGCCGTGCCGGAGCCACAAGTGGGTCTCAACAGGATCATCAAGGTGGTCTCCTCGGGCGATCTGACCTTTGCCATCGACGAACAGGCCGGCAATTCGAGTTCCTTGAACGGATCGAGTGTGGATCGCACGGGACCGCAGACGATGGTGTTTCCACTCAGGGAGGAGGGTTTGATTTGCATGACCACGCCGGGATTCGCCATCACGCTGATCGTGCTCCTCGGCATCCTGGTCACCTCCTGCCTCACGTCCGCCGTCCTCTACGTCCGACTGCGTCCGTTCGCCTCGTTTGCAGCCAGCGCCAAGGAGCGGGCCGTCGCCTTCACGAATCCCCAGCTGGCACCGCTGCCAGTCATCCAGCTGCCCTCGCCGGCGGACCTTCCCCCCGGCACGCTCTCCAAGAAGCGGGCGATGTCCTCGTGAACACGATGACCCCGACTGTGCGACTGTCAGGGGATCGGAATTCCAGTGGCCACTTGCTGGTTCGGTGATTGGTTTTGGGCGGCACTCGGCGTCCCTTCTTGAATGGCAGCAGGGTTTCTATTTGAAGCAGGATAAAAATTATATAAGTATAAAATTAAAATATTTATAAAAAATTCAAACACTCCGATTTGAATTGACTAAAAAAGGTTAGAGTTTCAAACAGAGCAAGAAAAAAAACAAAATTAAAAGTATATTTCAGGTATTTTTTTTTGGTAATAATTTTTAAATCTATTCGAAAGAGAATTCAATTGACTTCCACACAATTCACGAAATTTAGAACGATAAACTATTTTGATATAAAAAAAAGTTTCAAACTTAAAAAAATAATTGGAAGTTTTTTGGCATTTCAATGATCTGTAAAGATTTTATTTATTTGCTATAGTCACAACAGTAAAAATTTTACAAGTGGTTTATTTATTATTCTTATAATTCGAGTCCGAAAATCTAAATCACCGTTAACTTGAGACCCTCACTTCAAAAATGAACTGCCATTAGTGCCTTCACCAGTTATCGAATTTCGTGTGCGCTTCCGTTTCCGGTTTCCAGGTACAGTTGTGTCTGCGTCTGCGGCTCTTAAATTTGTAGCGTACACTTCTTTAGAATAATTTTTGATGCAAATCACTTAACATTAACTGAAGCCGTTTACTGGGTTCTCCTCTTCCATCCCTTTTCCCCATTCAAAAGCCCATTTAAGTCACCACTTTTATTAATCCACTTTCCATTTTCCATTTCCCTTCTCTCCAAATGGTGGCAGTCGATAATCGATTATTTTTGTTTTAGTTTAAGCCTAGGTTCTATTTCATGTAAAACGGTGCTAAGCCATGATCAGCCCATCATATATCCATCTGACCATCTGACCATCACTTGTAGCTTTCTTCAGCATTTGAGCCGATACAATCCATTACTTAGAGTATTTCTTGTAAGACTCTCTTAAGACTTTGTAGACACGAATACACACAAACACAATCATGTTTTGCACACACAACCACACAACCACACAAGGAACACACACACACATGCATAACAAATATACACTTGAATTAGTCACTAAATATTTTAAGCGCTTTAAGCCGTAGACTAAGCCGAAAACTTATGCTTCCCACTGTTAGCCATTCCCGAAGTCCCTGGATCTACTTATATCAGTTAGTACGCCTAGTAGTCCACTTATTTATTTGCATAATGATTTATGAATATCGCATACATACCCACATATATACCGCCTTATATATATCTTCGATTTTTTTTGTCTACTTTTATAAGCCGAGCAAAGCGAGAAAAGAAAGTGTTCAATAAATTGTTTAGAATCCCTCAAAAAAGATCTTTCCTTTTCACTTCCCAAAGTTGTGGTCTAAATATTTGTGGAAGATTTGTGGAGGAACAAAAATTGGCTTTTTGGCCAAAAAAAACACACTAATGATGCCGCAGCCACCGTATTCCCCAGGTCTGGCCCCCTGTGACTTTTTCTTGTTTCCTAAACCGAAGAGGCCCATGAAAGGATGACGTTACGCTACGCTCGACGAGATAAGGACGTCATCGAAGGAGGAGCTGAACAAGATAAAAAAAACTGATTTTTTTAAGTGCTTTGAAGATTGGAAAAACCGTTGGTCACGATTACGACCCACACGAAAAAAGCCGGCTGTTGAGAGTCGAGTGACGAAATATTCTCATTCTCATACTCAATTCGAAATACATTCTCATTCGAATCCAATCGCATGACTTCGGAGCAGGTCGGCTGATTATATAGAAGGGGGCCCCGTATAAAAGCCAGACGCTCGCCATTCGAAAGAACATTTCGTATAAGCATTCAACCCGGATATATATCACAGATATTTTATTTAATAAAATAAAGAAATCAAGAAGTAAACAAGAATGGATCGCTGGTTAAATCGCGTTGCTGTTGTCACGGGTGCAAGTTCGGGAATCGGAGCTGCCTGTTGCAAGGATCTGGTGGCCAAGGGACTCGTCGTCGTCGGCTTGGCTCGTCGCGAGGAGCGTTTGAAGGAGCTGAAGGAGTCCCTGCCGGCGGATCAGGCCAGTCGCTTCCACGGACGCAAGTGCGATGTCAGCAAGGAGCAGGAAGTAATCGATACCTTTGCCTGGATTGATGCCACCCTCGGTGGCGCCGATGTTTTGGTTAACAACGCCGGCATCGTCCGACCGGGTGTGGGCATCACCAAGGAGGCTAATTCCGTCGATCTTCGCGCCGTTCTGGACACCAATGTCTTGGGTGTTGCGTGGTGCACTCGGGAGGCATTCAAATCACTGCAGAGGCGCAACATCAACGACGGACATGTCCTCATTGTGAACAGTGTGGCAGGACATCGAGTGCCGAATATTCCCGGCTTCACCATGGGCATGTACTCGCCATCGAAACACGCCGTCACTGCACTCACGGAGGTCCTGCGACAGGAGTTCCTCAACAGCAAGACTCAAACCAAAGTCACTGTAAGTTGGATGCAAGTAACTACTGATTTGGAACCATTTGAATCAATATTTTAATGCTTTTTCAGAGCATTAGTCCCGGTGGCGTGGATACAGAGATGGTGGGCGACGAACTCACGACCAACTTCCCCGACTTGCCACTTCTGCGATCCGAGGATGTGGCAGATGCAGTCAGCTACTGCATCCAGACCCCTCCACATGTCCAGATCCACGAGCTGCTCATCAAGCCCATAGGCGAAACCATTTAAGTGCACAATTCTTACAACAACATTGCAATAAAACGTATTTGATGGAGCATTAAAAACAAGAAAGTGTTTTGACTGGGGCCTAGAATCATTTTAAAAACAAATCAAAACTATCGGAATTACTATCTATACTAATATTATAAAGAGGTAAAATTTGTTTGTTTGTTTGTTTGTTTGTTTGTTTGTTTGTTTGTTTGTTTGTTTGTTTGTTTGTTTGTTTGTTTGTTTGTTTGTTTGTTTGTTTGTTTGTTTGTTTGTTTGTTTGCAGGGAATAGGCTCCTGAACTACTGGTCCGATTTAAAAAATTCTTTCACCGATAGAAAGCTATATTATCGCGGAGTTAAATAGGCTATAATTTATTTTGAAAAAAATTAGGGATCCGTAAGAAAATTGCAATATTGTCGCATATAAAGTGAGTTGCTACCTCATCACACTGACAAACACGCTCCCTTAGCATTTTAACTCGATTTTTGTGTTCACTGTGAAATTGTTAAAAAAAAAAGATTTTTATTCAATTTAAGTTGAACTGTGAAAATTATGTGGATCGTGCATTTGAGGATAAATTCACCACTCTGTCCATAGTCCAAAATGCTTAGAGGACGACGTGCAAACATTGGCCGCAGACATCCAAGCCAGCAACAAGTATATTCACAAAACTTAAGCGAAGAAAGACAAATGAGCTTATGGAGATCACTGACATCATTCAATCGCTTGGCATTCCAATATGACCCCACTGCGAAATACAGTGATAATGAAAATTTAGATATTGGACCAATGGCGACTATATACCGATATTGCAGTGCCTTAAAGTTTAAAAGAGAAACGGCTGGATTGTGCTTCGCAAGTGGAGAAGTCAAACTGGAAAAGTGTTAATTAACCATCTTTCTATACTTCCCCATATATTTGAAAAATGTTGCAACATTGACTTTTATGTTGTTAAATTGTGTTGACCAGCGAAGCGGACACAGGCCCTCTAGTCAATAATAAAAAAGAAAGATTTTATGGTATAAAGCAAAATATTTTTCGTTGAAAGCAAAATCAATCTGATAAATATTTATAATATTTTAGTTATTATTATCATGTGTACTTTATGGGGTCTGAGGTGTCTCCTTCACTGCGTTGCAAACTTCTAACTGAAATTATAATATCCTCTGCAAGGATATAAAAAATGGGGAAAAAAAACTAATGATGCAGCTTTATAGAAATTTGAATAACAAATTCATAGAGGTATGCCACTTTTAAATTGGATAAACTTAAAAAAAAATTATTGTTTTATAAATGCAACAAATTTATCACATTTCTGCAAATCCATTTTTTTGCAAATTTTAAAGAGGATCATCATAAAAAACCTTTTTCATTTAAAAAAATTGATTGTTGGCTTTATTATTTTCAACTTAAATAGACTTTATTCATTTATTTATGTCAATTTTTCAGTTACAAAGTGTCCACTTAAATTTAAATATGCACGCAAGAAATTGCATTTTCTGTTGTTTATTTGTTCAATGAAAAATGGTAGTCGGCTTGTATGTGTGCGTGAGTAAGTGCGTTTTCGCATGGGTGTATGTGTGAGTATGAGAATTTTCTAAACGAATTTGTAAGCTATAGAATTTAACTAATTTTCCCCTAAATATTTTTTGTTTCGATGCCAAAGAGAACACACACAAAAAAAAAAAGAACGAAAGTGATTACATTTACGATTTCCATACCATTAATCGGCTTACAGCTAAATCTCGTATGTATAGCTAATAGATATATGTATAAATAAATAAGTTCCCTTATGCCTAAGTGGATGCGATATAGCATCCAACTCCTTAAACCTGGAGCACCTGTCCGGAGTCTTCATTGTATTTGTGTATCTCTCTCTTTGTGTACCTTTTATATACTCTTTATATACTCTTTATATACTTTTTATATACCTTTTATATACCTTTTATATTCATTTATGTATTTCCATTTTCCATTGTTCCTTCATCTAATATTTTCATCTATGCAATTTAACGACTAAATGCACCCAAAAAACAAGTTGCAAAAAAAAAAAATTATGTAGAACGTTCAGCACCGAAACGAGCAGTTCGAGTATTGCATTGTTGCCCGATCTCTGATATCTGATAAAAATCCGATATCTGCACCATTGTCTCTTTGTCTGGATCCTGAACGAAAACAACCCAATATATATTCCAAAAAAAAAAAACAATAATCAATAATAAATAAATAATAATGGAAGGCATTAGATGTGGGCAACGTGATTTGATTTTGATTTCCATCTACGATTACGTTTTCGATTTCGATTTTCCGTTTCCATTTTCGATTTCGATTTTCACTTCGATATTCAATTCCGATTTTGTTTTTCATCTCTGATCCTGGTTAAATTGATCACTGAACTGTTTCGTGTCCTGAACTCGGCTGCCTCACTTGTTGCTGCTGTTGCTGTTGTTGCTGTTGTTGCTGTTGTTGCTGTTGTTGCTGTTGCTGCTGTTGCTGTTGTTGCAAGTGCCGCAGTCGGAAGAGCCTCAAGGTCATCCAGGAGGCCAGGGTGCCGGTGACCGGCATGGGTGTCTGCTTGTCCAACGCCTCCTTTTGCAGCTGATAGCGATACAGCAGAGAACCGGCCACCAAAGCGGACACAATCGTGGCCGAGATGACAACGATGAAGAGGATGCTGAAGCCGGGAACTGGCATGCAGATACCGTAGACGACCTCCTCGCTAATCTTGCCCTGGAACACGGTGACCGCCTCCTGCTTGGAGTCCGGCGAGAAGGCCAAGTCCGCTTCGGATATAACATCGTATAAGCCGCTAACTCCCACATCGGCACTGCGAACTTTCCGATCGGAGATGACCAACGAACGACGGCGACGACTCCTGGACGCTCCATCTTCGCCTTCACCTGGCTTCTCATCATCCTTCTTCTCCACTTCCCCCTCCTCCTCCTTCTTCTTCCTCTTTTCCTGCTCTTCCGCCACTTCCTCCTTGTCCAAATCAATGTGATCTTCGCGTGGTTTCTTGAGGGCCTCCGCTTGGGGTCTGTAAACTGGTCGCGGCACATCGTCCTCATCCTGGTTGTGGGGTTCCAGGGAGCGCGGACCCGCCATCGGCACACCCATGCGCTTTTGGGCCTCCAGCTGCCGCGGACCATGCGGGAACTTGCCACTCTTCTTCAGTCCCAAATAGCGTTCCCCCTCGCCTCCGTCCATGTCCAAGTCGGCGAGGTCTTCATCGCCAAACAAATCGGAGAGATCCGCCTCCTCCTGCTCCTCGTGAACGGGACGTGGCTGCAGATTGACGCTCTTCTCGTGACCATAATCCCCGCCCATCGGTGACCCACCGCCGCCGCCCAGCGTTTGCTTGTGATCGTGGATGATGTCCTCGTAGAATATATCGTGATCCATTCCCATGCCATGTTGGCCACCAGGTGGCAGTGCCAGATCCCTCAGCAGATCGTTGCTACTGCTGCCCATGGCATCCGACATGTGGACGTCCTTCCGTTCGTTGGCATTGCTCAATCCAATGCCCAAGCCCAGTCCATGGCCCAGTGACTCCCCGGAACCGCCTCCCGAATTCTGGCAGTGATCGAGGCAGCCATGGCGACAGATCTCCACCTTGCACTTGATGTGGACACTCAGCGCATCGGGGAACTTGAAGGCGTGGAAGAAGGCGTAGGTGATCACGGTGGCCCTCTCGTCGGGAGCACGGGCCTTCAGGAAGCGGGAGATCATCTTGGGTCGCAGCACGCATCCAAATTCATCCGAGAGATTGATCACATGACCCGAACCATCGGAGGCCACGCAGGACTTTACGCGCATGTCGAATTCGCCTGTGGAAAAATAAGGGAATTTATTTGGATATCCTATTTCATTTGGAAATGATTCTCATTTATGGGAATCCCAACTCACCGCGATAGTCATTGATGGCCACCACGAGGGTCAGAGTGGAGCCCAGTGGCACGATCCCACTAACTGGTGGCGCCCAAGGACCCTTGCCATGCTGGATCTCCATCCAACAGTCCACATTGTCGCCTGCCACAAAAAAGATTTCATTATTTATAATTCATACTAGGGAAATTAATTAAAATAAATTAAATAAATTTATATTTATTAGCCAGTTTATATGCTTGCACACAAAAGAACATTTTGTAAGAAAACTAAATCAATTTGACCCTTGCGAGTTATAAACATTTTTGTATTACTATAAACGCAATATCATTGTTTTCTTTTATTATATTACATGTTAAACAATAATAATGATTAAGCATTATATAGGTATTATTATATAGGTATTATTTTGATAGTGAAACATTTAATTGGTATAGAAATTGGTATTTTGGTGCGCTTGCCTCGTATTTATAATTATCAATTATCAATTATTAATTTCATATCAACATTTTTCAAGTATTTAAGCCAAGCAAATCTCTATACTGTATATTGTGTCAGCATTTCATTTGAAAATATTGTTTTGGGAACTATTCCTTTAGCTTAAATGAAATACTCACCTCTGAAATCAAGTTGGATGACATCGAGATCGGCAATAACCATTGGCGGCTTGGAGGCGGTCTTCTCGTAATCGTTGAACCACTCGCAGCGCAATCGCTTCGCCTCGTCCCAGACTTCCAGCAGATCCTTGTCGTATTGCACCACCACCTGGTAAACAGAAAGAACAGGATATTAAAAAGCGCTTCTTATAGATTAGGTAACCACCAACCGTATTCTCGTAGAACTGTCCATTCAAATCCGGTTTGGTGCCGCAACGAGAGTAAGAAATTCGGAAGGAGAAGAAAGTCTTTCCCGTCGAAGGCGGCACATAAACGCATCGCGGATCGCTGTGTTGTCCTTTAAAATCACATAAAAATGTTATTTAGTAATTGAATTAACTAAAAGAATTAAAGATGGCTTACCTTTGGAGCTGACAATGCCCTCGAAGGGATGCGAAAAGGTGAGGTGGACATCCATGTGATCCTTGCCGCACATCACCTCCAGCGAAACGATATTGGGCATGCCATCTGGCCTCTCCATTGGCCACAGTTCATTACCAGCTATGACTAAACTAAACTGCAATTGGAAAGAATAGAAAATTTAGAAATGTAGAAAAAATTAACAACACACTTAAAATAAAATGTAAATTAAAATAAGTGTACATTAAACCATAAAGAGAACCGACTTGTTTGCTCCATAAATCCAATTCTAAATTCAATGTTTGAGGATAACTATTAGCGACTGAAGATTTATCTCTAGCTTTTTACATCCCAGAGCCATCTGGAGATCCATTGGTGAGCCTTGTGGGTGGGCTCCTAACGGTTCAACTGGCACCTGCCACCTGACAAACGTGTTGCCAATAAAAACGAAACGGCAATCCAGTCTCCCCAAAACCTCCGATACTCAGTCTTCGTATCCTCAGTCTTCGGTCTTCGTTTGCCCAGTCTTCAGTGTTCGGTTACTTGGTCTTCACTCTTCTTCTTCGGTTGGCCAGTCTTCAGTCTTCGGCTACCCTGTTTTTCAGTCTTCGGTCTTCGGTTCCCCAATCTTCTGTCTTCAGCCAATGAAGGCCAATCGAAATGGGAAAGCGAATTCCACTTGGCCTGCATCCGTTTGCCAGCGTTTTTTGTTTGCCAGGAACAGGTCTACGTTTTTTATATATATTTTTTTTTTGTATTTTTTGTAGAAAGGGGAGTGGGAGGCAGTTGCACCTGACATTTGCATACCGATGAAGCGATACCTGCCCCAAACTGCCTTGCCACATGCCGCATAGATCAGCATCGATCGAAAATCGAATTGCGATGCAAAGGAATTTGCATTTTGCACCTCTTCCCCTTTTTTCCCTCAAAGTAAAAGTTGTCCTACTGGATGAGCCACCTGAACGAGTGGCTATATAGATACGTATATATATATATATATATAGTATCTGATCGTTGGTGGTGGCTGGTGCCACATTGTCTGGCATCATCGCCTCAGCGAACGAGAATGGAAATGTCGTCGAAGCCAATGGATCGAATGTATCGAATGGATCGAAGAAAAATCTAACTGAATAAATTAGTTTATGCAGATATCATGTAATTGTTTTACATCTTGATCAATCGAATAATACCTTTGCATTATTGCATTTTCATGTAACACATTTGGCTGGTAATTATTCACACAATCTAATAGTGTTTGCAAATTATAAGTTATCTCGCCATTTTACATCATCATTTGCTTCGATAATTGTACAAAAAAAGCTTGCTGGCTCATTAGGGTAAAACTTCTTGTTTTTTAAATCACGTATAATAATCTACTTTGGGCATAAAATCAGCAAGAACAGATAACACTGCGTATGCGTGATAATATAAATTGCGGATACGTAATAAAATAAATTGCGTATACGTCATGATGAAACATACGATCAAATAATTCTTTCAAACAACAAAATTATCATCGGTTTAAAATGTTTCCATGTAAATATTCAAATATTTGCTTATATAATGTATATAACGATTTTATATATTTTTTGCAATGTAATAAAAAGAAAAAGGAACATAATTTATATAATATAATTACGATGAAATTCCAGCTCATTAAAGAAACATTTAAATGCGTAAAACATGTTTAAATCAAAGCCTTTCCCTTTTTTTCTGTTTTATTGTTAACTTGTGCTCAAAAGTAAAAACCACCTTAATCTTATAACTAAATATAATGTTGAATTACCCAGAAGAAAACACTCTTAAGGGCAATTTAAACATTATAAGTATTTTACCATCTGCTGGAAGGTATCATTATTATTATTTTTATGATTTAGTGATTGTTTAAGAGCTCGCTAAAAATTATAAACATTTGCCGAGCCACAATGAATTCTGCTCACGCTTTTTTCTGTTTGGTTTTTCTGGGAGAGAGGTTTGCTATCGCAGCTGCGAAGTCTATATATATATCAGTGTAGTTCTGGTATGAACTGCTATAGAAGCTTTGTGCAGAGTCACGATTACGATACACACGAAAAAAGCCGGCTGTTGAGAGTCGAGTGATGAAATATTCTCATTCGCATACTCAATTCGAAATACACTGGTCGGCATATATATTTTGACAATAATCAAAGTGAAATATACTCGAAACTTGAACTTGCTTCTTTTAACTTTTGGTATCAATGGAAAGGTAATTTAAATGCCGTTTGAATGATACCATACTTTTCTTAACTCATTCGATATTTTTTGAAAAGGGCAATTTTGAAAAAAAAATTAAAAAAACAACTTTTTCCCTCGTCTTGAAAACGAACATTTTTGGATGCAAAAAGTTTCTTTAAACAAAAAAAATAGTAACTGCAAAAAGAATTTTGCAAAAATAATTTTTCTTTTATTTTTTATGATTTTTCGAAAGTGACAATGTCGGAAAAAATTTGCGTATTTCTAAGCATTTTCAAAAAATTATAAAAAATAAAAGAAAAATTATTTTTGAAAAATTCTTATTGCAGTTACTATTATTTTTGTTTAAAGAAACTTTTTTCATCCAAAAATTTTAGTTTTGAAGCCGAGGGAAAAAGTTAAAAAAAAATTATTTTTTAATTTTTTTTTTTAAACTGACTTTTTCAATAAATATCGAATGAGTTAAGAAAAGTATGGTATCATTCAAACGGCATTTAAATTACCTTTCCATTGATACCAAAAGTTAAAAGAAGCAAGTTCAAGTTTCGAGTATATTTCACTTTGATTATTGTCAAAATATATATGCCGACCAGTGTACATTCTCATTCGAATCCAATCGCATGACTTCGGAGCAGGTCGGCTGATTATATAGAAGGGGGCGCCGTATAAAAGCCAGACGCTCGCCATTCGAAAGAACAGTTCGTATGAGCATTCAACCCGGATAAATATCACAGATATTTTATTTAATAAAATAAAGAAATCAAGAAATCAAGAAGTAAACAAGAATGGATCGCTGGTTGAATCGCGTTGCCGTTGTCACGGGTGCAAGTTCGGGAATCGGAGCTGCCTGTTGCAAGGATCTGGTGGCCAAGGGACTCATCGTCGTCGGCCTGGCTCGTCGCGAGGAGCGCTTGAAGGAGCTGAAGGAGTCCCTGCCGGCGGATCAGGCCAGTCGCTTCCACGGACGCAAGTGCGATGTCAGCAAGGAGCAGGAAGTAATCGATACTTTTGCCTGGATCGATGCCACCCTCGGTGGCGCCGATGTTTTGGTCAACAACGCCGGCATCGTCCGACCGGGTGTGGGCATCACCAAGGAGGCTAATTCCGCCGATCTTCGCGCCGTTCTGGACACCAATGTCCTGGGTGTTGCGTGGTGCACTCGGGAGACATTCAAATCGCTGCAGCGGCGCAACATCAACGACGGACATGTCCTGATTGTGAACAGTGTGGCGGGACATCGGGTGCCGAATATTCCCGGCTTCACCATGGGCATGTACGCGCCATCGAAACACGCCGTCACTGCACTCACGGAGGTCCTGCGACAGGAGTTCCTCAGTAACAAGACTCAAACCAAAGTCACTGTGAGTTGGATAGAACTAGCTACTGATTTGGAACCATTTGAATCATTATTTTATTCCTATTTCAGAGCATTAGTCCCGGTGCCGTGGATACTGAGATTGTGGCCGAGGAACACAAGGCCAACTTCCCCGACTTGCCACTTCTGCGATCCGAGGATGTGGCAGATGCAGTCAGCTACTGCATCCAGACCCCGCCACATGTCCAGATCCACGAGCTGCTCATCAAGCCCATCGGCGAAACCATTTGAGTGCCCCGTTTACGACTGTTTTAGTAGAAGTATGCACAATTCTTGCAACAACATTGCAATAAAACGTATTTGATGGAGTATTAAAAGCAAGAAAGTGTTTTAACTGGGGCCTAAAATCATTTTAAAAACAAAACCAAACTATCTGAATTACTGCCAATAATGAAAAAAAGAAAGATTTTATGGTATAAAGCAAAATATTTTTAGTTAAAAGTAAAGTCAATCTGATAAATATTTATAATATTTTGGTTATTATTATTAAGGATTGGTCAAATAGATTTCTACTAAATTTACCAAGATTTTGTGCTATTAAATTGTGTTATTTTTATAAAGGTTCCATAAATATTTATCACACTATTCCCTAAAGTTGAATAACAACTTATCTTTACTTTTATAAAAAATCTCCCCCTGTTATGATTATTGCAACCCAAATCAACCCAAATTCATTACATTATTTTTGTTTGTCTAATCGAACGCTTTGTTTATCAAACAAACCCAAAGTCGGAAGATAAGATAGGGCTTGAATTGGTTTTGCTTATTACGAGGTGACTCACCATTAAGTGTAAGATAAATATACAGCTACTAAACCTAAGGTCCCACAGTCGTGTAGGGCCTTTCTGTGGGCTCCACATAATGGCGCTGTGGGCGTGGCGATCGGATCTGCAAGAAACAGAGGGGAAAAAGAAAAGAGATTAAATGAAATTAGTTCAGGGTTTAAGTAGTGGCTGGGACTACCCCAACGATTTGTGTATTAGAACTCTCCGCAGGCGGTTGAAATGGAGAGTGCCGGAGGGGTTTTCTTATCTGGTTTGCTTCTACTTTATTTTACCACCACTTTTTTTTGTTAATGGGGAGACTGCTGCGTCATCGTCATCAACACAGTGGGACAAAACAGCCAAAAAACGAGTTAACAATCTAACTGTGTTTTGTTTGTTTACCGTACTCTCGCATTCGCCTATTTCCATACAACTTGCAACTTACTATAAATCGCAGTTAATTAATGTAGCACCGAGTTGTGGTAGTGGAAAGTAGAAATTAGCTGTTCCCCAATCAACATAACTCATTTAAACGCTTTCACTGCATTCAGTTGGCTTCTGTTATTCTATCGCCCCATTCAAGCCAATCAACATTATACTAGATTCAATCAATTGCAAACCGATAATTGAAAAATCTCACAACTTAAATGTTTAATTCAAAGGCAAACCTTTTGCCATACAATAGTACGTATAGTATTTCCCTTCGCTTAAATGGAAAGCAATTATTATGAGAAAGGGGCTCGGGGTGTGGCATTCACAAATGGCCAGAATGAGGAAGTGAGATCTCGATTTGGTGGCCACGAAGTCGCTTTTGGCCACTCGTTTTGGCCACAGGTTGAAGGAGCAAAAGTCGTGATCTCCGCTAAACGGAGCACTCAAATTGCAGCAATTGGATCGAAAGATCAACCGATTCCCCGATCCCATTGCAATCGATTGCCTTGAGATCGATTGCCAACCTTAATCGATGGTTAAAGGCTAAAAAAGATAAATAAAGGTAGTTTAAAGTCGAGGTGATGGGTTATACCATTAACATATTTTTTTTTAAAGGATTTAAATTGGAAAGCAAACTTGTGGTAATTATCATTTGATGTATTTCATAAAAACATAAATAAAATATTTCATTTGTACCTAACATATAATCATTTGTTGTTCAGAAATTAACTCAATTTAGAAGGTCAAACCAGTCAATATTTTAATAATTTAATAGCCCTCATATTTAAAACAGTAATCATCTAGAAAATAATGTCTATTTTAGTGGCTGCCTCAGCAGAAATCAAGTTATCAATGGAATGCTTTGGTTAATTGCTGCAATTAATTTGACGATCCGATTAAATTGTATACACAAATTAAAGCCAAGCTTGTGTTGGCCATTAAGTAATTCCAACCGATTTAATTGTACAGCCTACTAGCCAACATTCTTCCCACCGAATTCTTAACCCGAATTCCTTTCCTTTCTCTCCTCCTTTTTTTTTCTTCTTTTTTTTTCTTTTTTTCTTTTTTTGTTGTTGTTTTTTTTTTTTGGTTGGACTTTTTAGCCGCCCAAAAATTGGCTAATTGTTCGGCTTTTACGGGGCGGCACAAGAACACAGAGTGGGCGCGGTCGCATCGTCATCATCATCATCGTTGTCGTCCTCCGATCAATTCGTATGTTAAATATCAATTGTTGAAGCCTTTTTTTTCCTCGCTTGTTTTCCCCTTTTTTTTTTTTTTTTTTGAAGAAATTTTTTTTTTTTTTGGGTTTTTGGGTTCTTTGGGTTCCCTGAGTTTGCTGGGTTCCTTGGGTTCCTGGATCTGGCCCGTTGGGGTAATAAAGATGTCGATGCTCGTCATTAGCGCGCTGCTCGTATCCGGGGCCAGAATCGCACTTAACCTGACGCCCCCCGGCCAAAAATGGCCAAAATGGACCAGCCGAAAATTGCTACGAAGCCACGTGAAATGGCCGCAAATGTGCGGCCACGAAAAAGAAGCCATAAACAAATTGAAATTTAATAAACGACCGGGCGGCCAATTTCCCTGGGACCCTTTTACCCGAACAGAATCTCGCTTTAGAGATCCTCGAAACCCCCAAACCCCAAACCCAAAAACCGAACTTGGACCCGGGCAACCTGCCAATAAAGTCGCGATCCCGACTCTCTGATCCATTCGATCACTCGTTTTCCCCCGAAGGCGCCATTTGCCATTTCAACGTTGCAAATTGAGGTGCCTGCCATCGATCGATGGTTTGTAGTTGTAGTTGCAGCGGTGGTTACTTGGATGCACTTGGATCTCGGGGTTAGCTCCACAGATCGTGAGTCATTTAAGGGGGGGGAGATCGAGCATGGACCGTTTGGTGACCCACTGCGTGAGTAAGTGCCCCACTGTCAACCTAAATCTCCACTCCCCCAACTAATTGAGACATCAAAATGCAAGGGAAGCCTGCGATTGCGAATCTAACAATTAAGTAGATTTATGATGGGGTTAAAACAAAAGATGGAAAAAACCCTGCAGTTAAAAGGAGAATCTATCATGTTTGGATACATTTTGAGTAGCTTTAAATTACTAAAATGAATTCTTATAATAAAACGTACTTTTTTAAAGTATATTATTTATTTAACACCTTGTTTATTTAAGAACCCCCATTAAGCGCAAAGTGGGATATTTCTCAGGCTTATTTGCCCGACAATTTCACCGCAAACTTTCCAATTTGTTCGATTCTTTCGCACACGAACCCGAATAAATCCGATAAATATTTAGCCGGTCGATCAATTGTGCGTTGGCTGCTGCGGCACTTTCCCTGTTTACTGTTCACTGTTCGCTGTTTACTGTGTTCACTGTTGACCAAGATCGGTGGGCAATTAAAGAGACGCCGGCAATCAATCAATCAATCAAACAGCCAGCCAAGCAGTCAAGCCCACAGCACTGCCGTAGAGCACTAATAAAAATAATAATAAAACCCCGCATTTCTTGCCTCCTTTTTCATTGTCCGATTTTTCGGGCCCACTTTTACCAATTTTTTACTTTATTTTGTGAACAGGTGAAAATGAAATCGGAAACAAAGCGAATTCGTTTACCAATTCGAATTCGGAATCGAATTTCGGCATCGAAAAAGATGATGGACAAGCCTCCGCGATTCAAGCCAAAAAAAAAAATGCGGTCAGCGGAGAATCTCTCGCAGAACTGTAAATACCAACAAAAAAAAAAAACACAAAAAAAAACTAAACAGATAAAACAAAAAAGAGAGCCGACTTTATATAGACGAACGGTAAACGGTAAACGGCCGATATGCTTATTTGTCTTTAATTCGGAGCCAATTAATTTCTCTCTTGTTTATTTGCTATTTTTTTTACTTTTTGGTCGTCCAACGAGTGAAGAGTGAAAACTGGTCGGTTTTGAGCCCGAAATTGGTAAGTAGCGTCTAAGACCAAAAAAAAATGGGAAAAACTAAGCCAGACTTTGGCTAGACTAACTGTAACTCAGGTGCTGATTTGCATGGGCGCCGGCAGAGGGCGTCCAATTAAGAAATTTATCCGCGGGCAGTGAAGGGTGGTATACTATGTATATATGGTACATATCTGGGTGAACACATCCAAGGGCCCATTTTACAGTACTTTTTGATTAAATTAATAAGCTCGTTAACTGGGTAGGGATCAGGAAGTCAGAAAGCAGGTGGTTATATTACAAGACAATCTGATTAAATATATCTAGGGACTCAAATTGATCGACTTCCAAACTAGATTGCAATTAGGAAGACTGAAAAGCTGTTATGGCTTCAGAATAGGTTTAGTTGTAAATATCTTATGTAGATCTCAAGAAGGTATTGTTGTGATTTCAATCATTAATTAATTTAAGGGTGATCAATTTAAATTGAAAATAATCATTTTAATTTATTTATTGGATTTTTAAACAACGTTTTCATTAACAGCTTTATTGTCACCCCAGAAATATATATATATATATATATTTTAATTATTACCAAACAGACCATTAACTAACGTCTGTGTTATATTTTTTGTGTAGATAAATGTAATATTTGAAGTAAGTTCTTCACATCTTTCTAGTTGTTTCTGGAAATAAGTTTTCATAGATGATTTTGGTATGGAAAAGTAGCACCTTTCCCATCGCTGAGATCTGCTTGGAGACAGCTACATATATATGTATATATAGATCCCCGACTAACTAACTAACCGACTGACTCTCCAGCCAAACTAACTAAGCCAAAGAAAGTGCCACGGAGCTGTGGAGCCGCGTGTTGCACGCTCTAGTGGCGCTTAATTAATGACGCCGCCGCTTCTACTTCTGCTTCTTTTTCAACTTCTTCTTCTTCTTCTTCATCATCATATGCTTCTTCTTCTTGTGGCGCTGCAATTAACAGTACCGCACTTGCAGCGGCGGGAAAACGCGAGCGGAAGAGCGGAAAAGTAGAAGTTAACTCGACACGCTCCGCAAGTTGGGCACTCTATCAAAAAACCAAAAATAGAGATAGAAAAACTCCAACTAGTATATCTATGAAAAGCCCCTTCGAAAAGTGATCCATTCATTGACTCATTATTTATGCATCAACATCAAAAGCGAATAATTCAAATCAAAACGAAACGAAACAAAAAACGAAACAAAAACGAATCAAAACGAAATCGAAAAGAAATTGTCGCATCAAAAGGCGATCAATGCCGAACTTTGCTTACGGTTTCGGTTTTCACTTTTCTTCTTGTGGAAATGAAAATGGAAATGTGGTGGATGTGGAAATGTGGAAATGGATGTGGATGTGGAGCTGTGGAGTTGTGGATCCGAGTTGTGGAAATGCCGATGGCGCCGCCGACCACTTTCGAATCGAAATAACGGTGTGTGCAAAAAGCAAACGGTAAATCACCTGACCATGCTTCATTTCAGTCTATATATATATACATATATATTTTCTTTAGCCTTTATTTTGCTCATTTTTGTTTTTTGTTATTTTCGTAGTTGTTGAGTTTGATGAGTGATTTGGTATATATTATTTTTAGCTTCTGTTCGACTTAGTTTAGCCGCAGTGAAAAGCGCAATAATCACGATAATGATAATGACGGCCATGGCTATGGGAAAAGCAAAGCCGAAATCAAAATACATTTTTAAATGGTTCACTTTCTTTTAATTAAACTGGTTCCAAGCAACCAACTAACCGACCAACAAACCAGCCAACACAAAAAAAAAACGAAAAATAAAAAAAGCCGGTGCGCCACCTCCTCCAAAGTTAGCCACCTCTTGTATTTTTACTTTATTTTTATATATATTTTTTCTCATTTTTTTGCGAGCAAGTTTGTCCACTTTTTATTTCGGGTCGCATTCAGCGGACAATCGCCAAATGCAATTTTTATTCGGTGTAATTAGCCTGGTACAAACTGGCGCAAGCAATTAAAGCTTTAAGCCACCAAAGATGCAAACGGATCCATTACGAACGTAAGTCTCGAACAAGCTGCGAACAGAGTTTTTTTTTTTTTTCTTCTCCTCTCGACTTAATAGCTGCAGAATATTAAATTTCAGCCAGGCAACGAGGCAGACAGCCAGCACTTGCAACAATTTGCCACTAAATCTCATGGCAACAGGATAAAAGGGGGAGGAATTGAGGGGATGGCGAGTTGGGGGGCTTGAAGATGACATCGTTTTAGCCAGTTGTTGCTGCAACAGCAACAGCAACAGCAACAGCAAAAGCAACAGCAACAGCAAAAGCAACAGCAGCAGTTGTCAACAGCTATTCTTCTTTTCGGCTGGAAACGTTCAAATGGCTCTGGAAAAGACCGAGAACGTGTCAAATGGCCCCTGACTCCATTTTCCAACCATCCAACCATCTATCCATCCATCCATCTAGCAATCCATCTATCCTATGCTCCTCCATTTAAATTTGGGCCAAGCCCAAGAGAATCACGAGCGAATCATGGGAATCATGGAGCTCCAGCTCAGAGACCCATTTGCTGCAGCGAAACTTTTGTTTGGCCGTCTGTTGTCAACATGACAACTGCCAACTGAGAGCCAACTCAGAAGCCATCAGCCATGAGGCATCAGCCCAGCCATCCGAGCATCCACGACGACGACGACTCCCACCAGAGAGTCAAGTGCAAACAATGGCTTTCCTAGCTGCTGATGCTGATGAGGATGGGGATGGGACTGAAAATGGGAGATGGGTGATGGGATGATGGAGTTCTCTGTCTCGAATGCACGCCTTAAAAATCCAGAGTCAAAGCCAAAATGGCAAAATGCAATGGCAGATTCAAGTCCAGCCATCTACTTATCAACGGATGTGCAGTGCCAGTCGAGTCTGGGAAAGGCTAACAACTTTATTGGCCATGTTTGTGCCACCGGAAGAGTGTTTCGAGAGACGCTCGCCGTGCCATGCCCTTGGGTCATTTGCCACTCGGGGTGTCAAGAAGACTTACGGCCTTTAAACAACTATTCACAGACTCGCAGACTGTTGAGGTGGTTGCTGTGGGATTGGCTTTAAGGCTAATTCAAGAGAGCTTCAGTCTGCAAGTGCTGCTCTACTTAATTTAGGACTTCAACATGACCAAAGGGGACATTTGGGAAACTTAAATGGATCTAAGAAAGCTCTACTTTTGCTTTAATAAAACTCCAATATCTTCGTAAAGAACTTTTGCAATAAATAACAGCCTACTGGGAACCTTCTCATTCGAATAGATTTTACAATAAAAAACTATTTTACTACTGAAGTCAGTTAACAAATTTCTATAAAAGTAAACAACTTTTCTTATAAACTTAAGCTGTGTGTTAATTACTAGTTTAAACTAACCGTATAAGCAACTGTTATTTTAATAGCAAATAATGAATACTAAATAATTAATGGAGTTCTAAGTGTAGTAAGTGGACTACTTTAAAAATCAATAAGATTGAGTTGAGGAATTTTAGGTAAACTTAAATAAGTGAAATATTTTTGTATTTAAAAAGAGAATTTATTTACAAAACTAATATTTTCAAATTGAAGAACAGCCTTAAAAAATCTCTACTGAAGTGCCAGCTCAATCTGAGCAACAACTCCATCGTTAATCTTCAAATACTTAAGAGATCTCAAGCTGAAGAGCCTCATTGGATCAATCGGTACTCTCACTTTTGAAACCCCGACTCCAAGTGGTTGGGGGGCATACGTAAATGCACTAAAGGCCGAAATGTGCCACGAAAAGTTTCCATTTCATTATGGAATGTTTGTAGAAAGGCGAAGAACAGTTAGACGACGAGACGCCGGCATCCCGCTTCCCCTTTCCCTTCCCCATTCCCCCAAAATTCTGTTCATAAGAAATCTTTGGTGATGTCTGAATACAAATTAACATTCTGCGAAAGAAAAGGCTTGTCGACGGCGCTTTATCTGTATCCGCATCTGCATATTGTACAGGTCTTTGTATCTTTGTATCTTTGTATCTACTGTATTTGCCGTATCTGCGGCATCTGCTGTATCTGCTGTACGAGTATCTACGATGTATCCGCGAATGGGATGTGAAAAGAGAGGCACTTCGGCGGCACTGGGAATAGAATTTACTGGGTCGATCGCCACACAGCATCAGCAGCTCATAAATTATGCGTCATCGATGAGCCCGAATGGGATCGAAGCGATGAATGGAAAAAAAGGTGGTGGATCCAAGAGATGCAGACCTTGGCTGAGAGCAAAGTTGGGTAAAAAGGTAAAGCCGTTCAGAGGGTTCCAGCAATAATGGCTAAAGCGAATCATTTAAGGCCAAACAAAGAGATAGTCCAGGGCAAACAGCACCGATACCGATACCAATCCCGATGCCGAAACCGATTGCCGATTGCAATGGCAATGCGACAACGAGACTTGCAACTTGCTACTTGCAACTTGCAACTTGCTACTTGCTACTTGCAACTTGGCATTGCATTTATGGCCAAGTCGCGTGTTTGTTCGCCGCTGCCAATCTGGCCTCGTGGAATTGAGTTTATTGTGCCACAGCGGCGTTCTTTGGATTGTCGCATCAGCTTAATTAGAATTCGAAGTAGCTAACGGTGCATTTAATGCGCTCCAAAACGGATCAAATGCATTAGCACCGCTCACTTCTTGCGGCCAGTATCTTGTGGCAAGATCTGTTCTATTTATCTGTTCTCACTGCCACAGACACATTTGCCAACTAATGAACCAAATGCGGTGACGAAAGTTGTCATAACATATAGTATAATCTGCCATCTGCAAGGTGCAAGATGTTGCTTCTTCGCTGGCTGGATCGGCGGCTCGACTTTGCCTGTGTCGCATGTGTTTGCCACACGACTTAATGATGGGAATGTGGCCGGGAAAGGTGTCAAAAACTGTATGTTAATAAACTTGTTTTCGGCCCTGTTATCCCCGTGTTATCTGTCTGCCTTGTAACGACCATCATCTTGCTTGTTTAATTAATAAGTCGATAAGTCAGGTGGGATGCGGACTTGAAACAGTTTTTTTTTTTTTTTTTTTAAGCAACAATGGTACTGAAAAACTGAAGCAGTTAACAAAAGAATTTAGGAAGTTTTGGGAAAATCTTACTTGCAATACTCAAGATGAAATCTTTCCAACGTCTGAACTAGATTTTGGTAATTAGAACACATGTAGCAAAAGGCTTACATAATAAAACGGGAATTTACCATAAAAGTGGTCTGATGATTCTCTAAGAATTTATCTGAACTTTTTTAACTAAGACTGAAATATTCCTACATTTTTTATTGAAGCTGCTATTATAATTACTAGTATTTGAGAGAGTTTTTTGATATGCAGTATAATTTTCAACTTACCGATAAAGAGTAATCTTTCCGAAGGTCAAGACACAGCTGTGTGTGTAATACGTGATCTATCTCGGCTGTTGGGGACTCCTTATGTTTCCGTGCTTTTGAGAAATCCCGGCTCTGCGTTTTGAATGAGGCACAGAAAAAAATGTGGCATGAATACTATATGTACAGAGCAGAGGAGGACAGAAGTGAAATCGGAACAGAATCGAGCAGAGTGGACCGAACCGTACCGAACCGGACCGGACCGCCTAACACGTAACGCAAACAAAGAAGAATCATCGCCGAGCTTCGAGATGGAGAGAAGTCCGTGCTCATGGCGACTGATTGGTGATTAGTTGCCATTTGACAGGTGTATGTGAGTTTGGGGGTCGGTTTGGGTCGGATTGGGTCGGCTGGGGTCGGGGGCAGTTGGTCAATAAAAATAGTGCACCTGCTGGGCGTGTGGGAATCTAAAAGCCGTCAGATGACGTTGCCACTTTTTTTTTTTTTTTGTGGGCCCCTATCTTTCTTGTCTCGCCCGCTGTTGTACGTGTACGTGTGTTTGTTATGATTATTATTATGTATGATTGTTATTTTTTTCACACACACACACAAATGGTGGAAAAACTTTGGAAAGTGGCAGCCGTTAAGACAGTGCAATGCATGCAACAACACCTCTGATTTTGATTTCGATTCTGGCCAGGCTGAGAAGAGGACCGAGAAGACACTCTGCAGGCGAGAGAGATAAAGAAGAAGAATCGGTGGAAGAGGTGCGCGCACAAGAAGCGGTGGCAACAAGCCAGCCGCATTTGTGCTAATTGGGAAAATTAGAAAGCATGAAATGCTCGGCTGCATTTGCTGTCTAGCTGGTTAATCGGCTCCACTGGAAGCGCAAGAAGACGGGGCTCAAGATGCTGGAAAAACAAAGACTGGATGTTTCACAGAAGTCTAAATGCAACGGCTCTACTGGGAGAAAAAAATAAAAGAATAGGATGCTGGAAAATCGAAGGCTTCTCTGGAAGCACAGAAAAATAAAAAAGAAGGCTAGATAGCGTCTACTGAAAACCGAACAATTATTAGAATAGATAGGTCTAGGTTGGTTGTTTAACCATTGGCTCTCCTGAAAGCACAAAAAAAAAGGATTCTGAAAAGAACTACAGAAAAAAGGACTAAATATTACATTGGGATTTTATAAGAAATAATCACATTCTGCTATCTTACAAAAAATAAGACTGCAAAATTCTTTGGACTTTACTGGCAGAAGAAAAAGAAAAGGACACTGAAAAATCAAACTTAATGTGTCAAGAAAGGAAAACAATAAGATGCTGAAATGTTAAATCCTGGATATTTCACACAATTCAAAATTCCATTGGCAATAAGAAAAAAAAAACAAAAAAATAAGCTTGTTTTTTGGCAGAAGAAACACTCACTTCACTGGAATGGTTCTTCTCTACTCTCTTCCCGTTCTATCTCTTTCTTGGTGTCTTGCTCTTAAGCAAGTAACGGTAACAGGCAGCGGCAACAACAACAACAAAAAAATATGCACTGACACTCGTGGGCACTTTGGGTGTTTATCTTATTTATTTTATTTTATTTTTTTATTTTATTCTTTTCCTTTTTTTTTGGTTGGTTTTTGGCGAGTGTGTGTGTGTATGGTGCACACTGGATGGGGGATCACGGATCACGATCACGGATCACGACCGGGAGCAGCAGCACGTGTGGACTCGGCGAGCGACGAACGCGAAATACGCGAGCCAACCGGGCGATACTTTCTTTGGCCTCGTAATGTAACTGTCTTGAACAGCAGCCGCAGCAACAGAAAAAGCAGCAGCAGCAGCAGCAAAGGCAGCAGCAGCATAAGAAGCAGCAGCTCAAGAAGAGAGACAGAGAGGCAAAGAGGCAGAGAGGTGGTGGAGCTGGCTAAGAAAGAAGAAAGACAAGCTCTGCCGGCGTCGACGGCGACTGCGCGACGAGCTTTTTACACCTGCGTTGGCAGCTGCGCAAATGAGCACAGCTTGGCCAGAACTTGTTGTTGTTGCTGCCGCTAATCAAGCGGCCTAATGACATAGAATCGCCTGCCAATTAGACGGATCAATAAAAAGAGTGTACTGCAATCCAATAAAATCCAATTGGACGCCCCCTCAATTGGAAGGAGATCTCCTGCAGGAGCTGCTTTGCAGCAAAGTCGGCAGCTCTGCCGACGTCGGCGTCGTGAATTTGACGCACTTGAACTTGAACTTTCAGCGGGATCGTTTCGTAGGGATCTGAAGTCTTGCAACCTTAAGATACCCTATAGTAAACCCTTAATAATAATGATTTGTCATTTATATTTTTAACTGACACTAACAATAATACATTTTATTGATCCACATTAATTTTGAAATCTTTTTTTGGAAACAATAATAGTTTCCCATGAAAATATAAGCTGGAATTTATGAAAGAAGTGCATAAGTGAAACAAATATATTCTAGCCCCTCCCCATCGTAATTTGTGGTAAGCAAAGTTTTAACAAAGGTATAAGAACATTTAATTGTCAAATTGTTCGCTATGAGTGTTTTACGAAAAAGAAAGTATTTAATAAAACAAGACAATATTTTAAAAACTCAAACCTTCAACATCAGTGTTTAAGCTTTAGCTAAAATATGTACTTTTTAATAACAGTAACTCTAAGCCTAACGCAACCCATCAATCAATATACCTTACTATATCTTAGATCATTCAAAAAGCACTTGCAAAAGCTGTGGTACACGCAGGGCGAAATATTGTAGCCAGCTTTTCAGGTGAGCAAGGTGGTGCATAATTTACCTGGTTAACTTAATTTTTTTCGGCTGGGAACCGATCTGCCGGCTCATAACGGTTAAACAGTTTTCGCCCGTCGTTGACATCTAATCAAGATGGGAACAGAAGTTGATCAAAGCTGATTTGAGCAATAAACAAAAAATTCCGTTTCCTCTCGCAGTGGCTCGTTGCATCTCTTTCACACACGTATCGGAATTGGCAAGCTCGCCATCTCACACGCACACACACATATATAAACAATGTGCAACGGTTTTCAAGCTGGCTCTTCGTTTCCTTCTTTTTCTTCTTCTTAGCCGCTGCTTTTCTCCCCATTTGTTGTTAGTGTTAGAGAGGCTGCTGCTCCTCCTCGTTCTTTCTCTCTCTCACTCTCTTTGTAGACTGGGCACATTTAAACGGTAAACATCATGAATGCATTTGGAAAGTGGTTTTGTTGTGGTTCGTGGTGTTTGCATTTTGCATTTCTTCGCATTCTTTTCTGTTTATGTGGCTATGTGGCTGTGTGTTGCATCGCACAATTGTGCCAACAACTACAATACAAGGCGAAGAATTGAGAAGAGCCAGCAGAAGAATCAGAAGAGGCAGAAGCAGAACAACAGCAACGGTAATACCCACCGAAGACGGCGTTTTCATTTCTGAGAATTGATTGGCCGTCGCGCCTGCATACTCCACACGCCACTGCCACAGCGTCTTCCTCTTCCTCGGCCGTTGTTGCTGTTTCTGCCACATCGGGTTTTTTATTTAATACCGTCTAGTTAAAAGTGCCACAGGTATGATGCATTTCGCGCAAGAAAGCGAAGGAATTCTCAAGCTAGAGGCTCTGTTGTAACGGTTCAAAATATTTATTTAAGGCTTTTTAAAACCCTTAATGATGTTGAACACAATAAGTTAACAAATAAGCGTATACTTTATATTTAAAGACTCGATGGATTAATTAAAATCTAAAGTAAATATTTTAGTTTTGTAAAAAATTTATTTATTTTATTTCTATTTTGAAATTGAACTCTATTTCGTATATGGGGTACTAGTACTCAAATTGAGATATAGTATTAATTATTCATGTTTAATGTACGGATTTGTATTACTTAAACAAGCGCTCTCAAATTATCGTACTGTTATAATTTATATGGTACATTATAAATTAGGAAATGTTGCTAGTTGAAATTCATTTAAGGAAAAATCTCGAGTAGTGGGTACCTTATAGTGCGAAATCCTTGCCCTTAGCTTGTAGACTGGCGTTTTTTGTTGTTGTGTTCTTCTGCATTCCTTCGGATTCTGTACCGCTGCTGCAGCAGCACCTGTCGCTTCTTGCAGACCAGACTGGTGGAGTTGTTGTTATTTGCAGCGAGGCCATTGCGATTGTGATTAAATAACGTTTGACTTGGCGGGCGTCCTCCTCCTGGTCGCCCCGTCGTGCCACTTGGTCCGCTTCATTAGCTCAACATGGATATGGATGCAACAAAGCAACTAAGCAACAAGGCAACAAAGTTGTTTCTGTTCCAAGTTCTCCAACTGCGATTCTCCGATTCTCTGATTCTTCGTTTGGCGTTTGGCGTTTGGCGTTCGCGTTCTCATTCCCATTCCACGCATGCGCGCAGTCCACTTTTGAATTTGGCGTCTGTCTCCGTCTCAGTCGCTCGCTCTTTCTTCCCACTTGGCGTGCTAACTATCGCCATCGCCTGTTTCTATGACAGGCATCGGCACACTTTGTCCACCGCCCCAACGCCCCCTCTCCCACCACCCCGCAAACCCCCTTCTTCTTGATGCTCCTTTTTCTGTCATCATTGTAATTCCTCAACGCACTTCTAGCGCTGTCTCTAAATCCATCTCCTGTTCTTTTGTTTTGTTCTTATTGCTGCAGCTTACGGCGACACTGAGAAAAATGGGTATACTGTATGGAAAATAATAACTTCAGTTTCATATCGAAAACTTAATAAATCAAACAGTTTGAAATTTTTTAGAAATCTATCTATAAACGTCCCTCGAGAAATAATATTGTACGTTACTTGTTTATATGATATCATAAAAACAAAATATAATATGTTTTCAGAAAATTACACAAATTACAAAAAATTGTAACAGTTTACTTATCAAGAATAATAATTTGAAAATAAATTATAATTAAGTTTAGAGTTTATTATATTAGTTTGACACAATAACTTTTATATGGCACCGCATTTTTTTTTGAGTGCACTCGTCTTTCTATAACCTGCCTCCTTGGTCGCCTAGTGCCAATTTGGCTAAGTCGGCTATTTAACTATTTTTGTCATTCGCCGGCAGATGCTGCTCCATTTGGGAGTGCGTCGCTCACTTATTTCTTATTTTCATGGCACGTTGTCGCCCAGTTTCCGCCCCCTTTCCTGCCCCTCCAAGTGATCCATCCATTCAGCGATCGCACCTGTGGTGACTGAAATGATGGCCCTAAGTCACCCGATCCCCAAAACCCGACACTCGAGACACGGCAACCATCGTGACCCAGAAGCAAATGAAGCTGTCTCCGCGGATAGACTCTTCCATTGTCATTGCCATTACAGCCATCATCGCAAGTGCTGTTGTTGTTGTTGTTGTTGTTGTTTGTGTTGTTGTTGCTGTGGTTGTTGTTTGTGTTGTTGTTTTTATTACCACCAGCGAGCTAATGTCGATGCTAATTTGCCAGCATTATGGGTTAGTGGGCCGGTCGATGGGCCCCATCGGAATGATGGTTGGTCGCCAGTCAACGCGTGCTCTGTTCTGTGGTTCATTCATCACCTGACATTTGGGTGCTGGTGACCCCGAATCGAAAGGAATGCATTAGTGTTCAATTTGACCCAAGTGATCTTGTACTGAATAACGATTGCTGTAATGATGGCGGCTCTACTAACTGTGTTTCTAAATAAATTGGCTGCCATATCAACTTAAACAAAGTGCTGGTGACCCCAATTTGTTGTATTTTTCGATTACAATAAATGGAAGTTAATGAAAACATTTTTAATAACTTCAATGAGATATAACAAAGTTATCAAACTGAGACCATTTCTTTATTTTTACTTTTAAACAATTCTTTTTTATTCTTTATCAAAAACAGAACTGCATTCGACGGGGTATTATTTGTTGGCATGCAAATCGGAATGTGGTAACCCCGAACAGCCTTCGAATCTGTGCGGTAGCCAAGTTGATGTGGGCTGGCTGGACTGCGGACTGGATTCCCGGCCAGCCCCCACAGATGGCTCATCGGTGATGGCTCAAATGGCTCAAATGGCTCAAATGGCTTGATGGCTAGATGGCAATGGCAATGGCAATGCCGTTGGCTAATGGAACTGGCATTGCAACCAGATCGAAGACGAGACTGACACTCAGACGGAGGACCGAACTTGCAACAGAAACAGAAACAGAAACTAAACACTGAAGACTGACTAAAGACTTGGAAACTGGAGGCTGGGGACTGAAGACTGAAGACTGAAGACTGGCAGTTGTTAGGTGGTTATCTGGCCAATGCCATAAAAGTCGAGAAATGCGCAGTTAGGCAATCAATGGACGTTCCTTGGGCCAAAGAGATTGCGGCGGAGGTAATCGCAATTGGACTCCAACTTGGACTTGGACTTGGACTTGCGACTTGGACTGGCGACTCCGAGTTGGACTTGCAATGGACTTGGAATCGGCGTTAGGAATCCGCAATGACACTGCCCCAGTGTTTTGGCCTCGCTTGCTTTTTATTTTCATTCCTATTGCTATTTCTTCTTTTTTCAGCTTTTTGTTTTTCATGTGGCAACTTGTGTGTTATGATTGGCAACGGTTTGTTGCTCGGCCAGCTAGCCTGGCTTCTCGGCTTCTCGGCTTCTTGGCTGCTTACCTGGTTACCTGTTCACTTGCTCGGCTGCCCATTTCCTACCTGATCGCCGGGTTGGAGGTGCCGCCACAGACGTAGATGCAGACGCAGGCGCAGACTGTGACCAGCCGGCGGAGCAAATACCGTTTTGCTGAATAAATAAAAGCAACAACAACGAAGAGACGCACAAAAACACTGGCCAACAAGTGGGAAAAAACTAAAGTTGGGAAAACTCGAACACTGGATTGCCCTAATATTAAATATACATGTCTTCTATAAGTCATCATAAATATGTATGGTAATTTAAGATTAAGAACTACCATAAAAATAAACTTGGAAATATATTTTAAAATTTAAATTTCTTGATAAAGGATTAATTAACTCATATTATATGAAATTTTAATGTTAATAAACCTATATAAAAGCAATATCCCAAAACATATTCTCTTGAGCGGACAGAGGTTAACGGACAAATTAAAAATCCATTCACTAAGAGTTTTAAATGCTATAAGCTAAGTAAAAAAAACTGAATAATTTAAAAAATAAAACTCTTTAAATCATTGTTGTATAACTTATATACCCCAATGGCTCTGGACATACCCTCTCCCTTGAGTAGCAGTTGAAGTTGAAGTTGGTGATGCGACGGCACTTGGAATGCGTTTAGTACCCCCCATTCCCCCAAATCCCCCTTGACCAATCCCCTCATCCAGAAACGAATGGCTGGAATGTTAATGCAGCTACTTCTAGTGGTGCCTGCTGCCTCCTCGGTGACAACATCCATCGCCATCGCCATCGCCATCGCCACTGGCGGAGGAATGGGCACAAACATTTACCTAATCCATTTCCCATTTCCAAGGCGGCTGCTCTCGTTCTCGTTCTCGTTCCCGTTCCTCGATTCCACATCCATTTCGGTGCAACTTAATGGAGTTCTGCTGTAGCCGCACTCATAATTATTAAGGGTTTAATATCATACTTAAATAAAGCACTTAGATATGTTTTTAGCAATCGCACTTCTTTTAAAAACATTTAAAACATATTATTTTCATGCAATGGAAAAAGCACAGGGAAGTGAAAGTCATGAGGGTCCATTTTTCAAGCTAAGATTTTGAAGACCCGTATGTAAATATTAATTAAATCGATTAACAAACATAAAAGCCCTTTAAAATATATTAAAAATGCAAATTTTGGTACATATTTTGAAGCTCGTAGAAAAGAGTTCTTATTCTATTTAAACTTACGAAATTATTTAACTTGTATAATTTAGTCATAAAAGTTTGACATTATTGTCTGCTTTAAAACATTATAAAATGTATATTTAATAATTCATTTATATTTGCTTAAGTAAAAGCCAAACAAATGAAAGCACCGCTTAATAAGTTTAAAATAAATATATAAGTATAAAAAAAAACAATAACCTTCACAAAGTATTTGTTAAATATCTTATCACATAAAACAAAGCTAAAAGATTCGTTGATCATTTTTTTGAAAGAAGCCTCTCTGTTTAGCTTAAACCTATTCTATTTGGAGTTAATTGCAAAAATGGGACTCGTGGTGGCCGAAACAATCGCCTTTGCCGTCGCCGATGGTTTCGCCTTCGATTTCTCTGGCAAAAAGTATCCCAGGATGCAGAGGACAACCACCAGGACCAACATGGCCCAGAAGATGGGGTCGCAGCTGGCGAAGAGCAGGCGTCCCAGGATATTACTGCCCACCACTGCACCCAGTCGACCCACCATCATGATGAAGCACATTCCCATGGCATTGATGTGGGTGGGATAGAACTCCATGGCGATGGTGCTGACCAGGCCACCGCAGTTGCCGATGGCCATCACGACGGTCAGGGCGACCACCACCAGGGCAAACTGCTCCACGTAGTGCAAAGCCACCAAACAAATCATGGTGAACACCATCCAGGTCACTAAAAAGGAAAAAGAATAATAGGGAGTTATAAATTTAAAATAATTAACTTCATAAAAATTAACAGCTTGATTTTAAAGCAAACAGTGTCTGGCAAAATAATGTTTACATTGTTTGTACATTTATATTAAATAAATATTAACACTAATACGTACAATATTCTTTCGATACTCTCAATAATATACATTTTGTATAATTCGAATTCATTTAGATGTTTTAGATTTAGATTCAAATCAGTCAATACTTTTTTTTGCTTTTATAAGTAAGTGGAAAAATACCAAAGGAGCTAATAGATAAAATATTATATGTTTAAATTGTTCGTATCTATTTTATAAGAAAATATAAACAACGAAATTAACATCATATTATTATGATATTCCAATGTTCAGATTGATCCATTTTGTTTTAATTTTAATTATATATGTTAATATATATTTTATTAATTTAAAATACCTAATACTTAATACTCACTCAACAGATTCTTCTTGCCCATGTAGTCGATGATGAAGGCAAACAGCAGGTAGATCATCACGAAACAGGCACCGATGATGATCATCACCTGGTAGGTGGATGTATCCACGGCCACGGAGCAGCTGGTCGACTCACTCGCCGCTCCCGAGTCCACAGTGAAGCCCTGAAGGACTCCGCAGAGCAGAGTATCGTCGCCATTCCGAGTGCCCAACTCATCGAGGATGGTGGGGAACCACATGAAGATGCCCTGGGCCAGGAAATAGATGAGGAACTGGGTGACGCAGATGTTCAGAGTGTGCCACACTCTCGAGCGATGGAAGAGGGGCACGGTTTGGTGCCAAACGAGACGCACTGCGTCCAGGAAGCCATGGACATCGGACAAACTAGCACCGCCACTTTCCAGAGCCACTTCTTTCACAGGATATTCACAGGGATCTCGGCCAGAATTCTGAACGTAGATGGAGCGCAGGATCTCCAGGGACTCGTCGCCACGTCCCTGGACCAGCAGGTATTTCGGGGTCTCAGGAAGAGTGCTGATTCCCAGGAGAGCCAGCAGGGAAACGGAGACGTTCGCCAGGATCAAAACGCGCCAGGATGAGAAGCGCATTCCAAGGACAATGGTCTCGATGCGCAGCGGTAAAATTCCAATTGCCATGGCTGTAAAAATATATTTTTAAATAAATATGAGTATACAGATATATATGTGGGGAATAGCGCAGCCCTTTAAATCAAAACAACGTAAGCAAATATAGGAAAACCCTAAACTAACACGGCGTATGCGTAATGTTATCCAATAAAAACAAGTATACGACAAGTCATCCAGAATAAACACTACATCACAACACGGCGTATGATTAAAAAACAAACTTTACAAAGGTTTTAAAGATATTAAACCATAAATTATAATCTCTTTGCAAGGGTATAAAAAGTAGTATTTCAAGTTTTTTGCCTTATATGACTAAAATCTTAAATGAGTTGTATTTTCTATACAGTGAAAAAATAACGAAAAAGCGAAAAATATGTTCAAAAATTTGTTTTGTTTTTTGTGTAAAAAGAAGATTAAAAAACCTGATAAACAAGTAATACATTTATTAGGAAAATATTCGCAGAACTTTTATGTTTATTATATATATTCTCGTATTATCTATTCAAGAGTGAAAAAACTACAAATGCTCTATGCCAAACTGCAGACACTCAACTTTCTACTTAGACAAACAACAAGTGAGTACACAGCATTCCCTCGAATACTATTATCTGATGAAATAAACAAATTAAAAGGCACTCACCTGGTGCAAAAATCATGGCCATGCAGAGGAATCCGGAGAGCAGGGTGACGTGTCTGACCCTCGAGCCGTTGCCGTGGAACTCGCCGCACAAACTGAAGACGCACGCCTGTCCGCCGGAAATGAAGAATCCGGTGAGGAACCGGAAGACGATCAGCATCCAGATGTTCACCGAGAACCCCGAAACGATCGAGCAAACGGAACTGAGGCACAGAGCGTACTTCAAGGTGGTGGCTCGACCCCAAGTGTCAGCCAGGAATCCCATGGCATGGGAACTCAGGACGACGCCCAGGAATCCGGCGGAGGCCAGGATGCCCTGCTGGTCCAGCGTCGGCTGGAGGTCGCACTTCATCTGGTTCATGATCAGGCTCACGCCCATGATCTCCACCATCACGCCCATGAAGCAGAGTCCGCAGATGAGGAGCAGCTTGTAGTGGAACCATCCCACGCCCGTCAGCGTGATGGCCTCCTCGAAACTGTGCGGCCGGGGCTTCTCCTGGCGGTTCTCCTCGCGTCCAACACCGATTTCTACACCAGGAAAAAAGAAAAAAAAAGGTTAATAATAAAAAAAAAAGATTTTGAAAAACGATCAACAATTGTAGAAGATATAGCGACAACAAAAAAATATCAATAATAACACAATTAAAAAATATATAAGAAATTATTTTTCAACAAATTTGTATGTTTCAATTTATGATTTTTTCCAGTGAATCCGTCAATGAGAATCAGTCAATTAAAGTCACTAAATGGGAAACCCTAGAGTTTATGGAATAACTTAACTGCCCCATAAGTATCTCGATTTCCATTCAATCCGAACTCAGTTGCCACTTAATCATGGCCTCAGCTGCGGTGGAAAAATCGGAGGATCCGGAGGCGAAGGACGATGTTACCCTGCCCAAGGAGCAACCACCTCCAGCGTTCTTCGAAACGAAGACCTTCCGGATAATCTCGATTTTTCTGTATCTGGGAGGGATCAGTGGATTGGGCATGGTGCTGGCCTTATACTATCTTATCTTCTTCGACTCCGAAATGCCGGAGATCCACCTCAAGTTCCCCGTCTCCATTGGCGGCCATCCGGTGCAGAAGTTGCACGACTACCAGTGACCTATTCGGTTGGTGAGTACTTCCACCTATTCATATACACATCTAAATATATATGGGTATATATAAATGTGAAGAAGAGGGTCGGAGGGCAGGCCACTGCTAATTGGATTGGGAAATGCTGGCAAAGGCGGGGAAAGAATGCGCCAGTGGAATGCTCGACTAGTTAATGCCCTTGGAAAATAGTTCATAGCCCTATTTTCACTCAATATTTACCATTGTATACTTACAGCTACAAAATAATACATTTATACTACATACACTTAATTAAAAGCTGATCGAAAACATATACCCCCATGTTTAATTCGCTTGTATCCTTAATCAATGCATTTTTCTGCATAAATTAACAAACATTAACACCCATTTGAATTTTGTAAGATATATGAAAATCGATATTTGGTTCACATAAACACATGTGCAAAAGGATTTTAATAAAACAACACCTGATTATAGGGAAATAAACTGAAATCAAGATCTGGAAACTTAGATGAATGACTATACCCCTCGTCTCGGACTTTTGGGTCCACTTGCATTTCCCTGGCCAAACATGAATATAGATTCTGCAAACGTGAAGCGACAGTGATGAGGAGGAGTGAAGTGAAGTGGCTCGGAATCGGAATCTGAATCGGAATTGTGGGAGTGACGACGGGTTGGCGGGAAATCAAACCGGGTCAAGTGGTCCGCCCAAGAACGCAGCACGTGATGCGTTTCTAGTTGGTTCTGGTTACACTACTGTGGCATGGCGGTATTGCTACTGATACCAGGGGTACAACTACTCGTAGTGCCGCCGGCGAATCTTATTAGCGTGGCCCCCAAGACGATGCCCCCGGTCGCCAGCCGCCCCCCAAAGAAACCGCAAAAAACAGTCAAGCGGAATGCGAAAACAAATATAGAAAAAAAAAACACAAATACAAGAAGAAAAAAAAACAAATACAAATCGAAACAGAAGACCTGATCCCCGGACAGTCGTAGCACTCGCTCAATTGTGTTCAGTTCGTTCGAAGAGGCGGTGGTCACGCTTTCGACTTGCACCCTATTTTTTCAAGTGATATTTCGATTATTTTCGGAAGTGAATCCAGAAGAAATGAGCGGACAACCGGGCTTAATGGCGAACCTGGCCGATGTGGTCAAGGAGGCCAAGGATGAGGAGATCCAGATGCCCAAGTCGAACGACTTCTTCGAGTCGAAGACCTTCCGCCTCCTCACCTTGATGCTCTACATGGGCGGGGTGAGCGGAATGGGCCTGACTCTGGCGGTCTACTACCTGTTCATCTGGGACTCCCGCATGCCGCCGCTGCCCGTTTTCAAGCACACGCATCCGATTGGCTAGGATTCGGATTCGGATTTGGATTTGGATTCCCCTCCCCCCAAAGCCACAAATCGCACGCAGCCAGCACGCTCCCATCGACATCAGTGACCAGATTGGGTGAGTGACCACGTCGCACTGACCACTGCAAACCTTCCGAATTCGCTGGCTATTCGCCAGTGCTGGCACTTTGGCTACTGCTTTATTAAGTAGGGATTATCGTAGACTCAACAAATCCCGCGTTGTATAAAACAAATACGGAAAAATGTGGAGATTTGTAAACATGTGTAAATGGGGAACAGTATCGCCTTAAATATGGATGAGAATTGCAAATCTAACAAATAAGGCCAACAAATATGCAACAAAATATGCAAATTTAGTTGTACCTTTGGTTTTAGAAAATACTACTTAAATTATTTTGCACAATCACGAAAAATAATTTGCAAAAGACTACGTTTGTAGGATTTCTTAATTGTGATGTTACCTGTGAAAATATTTTTTAGTAATCAAAATTTATAAAGTCAGCCTAAGAGCAGACTTCTCATGCATTAATAACATTTTGCCATTTCAACTAGAGTACACCACTTGAATTCCCTTTGTCGAAAACATTTTTAAGCCAATGGTTTGTTGAGTTTTACTTCAGCGGTTGATTTCCCCACCGCAGATCGGGGTTTTTCCTTTGCCAACGAAAAACAAAATAAAATGTCAACACTGTTGTGGATTGGCTTTTGTGGGCGGCAGTGGCTTAATTAGCCCCCGTGGCCGATATCAAAAGTTGACAGCCAGGCACAAAACTAATCCGCTTTGCTACGTGCCACTAAATCGCAGAGTTGAAAGCACCTATTCGCATTTGTTTTATCCCCGCCATTGCGTATGGCGTCAGCCGAGTGATTTTGATTTAATCGTGGTGGCGACATCAAAATCAGTAGCTGCCACATCGCCAAGTGGACTGCCACGGCTAGTAATTTATAAACACAATCAAATATCCGTAATGTCGGCGGCACCGGAAACCGCCAAAGTTGGCCTGGGAAATGCGACCAGTATGGCGAACTTGGCCAAAATCGTCAATCTGATCGAAACGAGTGCGAGTGCGAGGGCGGAGGAGGAGGATAGGGATAAGGAGAAGGGCCAGGAGGAGCGGGCCAGGGGATCCGCCGGAAGTGGAGGGACCCCAAGTGGCAGCAGTGTTCGCCTGGCCAGCAGCAGTGCCCCGCGAAGAAGTGCCTGTGCCACATCGTATGTGCCGAAGTCACCGCAATTGGAGGAGATTGTCTTCGCCGAACCCACTTGCACTGAGAAATTCGCACGCTACTTTGTCATCGTTATCTACCTGTGTGGACTCTGCTCCCTGGGATTCTTCCTGTCCATCTACCACATCTTCTTCTGGGACTCACGCATGCCGCCCGTCTACAAGGGCCAAAAGAAAGCACCCGCCTTTGGCTAAATCTGCCCACTGAATTCATTACACTAATCACAACTAAGCAAGTCGTAATTTCATTTTTGGTAAGCCAAAAAAATAAGAAAATTTAGGTTCTTAAAAGAAAGGAATACCACAAATTGTTCGCCCTTTCAACGTTCTTTAGATACTCTTCGGAAAATCCAAGTAAAATTTATTTTCTTGCATACATGGCGTATGAGTAACCTAAAAGGACATTACGCATACGCAAAGTGGTTCGGAAAAAATACAATTTTAAATAATGTTAAGTTATGGAAAGAAAATTGAAAGCTATAAATAAATCTGTTCCTAAATTCATTTTGGGGCCTACTTGTCGTACGAGGCGTATGCTTAATATTAAGGGCCACACATTACTCATACGCACCGTTCGCTTCGGAGAGCAATTAAATTTTAATTACATTGTAATTACAGAGGCGTAGAGGTTTGATCTCAAGAAAGGCAGCTCCATGAAATTCTCAAGCGCATTCCTGCTGCGAATATTCCAGTTTAATTACAAATATTGCCCATTGCACCGAATAATATGACGCCCATATTTACCAGGCATACACTCAATTACTAAAGTCATACCATTAGTTCTTATTAAGTTTATATATGGCGGCCGTCTCGTCCTCCTCGGCTGGCCTGAAAACTTTTTGCCCCACCAAACTTTAAGTTTAATTATGTGTATCCAACTCTGTATCATGTATGTGTATGGTGGGTAACTTTCCCCGTTGCAAGTTGCCATAGCCATTGCCCCCTTAGGTTATTCCTTCGTTCCGGCTGCCCGAGCTGCTTAATCAGCTTTGTCTGCACATAAGTAAGCAGATGGATAAACCATCCTTAAACTTGGCTGGGCTGGCGGGGAAAATGGCTGCAGGGCAAACGGAAATGCGAAGTGGAAAATGGGAAATGCAATAGGCCGGGCCCAAAACATTTTCGAGGCCAGCACAGCCAGATGAACGATGGGCGTGGATGGCTTCACCTGGCTACGTTGGCGATTTAAACTCCTTGAAGGAAACTTTGCAACAATGCTGCTTGTAAAATGCCTGGGCGATAGTGGGTGTGTGGCCTACATCCTGGCCCACATGATGAATATGCATTTAAGTGCAAGTACAGTAGAGATTTGGTAGCTCAAGCAAAATACAAATATTATTTTTATTAAAATATAAAAAAATTAAAAACTTTCTTAAAACCTTCCTGAGTTTACAACTCTTTTCTAAAGATAGTTTGTTTTTTGCATTTTGGGCACAATATCCTAGCATACTTTTTGGAAAAAACCGCGTGTTTTACTTTTCGAAGTTTACCTGTACATAAATGTGATTGTGGGTGTGTGACTGGCTATCTCTTTTCTCTTCAGGGTTTGTGTGTGTGTGAAGCTTATACAACAAAATCAATGGCCAACATTGCAATACCGTTCGCTGCGCTTGCCTCCTCTCGTTCGCACGCCTGCAATTCGATTCACCGAGCACTGCATTCGTTCCGCTCTCTCTTTCTCTCTCTCCTGGTGTGCTCTCCTTTCGCTCTCTCCTTAGCTCTCTCGGCTTGTCCTAGTGACCTAGTTGCAGTTTGTTAACCCCCGAAGGCAACGGAAAACGAAGGTGTGCGCGGCGGGTTAAAGGTGTGTGAAGGGGAAAGGGGCCGGGGCGGCGAAAGTTTGGACGTCCTTCGCGACACCTGCGAAGGTTGCTGTCAAAGCCAGCAACGCACGCCCATCGCCAACCGCACCCCCACCGAAAATTGCACAACATTTGCGTTTCGAAAAATGCCATAATTTGCAAACATTGATTGGCATTGAAATCATTGCAATAGTGAAAATTAATTCAAGCGCGCATTTTAATTTCCGCATATGAGTCAGCGGGGGCATGGGGGTTAAGCGGTGAGGAGACGCTGGATGGTTAAGGGAGTGGCGGAGATAGCGGGGAAATGGAAACTGCACTTGACACACAAAGAGCGGCAACGTGCCGACGTGCGGTTTGTTTTTGTTTCTGCACTGCGTTTTTGTTTTTATTTTGCTTTCAAAGAAATGCCGAAAAAAAAACATAAGAAAGAAAAGCAGCAACATCAGCTAGCGTGGGCAGCCGAAAATGTAAATGAGCCAGAGCGAGAGAGATGGATTTTATGAATGAAATTAAAAGCGAAGATCGCTAATGCAATGAGGCAAACTTTCCAAGCCGAAGTTCCCAACGAAGCGAAGGGAAAGGAGCCAGAAAAGAGAGAGTCGTTCCTCGCACGAAGGAGAAAAGAAAAGACACGAAGGCGAAAAAACGGCACAAAACTCCTGGCAGCCTCTCTCTATGCTCTCATTTCGCTTGCACACGTTCGACGCGTCGGTTGGCAGACAAGTTTTTGCGCGCTCTTTTTTTGTACTTTTAAGCACGCCACGCATAAACAATAATAAATAAAATAAAAGTTAAATATTATTAAACATAAATACAAAAAAATAAAAAACAAACAAAATAAACCAAAGAAGGTGGCAAGCTAAAAACCAAAAGAACATTGCATTTATCAACCAAAATAAATACTAGACTATTATAACGGGACACTGCCAAAAACAAAAAGGAAAAAGGCAACTGCAACTGTAACCAAAATCAAGAAGAGGCATTTCTGAACATATCTAACAATCAAAATTCAAGATCGAACCGAATCAAAAATGAACTCGAAACACAGTTCGCTGGAGGAGAAAGTGAAACTGCCGCCCACGGAGACAATAAGCCGCTGCTACCAACCGCAGCAAAGCAACCGCAAGGTCATCCGCATCCTGACCGTCGCCGTCTATGTCCTTTGCGTTTCACTGGCGGCCATCATGCTCTCGCTGTACTACATCTTCATCTGGGACCCCACCATCCGCCCCTTTGTCACCAAGGCCACGCACTGCGGTAAGGCATTCACTCGTTTTTGGGGGTAATCAGCCGGGTAATCAACCGGGTAATCACTACACCTTTCGGGGGAAAACTACTGCTAACCGATGACCAGTAACCAAAAGCACCCAAAAAACCAGAAACCAATCACGGGACGGACATTTGCGGCCAGCGGTCAATCTGGGACAAAGCGGGAATCTAGGCTACGAGAGTTAAGAGCCAGTGGCATTGGGGCTTTGAACGGGGTTCCGATTGGGGTTGGGCTAACCATTAGCCGTTAGCCATTACCGATGGGCTTGGATGGCTGGTAGTACGATGTTGACCCTTTTTTAGCTGCAAAATAAAGTGCTTTTAAGGAAGAGTGCACACTGATGAAACAGTTGAACTATTAAATATACATTTCGATTAAAAAGCATGGTGGTTATAAAAATCTCACTACACCCAAGGAACGCACACCAAATTGTAGAAATTCTCAAATTTAAATCCAATTTATGTCCAACAACTGAAGAATGTAAAATATTTTGTTATTAAAAAAAACAAGGCTCCATAAAATTCTCCGGGTTTCAGATTAAGTATTTCGACTTAGCTAACTAAAGGAAGAATCAGCGATTGCATATTCATTATAAATTCTACAGTAAAGATAAGTATCTAAAACATCTAATGATCAGGAATTCCGAAAAAATCACTGGTCACAATCGTTTAAAAAGTTCCAGAAAGTTTTCTGTGATAATTTACACTTTTTTCTGGGAAAATACTATTGCATACCTATTGGCCATTTCTAATTAATAATTAATTTCATATTCAATGCAAATTCATCTTTAAAGAAAATGCCACCGATTTCTTATAAAGTTATCTGAATTGGCAACACTTTCCCAGAAAGGACGTTAAAAAGCCGCCCACATTGTTTCACTCACTTCGGCTTTAGCTCGTTCCGCTTTCATCCTTCCTTTGCTTCTTGGCTTTTTGTTCAGTTTTTGTAAATCAACTCGAAATTGGGTCAATGGGGTGTCATGCACACGACTACACCCAATCCAAGCAACCAACCAACCAACCGACCAACCAACCAACCACCCACCGCCCAAAACACGCTGGGGTGCAATTTTCCTTGCTGTACTTTCCATTTGCAGTTTGCAGTTCAATAAATCTAATTTGATGCAATTAAATACAGAATCTGGAAGCTTAATGAAAGTTATACGGCAAGCAAATTGGAATTTATGGCAGCGAAGAAGCAAATTGCCAGAGCAAAATGTAAGGTAATATTCTTAATATCCGCCTTCAAAGTTTCTGCCCCTCGAAAGGCGGTGTTTTTTTCTTCTTGTTGCTCTTATTTAAAATTTGATTAACCGCCTGCATAACAAGGCAGAACTGCTTACAAGGATAGGCAAAAACGGAAAAGTTTGAGGGAAACAAATAAAATGGGAAAGTCGTGCAAGGACGGGTAAAATTGCACTTGCTAGGCAGAAAAGTATAAATAATTAGGGCTTTAATAATGAGTTTCCCTTGTGGTTGGAAATGGAACTTAATTATTTATGCGAAATAGTAATATACGAATCCATCGGTAATGATATTGGTCAGTGAGCCATAGTACATTTTATTGGGAGAAATATGTATATCTAAAATTTCATATTTTTACTATGTTTAATAAGGTGTTTTTTTTTTAATAAAATCTTCAATCAATTTTATTCTTTAACACTATTTAAAACGTATTTAAGGTTGAAAAGCTTTTGTTAATAATTAACCAAACTTTATGTATCTCTTTAACAATTGTTATTTTTTCAAAACTGTATCTAATAAAATCACATTTTCTTTGCAGATAAAATTGTGATACCCGAAAAAATAGCCATTCGCCTCCTGAACTCATCGGAAGTGACCGCGGAGCAGTTCTACAAGCACATCCTCGAGCAGTACCGCATCCTTAGTCACATGCAGCAGCAGCGCCAGCAGATCCTGCAGCGACAACACCTTCAGCTGCAACAGTTGGAGGCGAACAATCGCTTCCAGGAGGTCTTTGCCACGGCGACCATTATCCAGGCCCATCCGCATCCCCATCCGCATCCCCGAGAGCCGCCGAAAAAGCCACTTTTAGGACCCTACACCCCGATCCCAGGCAACACAAGTCATAACGTTCAGTTGGGTGGCAATTTGGAAACCGATCCGGATCCGGCTCATCTGCCCCTGCTTTTGGACACCTCGCCGCCGGCCGAAGTGACCGGAATGGGTCACTTGAAGCGCAAGACACACCGGAGTCACTACAAACACCACAGAGCCCGAACTGGTGGCCAGAAGAAGCTCTCCGTTGCCAATTCGGTTGCCAATGCAATGGGTGGCAGTTCAACGCCGAGCACAACGAGCGGTGGACAAGGAGGAGATGCATCGCTGGCGGCCACAGCGGCCACATTGCCACATGGCTACATGGATACCCCACTGAATCCGGCGGCAGGAACAATTGTGCAGCCACCGCAGCTGCAGCTGTACACCTCGATGCCCATTCCGCTGATCCTGAGTCCCAGCGAGGAGAAACGACCATCGCACCACGCCCACGGACATGCACATGGCGATCGGCGGGGAGGAGCGCAGTCCGGCGGACGACGAAGGACCACGACGGCCTCGGTTTCCGGATACGAGGCACAGACCTACCTCAATCCATTCCTCACCGGCGAGCTGATCTTCGAGAAGTAAGGGATTGATCAAAACGAACGGGTAGGCCACGTTTTTTTTTTTGTAAGGCAATGTAGAGGGATGATACACTAAAGCCAAGATCGGAAATGGAGATAAGCTCACAAGGTAACCCTTCCCAACAAAAAAAAAGAATGAAAAACAAAAAGGGGGAAGCATTACCTTCCATACCTGATCATACCTATATCAATGGAGAAATGTTTAGACGGGCAGCACTACTCACAATAATTCAGTTTAGCTCAGTACTGGCGATAAGCTATATATATATTAAACAGTTAGCCAAAGGTAAACACTTCAATAAAACTTGGTTAAGCTGTTTTAGTGGGTTTTTAAATCAAAAGCAAGGTTATACATTTCATAAAAAAATAATATACGTTAACAATTAGAGAAATTTTAAGAGTTATGTACCAAAGAATTGAATGCAAAAGTTTTAATCGTTTAATCTATAGTGTAATGTTTTTAATTAAGCAAACCGAGCGGGTCTGATGTACAACTAATTTCAGCTACGGTTAAAAGACTTGACTTACGTCAGTACTGAGCTACAAATTGGTCAATATATAGAGGTTAATAAACGTTATGTACTGCAAAAGGTTAGTTGAAACCATAGCTAAACGATAGTCGATGTACCAAAAAAAAAAAAAAAAAAACACAACCACACAAAAACCACGAAACCACTCAACAACACACTCAAAAGGAACACACGCATAATACGGGACCCACTTCAGTAGAAAGTCACTCGATATCAGCGATTACGGATCACGGAATCACGGATCACGAATCAAGGATCACGGATCACGGATCACAGATCACACAGGCGGCTCACCTCACCAAGCTCAGCAGCAAACTCACCCCACCTAGGACACTGCTTCCAGGCAGCTAGCGAACGCTGCACCAACTACAATAATTAGCCAACCCTAGAGTAACCAGTTTACCAGATTACCGATTACCGATTACCAGTAACCAATTACCAGTAACCCATCCACGGAGTATATCCCCCGGAACGGGGAAGCGGATAAATGTCACTATATTTCAGCATCAGAAACGAATCACACACTCACTCACTTCAAAAGTCATCTCAGCGGAGGGAATTATGCTAGGATGTGTCACGTTCAGATATCGGTTATAACCTTATCTTTATTTCACTACTACTATTTCTTGGATTTTAAATATTATTCCTGTTTTAATAAGAAATCTTTACAAAGTCACCTAGCTTCTAAATTGTTACTTTTTACTACCTGTAAAAATGAATTATCTTATGAGAAGAAGCCTCTTTACTTTATCAGTCACTATTCAAATGTTTAACAAGAGATTCGTAAATCATGGTGGTCTATAAACCATTAGCTGACGCATTACTTATAGGCACTTTGCTCCACAAGATAAAACTAGGCGTGCTAAAGAATTCAAAAAACGAATATTTAGTTATATATAAGGTATATAACCGATGTGTGAAGCGTGACATTTTGTCGGTCTATTCACATACTCAACACTAAATGCAAACCTATCAAAAACCAAATACACTAAGCGAAAAAGCGGGAACGATAGTAGGAGAAAGAGGAGGGAAAGAGAGATATAAAGAAACTGCATCTGCATCGAAAGACACGAGAATTGAATTCATCAATAATAACATACGTATAAACGATATGCATACGATATAGAATTGAATCTGTAACTGATGGGCATATACCGCATATATATCTTATATACCGCATATATCTTATATATGTATACCAAGAAAAACAAAGTCATTTTGGCAATAATAAAGCATAGCAAACAAAAAACAAGTTACGTTAAGTGTTTTATTACTGGGTAATGTAAATTACAAGTATAACTGCATGAAATAATTGAATCCAAGATCACCCGCAAATTTCACATTCATAATTTTATATCACGATGAATCTCACTTTTATAGGTTTCTCTTAACAAAATAATCACTCGTTTTTGCAACACAAATAAAAAATATATGTTATACCATGCCATTATCTTTGGGTTTTCTAGAAAATATTGAGGCATTTCACAACTTTAAATAATATCCTTTAACTAGATTGCTGCATCTTTCGTTTTATCATCCACTTTTTTTTGTGACTCACCGAACTCGCGCTCGCAATCTATCACATAAGCGGGATTATCCATGGTGTCCTTGATCTTCCCGTCGGGATGTGGATAGATGGGATGCGGAGATGTTGCGGCTGGCGGCACTGTTCACGGCCAACTGACGAGCTCCGCGGCACTGGGGACTTAAAAGTACGCCCGAGTATCTTTTTGCGCGGGTACGTGCTTCAAAGTCCGATCGCAATTGCGTTCTGTGAAGCTTTCTACGGTAACAGAACCGTAAAACCCCGAACCGGAGATATCCGCACCAAAAATAAATGCTATATAACCGCACCATCGCCCGCAATCTGCAAGTCAGTATCGTGGTGTAAAAGTTTTCTGGTTGACTGGATAAGCGAGATGAAGAACCGGTGATAAGGCGGGCAATCCCACTATTGTCTTCCTGAAACCAACCGATCGTAAAGGGAATTACGTTGGACCTGGTAAGAACCCCCTGGGGACTGGATGTCTAAAGAGCACGGGATTCTAGAAGCGATCTTCCCGAAGCATGGCAACCATTTCGGTTGGTAAGGTGAGCTAAATTATTATATTAAGTGAAGTACTTATCTGATTTAGTGATAAGTCATGTTTTGTCAGGTGTAAGTCAGGTTAAATAAACGTGAATATGTTGGCTTCTTAATTAAAAAGCAAAGATAACGCACTTTTTGTTCAACCACTCAAGATCCTTTTCACTTATGCCGCATAAACTTTGACAAATTATAAAAAAATAGTTCTGCTTGAGGTAAGTTCAAATACTTTATTGATATTCTCAGCAATCATATCTTTTTTGTACTGTACGAGGCAATGAAAACATGAAGTCATAGTTTTAGACACCTTTATTGGAGGTTTCAGAGATGTTATTTTACAAAATGACTGGTCAACACTAGGAAATAATTAAAATTAAAACCGAAATCACTAAATTATAGGTATATCGTTAAATGACAGTAATTCTACTCTTTAGTTCAGTCTAATGAAAACGCAAACTTCAATAATAGACCATGGCTGATTTTTGAAGAGACATTTTATTTAACAACTACATTAACGCCAAGATGAAATCAATTCGATTGATGGCCGAGATCGATATTGATATTCTCTTCTCATATTGTCTGGCGATCCAACGCACGTCATCTGCACTCGAATGGTCCAGAATCCCTGGCGATCCGCACTGTGGGCCTGTGTGTGCCATAATTTATGGCCAAGTCACTCCCAGCTGGAGTGGCCCATAAAGATAGGCCCCCAAGACGCGACAGGTTGATCCCGGGCCATAAACGCACTCGTAAAGGGATCCAGGTGGAAATCTAGGCGGAAAACACACGTATCTATTGGCTGTAAAACATTTAAACTGATGCTTTATGCATTGGTAAACACACGAGACAGCAATAGCCAAATGCGGCTCTCTCTTTCTTAGCCATTTTGGGGAATTTGGTTTCTTATTTCGCTCACTTTGTTGGTTTCTGTTTTTGTTCTTTACATATCAACGTTTATTTAGAAAATCTCCTTTTCCATAGTCTAGGTTCATTATAGTTGGCGTTCACGCTGCGAAACGGCACAGTAGATATACAGTACGATGCTCACACGCCCAAGTGTCGTGCTTCTTATGGCCAAGATCAACGAACCGCGATCCACCACCTGCGATCTGCGATCTGCGATCCTCAATCAGCGTTTATGGCCCTGCCTTTGAACTCTCACTCCACTTTTTTGTTTGCGGTGCGCTTAACTTATAGGAAAAAAATATATATATGTAAAACAATAAACTTATAACAAAACATATTGCAGGGAGTCGAGTGATCGCGCAGGTGAGGATCATTCCGCTGGTGAGGATCGCAGGGATTGAGCCCAAGCGGATTCGCAGTCGCATCGGATTCGTACATACAAATACATACAAATTTTGAATGGAAGAGTGAAAGACAGTGGTCGCTGCGGTGCTGCGTGGAGTGCTTATTTGGATGCGCCGGAAAGTCAATAGGTCATACACACACACACACACACACAAATTCGATCTCCACTTTCTTATTTAGAACTGAAACGGCGGCGTATCTCGGCAGGTGTGCGATCCCATCGGCGTGATGACCACGTGCAGGGTCAGTGTGTTCCGTGCGGTGCCCGTTAAGTGTGGACTCAAGTACGGTGACGTGTGCTCCAGCTCCTCGTACGGCAGCAGGTTGTCCAGGTTGATCACGCGCGACGTATCCGAGAAGTACTCCGTGCGCTCCACCACCGTGCGGATGTGCATTATCTGGTTCTGCACGCCGACGATCAGCACGGCGATCTGAGGATATAAATAAAATTAAAAAGAGATTCTTTAAAGCCTGTCCTTTTCCAAAATGGAAATGGAAAATGGATTTGCAGAAAAGTGACCAAGACCCTGCACTTCTAAGTCCACAACTTTATTATTTTCTATCTGATTTTGAAGCGACCTCTAAATGTTTGTAGTTTAACTCTCCAACAAACTGCATCATTTGTTAATTTTTTATTTTTTGATCTTTTATCAAGAAAGGGTTCTGCTCCCATTACAAAGTTCTTTCTATTGCTCTCCATTTTCAAATCGAACCCTTTGTACACAGCTTCTAATATTTCAGTGCAGTTAAATTCCAAAACAACCCAGTAACAAACCAAACTTTCGCTGCTTTTTAAATTTGATCTTTGTTTAAAAATACCACAAATGATAAACATGAGCTTGAAAAGAAGCGCGGCAGAGGTTTAAGTTTTCACGAACAATTTTGTTTCCATATTTATGGAAACCAAGCAAATTAGCTTTTCTTTTGCAGAGATGTTTATATTTACTGAAAACATTACAATGTGATTGCAAGCAAAATGAAATTTTCCTACCGAATTACTATAATAATAAATGATTTACATCCCTCTAGGAATTAAATTATAAACTCACCTTAAAGCGCTCCTCGCCAATATTTTGATGCTTGCAGGTAACCCGTAGGCGCACTGTGTTTAACGAGCAGCCCGGCACGTCCTCGCCCCAGACCATTTTGGCCTTGTTGTACTTGACGCCACGCGGGAAAAACTCAATCTCCCAGGTCATGCAGGGATCTACCAAGTAACAAGAGTAAGCAAATTAATTGGAAAACGTAATACGCACTAATCTAGGAACACCACTTACCGTCCTCCTCAGTCTCAGCGATGTGGCGCTGCGAAAAGAAGCAGGTCACATAGTTCTTGTAGTCCTCGATCGCGTCGAAGTTGTGCACATCGATGTCGACGCTCCAGGTGTCGTTCCAGTAGAGGCGCGGCGTGAACTGCAGCTCACCCGACTCACTGGCTCGCACCTCGCGCACCCGATCCTCCTGCCCCGACTGATAGCTCATCCCGATGGCTATTCGCTCGACGAGGAACTCCTTGTGGTACTCGATCAGCGGGTCCATCAGCAGATGTGACAGCTGGCGCGGCGTCATCATGCCGAATCGGATGTGCGTCACCGTCTGCTCGATCAGCTCCATGAAGCTGCCGCTGGCGGTGGCCTCCATCTGCTCGCGACGATGCAGCAGCCACGTCTGCAGGATGGCAAACAGTTTGTACTCGCTGGTGACAACCAGATCGTTCTGCTGCAGCAGCAGCTGCAGAATGGCCGGGTCCATTTCCACAAAGTCACGCGACTCGGCCACCATCTCGAGGTTCCATTTGAGGAACCGCTTCAGCGTCTCGGTGAGATCGTTGTGGGTGGGCGTGAAGGAGAGCGTGTACTGCAGCCAGGAGACCAAATAGCCACTGGTCGCCGCCTTCGCCACGTGCTTGTTCATGTAGCCCACGCAGAGATCGATCAGGTCGCGCACATTGTACTTGTCGCTCAGCGCCAGCATCGGCATCACCGTCTGCAGGGTGACCTCGATGTGGCCCACGTACAGGTACTTGATGAACTGCGGAAACACCGCCGAGCAGCAGGCCTCCTCGTGCAGCTCAATGACATGCTTGCTGCACTCGTTCCACTCGGGGTTCATCAGCATCACCTGAAAGACGTCGCTGCTGGCGCAGAGGATAACGCGGTGCGCGGGATACTCCTTGCCGTCCACCAGGAGCACTATGTCCGACATCAGCTGCTCGGCGTACAGGTTGGCGATCTTGTTGAGCACACTGTTCGCATCGATCATCTGCAAGGGAAGGAGTTTAATAATAATTATGTATGTATATGTTTGAAAAAATTCCTATTGAAACTCATAAAACGATTTTCAAAGCCATACATAAAATATTAAAGGAAAGCCAAAAACCTAATTGCATTTATACGTAGTTAATATAGTCACAAATGTAGTCACTAAACATTTCCGATTTAATTTAGATGAAATTGAACGCAATTCCGAATGCCAACCAAAGTGTTTTTTCTTATTGGAGTTATTTGCAGTTGTCTTATTTGGTGATTTTAACTAGAACTTTCTAAGATACATATGTATCTTTCGAGAATTGTAAACACATCTTTAAGTCAGCAAATATATCTCTGGAACCATTTTTTGGAAATGTCTTCGTTTGCTTGGCCATTTCAGGAAAACATGGAAAACCTCTGGGAACTAAGGCAATTTACCCACCGTGCTGGCTCCATCCTGAGCTTCCTCAGATTCGCGGCACTTGCGCCGCTTCGCCTCTTGATCCTCGTTGGTGTTGGCGCAATTCGCAGGGTTTTCCGACGTGCTGGCGCTGGTTCCATTTGGATGTCCTGTAGGATTGGCCGCTCCGTCGCCAGCAGCACCGCCACCTGCTGCTCCTCCAGCCGCCTCACCAGGCTGATCAGCTGCCGCTGCAGGGCCTCCTCCTCCTCCGGGACCTCCCCCTCCAGCTCCTGCTGCACCTGCACCAGCAGCTGCTCCTCCATGTGCAGCACCTCCCAGTCCTCCGGAGACGGGCGCTGCTCCTCCGCCGCCGCCGCTCCCATTGGCATTCATCGGGAATCGGGGATATCGGGGATCGGATATCGACTGGACCCCGTTTCGGGATTCGCACTGCACTGGCAACTCGCTCAAGGACACTCTAGAGGACCGCTCTGTCAACACGAGCCAAAGACATGGACATGGCAAAAAGTCTCAGATGAAAACAAAATTGAGCTAGAGCTGGTAGCCAGCCGATTAATACAACCGATTTACGATATTCTTTGTTTTCGACAGTGGCACTCGACTCTCGGCACGATAATCGATTACAGAGATGGCGCGCTTCGGAAATTTAAAATTCAAAATGATAAGGGGTTTGCCTTAGGTTTGAAGGATTGCGGAAAGGTTACCCAATACTGAATTTCCACAATTTTCACAACTTTCATCCGATTCCAAAGTGCCATCCCTTTAAACATTTTACGACCCATTTTAATGATAATAACAATATTAATTTCTAAGTATATATTCCAGGTTAGTTAATATTGCTGGTTCTTGTACGCTATTATAAATTAGAGTACTCAAACATTGCTTTAAAAAATATATTTGTACGGAAAATCCCCGAATATTGGGGATTTTTTGTTAGTACATCGAATGCTTGTGCTTCACAAACAATATAATGAGTACAACATATGCTCCACTACATCTCACAAATTTAACCATTGAAAGTATTTCATTAGCAAACAAAACACTTTAAAGTTTAAAGCACTGGCTCATGTTTTCCAATTGATATTTATTTGTATTGTTCTGACAATTTTTCCTAAGGATGACTTAAAAGTAGCCTACCGACCACAAAGTGATTTAGAAATTGGAAATAAAGTTCGCTAAATGGCATTGTTCGTTCACACAGTCCTGTGTCCCATTGAAGTAAATACTAAAAACATAAAAAAACATGGAACCAAACTCAGCTGGCGAAGAGGAGGACGAAAACTTGAACACAGCGGGGGAACAAAGATCACAAGTGATGAATGACTTATCGAATCCAGCTAGCATGTTGTCTTTTTGGGTGTTTTTGTTGTTGTTGTTGTTCTTGATAACAATAGTTTAAATGCGGGCTCCTCACAGAGGCTTCTGCTGGTACATATTTTGAAGAGAAAACATTGCGATTACAATTAGTTTGGCGGGCGTGTTTGTTTGTTCATTCGACTGCTGCTGATATCCCCGGGCTCTGAACGTCCTGCGGACTTAGAGCTCGTCGTGAGCCAGGAACTTCTTTAGGTAGGCCTGCAGCTCCGGCAGCGAGCGACTGCCCTCGTATTCGTTTTGTCGCTTGCCGTTCTTGTAGAGGAAGAGCGTCGGGTAGCCCTCCACTTGCTGGTCAACGCACACCTGCTTGTTCTCGGGCGCCGTGCAATCGACCTTGGCGATCTTCACGTTGCTCTGCGCCTGGTGCGTCTCCGTGGCCAGCTGCTCCCATGTGGGCTGCAGCTTCTGGCAGTGTCCGCACCACGGCGCGTAGAACTTGATGAAGGCCACACCTTCTGCAATGGCCTCGTCGAACTCCGCCTCGCCGGTAATCTGTTGGGGAATAAGCTTCTTGGCCGCATCCTCCTCGCTGCCTGCCTCCTTCTCATCACCGGCCTTCTCTTCTGCCTGGTCTTCGGCCTTCTCCTCCGTCTTCACTGGTGCTACGCCCACCATCTTCTCCACATAGGTCTTCAGAGTGGAAAGATCTCGGGAGCCCGCATACTTCTCAATCTTCTTGCCATCCTCGATCCACAGCAAAGTGGGATAGCCCTTGACTTCGAAGTCCTGGCAAATGGAGCGGAACTGAGTGCAGTCAATCTTAGAGACGGCCACGCTGGGTTCCTTCACAAGCTCCTTGGCCAGCTCCTCCCAAGTGGGAGCCAGTCGCTAAAAAGGGAGAATAGCTCTTTAGCATACGGAAGAATGAAGGAGCAAAGAGACAACTTGTTACCTGACAATGACTGCACCAGGGAGCAAAGAACTTGACAAAGTGATTGCCGCTGGACACGTGCTTGGCGAAGGTCTCCTCGGTGAGGTCCACCACCTGGCCGAGATTCGGGTTCGCGACCTCCTCGCGCTTGGCCTCGTTCAGATCCGCCTCCGCGGGAGTGCTCAGCTCCTGGTTGATGAAGTCGGTGATGGCGGGCAGATCCCGAGTTCCCTTGAACTTGACTGACTCCGGTTCGCCTTGCTTGAAGAGACGCAGCGTGGGATAGCCGGTGACCTGGTGGGTGGCGCACAGGGAATGGTGCTTGGTGCAGTCCACCTTGGCGATGATCACCTTGGGCTCATCCACGTTCATGATCTCCGCCAGCTGCTCCCAAAGCGGCTGAAGACGCTTGCAGTGCCCGCACCTTAACAAAAAAAGCGAAATGGTTAATTTGATTTTTCACAAAATATGTTTAAGTTGTTAAGCATTTCTGTTACTTAAAACAGGCCATAATTAAAATCTTATACCTTTCTTCATTGCCTACTCATCATTTCCAATCTTATTGAACTCTTAGTATGTATATCACGATTAATTTCTGAAATAAAGACTCTACAAATCGGTCAAATCAAAGCATTTACAAAGCCATATACAAAGGAAGACAAAACAATGAGCTGCGATAAGGCTTTGGGGCTTTGTCCCGAACAAAGAGTTTATCATCGGGGGCTAATGCCAAATCGCAGTTCGAAATTCCCCACTCTCGCCTCACAAATAATTTCTCTCGTTGAGAACTTCCTAGCAACATAATTGAACCTAATCAAATTAGCTCATAGACACTGCGATGGCTTTTGATAAGAGCGGAGCTACTAAAAACTATATTGTAGTGGCCGAAATCTCGAGTATTTAGAGTGTCAATCAAGGGGCAAGGGGGTTCTCCAACAAAGCCCCTTATCAACGAACGTGTGATTCGCCTGGAAGCCATGACGAATCTTCGATTCCACGGATCTTTAGTTTCTTGACCAAATCGGGGGTCACAAATTTATGTCACTCAAGATCTGCAGGTATGGGTGCAAAAATAAATATATACCAAAAAGGCGCCCATAATCGTGTGCAAATCGTTGTCTGCCTATTTAGCATAGAGTTGTGTTCCGGTTTCCACATTCTCGGTATCTAAAATGTATGGGATTTATATTTCGTCATATTTCTTCATAAGCAAATGGTAAAAATGTGCTTCTTCGATGTTACTTTAAATTTGTTAGCTTGAAAAGTAAACTGTATTTGTCCTAAAATTTCAAATTTAAATAGTTTTTTTTTAGAAATTATAGACATTTTTTTTACAATTTAATAATTGACTCAAGGCATTCTTAAATATTATGTTTAAATATAATTGCTGGTAATTGAGAGCCATTGACTTTTAATCTCAAAGATAGTTTTAATTGTTAGTTTTAATGTTGCGAAATAAAGGCGAAATCGGAAACCAGAACACTGACGATTGTTATGTGTGCGTGGCTTGGCCACATAAAATAAACGACCGATGTGGACCGCTGCGATTCGCCGGCAAAAAAGTTGGCCAATTTGGTAAGCATTTATTTTACTCAGGGGAGCGGGCAGCAAAACGAATTGCAACTCACCAGGGTGCAAAGAACTTGACGAAGACATTGCCGCCGGCGACTGCAGTTTCGAAGGTTTCTGGATCCAATTCCACGGCGAATTGCTTGTCCGCTTGCTTGCCGGCGGAGGAGTTGGTGTCCTCCTCCTGGGACGCATGGGCGGTGGGCAGGAGCGGCGAAAGCAGCAGTCCGCAGACCGCCACGGAGAGAATCGACCTGGCCAACATTGTGCACGGAACGTTTTAAGAGATCTAAATGCTGGGAGCACCACGTCCGGATACAAAATAAAATTTCAATACTTCGAAAATTGACTGGTGCTCAATAGAGCTGAAAAAACATCGGTCCACAAACGATGGTATCGATATTTTTGCAGCCCTCATTATCGAAACAGAAGTCTTTCCACAAACCCTGGCGTGTGTCCTTGGTCGCCCCTTTTTTCACCACACTGTTGAACACCACGGTTTCCGACTGTGATCTGGCACCGCTGCAAAGACGTCAATCTGGCAGCTCTCTGCTTCTTAAGTGTATTGGTGCGTGAACAGCGAAAATGGCAAACACAAAAACGAGCGAATCGCACACAGAGACGTAGTTAATTTGGGAGGGGGCTGTGTGCGAAAAAGTAGCTTGTATACCGAATGCTTTATACATACAACACAGCAATGACAGTGAGAGAATCCAACCACTCCGAATACCGCTCTCAAGCGATGGTTTTCAACATTAATCATTATAAATTTGAAATACACTGGGTTTTGTAATTCAAAAAACTGGTTTCGCAAAACCGGGGAAAGCGGGAAAATGCCGCAAACAGATGGGCATCCGCTTCGAGTATCGATGCGATATATCGCACGCATATCGCCGCATCGCACATGCCACGATGCAAGTGTGTGTGTCGTGTGAGCAGCCAGGCGAGTACAGGGAAAAAACGAGCAAGGAAGTTTATTCAGATAGCCGATTTCATGTATACCCTGCGAAGCTCAACTTCTAAGCAGTATCGTTTAAATATCAGTGATGAAGATAAACTGCACAAGGAAAGTAAAAATTGTTGTTGTTTATAAAACAAGCCAATAAAATGTTTATAAATTAAATAACCAAATTGTATAAATAAGAGTTTGAAATCGTAATTTTGTATTCTTCAAATTCAGTAACTTGAGGCAGGTTAAAGATACAAAGCTGAAATTTTTTTCTGGATATGAACTATTCAACTAATTATTTTCTTAAATAAACAATTTACAATATTTTTGGCTGATCGTAGTTCATTTATTAGAAAAAAACAATTTGGAACATTTAAAAAAAAATGAGAACCTGCCTTAAATAGTAATACCCTTCCCAAGGGTATAATGAGCGAATGGCGGGCACAGTAGAGGCAGAAACAGCTAAATTGCAGCTGCTATGTTGCTCGTCGCTCAACGACGACGAATAGGGTAAAAACGGCAAACGACGAATGATGGCGGCAAAGGCAAACGAGAGATAGGTTGAGCTGAGGGGCGTACGCGCGGGGGGATCGAACTTGAGTTGACTGTTAAGTAGGGTTTTTGAAATATCAAGTTGCTGGTCGACCGCGCAGCCTAAACTTTGAGTATCACATGTGTGAGTATGTATAGGTAATTCCTAAGCAAGCAGCTGTTCTTTATAAAGTTAATGCTTAAAATAAAATAAAAAATTTTGAATTTTATTTTATTTTTTTTATATGATAATGAGATTTATGAATTAGGGTCATAAAAAATGTATATTCTTAAGCTGATGAAAGAAATATCGTTGTTAAAAAAAGGAATCTGCAGCTGTCGACTGCAAATCCACTTGTAAATTAAACATTGGTTCTTTGAATTCCACCAACCGCAAACAGCTGATTAATGTTTTTGATTAATATTTAAATGGTCGAATTTAAAGCACTTGACTGCTTGTATGCCAGCTTTTAACCACCCAAGACCATGTGCATTTCTATCGGCGTTCGTGCTGAGCCATAAATAAGTTCACTTCGCGCAAGCAAGACTGAAAAATTCAGCAAACCTGACGCACCCCCTCATGAATAATGGCAAAACGACGCCGCTGCCGCTGGCAACTGGCACAACAAAAGCAGCGAAAGAACAGAGACACGCTTTTAACGCTGTGAAATTCATGAATTTGTGAATACGTGAAGTTAAAATGTTTAGTTTTTTACGCTAAAGATAATATGTTTAGTTTTCAGTTGATTGAAGTAAAAAAAGTTACATCATCATCATATTAATTTCTAAATCACGTATTCAACAAGGAAGGCATACCTTAAAACTTAATAATTTGAGTATCGATAAATTCTGACATGAAAATCAGCAGTATATGCATTGCAAATTGATGGTAAATTTACTATCAACAATTTTATGCAATGCTAGCATATTATGGACTTTTTTAATATTAGTAAACACATGAAACCCGGTTTATGCCCCCGCTTCAGACAGGTTTTCGTGAAACGCCGAGTGGCGCATGAACGCAGCAGCAGCGCCGTCGGCAGAGCCGTGGCAGCACACACAGACGTCGCCGGCAAAACGAAACGCTGAAGGGTGCCAGAGAGATACAGATACATTCGGGCCGCGAGTGCGGGCGAGATAGACACAACTCCTGTTCCCGGTTTCCCGTTTTCCGTTTCGTCATTCCCATTCCAAATTCCCGTCACACGAGTTAGCAGCGCACACACTTCCATCGCACAGCTGCAACTCGCTTCGAGATCCTTTTTGTAGCGTGCTCGCAGCAACATAACCCCTTTTATATTCTGTTGGGTTACCAACGACGCCCCTGCAGGCAGAAAGCAGAAGCAGAAACAGCAGAAGAAGAAGAAGCAGCACGGCACACAGCACAGAGCACAAGCACAGAGGCGAAGCGAAGCAGTGGCAACAGCAACACAGAAAAACAGCAAAGCAGCAAAGCAAAGCATTGGAGTAGTTGTTTGGATGTGGACGGAAAGGAAGACTGGCGGCGACTAACTAAAAGGTATATTTGTTGTTCACCCACTCATCTGCTGGTGTGTGCGTGTGCGCTAGTGAAAAGCTGTTCTCAGCGTTTGCCCCAAAAGTACAAGAAGTACGAAAAAAAAGCATTCGTTTATTAATGCTCGCGTTCGTATTTTTCGAAAACCTAGATGAAAAAGAAATTTTCTGCTGCTGCTGCTGTTGCCTGTATATAAGTGTGTGTTTGTGTGTGTTTTAGTCTCCGTTTCAGTGTGCGTTTTGGCTCTCTTTGGGTGTGCGAGAGCGTGTGTGTGCTTGTTCGTGACTGCACGCGAGTGTGTGTGAGTGTGTTTGTAAGTGTGACTCTGTGTATGGCGGACCAAAAAGAACCCGACGACGACACTGTAAAAATTCGATTTGTGTGTTGTGCACACGGCGGAGGAAGCGAGCAGATTTTTTGGCAAATAGTGAGCGATTATCGGATTGAGTAAATACAACAAACAACAGAGACAACAGCAGCAGCAGCAGCAGCATTAACAGTAATCAATCGAAGTTCCTCCGGATCCCGATCCCCCTTGCATATGTAATCGTAACTGTAAACCTAATTGTGTGCCTCTTCTCTTCCTCTCTCTCTCTTCCTATTCTGCTTCTGCTTCTTCTTGCGCTCTTTTGCTCTCACTCCTGTTCCTCCGCTCGCCGGGGACTCTCGACTCTCCGAATAACAGTACATTGACAGGAGCAGCACGGAGCGGACAGGATAAGGATAAGCGGCCGATAACAGCCAGCAATATATTTGGCACATATATATATTTATATATATATATATATTGCACACAAGCATATATATAGCCAGGCAGCCGGGCACACTTGCGGAGCAGCCAAAAGTCCTGGGCACCAATAAACCAGAAACCAGATAGAGACGACCAGTACCCACCAGCAACCAACCATTAAAAGGCAGCAAACACGACGACGACACATCCTTAGAAGATGTCCAACGGCAAGGCGACGGTCTCGTTCTTTGAGAACGGGAGCACCACACAGTTCGAGTACTGCTACCAGTTGTATCCCCAGGTGCTCAAGCTGAAGGCGGAAAAGCGCTGTAAGAAGCCTCAGGAGTTGATCCGCCTGGACCAGTGGTACCAGAACGAGCTGCCAAAATTGATCAGGGCGCGCGGCAAGGATGCGCATATGGTGTACGATGAGCTCGTCCAGTCGATGAAGTGGAAGCAGTCGCGCGGCAAGTTCTATCCGCAGCTATCCTACTTGGTCAAGGTTAACACACCGCGCGCCGTCATTCAGGAGACGAAGAAGGCCTTCCGAAAACTGCCCAATCTGGAGCAGGCGATCACAGCTTTATCGAACCTCAAGGGTGTCGGCACCACAATGGCCAGTGCCCTGCTGGCCGCCGCAGCTCCCGATTCGGCACCGTTTATGGCCGACGAGTGCCTGATGGCAATACCAGAGATCGAGGGCATCGATTACACCACCAAGGAGTACCTCAACTTCGTCAATCACATCCAGGCTACCGTGGAGCGCCTCAATGCGGAGGTGGGTGGCGACACGCCGCACTGGTCGCCGCATCGCGTGGAGTTGGCCTTGTGGTCGCACTACGTGGCCAACGATCTCAGTCCCGAGATGCTTGACGATATGCCGCCGCCTGGATCTGGAGCAGCCGGCACTGGCACCGGACTCAGCACAAACGGCAGCAGCAGCAAGGTGCTCGACGGCGACGACACCAACGACGGTGTGGCCGTCGACCTGGACGACGAGAGCCAGGGAGCAGGTAAGATTAAGATGCACTTGCACATGCGGTTCGGAATATACACAGCACCCGAGACTCGTAGAAGCAGCAGTTTTCATAATTTTCGATTTTTGTTTGGAGGCAATTGGTCATTACATTCCAATTTTACTTTATAAGACGCCTAGATTTTCATAGATAGGCATTTACTTATTAGTTCGCACCTTAGCAAAAGTTAATAGATCTCTGAGAAGTTCTGTGACACCCCAGACAGCAAACACTGTGTTTCTTTGTGCTTATATTCTGACCGCAGCTCGCCCAGTAAAAACTCTGACCACTGAAGCTTAACCCGATACTTTTTATCCACACAGGCGGTCGCAACACGGCTACGGAATCGGAGACAGAGAACGAGAACACCAATCCGGCTACCCTAACGCCTCTGCAGTCGGGCGAGGCCAAGAACAATAGCACCACAGCTGCCGTGGGCGCCGCACTCCAGGACGGTGACTCCAACTTTGTGTCGAACGATTCCACCTCCCAGGAGCCGATTATTGACGATAACGATGGCACCACACAGACAACGGCCACCACGTCGACGGAGGATGGTGAACCCATAGCCCTGGGCATTGGTTTGGGTGGCACACCGCTCGCCTCGGACTCTGAAAGTAATCAGGAGGCGCCGCCCAAGACTAACAGCCTGACCATCCTGACTCCGACACAGCCCTCGACCCAGAATCAGAATCAGACGCAGGCGCCAAGCCAGCCCCACAAAACTAGCAAGGCGATCACCAACAACGGCCAGGTGGTGGCTCCTTCGGAAGCCGAGGAAGCGGTCACAGCAGCAGCAGTAGCACCACAGCCAGCCAGCAAAGCAACTCCAGTGGCAGCACCAGCAGCAGCAGCGGCCAATGGGAATGGAAACGGCAACGGCGTCTTGGGCGACGAGGATGAGGATGAGGTGGACGAGGAGGAGGACGAGCTGGATGAGGAGGACGAAAACGAGGCGGAGCTAGAGGCTGATGAGAGCAATAGCAGCAACGGCATTGTGCGGGACAGTAAACTGCAGCAGCTGGCGGCGAGTAAGGTGGCGGATGCGGTTTCGCCGGTGGCGTCAGTGGACGCAGATTCAGCGCCAGCAATCGGACAGAAGCGCACGGCCCTGCATTGCGAGATGGAGCTGAACAACGCCGGTGGTGTGGGTGTTGGCGTGGGGGAGAAGTCGCCAGAGCTAAAGAAACTGCGGAGCGAATGAGGCGGTGAGGATGCGATATACGGATACGGATGCGGATGCAGAAACGGGGATCGGTTCGGTTCAGCTCGCCGCGTATCTGGTGGAAAGACATATGTATGTAGTGCAGTTGAGTCGACATAGAGACATAGAGCAACATTACCTACACTTTACCACAACAACATTCAAGAAATTCTACTATTAAGCAACTAATTATACATACATATAATATATTATATATATATATACAACATATAACGAGAAGCAAACACCCAATACACAACACTCATACACACAACACAATACAACTCCACACAAAATCCGACATAACATAACATAACCGATCAGATCAGAGCGGAATATAAGATCCCGATCCAGCAAGCAGAACCACAAACAACATTTCAATAGCATAGGAAGCGCGCCAAGATGATGAATAAGAAGAATCCGATCAAGAATCCGAAGAACAAGCAGCAGCAGTAAAAGAGAGTTCAGAATGCAACGTTAACGTAATATTATAATTGAAACGAAAAGCAAATGCATGAATAGTAACTATAAAACAAGATCAGATGAAAATCGATATTTTTACACAGTCAGAAGGAACATTTAAATATAAAGAAATTTACAAATGCCGCAGTTGCCCACTACATACAAAAAAAAAAAAAAATGAAAAAAAAAAACAAAACAAAATGATTAAGATGGAAAAAACAATAATTATAATAAAACAAAAATAATTTATATACATAAGTATTTAAATTTAATAATAAATCAAAACTTGTCGCATAAACCAAGCCACCACCACCTCACCCCCTCGACCTTCGACCCGCAGCAACTCGCGCTCTCTCTCTCGCACACCAACACACAGCACACACACAACACACACTCTGAAAAAACAAAACAAAAACAAAACTCATTTCAACACTAAGAAATTTTTGTGGTCGTAATTATAATAATATAATTTATATTTTATGTGTACAACTTTTTTTTAACTTTACATATACTGAATTTTTTATAATTTATACGATAATCACTTTCATTTGATTTTCACGAAAAAAGAAAAGGGAGCGAACATAAGAAATCTGCATCTTATTTGCACCCGACGCATTTCGGCCGATCTCCGGGTGGTTTGGGTTGCCGGTAGCGGGTTGTTTCCGATATTCTCGACCCACACAACCCGCAGATCGATCGAGACTATAAAAACGAAAAAAACAAACACCATCTCAAAATTATAATCATTTTTATTATTAGTAGCATAAGTCCAAATAAAATGTGAAATATTAAGAGAACACGGCATAAAACTGAAAACATCACCGAAACATTTTAAATTCTTGGAACGCTTCAATAAGATTTTGGAACTACGTTTAAAAAGGCGTTACGCCAAGAACTTATCGTTATCGTTGGCAAGAACACGTCAAAGTCTGAAAGTCTGGCAACGCGTGGGTTAGAGGTGAGTATATCAAAATGCTTAGAACGATTGTTCTGGCTCGCAGTAATATTTATTTATATATAGATCACATTTGAATATATATATTTCTTCATTATTTTGGCGTATTGTAATTTGTTTTCGCGAACTTACGCTTGTTTTATACACAAACACCAAATAACTTTCGATAGAAATACGAATCTAACCCATTGTGGATAATAACAAAAAACACACACACATAACACTAAGTAAATAACATTATTTTGTTGGTTAATTTGAACACATTTTAGTTTTTTAGGCGGACGATTTTTATTTCGATTATTATAGAACAACCGATAGAAGCTAGAACCCAAGCAATCGATACTATCGCCGCTGCCATCGATTAGCTGGACAGCACTAATCAAAAGAAAACACAGACCAGAAACATATAGAATAATTTCGCACCTGATTTGACTTTTGCCACGACTGTCCGATCAGCTAATCCCTCCGCCACCTTCCTAGAAGCCGGAGTTTCCATTCGGAGTTCAAGGAATAGTGTGAAGCACGCAACCTCCCACGCATAGTATATATAGATTATATATATAAATCAAAGCGCATCCCCGCCCCCGCCAATCATGTCATTGGATCGCAATGGTCGTTGGCCAGATCGGAGTTAATTGGGATTAGTGGACGCACCAGTGACTATGCGTTGGGAACGAATAGTCCCCGAACTGAAGTCCACATAGAGAAGAATCCCCGGAGTCTCCTGTCCCCCAAGTTCCTCCTTTCCCACAAGCGATTGTGATCGATCCGTGCCCCAGATCCCGGCTATAATCGAGCGGAGAGGAGTGGTGCTGTCATCATGCTGCTGGTGCGACAGCTGTTCGGGGCTTCGGCCAACTCCTGGGCCCGTGCCCTCATCGTCTTCGTCCTGGCCTGGGCCGGATTGGTTTACGTTTTTGTTGTCAAACTGACCAACACGCAGGGCCAACAGGCAGCTGGCGAGAGTGAGCTTAATGCCCGCCGCATCTCACAGGCCCTCCAGATGCTGGAGCACACGCGGCAGCGCAACGAGGAGCTCAAACAGCTAATCGACGAGCTGATGAGGTAGGTGTACACGGTAGAAAGGAGCCAGGAACACAGCCGAGGGCACAACATTAGCACCATAAAAGCCACCCAAAGAAACAGAGTTTATTGCACTTGGAGTTTTTTGAACACTTTTAATACCTGCTGCGCTTAACATTTATTAACAATAAGGAATCATAATTCAATTCAAGTTCATTGCACTCAGAATTAAAGAACTGCACTCACTCGTTAATTCACAAATAAACAGTTAAAATACTTCCTTAAAATAATTAACTACAAGGCTTTCACTATTGAATCGAGTTTATTTCATCCACCTAAAAGACAATTAAATTCTGTAAATACAAAAAACAGCTTTTTATGCGCATGAACAAGTCAAATATTTTAAAATCCTACGTATAACAATTATTTTGTTTAACGTTAAAACACACGTAAGTCTTAAACTATTCAGCGCTATTTATGTCAAGACATCTTTTTAATAAGTGGCATTAGAAATGTAAAATTAAAAAAAATTAACATTAATTAGCAGTTTTAGTTTCAGGTAGATAATAACTGGTTTTTAAGCAATGCAGAATATTTATAGGGCTGCTAAATTAGTGCTGTTACTAATGTTTTTAACTTTTAAGTGACAATCTTGTTTTGATGCAACTTAAAAAGTAATTTTAGAAATTTATAACATGGTATGTGCTATTCAAAAAAACCTAGAGTTATTTTTATACTTAGTAAATTTGTTTATGTGAATCTTTGTACATAGTTTCACAAACATATGGAATTCCCAGAACTGCTATTGCGATAGCCATTGTGTTGGTGATTTGTCAACGGCGTGGCTTATTATGCATGGCACGTCAGCGGAATTACAAGCGATAAGCTGCTTTGCTCACCCAATCCGATCCCCCATTTCTGTTTCAGTGACCAGCTGGACAAGCAGAGCGCCCTCAAATTGGTGCAGAGGTTGGAGAACGATGCTTTGAATCCAAAGCTGGCGGCCGAGGTCGCTGGCCCGGAACCAGAATCCATGTTCGAGTCAGCGCCCGCCGATCTGCGTGGCTGGAATAATGTGCCCGAGGCAGCGCCCAATGATATCCTCGAGGCAGGTGTCTCCGATCATGGCGACTTCGAACCGAGCCTGGAATACGAGTTCACGCGCCGGCGAATCCAGACGAACATCGCCGAGATCTGGAACTTCTTCAGCAGCGAACTGGGCAAAGTGCGCAAGGCGGTGGCCAATGGTCATGCGAACGCCGATCTGGAGGAGTCCATCAACCAGGTGCTGCTCCAGGGTGCCGAGCACAAGCGCTCGCTGCTGAGCGACATGGAGCGGCTGCGCCAGTCCGACGGCTACGAAACCTGGCGCCACAAGGAGGCGCGCGATCTGAGCGATTTGGTGCAGCGGCGATTGCACTATCTGCAGAATCCCAGTGACTGTCAGAATGCTCGCAAGCTGGTCTGCAAGCTCAACAAGGTGCGTAGTTATAGTATAGTTTTATAACTATTTAGTACAGATGTATGCAACATAAGTTCTAAATGCATCTGCACACATCTGAAGTTGTTGCCTCAGCTTCTTTAATCCAATTAACAAATTGTATTTCAACAGGGCTGTGGCTACGGCTGCCAGCTGCACCATGTGGTGTACTGCTTTATCGTGGCCTACGCCACCGAGCGCACGCTCATCCTGAAGTCCCGCGGCTGGCGCTACCACAAGGGCGGCTGGGAGGAGGTGTTCCAGTCGGTGTCCAACAGCTGCCACGATGCGGGCACCGCCAACACGTACAACTGGCCGGGCAAGCCGAACACCCAGGTGCTGGTGCTGCCCATCATCGACTCGCTGATGCCGAGACCACCGTACCTGCCGCTCGCCGTTCCCGAGGATCTGGCGCCGCGTCTAAAGCGCCTGCACGGCGATCCCATCGTCTGGTGGGTGGGCCAGTTCCTTAAGTATTTGCTCCGGCCGCAGTCGACGACGCGGGACTTCCTCACCGCAGGCATGCGCAATTTGGGATGGGAGCGTCCAATCGTGGGGTGAGTTAAATGAGGTTTGGAGCAGGACAAGATTCTGTTGAAGTAGGTACGTTAAGTGCCATTCTGTTCTGTTCTGTTCTGCATTATTGTGCCGATCTGAAATTCACTTTTTTCCAGGGTCCACGTTCGCCGCACTGATAAAGTGGGCACGGAGGCGGCCTGCCACAGCGTGGAGGAGTACATGACGCATGTGGAGGACTACTACCGCACGCTGGAGGTGAACGGCAGCAGTGTGACGCGTCGCATCTTCCTCGCCTCGGACGATGCGCAAGTGATCGAGGAGGCGCGCCGGAAGTACCCACAGTACCAGATCATCGGCGATCCAGAGGTGGCGCGCATGGCGTCCGTATCGACGCGATACACGGACACGGCGCTGAACGGCATCATCCTGGACATCCACTTGCTGTCCATGTCCGATCACCTGGTGTGCACGTTCTCGTCGCAGGTGTGCCGCGTGGCGTACGAGATTATGCAGACAATGTATCCGGATGCGGCGCATCGGTTCAAGTCGCTGGACGACATCTACTACTATGGCGGCCAGAATGCGCACAATCGCCGCGTGGTCATCGCGCACAAGCCGCGCACGCACGAGGATCTGCAGCTGCGGGTCGGCGATCTCGTCTCGGTGGCCGGCAACCACTGGGACGGCAATTCGAAGGGCAAGAACACGCGGACCAACCAGGGCGGCCTGTTCCCCTCGTTCAAGGTGGAGGAGAAGGTGGACACCGCCAAGCTGCCCCTCTATCCGGGTGTTTAGTGGGCCAACGGCTAATGGCTAATTTAGCCGACCAACGGCCATGTTGTTGATTGATCTGTGAATCTTCTACGCCGCATTCCACCTGGAATCTCCACGGTGCACTTCGATTCGGCTTGGATCAGCATCTCCAGTATCTACTGATTGTCCAGAATCTCAAATGTAATCTCTCTCTATCTCGTTTGTATTTTTGTCCGGTCCATTGGGGCTCGTGCTGCTTGTGACTCTTTCTTCGTGTTCTCGTCTTTTACGCACTTTTACGTTCTGGTTCCGATTCCGAATCTCTCTCAGATTCAGCATTTGTACAAGTCTTTTATTAACTAGTAAGTCGAAAGCCGAAGAAATTATGTTGACAAGGATATACATAAATATATATATAAATAAATTATATATAGGAATGCATGTAGGTTCACTAAGCGCAATATAGTCTATCACTTGTAAAATAGTTGAAAAAAAAAAAACAGAAGAGATGAACGCAAAACAAAACTAAATCTGATACATTTCAAGCGTCAATAGAAAAATAAATAAATAGTAATGTTTTAAAATGAAAGTGTGTGTTGTTTCACTATGATGATATGGTTTAAATTTGTGATTTCACTACGTTCTCAAAAGAAATTTAAAATGTGTGCATAAACATTCACTTTTGAACCAGGCAAACAGAGCATTCAGTAGGTGTCAACAATAATTTGTAATTATTTCTTTGCACATTAATTTATTTTAGGACTTAACCAACACCTACTTTAAACTCTGTTCGCCTGGTATCTTAAGTCCGAAATTCGAAATGTGATTATAAAAAATGTTTGCAATTTCGTTCAAATTTAAAAATTTCTTCTTTTTGGTATCAAAACCACAAAAAACTCAACAATTATTCAAGATTAGAACGCTTATTTCATTCATTCGAGGTTCTTTAAATACATTAAACTTATCTCTTGTGCTTTAGAAGACAACTATAGAAACTTATGTTTGCCTGTTAAAAAAATCTTTAAATTTAATTCTATTTTCTTAAAAAAATTAAAAATTGATAACTTTTCACTTAAAAAACGGATGTTTTGGTGATTGCATGAGTAATAATTATTAAAATATAAAATAAAATACAGTGAAATAATCACAACAGGCCAACAATTTAAAGAGCAATTGCCTTGCAATTAAATTTAATTAGAAACATTTTCAGTACTAGCTCTTGGATCAACGACCTTTAAACGTTGTATAGTTGCAACCGAAAATTCATCAATAAAATTTATAAATTTTGAATAATTCAGTACCTGTTTTTCGCGATGGGTTATTGGCGGTTGAAGAACCCAGCGGCGCCGGTGAAAGTGCAAATTGACGTTGCGTGCCCTCGTGATGAGTCAAGTCGACTGACTGGAACCCCATCGAAAACCTCAGGAATTCCACACCAAAAACGAGAAAATTCCCAAAAAAAAAACAAACCGAAACGGGCGCCAGAAAACCCGAAAAAATCAAAACAAGAAACGTGATAAGCTTCCCCACCGACAATAAAAAACATTAATAACTAGAAAGGAAGCTTGCTTCGGCGATCCGATGATTATATACCCTTTGCAGTCATCATCATATTTTTCTGCTTTATGATATAGTTTATAGTAATATAATTTTATTATTTATGTGTATAAAATTAATGAAACAAAATTACCTTAAAGACATGCCACTTCAAAATCGAGTTAAAATAAGAAAAGTTATGGACTTAGAATTAGTGAATTTTTGGTTAGTTTTCAGTAAATCTATTTTTTGGAATTTTTAAAAGGGGTTGGATCATAAAAATGTAAGAAAATCTCCCAAAAAATAAAAATTACCCTATGATAACTAATGTATTCTTGTTTTGTTCCCTTATTTTAGGTCATGGCTGTGGCAAAGAACAGACAGAAGGCCTGCTGCGAACTGGTCTCCCGACTTATCCTGGAAATCTACATGGCATCAGCCTAGGGAGCGAACGGGGTCACAGCGTTGGATTCTTAACTTAAGAATAGTTAATAGACTCGCAAATAAGACTCACAAGACATAGATCGTCACCAAATTTAGAGTATAAGCCTAGGAAATAGTTATACTAAATTATTTAAAATAAACTATAACTACCGAAACTGTAGCACACTTATTTGGGCTAATACAAAAAGTGTACCTACAATTGGAATTCTTAGATGTCAACTACCAGGCTAACAGAATTCATTAGTTGGCGATTTTTGGCTGTGTAAATTTTCAATAAAAAAGTATAGCATACTTTTGGCGGTAATGGGAAATCGACGATTTTTGGATGTGTAAATTTTCCATACAAAATTGTAGCACACTTTTGGGGGTAATTAAAAAAAAAATTCAAAAAATAAGAGCAGCCACCTTCTACTGCATTCTGTTCGCCTGGTACTTCAAAATGCGTTTCACCCAAAAATTGTGGGCTTTTGGATTGGGTATGATCGACATGATCAAATTTAACGGCGAGATAATTGTTTTCCCGGTATCCTTCCGATCTCTCCTATGGAAGCTATCCGATATAGTCGCCCGATCCGGCCCGTTCCCACCTATATACTCCGCTCAATAACAACACAACTTTTGGTATTATATCACATATATATTTATTACATGTATATACACTTTTTGGGGTCTGAGGTGTCTCCTTCACAGCGTTGCAAACTCCTGACTGAAATTATGATACCCTCTGCCAGGGTATAAAAACATTTACGGCACACGCTTGTTTGTGTGTGTTTATGCATAAATAAATTAAAGACGTCACAGTGTGTGTGGATAATTGTAATTAAGTACTCAATGAACCGCAGGGAAGTAAAAAATAAGCACTGCAAAAAGAAAATACAACAACAATAGCAACAACAAAGTAAAAAGCGGCCAAACAGGCAGCTAAACAACCGGCAACTCGAGCCGGAGAACCGGAGAACCGGGGAATCGGAAGAAAGGAGCTCGCTGTGATCGCCGGACAAGGTCAATCCGCAGTCGTTGGCAGCTGAGGCGGATAAGCCGCTTCCATTCCGGGGCTTTGGCTTCTGATAACCGTCGCCCCCTGGCAGTATATAAAACATTGCGATCGGTTCCCAAACAACAGCACTTGCAAGCCAGCATCCCAGTTGATAACAACATCGCACAGCAGTCCGAGTTTCAAGTGATTACCAGTTTTTAGAATCCAATTCGAACAGAATGTCGCACTTCGCCTTCGTCGCCGCTCTCTTCGTCTGCCTGGTCGTTATCCTGGGAGGCCAGGGATCCCAGGCTGCCATTGCCCGAGTTAAGCTGACCAATCCCGGTAAGTTCACTCAACACCCAAGCTAATTTTAAAGTGCTTTTCCATCTAATGTTTAAAAGACTCGGAGAAAATATTTATTTAGGCAATTTTATTAAATTCAAGCAGTCCTCTAACTCAAAACTTCAGTTCTTCAAAAATTCACAAAATATGTATTTTTCTGGAGCTACAATCTAGTTTCATTGATTCAAGTGTTAATCCTTTGTCTTAAAAAAGTGTTATTATTGGATTACAAATGTGTTTTACGAATTCTTAAAAATATACGAGCTTATAAAAACTCTATATTCTAAGTAACGTTATAACACTGTTTATAAGAAACTATAGAAACACCGTCCTCAAACTGAATAAATCAGTTCTTCTAAAAAACACGAAATAAAAGTATTATAAAGAACAATTTTAAAAGGTTCATAGCTTTAACTTTTGAATTGAATTTCCAAAATGTGTATTTGTTAGTGTATTACAAAAATGTCAATCTCAAAATTTTTATTCTCAAAAAGTACTAAAGTATATAGTAAGTACCACGTATCTAATTCGGGAATTCTAAGAGGTTACTGTTACTTCATTGATATACACTTATACCTATATATCTGTTTCGCCTAATCCTTTTCCAGATCATCCCGGCAAGTGTGTACTGGACACGCACGCGATCCTTTCGCCCGGACAGATGGGCAAGGCGCCCAACCTGCCGTGCGCCAGTGCCGAGTGCCACAACGATGGGCATGTGACCTTCAGGACCTGTGCCGCGGTGGCGCCGCCAAAGGGTTGCAAGCAGCGCGACTTCGTCAACGTCAACCGCGACTTCCCCGCCTGCTGCGAGCGATCCTACGACTGCACCAAGCACATCTGAGGATGCACTCCGAAAGGACTCTCTTTGGGGTTGCTCATCTATACGCAACCTACTTTATGTTGTTAGTTATTTTGTTTTTTTTTTTCGTTTTATTTATTGTGTATACTACAACATAACAATTAAAATGTAAACGCTTAGCAATACAATTAAATAATTTAATATAATCATTAACAGAAAATACATATGCATGTACGCTTGCTTGTAGGTGTAGTGGTTTAATTAGGATTCCAATTCGGATTCGGATAGTGAGGCAAGGATATATCTTTATCCGATTCGACTCGTTCTGGCGTCGGGCAATACATCCTCACTGTACACGGCTATGGGATATAGCTTGCCCCCCCGCTTCAACTCTACACTAAACTGATTACACTAGATGGCTAGCATATACGTATTCAAAAAAAAAAAAATAATAAAATATGTATAAGCAAATAAAAGGTATTAAACAAAATCACAAGGACGAAAAAGGCAGAGAGGTAATATAACTATGCACATATGTACACCTGCGGGTGTGTGTTCTCTAGTTTTTCTGTTGTTGTTCTTGTTGTTTGTGGGGGCCCTCGAAATATATAGTATAAACCCGACCGCCGAACGAGGCGAATTCGAATTCAAATTCAAATTGAATCCAGAACTCAGTTGAATCCTTTTTTGGTGTCTCTCCTTTTTGCAATCGCAATTTCCTGTTTTTCTTAGTAACTTTTGCTAATTCGTTTGTTTCTTGGTTTCTTGTTTTTGTTTTTTTTTTTTGAGGTTGTTTTTTTTGTGTTTGTTTTTGTGTGTATGTGTGTGTGTGTGCTTATGTAGCTCAGCGACCCCGCCCCATCGAACGGCCGCCTCCTATCGGCTGAGATTGTTGATGTAGAGCGCGTGGAGCTCGGTGCGCGGAGTATTCTCGAAGAGGGCGGCCCGGTTCTGGCCCTCGCCCTTCTTAACCCAGTGCCCATAGACACGGAAGGCACAGCCATCGATGACCTGCAACAGAATGGCAATTAGTTGATTTTCGAGAACAAATAATAATAATAAATAAGTATCAAATAATAACACTTGATAATAATATATTTGGGAGCTCAAGAGTAATAAATAAATATAAGTTTCGCAAGCATCTTTTGTCGTTTAAACAAAAACAAATGTTTTATGACAAGCAATTGTAAAGATCAAAATCATTAAGTGTACTTGAACAAACGTAACTTCTATATTTTAATTTCTGCAGTTTATTATTTCTATATTTTTCTTATTTCGATTTTAATATATTACGTATAGGAAACTCCAGGTTTCAATACAATCTATTAGATGTTAAGTAGTGTCAATTTAACTCTCAGTTTATGATTTTTATTTATTCCTGATTGAAAAGCACTGGGGATTTTAAGATCAAGAACAAAATCCCTCCTATTTTCAATATAATCTCTTGGTTCTTTTGGGCTGTTAATCTGGCGATAGGTATAGAATTGCAGGGGACGATCGCACTCACCTTGCGCAGAACCTTGACGCGATACGGATCCCGGATCGCCTCCTCAACGTGGAGCGGCTCGGCGGTGTAGCGGAGTCGCCGTATCCGGATGACGGCCCGTATCACGAGGATGGCGAACTGGAACTTTTTGCGCGCGTTGAAGCGACTCTGTTTGCGCAGCTAAACGTGAGAAATGGGAGGCGTTGGATTAGGAATCGCGTCTTTCGGGGGCATCAACTCGCTCATTGCGGATCGATCGCTTTTCATTTTGTTTTTTTTTTTTTTTTTGGCTTCGTGTTTTGGTTAGAGGTGCACACGCCATGGGTTAAACAATTGCTTGGTTTTATTTCTTTGGGTTAGATCGTTTCGGGGTTAGCACTTGGCGGATTACAGGTTAAATGGTTAGGTGGTTACTAGTCCATCGGACGAACAACACGGATCGGGGACCAGCGATATATGTTTCGAGTGCCCAGTGTTAGTTAACCGGTGTTACTTTCAGTGTTAGTGAGGAATACAACTTCTGGGTGGTCAGTGTTTCGATGGGTGGTGGGTGGTTCGGTGTTAACTGGTAGCATTAGTTACTCTTTTCTTGATTTTTGGTGTTTCGTTTTTTCATTTTTTTTTTGTGGGTGGTTCAAGCAGACGCATTAACAGAAGACAAGAAAGCCATTCACCAAAGGTCAGAGGTTAGGATTAGGGGTTAGAGGAGTAATCACAGTCAGAGAAACATTTTTCGAGTGAACCACAACATTGACGCTATTTACGGATTACCATAAAACTAGCTCGAAATATATAGATGTATATACAAATGTGTGTGGGCATTATGCGGATAAACAATTAGAGAATACATTGACGAGCTGAATTGGTTTTAGGTATGGCGGAGTGGGCGTGGTTGGATGGATATAATAATAGAGTATATAGTATAATACTGTATGCAAATCTATCTCAGTTTGACTTGGTTTACTCACAAGGGAGTCTCCACAACACCGACTTATAGACACACATCTTATAAGGGCGTTGAGACTCTGACAATATAGAGAACATGACACACAAACAAAACGTGTATAACATCATCAACAGAGGAGAAATTAAACAAAATAATCTGTCAGTGAATCGATTTTGGCGTTATTTTATAATAGATACGATTATAGATGGGCATGTGTGTGCACCCAAAAAACACTAATTTACTTCTAACATAGATTTCAAAATGATATTCATAGTTTTCGGCTTAGTATCCAACTGATAGACTAGCAATTTCAGATATAATTGTTTCCAACAAAGCACCATATAGTTTTCTTTGGGTGCATTTACACTATGCAATGTGTGTTGCGTTAATCGTAATTAAGACTAGCATGCAGGTTAGCTTATTTTCAATATCCTGGCTTCCTCCACAAGACACAGAGACAGATGAGAGACACTAAGAGGCGTTTGGCGTTCTTGGACTGGATTTGGATTAGTGACAGACGATCCACCGATCACGACTATTGCTATGGCTACACAGAGGTATAGTATACGGCAGAAGCAAGTCAACTACATACAGTTCTTGTAAATATCATCCAGTTCACCCGAGAGATATGTACTAGAGAAAGGTGCATATAATACAGACATAGTGTTTACTCGCTACGATATGACTAAGTGTCGGCTATAAGAGAATACAATAATAGTAATAGTGTAATGCAGTACAGGTACTTCAGGTCTTAGTCTAATTGTTGGCGAACAGGTGGTAAGCAGTAGCAACTGACCGATCGACTTATACTACATATGTATATAGCACGATCCCGTGGGATCGAGCCTCTTAGAGCGGGACAGCCGAACGGTATACTGCGCGTGAGAGTGAGCGAGAGCGAGAGGGATGGAAAGTGAAGGTGGGTGAGTGATACAATGGGTTCTTTTTGAGTCGAGTGCAGCTTGTCTCTGGTGGCTAATGGTAAATGATATATGGTATATGGTATATGGTAAATGGCGTGGAGGTGGATTGAATCGAGTCAACTAAAAGCACTAGAAATTAATCAGTAATAGTACGTGTGGCGTCTAAATAAAAATAAGGGTCACGGGGCTGCCAAAAAACGCTAGAAAACCGAAAAATTTCATACTAATCGGGGATAAGAGGCAATTTCGGGTTTACTTTCTTACAGAAAACATAACAATTGGTACTAAATTCAATGAAAATAAATATTTACGCAAAATTTAAATTAATTTTCGTTAAAATTTAAATATAAATAGTAAAACTTTGATTGTCTTAAAACCAATAAAAATGTAGTTAATGTAAAATCAAACAAACAATAAATTATTTCACAAATATAGATACAAAGGATCATCATTAAATAAAAGTTGTATTATGTATGCTCAAGCAGGAATGTTTAAGTAAGCAGACCACAGTAGAACATTAGTGAACTTTTTATCCTCTTAAAGCTCCAACATTCACTAACTTTTCTTAGCTGACAACTATTAAACAACTTTCATAGCAACAAGTAGTCTTCTCCCGGCTCTTTGGTATGCAATTTTTGGTTTCCCTAGCGATTCCGCGGCCATCGTGGTCCACTCGTGGTGGGAAAGCAAAGAAAATCAAAGGAAAACCTGCCTGCACTGAGGTGGGTGCAAACACCGACTGCTTGCCACCGCCATCGCCACTGGGTTGCAAATGCGATTGCGATTGCAATGGCAGTTGCGGATGAAGATGATGCAGGTGGTGCAGCGACGTCTGCTGTTGCTGCTGCTGTTGCGACTGCTGTTGCGATTGCTGCTGTTGCGACTGCTGCTGCTGTTGCGGTTGCTGCTGATAGTAGACCGTCGCCGTGAGCGTTTTGTGGGAGGAGGCAGAGCCTGAGGCGGATGCCGCCGAGGATGTGGAGCAGGTGGTGTTGTTGTTGGCGGTGGAGACATGGAGGCAGGAACTGGCGGCACCATCGTCCAGCGGCCCGTCGCGCATTCGGTTCGAGGAGTAGGAGCTCTGCGGCGCACAGTACAGGTAGTTGGAGCCACCGGCGGTGCTGTTCAGCTGGCCAAAGCGGTACGACGACGGCTCGAGGCCGTGCAGGTGATACCTGCTCGAGTGGGCGGTCGCGATGGGCGGCGGCGGCGGGTGCCAGCGGTCACCCATTAACACCTGAGCACCCGGCAACGCCAATTGAGTAACAAACAAATCGGAGGAGTTAGGAGGCACGAGGCAGGAGGCAGGAGGCAGGGGCATTGGCACAGCAGCACAGTTTCGGGCGCGGAAGAAATTAAAATTTTGTTATCAGTCATGGGGGATAAATCAAAATGGGGATGGATCTCAGGGCGAACTTAAATACGTGTATAAATAACACCTAGGGTCGACTTACTGTCTACGTACACTGCTATAAACCTACTTACACAATACTTCCTAGTGAACTATAATCCTTTACACTTCATACTTATATGCACCTTGGTTGGGATTTGTATAGTTTTGGAGCACATCCATACCTTGAAATTTAACCACCTAGATCTTCTTGCATTAAACGTGTTAAATTTAATAAGGAAATGATCTCTGGTTCGGTGGTTTAAAATAAAATATAATTAAAATTAATTAAACTATTATCAGCAATATATTAATCACTCTCTTTACATTAAATACAACATATATTTAAATATGAAACAATGTTTTTATGTTTAATCTTATCACGCTTTATAAATTATGGCAAGTAATTTATAATTTAGTTTATTATTTATTTAGATATTTTTCAAGGTACGGGTGTAGCATCCTCATATTTCACTGCCCTTCAAACTCCTAGTGGTTAATGCACGTACACATGCAGTGACTCAAAAGGGATCTGGGTTTTTCGGGGGGGTGGGGTCTGGGGAAAAGGGGAACCCTGCTGGATTTTCTTTTCTTTTTTCTTGTGGTTTGCATGCAGACACAGTTATTAACTTAACAGAGTATGAATCGAATGGCGAGCGCCGAGCTGCAGACGTGTGTTATCGTTTTAGTTATCGGAATAATCGGTTGATTTTTACAAAGAAACACACAAAGGGAGCACAACATCGACAACAACATCGAGTACAGGGGAATGGGATTAGAGGGGATTTTGTTATCATCGTGGGGCATCGCGCAATCGACAAGCAAAACAAATCAGATGCAAAAAGGAAAAAAAAACGAAGCAGATCAGGTACGTTTTTCTTCTCCTTATTTTTTTTTTTTTAATTTTGTTTTTGTCGGTTAGAAGTTATTATGCTGGCACATGACCTGAACGGTTTGAATATATTGAATATGTATATATAGTAAACAATTTGATGTGCACTATGATGTACAGTTTAGCTGGGTTATATTAGATCGGCACAGAACGAAACAGAACAGAATGCAACGGAACACAGACACGAATGCTGGGCCGGCAGGGTTGCATGGTCATGAGTTGAGTACCGCCGGCCCGATACGTTTTCAATTATCGGGATCATCGTTATTACAGCGATTACGGCTCCGATAAGCGGAGACGGAGACACACAGCACAGAGAGATATAGGGGTTAGTCCGGGAACAGTTCGTTACCAGTGCGATCTCAGTGATGCGACTCATTCGTCGGGACTTGGTCGACAGGCTGCGCTTGAGGCCATCAATGTTTTGCTCGAACAGCTATCGAAGGTGTGTGTTTTATCGTGATATCGTTATCGTTCGTTTTGAAAAGTTAAGTGTAATCGATTTGATTTGATTTCATATATCGTTTATATGTAAGGAAAAGAAGAGAGAAAATGGTCGGTATAATAAATAGTAATCGTTAAAATAAATTAAACGCACAAACAAACGTAATTGGGTTTTTTAAGGGGTTTTTCAAACTTATATGGAATCCTGTCAGGCTATATCTCTGACTATTGGACTAAACTACAGGGATATGATGGTTGATTAGGCTGCTTACCTAACCAAATTGTAAATTATAATCGTAAAGGAGGTAACAGTAAGAAGTAAAAGCAGTTAATAGGCTGTTGTGAGTGGGTTGGTGAGTCACAGGTGTGTTTTTTCCATCAGAGTGTGTGTATTTCTTGCGTGTACTTTGGTGTTTAGAAACATTTGCAGGGCCAGGTGGTTGGTTTGATTGGGTAGGGTGGTGTGTTGAAGATCCCCCTCCAGAGGACGAAAGCCCCGCAACTAGAGACCAGGAATCTATGTACAAGGATCTAAAGACTCCTGCCCGAACACAAAAGGCGACTCGAAGTCGAATCTTATTCTTGGCGGCTAATTTTTCTCTTTTTTTGGTGATGGGTGGTCGGTTTCGGCGGCGGCCAGCAATTCCGGCACTTACCATTTGGTTGAAGAATGGATGTCTTAATACTTCCTTGACGGTGATACGTTGCGCAGGATCAACGACTAGACATTTGCGTATCAGATCCTTGGGATCCTCTGCAATTAACCGGGGGAAATAAGCATACACGAATCTTTGATATATCATTGCACCCACCTGAAATATCGGCCCACTCGGGTGAGGTGAAGCTGTACTTGCCCTCCATGATATTCCGCAGCATAACCATCTGTTTGCGGTGCCAGAAAGGCGGACAGCCGACGAGTAACGTGAACATAATCACGCCACAAGCCCATCTAAAACCAAATTGGGTAAAAGGTGTCAATTTTTTTGTTGAAAGGGAAGCGAATTGGAAACCCCTATGGAAAGCGTTTGACTATCAATAAATTTTGCTGAGCCCAAGTAACGAAGATACCAGTGGGAATCGTACGTTCAACAGCCCAATAAACAACTAAAAAAAAGTGCTATACTTTTCGCTGAACAAAAGAAAAACAAAATAGACTACGGAACTGATCAGGTTTCAGATTTGTTAGGGCTTTTGCCTTATTTGCCGGTGACTCACTTAACAATATGCACACCTCAAGATCACCAAATTTCACTTGGCGAATGACACTATCAAAAGAAATGTATAAACAACTATCAGCAAAATTGAACTCTGCAGCAAAAACATGGCTCTTATTTCAAGGGGAAAGTTAAAGCCTTTCTTGTAATTGCTGCAAAAGAACATGAAAAGTGATTTGCTGATTAACATATTCTATAGAAACATGAAGCCCATAATGCATTAAAATAATAATTCTAAAAGTGTACATTTTTTAATAATGTTGTGAAGTTGCACCTTTTAATAATCATTCGATTTATGTGAACCAAAAGAGGGGATATTAATAAAACTATAAAACTGAAATGGGGCTCTTTTCATAGGTAATGATAACTGAATAGTTAGTTTGCTCTTACATGTCCACTTCCTGCGAATAGCCGGGGGATCCTTCAAACATGTTGCACTTTAGCGTTTCCGGCGCCAAGTAGCCCGGCGTTCCACACAGATCTGCAAAAAGGGAAACTAGTTAGCTCAGTTCAACATAATATGGAAAAGTCTGCGTGATGGCAACCTGTTAGTTTTTCCCCCTCCTGCAGCTGCCTGGCAAAGCCAAAGTCCGTGATCTTCACATTGTGATTCTCGTCCAGCAAGATGTTCTCGGGCTTAAGATCGCGATGAACGATGTTCTTGGCGTGGATGTACTCGACACCCTCGAAGATCTGTCGCATGATGGTGCGTGTCTTCTTCTCCGAAAGCGTCACCACCGAGGTCAGATAGTCGAAGAGCTCGCCCTTGGGACACAGCTCGAATACGAGGAAAACAAATGCATCGGACTCAAACACATCCTGCAGATCAACTGTAATAGCAAAGCAGGCAAAGGATTATTGGTCGAATTAACTTTTAAGTACACAAAGGACTCACTTATGTAGGGATGCCCCATGACCTGGCGCAGTATTGAGATTTCTTGTCTGGTTGCTTCGAGCATGTGATATGGATTCGTTTCGCCCGCCTCCGTGGTGGCGCCCAGGTCGATGATCTTGGCGGCGAACTCCTTGCCCGTCTCCTTCTCGATGCACCGCCTCACGGTCGAACTGATGCCCCTGAAAGACAAACATTTCGCTTGCGATAAGCCGCACTTGACATTGGCATGATCGGGAATTTATCTAATCTCTAATCGCCTCAATTGTGTTACATATGTAACCAGCCCTTGTTTTTCCGCTTAGTCTCTGCTATTTGCTTAGCAAATGATGATTCCCGTGGGAGGAGAAGCGGGTGGAGGCGCTGCCGACTGACGGGCGCCGCTCCAGAGCCCACAACCGATGGCTCCACGTACAGAGCTGCGGAAGGTTGACTCACTTGGCACCGTTTAGCCAATCTGTGGAGCCATAAATAAAGCCGGCATTACTGCAAGCTTAGCAGAAAGAGCAGCTGAGATCGATAAAGATAATCGCTTGAATATCTGAGTATATCAGTGTATTAATAACTTGATAGTTTGGTGGGTTAAATTAAGTTTGATTATATCTAACTAATCTATAGTGTGAGCTAACACAGTTTAATTTGATTTATTTTGGTGATTTTGTAAACTAGTACTTATACTGATAATAAGGGAAATTAAAAACAAATATATGTTAATTTGAATACATTATTTATTTATGATGATTTATTTAGTTGTTGGAGTGTACGTTATTTTTACAGTAAACAATTTCGATCATTACTGTATGTATATTCATATCAACCAAACTAAATTAGTTTTGAAAGTACAAAAATAAACAGATTATAATTTGTTCATATGTAATATTTGTTTTAAAAAAAAATTAATATTGTTGATATATATAAAAGAGACACACTTTCATTTGTTCCACACAATATAATAACCTCGATATAATTGATAAGAACAAATTCGATACATTTAAGATTACTATTTGATTACATCGAATCTGCTCAAAATTTCGACATTTTTTCCCCCATAAGTTTTTTGCAATGCTTACCTGCCCAGAATCTCCTTGGGCTCGTACTTGGCGTAGAAGCCCTTGGCGGCATCCTTGTCGGGCAACAGGTCATCCTCCTCGTCCTTGGCCATTATATCCAGTGAAATGTTGCCGGCTGGCGAATCAGCAACGGGTTAATCTATTGCCGCGCGGAACACGAATGGAGCAAAGTTGGGCAGCGGATTAGTAAAGGATTATATGATGATCGCAATCAAGATCAGTTACTCTGCGGCTGCTAATGAAGACGATGATGATGAAGATGATCCGGCGGTGGCGGCGGGCGGTTGTTGATGAGGCTGATGCGATCGTTTAAGGCGTTGCTATTTTTATAACGACAATGTGGGAACGAACGGACGTGCGACACGAGTGAATCTCTGCGACTGTGACTGCGACTCTCCGACTTTCAGAATTTCAGACTTTCCGACTTTGCGACTTTCGTTCTGTTTCTTCTTTTTTTTTTTGGTCGGTTCGGTCTTTCCTTTTTTTTTAATTACCAAGTGACGACGTCGACGCCTCTGCTGGCTGTGCCGCTTGTGGCGACTGCGCTGCTCCGGTTGGAAGTGGAAGTGGGCTGTATCGGTTAACTATCTTCCTCTCCCGTGCCTGCTCCCTTTGCCAATGCTCTGCTCTCCTTTCCTCAGTCGCTCGCGCTCAGCTGATTTAATTAATAACGAATGCCAACTACAACACAACACAGAGATCGATTTGAATAGATGGGCAAAAATTAAATCAAAAATAATAGAATTAACATTAACTGATACACAAGTGGGTGTGTTGGTGTGTGTTTTTGTGAATGATTACACAACTACAACGGTTTGTTTTGATTGTATTTTGAAACGGTGCACGCATTTCTGTTATTCGCATTATTGTTGTTTTGCATTTGCCCCTTATCACTGCTACTTCTTATTGTTGTTCTTGTTTTTGTTGATCTCTTGCAGTTGTTTTGCTTATGCTTCCACAAACACACATACTGTCACACTATGTGCAGCAGGTTCTTTTTTGTTTTTGCTCCCGTTTTTCCCATCCTCCTTTGCAATCACACACACACACTCGCGCACACAGACGCCGCACATCACACACAGACGCACACACACACGCACCATCGTGGACATCCAACTAAGCGGGTACATTTCAATGTCAACTAAGGTTAAAAGTAGTACGCTTTTTGGCGGAGTTGGCGCACGCACTGCCAGTGAAACACATACACGGATGGCCGATCGGCTGGCTGGTCGGTTGCAACGACGTTTCGCGCATAACTCCACGGCTGATATTATCGGATTAAATTGCAAATGCAACAAAAAACCCTGTATTTTTGACACAATCACAAAACTAGAGCTGGCAAGATTTCGATGTTGTTCCGATAGTTTGATTTTTTTTTAATCGATACGTGCGCACACCGATGTTTTTCCAGCTGGTCTGCCAGTGTGGCCGCAGCCAACCCGCTCTTATATACTATTGGAGTGGCGAAAAAAAAGCACTAAAAAATACAACTTTGTCGCGTTTTAGCGAGGACACGAACCATTTAGTGAAGACGCGGTGGAGTGACATAGCACGGGCATCTTCCCAAACCAGGGCTGCAGTACTAAGCAACTACAATGTAGTCTTTGCAGTTAAAAGTTAAAATTTGAAATTTGGAGCAATATATTACTAAATAAAACTACTACAAAATTTTCAAAATCAATACTCAGCAAAAAGTTTTTTTTACGTTTCTATCTTTTTATACAAATCATTAAAATGCTTTAGTACTTCTTTTAATTTAAACATTGATGTCAACTTTTTCTGATGCTTATAAAGCCATACTTTAAATAAGAATTTAATGTTGATGTATATTAATATTTATTTACGGAATACAATTGTACAAAATATTTAATAAGCGCTAATGTATATAATAATTATGAGGCAATGTTACATTTTCTTTTGCTTTCTTCCGAAAGGGGTTTTGAAATGCGGAAGAAGTGGAAGGGTCGCGAAAAGGGATGATGGGGATCGTTAAGTTAATACTCCAACGGACTTAACCGCTCGCTTCGTAGATTAAGAAGATCTAAGTTACCTTCGGATGCAAACGGAAATACGTTGATTTGTTGTTGTTGTATATATACTATCAAAATGCCGTAAATGGAATACACAATACAAATACAATTAAAGCAGCAAAGTTGTTCATTCAGTGCCGTAGATACATTACAATAATATAATTATTAATTTATCGAAAAAAAAAAACCATATATATATATATATATAGAAAACAGACACACACGCTTTCTGTAGTACACATACACATTGGATCTCTAGGCCTACAAACTTACAAATAATATCTATTTATATACGTATCTTAATGGATTTCTTGCCATACTTGGTTTACGTTGCCTTGTTATTTAACTTTTTTTCGTTACGTGTTTCTTTTTTTTTTTTTTTGTGTCTAACCGAAATTGATATTTCACCTAAGCGCACGCTTTTCAATTAAGGGAATGGTAACGGGTAACGGTTAACGGTTAACGGGTGCTATGATGGGAGTTTGGAAACCGGTAGATAAAGAGCTCCTCGCGCTCTGTATTTTGGCTGGCAGGAGGACTTAGACTCAGTACAACAGATCGGTCTTCTGTGTGCCCTCGCTGTACACAACTCCGCCGCCCGGCGTCGCCGTCAGATGGTAATCATCATCGTCCACGGCCGAGCCCATTTTGGAGGAGGCACCTGCTCCTGTTGCTGCTCCAGTTCCAGCTCCAGATCCAGATCCGGATCCGGATCCCGCTGCCGCCGACGATGCCGTCGCATCCGTGGTTGCCAAGTCTTCGTCCTTGATCAGTCCCTCGCCGATGCCGACGATGCTGCCATTGCCGTTGAACATCAATCGGCCGCCGGCCGGACTGCCCCCGTTGCTGCTGGGGCTGTGGGTCCCGTTGCTGCTCCCGCTGCTGCTGCTCTCGGGCAGGGCGTACCGGGTGACGCCCAGCTGGAAGAGGTTGTCCATCGGCGAGCCCTTCATGGGCGTGTAGAAACCCAGAGCGGTGGAGCCTGCAAGCATGCGGATATACCAATTAGCTGACTGTTTACTCGGGAGTGATTCTCAGTGAATCCTCAGGAGGATCGGGGGTTAGTACAGTAGTAAAATAAAGGTGGCACCGAGTTGGGGAATAAAATATATATATATCAAGGTGAGGGGGTGGTTGTGGTGGTGGGGGTGTGGTTGTTGCGGATGAAGGGGGAGAACTTTCCAAGCAAATGAAAATAACGAAACATGAGCCGGAGATGGAAAATGGAGATGATCGGTGAGCGATGGAAGTTGAAGGTTGCTGATGACTAGGATGTGCCAAGTGATTTTATCTTTTTTTTTTTTTTTTTTTTTTTTTTTTTTGGTTGTGTGTGTGTACTCTAAACTGGGTTAGTTACCTTAATAGTAATATGAATTGGCGATTAGTTTTGATTGCCCAGCGGAGCAGACAGAGCAAGTGCACTGGGTTAGAGGTGTGGCATTTCTGTTTCTGTTTTCGCACTTGAATCGGTTATTGATTGGGTGGTTATGTTTATTTCATATTTGCTTGATAGTTTGAGTAGTTCTTAATGCGGATCGGGTTCAGCGGCTGCAGTTAATCGGTTCGGTTATTCAGTTTTCGGTTCGGTTCGGTTTAGTTTGGGTTTAGGTTTATTTGCCTTTGCTTGTTTTATCATAGATATTTTTTGGTTTTCGGTATACAATAGATATTATTTCAACGCTTTGCTTATGTATTCTGTTACATTTAAATAATATCTGCAAAAAGAAATTAGTATGAACAAAAAATAGAAATAGAAGTGGAAGAAACGCAAACAAAACAAAGCGACATCGGTGGTGTGTGTGTTCAACAAAAGGCTGTTTGAAATGAAACCATTTTTTTTCTTCTTTTTTTTTTTGTGGGGGTGAGGGGGAAATAGCGGGGGAGCGGGGAAGAGGGGGCCGCAAGCGTAACTAGCTACAGTTTCGAATCGCAAATTGCAATTCAATACATGCCCCACAACTGCATACCAAACTGAGCCAAACAAAGCACAACGAAACATACACAGGCACATGGCACATAACCAACTAACGCCATCACACAAATACGAACGCAACTCAAATGAAAATAGTCACTAACTAACTAAGTTCTACGATTCGCTTCGGCTCGGTTTACACCGGCACTCTTCCGAATTAGCCACTAACTAAGGTTCTATGCTTCGATTGCGATTGCTCACACTCGTGTTGGTTGAAATTCGAGAATTGCTTTTTGTTTTTCGACTTGAGGTTCATTTCGATTTTAGTTACCCCTAGGAAAAACCTCTTAATACTTTAGTTGTTTTTAAGAAACCTTTATGATGCTTAGCATTAATTATTTCAAGCATAAGTTGTCTACAAACTAGCATACTTATATGTCTGAAGATATCAGCTTTTACAGATGGACGGAAATGCACTTTTGGAACCCTGATGCTTTACATGCATTTCACGAGTGACATTAGCGAGGGAGATAATTTATCACAAAGTTGTAATAAAAACAAATACGTTTTTATAGAACACTATTATAGGGCCTTTTAGGCAGAAGGTTCTGGACATAACAAGTACAGGTAGCAGATAGAAGGGCATCGATTTCTCAACCAATTCTTCTCAGGGGAACATCTTTTCTGCTGCAGGAAAGTGGGAAGACCAGCTCATTCCTTCATAGGTTTCATCCTTGGAGCATTCAGCTTGGATCCATTAGCCTCTTGGTTCGCATATTCCAGGGGATCGCAGTCAGAGCTCCGCATGAACGGCTCCAGTGCATCAGGAAGCATCGCGGCATCTATTAATCGATTAATCGTGTGTTTCGAGTGTCCGCCTGCCCCAGTGTTTTTATATAATTTTTGTTTTTTGTTTTTTTGTGTGTTGTGATTCGTGTGTTCGGGTTTGGTGTTTTGTTTTGTGTTCCTGGCTTCCGCGTTTAGTTATTTGGTTTGGTTTTGGTTTTGGAGTGAGTCGGGGTTACACTTTACAGTTTAGCGGCCATCAAACCAATATACATTATTATTTTTTTGCTTTTTTTTGGGAGCGGATCGGGGTCACCAAGAGGTAGAGGTAGTCCAGGGAATGATGGGTGTTCTTTAGCCTAGTTGTAAAACAAATAGTAAAGCTTTGGCAATGCCTACGTTTCGCTGGCGATTTCGATTCGGAGTTGAAGCTGGATAGCTGGATATCTGGATAGCTGGATATCTGGTTTTCTGGTGATCTGGATTTCTGGTGCTCTGGTGTTCTGGTGCTCTGGATATTTTGGAGACTAGTGCTTTATAGTTTGCATTCTGTTTAGTATCTTCGATCAGGGATCATCAGACATAGTAGAGCGTGGTGCCCGGGATGCGTGCCTGTAGCAGAGTCGAACTGGCATTGGACAAAGCCAGCGACGACGGCAGACTTGGCCGACGACGTCGCTGCTGGATATCCGAGGCTGTAACTACGGCTGCACCATCGCCAGTGCTCCAATTGCGTTGGCTTTCGATGGCTTCATATTTACTCTGATGCTGCTGATGATTACGATGGTTATGGTGATCCTTCGGCTGCTGACTCCTCGGATTGCCCAGCGAGAAGGAGGCCGCCTTGCGGGGTCTGCCCAACGCTGGCTGGGCTTTGGGTGCATCGTTCTGCAGGAAGCAGGCGTACTGCGGCTTCAGCAGCACCGACGGCCTGGCCCTACGCACAGCTGGCTGCGGTTTCGCCAGGGTCTGGAGCTGCGGGCGCTTGGCGATTGTGGGTGGCTCGTTGGTTGATCGGCCAGCGGTTTCCCTTTCCACTTCCTTTGGCTCTGCCATCGATGTTGCTGCTGTTGTTGTTGCTACTGCTGATGTTGCTACTGCTGATGTTGCTGTTGCGGATTTGATTGCTGCAGGTGGTTCTGGCTGCTGAAGCGGCTGAAGCTGCTGCTGTGGCGACTGTGGCAAGATAATACCCCTCCCTAAACTTGGGTAATCTGCAAATATGCATTAGGCGAAATTGAAAGCCTTTCAGCCAGAAAAACAACCGAAGCACGTTTTGTTTGCTATTTGGAACTCGGTTTTTGTTTTTTTTTTGTTTGGTGGGTTTTTAGAATTAGCTTTCTTTAGGGGTTTCTTTTTTTGGCTTTTCAGTTCGAGAGCTGTGTCCATAGCATATATAAGTTTATATAGATGAGCAGGGGCAGGGGTTTTGGTTTGGTTTGGTTTTGTGGGGAACAGGGGCTGCTAGCTGAGGGCTGCACCACCCACCTGATGCGCCTCGTCAGCCGGCGAAGACGAGCGGCCAGGACCAAACGGAACTTCGGCCAGCAGCCGTTGTTTTCAGTGCCCGAGGTCCTGGCGCCGCTCATTGCACATTTGGGAACTGAGACGGTAACGGAAGTTGAGGCGGAGACTGAAGCGGAGACTGGAGCGGAGACTGAAGTGGAGACTGGAGCGGAGACTGAAGTGGAGACTGAAGTGGAGACTGGAGCGGAGACTGAAGCGGACTCGGACGAAACTGACACGAAGGCCACAGGGTGTTCTGTGTGATCTCTTTCGGCATCTGGAAAGTGCAGAAACCTTTCTTGTTATTTAACCGAGTTCAGTTGGGGATTTTAGGGGACATTTTCTTAGGGTTCTTTGATCTCCGGCTTTTGAAGGGGATATTTCCTACTACATTTTGGTTTAACAGTTCTACATTCCTAAGAATATTTGATTCGTTTTTGGATGTTTGTTTTTTAAAATCGATTTTTAATGCCTTACTGACATTCTTGATCTGCTAAAAGATATGTAAGCGAGTTTTACAATAAATATTTTACTAAAATTCGATTTGCACTGTTTTTCTAAGTACTTTACATTATTTAAAGGGGAGATTTCGATTATTTAATGGAATTAAAAGATTCCTCTTTTGTTGATATTAATTTTTTTTAAACATATTCCTATGTTTGCCAGACCCTGATCCCTGTTTCTGTTTAACCCCGTTAAATATTCCTTTGCATTTGGGTGTCTGATGTGTGGCTTAGTGTTTTTCATTATTTATTATTTATTTGCGCCCCCAAGGCAAACGAAAGTATTGAACTCAACGGAACAAAAACAATAAAAAAAAGTACAAAGAGATCGCGATGAGTGGATGGATGGATGAGTGGATGAGTGGGTGTATAATGATGGCAAACAGAACTCAAGAACACAGCTGGTAAATCAAGATTAAGGACAAGGCGAGTGGCACAGACAGAGACGGGAGATAGTTGGGGGGTATGCGCAGGCAACAAGGCAGACAGAGATAGAGATAGATAGAAAGAGAGAGTGGCAGCGAGACAGAGTGACAGAGATAGACAGAGGTGTGAGAGAGACAAAGACAAAAAGCCATTCCATCAATCGCTGCTGCATGCCACATACAACGTACAACATACAACACGACATTCAAAAAACAAGAGGCACGTGAAAATTACGCACGCTTGGATGGATTTTTGTGTGTGCGTGTGTGTGTGTGTGTGTGTGGAAGCGACGATATTACTTACCCAACGGTAAATTCCCCAGCATCGTACCGCCCCCCGCGGGCCCCGCCCTGTGTCCAATGCCCAGCCCATGTCCATGTCCAACTCCATGTCCATGTCCCGCCGTCGATGTGGGCAACTCGATGATCTCGTCAACGGTGACGTGGTGGTGCTGCTCCTGCAGCCCCAACTGGCGCATCTGCTCCAGCTCCAACTGCTGCTGGTGCTGCAGCAGGTGCATCTGCTCCGCCAGCAGCAGCTGGTGGTGCTTGCTCACATGCCCGAAGGGATCCGCGTACGGCGGATCCTCGATGCTCATCGACGCCTCGGAGGGGTATTCAAACGTCGACGTCAGCGTGTCGTTGAACTGCACGCGGAACTGTGGGAAGATCGAGCGAAATCTGATCAGTAATTGCCTTCTAGAGTTACTCCTACTGCGAAAGGTGCAACATCTGTGTCAGCTCAAAAAAAAAAAAAGATGAAAAAAATAGTATCTCAAAAGGTGGGGAACAAAGCAAGCTCACTTCCTATAAACAAGTTAATTAGCGGGTAAACTTACTACTTCGTTTATAAACAACTAAAGAACTTCCTGCCTCTTGAAGGTATTTAGTGTCTTCATTTCAGAAATTTTAGTTTTAAATAAATAACATATACATATATTATACCCTTTAAGGAAATCAATAAACCTATTGCATAAATAAGTACAATGAAATTTGCTAGACGTATTAAATGTTTAACAATTTAATTTGGTTATTTATAGATTTACTTTCAAGTTAAATTTTCAATAAGAGTTTACATTTTATAGATTACCACGTTTTCGCACGATCATAAAGTAAATTATTACATAAATAAGTTCGCCTAATTGAAATCGTGCCCTTAATTAGCTTTCCTTTCACCACGAAAAACATTTGCTATACTGGCTAATGAGAATATTTTAATAATAATAAACAATTAGGGCTCTACAACTCATTTCTTTTGTAACAATTTTAAAAATGCCTGCCTTGTTAAGATAATAATTTTAGTCATTTAGAGTTAAACACTTTAACAAGAAAGGAAGCTAGCTTCGGCAAGCCGAAGCTTATATACCCTTGCAGTCATCAAATATGTCGAACAAAACGCATAAAGGCTAGACAACATCGAAGCTAAGACGATTTTTCTATTCATTTTCCATATTTTTGACTATAGATCATATGGGAGCTATACGATATAGTTGTCCGATTTTGATCAAATTTAACTCGTAATTCAAGAGTCGTAAAAACACTCTATATTCCAAAAATCATACTTGTCTGATGAAAAACAACGATGTTATCAATTTATTTCCATTAATTCTATATATAATTTTCGATCCCTCCTATGGCAGCTATATGATAGAGTTATCCGATTTTGATCAAATTTAATCCGAAATTCAATAACAGTTAGAAAACGCCATCTTGAAGAATTCAAGTCGATCTGATGAAAAACAATAGAGTGAGAATTTTTTATTTCATTCTCTTGTATTGGAGCTATCCGATATAGTCGGCCGATCCGGCCCGTTCCGACTTATATACTGCGTGCAACAACTACACAACTTTTGGGAAAGTTTCAGCACGATAGCTTTAAAACTGAGAGACTAGTTTGCGCGGAAACGGACAGACGGGCAGACGTACATACATATTTCGATTCTGCTCGTGATGCTGATCAAGAATATATATACTTTATGGGGTCTGAGGTGTCTCCTTCACTGCGTTGCAAACTTCTGACTGAAATTATAATACCCTTTTGCTCTGCAAGGGTATAATAAAAGTGAGTGAGTGATCATAAATTCTCTAAAAATATAAATAAATTCTACACCTTACAAAAATCATGCCACTTGACAAGTTTACATTTTTTTAGGCAACACTATATTTAGTACAGCTAAAATATATGACTTGCTGACATTGGTGATAACAAAACTGATACCATATCAAATATTCACTTCTAACCTGGCGCCATTCGAAGTAAATGATAACTATTTGGATATCTGGATATCAACTATTAAATGGGATTGTGGACAAACTTTAAAGTCAAGGAAAGCGATAAATTAGCGACCGTTTCGAGATACATGTTACGATTTTTGCTTTTATTTTGTTTAGTTTATAATTTACATAACCACCTAAAGATTTACATTTAGCGGTTCGACATAGCCATCAAATATATGGCCAAAACTAAATAGTTTCTCTGCCAGCCATAAATTTTCAAGGTTAGACGAAAGCGTTTGATCGTTTGATCATTGTTAACAAAAACATATATTGTTATGTTTATATATAAACATTTAAATCATTGATGAATGAAGAAGATGTTGTTATGGCTGCGATTTAAATGCAAAATGCATTTCGCTGTATTGGATGGATAGTTTTGACCAGCTTTCAGTTGGCAATCGAGGAGGTGTTTATCCGTTTATCCGTGACTTTTGGGTAATTGCGAATAAATTGCGCTGAAAGCAACTCCCAATGGGAGGCACTTACTCATCCCGATGCCTTATCGATGGCGTATCAATGAGTCAACTGGCGATGACTGCGAAAACCGGGCTCCTTATCGGTGGAGAACAAACCCCAAACAGACCCAACCGACGCCATTCGATGCGATTCGATGTGATTCGTTGCGATTCGATGGAATTGATTTGGCAACTCGAATGCGGCTGGCTGCTGAGGCCGAAAGACAATAGTAATGGTAATGGTGTGGTTGGTTCCCATATCAGTCACACTGATGGAACGCACCCGAATAAAGGAATAAATAAATAAATTAGCGCCTGGCGCAAACAAAAGCGGGCTAAACAAATCCCGGAATAAGACGAGCCTAATGCTCATTGATTAATAGGCCCTCTGGACAACACGGCGATACGACACGGTCGATAAACGTTTAAATGTTATATAAGTCGAGCATAAAAATACCACCTTACATTATTTCCCCCTTATCGAGGCTCCCCCATTCGAGTGGTCAAACAATTCGGCCCGCCACTCAAATTCACACTTCCCCCTTTTTATTTGTATTTTTTTCTGTTGTCCCAAAAGCTGGCAAATAATCTTATCTTATCCTTTTTACACATACCAACTGGAATTGGAATTGGAAAAAGAACCAATGCTATCTTTCGGTGGCAAAATAACAAAACGATGCACCTGACTCACTGGCTAGCTCCACTTTACAACTTTTTAAATGGGGATCACAGGAATAGGGATTCCTTGGGGGGATCCATTAGGGAATGGATCGATATAACCAAACATACCGTGGACTCTTTGGGTTTCTGGCGTATGCTGGACTTGCCGTCGATCACAATGTTGGCATTCTCGAACTCCACATCGCACGGCGATGGCGGGCACATGGAGTACTCATCGTAGTCCGTGTCCGTCGACGTCTCCACGGAGAGATCGCCCAGCAGCACGAAGCCAGGCTCATTTGGCTAAAAGGAGAGAGGGAAAGCATGGTGATTAGTGTGTGATCATGGACTTAAAGAAGGTACATACATATTTACAATGGTATAAATAGAAATAACATGTGCTTTGGTCTTCAGTAAGAACTTTAGGAATTTCCCAATATAAACAGAATGCAAATGGTTTAAGCTTTTGCTTCGAAAAACATATGTGTTATAAAACAAGCAATAATAATTTAGGTTCATTTCAAATTCTATTAGGTGCCTAAATTAACGAACAAATAGCATCAAATTTATTTTATTATATGCTTGAATTTGCAGCATTCATTCTATTATGCTTGTAATAAAAAGTTAAAACAAATACAATTTCAAGTTTTAATGTTTGTTTACATTCTCTTCTTATTAGGTCTTTAAATAAATTGGTACATTTTATTGTACAATTAAAATGGTCTCAACAGATTGTTATTCTTTGTAAAGAAGTTATTGATTGTATATTATACCACCTAATAAAAATATTTATTATCTTCACCGAAACTGTTTTGTTTGCCTTAGAATAAAACTCGGGTAAATGTGCTCACTTCAAAGGCACTTTGAAAATGTGTTAATTTGTGGAATGTCTTTGAAGCCATTTAAGATGTTGAGATGAACCGACAAGATACTATCATTAAGTAAGTGACATGCACGCCTTTATTTAAGTTAACTCAACAACCTACAGAGGTCGAGGGAACCCTGTGTTGTTTCATTCTTTTCGGTGATGTATAACCCGTTTGTATTTTTGGGATATTAATGGCTGTCTCCCGATAATTTTAAAGGAGGATCTCATCCCCAGGCAAACCCGCCTACCGAAAATCTGTCGAGTTTTCAGGTCACATGTGTTCGAAAAAGTGAAATTCATGGAAACTCATTCTTAATCAGCGTTATGTTATGGGTCATCTGTGACTCACTACAGGGGTTCCGATGTCCAATGTCCAAGAGGTTTCCAAGTCCAAGTCCACGTCCCGGTTCCAATTTCAGCTCCCAGTCCCGTTCCATATTGTATCCCTACCCCTCACTCCTCCCTTCTCCCTCTCCCTCTTCCCTTCTCATTTTTTTTGGCCCATTTTTGTGGCACAAATCGACCCCCAGCCATATACCATATGCTGTATGCCATATATACCCATGCCGCAGATAATAAAGTTCAAAGCGAGATAAAAAAGACAAGGCAACAGCAACAGCAACAGCAAAAGCAAAAGCAACAAGAACAGCAAAAGGCAAAAGCAAAAGCAAACACAGTAAGTAGAAGTGAGCCTCAAAAAAGAATTGACAAAATTGAGTTCAGAGAGAGAGGGAGCGAGAGAGAGAGGAGAATATCTGGCAGCAGAGAGTGGAGAACGGCACAAAGCACAAACAAAACGGGTTTATGGCCAACAGAAGACGGCAAGAGGAAAACTCTAACCGAACCGAAAGCTACAAAATCTCAAGCCAAGGGAGAGCTATGGGGTATGATCGAATAACTCAGTGCTGTTACTTTTCCAAACTATTATTGTTTAAATAAAGTATTAAAACTCATTTAACGAAATGAATGAATCTGTATAAATAAGTACTTAAACAGACGTAGTAATCCGAAAAAAAAATAATTTAGAATTGTTTATAATATAACTAAAGGTGGTTTCATATTTGAAAGCTTAGAAATTGATAAATATATACTTTTAAAAATGTTACAATCTTTAAACAATAATTTGCTTTAAGTTTGCAACTAATTTAAAACTTCGTTGGTTATTCATCCAGTTATTAATAAAAATTTCAATAAAATCATCACAGTAACAATACAAATTGTACGAAAACTATCGCTTTTCCCCTTTATAACATTTAATATCTATAATATCTGGTATAACAATTATATTACTTTTCCAGTATAGAACAAAATTGCGACACCTGACATTTAAGCCAACTAAAAACCTTCAAAGAGAGCCAGAAAATGCTGTATTTGCAGCAGAAAATAAAGGGAATTCGAAGACTGCTGAAGGAGAAGAAACAGCTGTGAGGAGCAGAGCAAATGGCATCTCGCATCCATCCGATCGTGGTGTCCCATGCAATGCCATAAAAACCGGCATCCCAAGGAACGAGGAACGATCGGCTGGCTGCTCCCCAAGTTCCCCAATAAAGTTCCCCACAGACAGACAATATCTCATGTGCACTGTGTACACATATCGCCATGGACTCGGACTTTTGCTGGCAGCAGGAAGCGCAGAAATATCTTCTCATGTCCACATGCACATGCCTCAAAACTGGTTTCCCACTCTTCCGATCTTCTCGAAAAGTGCAGCCAAAGAAGAAGAATCCAAAACGAAGAACGAAGAAGGGACCGAAGACCGAAGAAGACAGAAGACTGCCAGCCAAGAAAAGATGAGACTTGCATCTGGCTGGGAACAAAGCAGACTTTGGGAACGAATATGCAGATATATTGTGTGTGCATATATGTATATTATATATAGAGTTATGTATATATGCATATGGATATATAGATAGGAGGGGCATCTGCTCTTGTCGCACACGATTCGGGGCTATCGATCGGAGAGCTATTCAAGGCGAATTTTAATTGACTCGGAGCAGAAGATCACAACGAACTATTCCCAGCTGTGATGCAAGCTTCGATCTCTATTGGGAGGCAGATACCCCTCTCCATTCCCGATTCCCCTTCGCTTCTGAAAGGCAGGAAAGCAGCCAGGGGCAGTAGCATTCGATCATCGAAGATCCCTAATTGATCGCCGCTCTGAGCCATGTTAATTAACTCCTCTGGCTGTGCAGCAGAAGCAGCAGTGTAATCTCTGCGAGATACTTATTTATCAGCACTATGATTTTGCTGCCGCCAGATAATAAATGGGTGCTGGCTTCGGTCGGACCGCACACAATTGTCAGGGGAATCGAGAACCTGTGATTCTGGTAATTTGAATTCTAACTACAGAAATTACAGGGCAGATTTAGTTGGTGTGAATTCGCAAACCCGAATAATATGCCCGATTGCAATTGTTTATGCGACAAGCTATGCAATTAAATAATAAAAAGTGATCTGGCAATTATCTATTATTGATCACAGGTCTTTAAAACGGTGTTGACTTAATCGGGCCACATTTCTCAGCACTTGTAAATTTTGAGGCCGTTAAGCTGCTAGAAACTTAGGTTTTCTGCTAGAGATTTTTAATATTACATATATCATTGATTTCTATGTATCTTATAAGGATTCTTTACTCCAATTTACCAATTATGATGAATATCCCTCCTTCCTCTTCTGATATTTGAAAGGGGATTTTGAAAAGGCAACTCCTAATCAGTGATTACTAACAGTTTCGCGAGTTAGTTTGCATTTTGCAACCCTTATCAGGTATAAAACAGTTTAAGATGGCTATAAAAAAAACAATTAGTCACTCAAAATGCAAAATTGACGTTGCTAAACGACGCTTTCAAACAAATATGACTAATTTGCGGACTGGGGAAAACATACGTTTTCCCTCAGAAGAAAGAAAGAGTATCCAAGCTGCGCTTTGTCACTCATTCGCCCAATTCTCTCCGCCGTTCTCCGCAGTTTCCTCAGTTCCGTTCTCGCCCTGTCTTGTTGAACTTTCGAAATGCGCATGATCGCTGTTCTCTGTTCTCTGTGTGCTTTGTTTCATATTTGTTTATACGGCATGGCTGCCGTATGACACAAAAAAATAATAAAAAAAAACAAAAACAACAACAAAAAAAGTACGCGAGAAAGAAACGGAAAATAAACCATAACAACAAAGATATTGGGGACGGCTGGCGAAGAAACCAAATTACTATCGGGCGAAAATAATAATTCGTGGGGTAATTGTTAAGCATGAATAATCCGCCGATAAGACGGCCGCAATGTGACTCTTCCGGGAAAGATTGCAGTTCCCCCAAAGGGCTAAAAAGGAATAAGAGGTCCCTCCTCCGTTCTATACTCACTTTTGGCAACTCCCGCTTGCGCCTGTAGATCACAACGTCGCTTTCGATGTAGTCGGGCACCTCCTTGGTGCTCTTGGAGAAGTTGAACACCATCGAGGTGTTCTCCGCGGAATGATGGCTCGAGCTGGCTCCCGACCCTCCGCCACTAGCTCCTCCTCCTCCGCCGCCGATGCCGCTGCCTCCTCCTCCTCCTCCACCGGCAGCCTGATTGTTCTGGTTCCTCAGCTTGCGCAGCGTCCATCGCGGCGAGGCACTGGCCTCCGTTTCGCTGCTGGCCATCGCCTCCTTGGTGTTTATCACGGTGTCGAGACTAGTGGTGGGCGAGGATCCCGATCCCGAGCCCGCTCCCGTTCCAGATCCACCGGCTTCGCTAGCCGTCGACTTCTTCATCTCATTGATGCGATTCTTCTCGATCTCGCGACTCGTTAGCGGTGTACTGCCAGCTCCCTGGTTATTGAATAGCGGCCGGATCACTCCGATCTGTTTGGCCACCGCTGGTCCTCCGGATTCTCCTGTGCTGCTGTTGCTATTATTGTTGTTCGTTGTTGTTGTTGTGGATGTCAGCTTGCGTACGCCAGTGGCACTTCCGCTGGCTACATGCACGTTCTCCGTCGAGGCAGCGAATGATCGTTGGGCGCCTCCCGCTGCCGATTCCGTTGGGGGCTTAGGCTTATCGCCTGCCGCCGCTGCCGCGCCCATTTTATCGCGTTGCTCATTGTCGCTGTTGTCGCCGCCGCCGCCGTCGTCGTTGTCGTCGTCATCGTTGTTGTTGTGGCTCTCGTCATCGCCTTCGCCATCGCCATCGCCATCACCCTCATCGCGATCGCGATCGTTTCGCTCAGTCTCGCTTGGCGCCTCGCTCTGCGGTGTAGCCTCCGTGTCCCGAAGCTCCCGTTCCCTTTCGGGTGTCTCCGGCTCCTGCAGCTCCATGCGTCGCATCATCACACTCAACGCCGTCATGGGCGAATCGTTCTGGCGGGGTATTATGTCCGGATGCGCATGATGCGAGCCCCTCAGCGGCGTGGATGAGGCGAAGCCGGTTGTTGGCTTTTGATCCTTGATGATCGACTTGTAGTTGGCCACCTTGCTGGCCACACCGCCCCTCCGTTTGAACGATGGGCGGCACGGGGACGTCGATTGGCGCTCGCCTCGAACATCTTAAGGGTCTGCTTGACCAGATCCGGTGGCGGTCGTTCGGTGTCATCGATAATGGAGGTCAGTCGCTTCGGTGGCGCCGCATCCGTGCCGCTGTGCAGCCGCTCGCGGGCATTGTGGATCTTGTCCTCGATGGTGACGCAGGTGGGCGAGGTGACAGGTGAGGCGGCCACGGCGGCGGCCTTGGAAGCGGGTTGCTGTTGCTGTGGTGTGGCTGGTATAGCTGCTGTTGCTGCAGCGGCAGTGGTGATTCTCTGACTGTTCCATGGCGACTTCTCGCAGAGCAGCGCCTCCACGGAGCGGGCGCGCTTCATCACCTCGTTGCCGCGCTTGAAGTGACGCGATCGGTTGCCCGCTCCATTGGCAATGCCACCTGGTTGGCCAGCCTCATCCGTGGACAGGGGCTGATTACCCACGGCTGAGCCTCCATTGGCACCCAAACTCACGGGACGCTGGTACTGCTGCGCCTGTTGCTGCTGACTTGGCCTGGCTGTCGTAGGTTTGGCACCCAAAATGGGCGGCGGTGTGGACTTGGCACGCACCTGGTTGGCCACCTGCTCCTCCACTTCCACCTCGTCGTCGTCGCGATCTAGCAGAGTGTTCAGGCTGGTGGAACGCTGCAGACGCTGCTTGCTGCTCTGCTGGCGGGATTCGCGGAGCGCTAGGCTCAGGTAACGGCAACGCAGCTTGGAGACAATGCCGGGTCCATAGCTCAGGTCCTCGCCGGTGTCCACCGGTAGGTCTGGAATCGGATTCGGTGCATCCACATCGCCAGTGGCCACCGAAACGCCGCGATGTCGGTGCTGGCCATTTTGTTTGGTTGTCTTCTTCATCTCTTGCATGGCGACCATTGTCGGTTTTACCGTTACCTTCGTGGGCGACAGTTGCTGCTGCTGCTGGTGCTTCTGTTGTTGCTGCTGCTGCTGCTGGATGATGAACTTGTTGCTCTGCAATTTGTCGGAAATACTCTTGGTCTTGCAGCTCTTGTTGCTATCGATATTGGTCGTCGTCTCTTTTGCTGAAGAAGGCTCGCCCTCAGCAACGCTCTGTCCCGGTTTGCATTTCGTTTTCAAATAAATTTGGTTTAGTTTGGTTTGGGTTTTGATTTGCTGAGAGACTGGCACAATTGGAGCAGCGTCGTCGTCAGCATGGTAGAATAGCTAAAGGGTTGTCTCGTCGCGTTCGTCAGTCCCTTACAGTCACTACAATGAATGCGAATGAAAGAGTGTTTTGCAGTAAGTGCGAAAGAAATGGCAATAAAGTGTGTTGTTTAACCCTTATACGGTGCATTGGGTTTAAAACGCCCTGAAACTGAAACCAAACGATTTCAGACTTTATCATTTGCTAGAGGTGCTTAAGCTAGACAGCGGTTGCTCCACCGGTTTTAACTCGATGGTTATTCTCTCAGCGAGAGATTCACCTAAACGTTAACGGACTGAACCCGAACGATTTCATATACTTATTCCACCATGGCTGCTGCTCCAATTGTGCCAGTCTGAACTCCACCACACCGTCTACTCACCACAGCCGGCGGCTCGTACTCGCTCTCCCTCTCTCTATCGCCGCTCTCGCTCAGAATCTCTGTCTCTCTCTCCTGACTTCTTGTGTTGAGTAAACTCGATCGCTGCTTTGGTATTGGTGTTACTGTTACGGTTGTTGTTGCTGCCGCTTCGGGCGAGAGGGAGACGGCAGTAACAGAGTGATGACCTCCGGTGGAATTGATATTGGAAATAGAAGATTTCTCAGACTTTTCCTCAGAAGTGTTCACATTTCTCTTTTGACTAGTGCTACTACAGTTGATTGTCGCCGGTTCCATGGAATCTGTTTGGGTGAGAACAAAACACAAGCATTTTAAAGACAATGCAATAAATCATAACTTGTTTTTCTCCTTTCCCCGCTGTTTCACCTGACAACTCTGGTCGCTATCGATTGCATACTATCGATAAGAGCGGCGGGCAATTTGAAAGTTTGCCAATAATTGGAAATGTAACTGTCTGGCGAAACAAATTAAAAACACTTGTTACCATTACTCATGGGTTATTAAATGCCAGCTGGGCAAATACAGATTGCATAAGTCACAACCAGTCTTTCAATATTTTTAATTACAAAGTGATATCAAAGCTTTTTAAATATAAACCAATGGTTTTATCTGCAATTATTTATAACTATTACAATTAGTTACAACATGTACAATTTTTAAAACATGTATGTATAGTTTTAGGCACCCTTATTGGTTATCCACAAATTTTAAGAATTTAAGGAATTTTTGGATAAAAATAAAAAACAAAGAATATGCCAAATTTACTTTTAAATATAAATTAACGTATTTATGTACCCAAAAATATAATTGTTAAAGACTTTTATGCACTTGCATCTGATAACAATGTTATTGTTATTGGGCCTTCCGTCTCACAAATAAAAGCATTTTAAGTACCAAAGGGGCTCTCGAAACTGATAAGACTGCGATATTGAATATTGCCTATACAACTCAGATAACATTATCAAGTGTTCCTACAAAAATTTGTATTTACGTGGTGGAACTTCTAATCATTTCGTGAACGGGTGTGTTTTTTTTTTTTTTGTAAGGAATACAATACACGAACGGTATGGGGGGAGTGCAAATGCTTATCGAGAAAAAGTCGTCTTGAAAATAGCTATGATTTTCCTATTAAGTGAAAGTATTCCAGTTTGTGCGACCACACCACTCACCTGCAATTGCACCTGAAGCGGCGTTGGCTTCCGATGAAGTGGCAGTGGATGCCAAAGCCCCACAACTGCCATCGGTGGGCGAGGCGATGGTGGCCGCCTGGGTGCGGGCCACGTTTGTCTTGCGGCGCTGGATGAGGTCCTTCTTCCACTGCGGCATGTCCGGCAGGAATCCGGAAGTGGGCGACATCTCAGCTGCAGCTCCAGATCCAGATCCAGCTGGTCCAGATCCTCCGGCTGCCACATCCGTGTGTAAATGCAACGAGGGACGCTTCTGTGACTCCATAATCCCCGTCTGCAAATGGCATTATTCGGGGCATTAGTGCATGTCAGTCGTATCCGTATCGGTTAGGTTAATGTATATCCCCTAGTTAGTAGTATCCCCACGTTATCCAAGCTCTACATCTCGACCCAAAGACCAAGTCTGGCGGACTGACTGCTTTAAACCTGGTGCCGATTGCAAATGCCCGATGCCCAAGCTCCTCTACAAAGCAAAGAGGCGGGCATTGCCGACCCAAAAGAGTGCCCAACCATGGAAACCATAGTTTTGGAAACTATAAAGAATTCTAAATAAACTGGAAGGTACCTTAATTAAAAAATAAGTATTCTAACACAAAATCAACCTGAGAAGCTTACTGTTTGCGCTTTGTCAATAACAGGTGAAAATATGATAGAGAAAAGTTTAAACCAAATTCGATATGATATATGCCTGCAAGTAATAGAAACAAATAATAGCGTCAGCTGTTTTTGTGATTGAAGGGGAACTTCCGACTCCATTCCATTCTTAGAAACTTTAAAATTATCACTTTTAAATATTATTAGAAAAAAAACTGCACCAAAGTGGTAAACTTATGTGGATGTTAGGTGATCTAAAATTCGTCGTGACGATGGCATTTAGAGTTTTATTTTTCTTAATTGGATTAACTGCTGTTTTTACAACCCGACAGCAAAACAAAACGTAAAACAAAGGTAAGAAGCAAAGAAACCCCAATATTTTTCCAGCATAAATATGCTAAACTGCCATAATGAGCGGAAAATGCGATAAAACCGAAACTGAGACAGAAGAAAAGCGGGCGAACCAAACGATTCTTTCTTATTGTTTCGCTGAAATTGATTGCATGGCTAGATTAAAATTGTTGTTGGAATTGGAATTTTTCTTTTTTGTTTTTGCATATACCGCGATAAAAATTATTATTTTTAATTTTCCATATCACGAGTGTGTCTCCGTGTGTGTGTGTATGCATTGTGAGTGTATGCAGGGGTGGGTAAAAAGGGGGAGAGCGATAAAAAGGGGCTGCAAAATGCAGACGAAGCATAAAATAAACAACCGACGACGCGCTATCGATTTTTACGGCAAGCTGGAAGAACTCTCTGATACACACAGAAATGCAGAATTACAGGAGGCTAAAAAAAAAAATTGCCAAGAATTGCCAATAAACGGCGACAAGGAAACTCAAAAAGAACGATGAAAAAGATAATAAAATGAGCCGGGTTTTGTTTATTTACACAGCAGGCACACCAACACGAATGCGAACGCACGTCCATATATGTATAAACACACTGTTCCGTTAGTTTTTGGTCTTTTTGTTTTTTTCCCGTTTTTTGTTGAAGCCCTTCATTTATTTTGTTATTCTTACTTTTTAAACGCAGCTTAGATGCTGGTTTTACAAGCGGTGGTTGGTTTCGTTTTCAGTTTTCCGATTTTTCCGTTTATCAGTGGGTTTTTCTGCCTTTTTCCCCGCTTTTGCCACTTTTTTGTGTTCTCAGCACGTCGAGTCTGTCGCTCTCCTCGCTCCGCGCACTTTCCAAACTTTCCCGACTGCAACTGCACTCGAACTCGGGGCGTGGGTGCACTCGCTGCGCCTCAAAAGTGCATCTTTTGCAGCCGAATCAGCGGAAAAATCTGCATTAAGTTAAGCCGCGTTTCCAATACACAAATACTGTCTATCGATTGTGCGCGCTATCGAGCGGAACATCGATAGAAGCCATCCGCGTTGCCAGACTGGAGGACTTTTCGCCAGATCTAGCTATTTAAAAGCTATGTTCATATACATTCTGCTTTATATTTTTAAACATATTTTTTTAGATTGGACGTACAATTAATATTTATTAATTAATTATTACTATTATTTACCATATCTTTACTGTAATTTCGAAAGAAACTCACAGCAATTATTGTACTACCGTTATTATTGTTTGGTAGCAATATCTTAATGGCAACGCTGCAACCGATAGATTTTTGTGTTTTTATTCCTCCAAATAAACAAAGTCTGCAATTGTTTATTATTTCTAATAGCAAATAAATACGATAGCGCGATAACAATTAAATAAATAAGTACACAAAGAGTTTTAATGATATATTACATACTTTTGAATAAGAGACTGGGCCAACAAAACCCTAAGTAAATTGTAAATAGTTGAAGACAGCTGTCTTGTCATGAGCATTAACTGGATAAAGATTACCGAAAGGTAGGTAATACACTGGTTATTCTCTATCAAACTCTTGTTATTTGAGTTTTTCACCAATTCAGAGCTCGCGAGGGCATCAAGATCATCAATGCCCTTCCCTACGAGACCTTCACCACGGTTTTGTGGTACACCCACCGGCAGATGAGTCCCAGTGGGGCGTCCGGATCATCGACGACGCCCACCAGTACGGTGGGCACCAGTGTGACGACCACCGGACGGGCGGACAGCAGTGCCGAGGAGAATCCCACCAGCAGCAGCGAACCGGAGTACTCCCTGGAGGAATTGGAGCGACTGGTGGGCGTGCCACGTTCGGATTTCCTGCTTCTCATCAAGACCTTCTCCTACATCCTGCGACGCATCTCCACATTCATTATCAAGCCAAGTTTGCTGCAGCGTGAACTGCGCGAGAAACTTCAGCTGGAGGATGAGGCCAAGATCGATGCCATTTTACGGTTATGGGTCCGGGAAACGACTCCTATTATGAACAATTTGGCCAGCAAGCGTTACGAATCGAATGTCATCGAAGATGTGGCCTGGAAGCTCAACGTGGAGGTCTCCTCACACTGTCAGCAACGGGAAAAGACGCCACTGGCCGTGCTCCAAATGAAAACGGGCGTGGGCGAGGATATTAACATTGAGATGACGCATCCGGAACTCCTGGAACTATACAATCAATTCGAAAACATCCAAGGCGAGCTCGACGCCATGCTGGCCATGAAGGCTCCAGATGCTCCAGTTCCTGGCAAACAGTAGTGGACCACTATCGCCACCCATTTAGTGCCAACATAGTTGTTAGTCTACACAATCCCTGTGCAAAAAGATGGACCTAAAAGTATGCAATACTTACACGATCGTAGCCAAATGTTAAACACGATTTAATGCGAATAGGGAAGTTTTTCCCTAAATCTAGTTAAATTTTTGACCGTAGCCAAATGTTTAAAAGTTGGTCAGCAAACATTTAATAGTTTATGTTTAAAATTGTATTTTCTTGCTTTAAAATGTATGGTTTTTAATGTTTGACTATAGTAATTGTCTTTCTAAAGAGATCTCCAAGATCTCTTGTATAAAACGTTAACTTAGTACCAATAAACACTTTAAAAAATTGCTAAATTAGATAATAAAGATTATAAAAAACTAGAAAGATGTAGCTTAAATCGTTTAAAAATATAAGTTGAAGATGTATGAACGAATCTTTAATATTATATTTCGACTTTTGTATGTTAATTTGCCAAGTTTTTATATCCTTGCAAAGGGTATTATAATTCTGTTGAACAGGCGAACATAGAGCTTTAGTAGGGTGCTAGTCTTTGTGCTTCTTACTTGTTTCCAGAAGTACTTTTTACTTGTTTTTACTTACCTTCTGAAGAACTGAAAAATCTCCAATGAAATAAATTTGAAAAAAAGCACTCTCACATTTTACAGTACACTTTAATGGATCTCTGCTTGCGCTTTACTCGTCTGCTCCACCTCGGATCATAATTCTACTGATAAACATTACAAATTATTACAATGATATATATTTTATATATGTCTATATTGTATATGCATATGTTATTCGTCGGCCTTAGTACGTGTATAATGGAGTCGTGGATTATGTATGCATTATACAGACTTTCTAGTTTCATCTTCTCTAGCTTTTGCATATATATGTTTGGATTGGGGGACCTTCCGGGTTAGTTTATATTCAAATTAGGGGCTTCGTTGTATTTTCACTAATCTAGAAGCAAAACAATTTCTATTGCACTCTTTCACAGTTCGGTTAATCATTTCAACTAAGTTTGGACAAAATACAAATGTATGCAAATTATTTGGACTACAATTTTCATTTAAAGTTTATTGCTATTGTTACAGTTAGTTGTTGTTGTGTGTAGGTGTGTTTTTGTTTTCATATTTATTTTTATTTTTGCTTTGGCACCGGCTCGGTTAATTAGCCCTTAACTTTGTTGTTAGTTAGTCTACAGTTTGCGTGGGATTCTGTTATTCTTATTGGTTTTCGTGTAAATGATTATCGCCTTACGAAATGCGTTGGTCATTTGTTCCTGTTGTTTTATTTGTGCTGTCTGTTTACCATCTGAGCTTCCATATTCACTTTCTTTCCGGAATTCACTTTGCTTCAAAGATTTATAAATAAATTTAAATAAATAAGAATATAAGGTAAGTAACACTTTTTACTTATACAATTTTTGAAAGCATTTAGTTGCGTCTATATTTTAAATAATTAATTTATGAAAGAAGTTCAAGTTGGGAAACGTAAAAACGTTTTAAATAAAATTACAAAACGCTAAGTTACATAAATATTTACAAAAATCTATCATGCTTTTTTATTTAAAAGTTCATAACTTAAACTTTTAGTCTGGAAATTTGTTAAATGCGTTTTTCCCTCCAAAAGTAAGTGAAAATGGAAACACAACTGCTTTCTCTTTGTGTGTGTGTTATTGTGGTGTTATAGTGGTGTTATAGTGGTGTTATAACATCGGTGTTTAGCATTCCTTCTTCTTGATTGGATTGACTTCCAGCGCCCGCTGTTTTGGATCTTTATAATCGCTAAGTGTGAGCGCCAAATTCAAATGAGGAGAATGCAAAGAATCATTGATTTTTTTTTAAATAAAACTTGATGTAATTAAACAAAATTAATGTAGCACATAGATACACAGTTTACGCTTTGTAAAAATTAAAAAAAAAAAAAATAAACAAACACAGAAACAGAACAGAAAAGAATACGTCAAATTAAAAAATTTTTACACTACATCTTCGACGGTTGCAGCTAAATGTTTTAACATTTGTTTAAAACTATGTAACTCAATTATTGCATTGTGTTTGTGTGAGTGTATGAGTGTGTGCGATTTATAGTTAGTTCTCGTTTAGGTCTAATATTAGGTATATGTTTATCAAGTATTTATATATATAATAATATAAAAAAGTAAACATTTAGCGCTTTTAGTTTGCTACAAAAATTTGCTCGTCTCGCTCACATACTCGTCCATATTTCAACTAACATTAGGTGTACAAAAAAATTGGAAGATATATAGTTTATATCAAATTGTGGCTAGCGTAAAAATACAATCAGTATTCCAGTATTCAGTGTCGGCCGATTTCAGGCGACAATTTGTTTCGGTTACAATCGCCGATCCCTCGTTCTATCTTAGATATATATAAAATGTATAAATTGATGCGTGTGTGTTCGTTCTGTTTGGCGAGATTGCTGCATTCCCATTCGATAGATCGGTGTAGAGTATATATATCCAGTAGTATCCAGTGTAGTACACATACACATATATCCATATATAATATCAAGCGTTGATCCTCCGCCCTCTCCTCTCCTCTCCTCTGACGGCGTCCCTTAAGTAAATAATAATAATGTAGTTGCCACACGATGGTTGGGTTGGGTTCCATTCGGTTGAGTTGAGTTGCTTTCGGACTGGTTGGTTGGGCTCACTTCGGGATGGGGACATTGGCTTACATTGCAATGGGCCTACATGCCCGACTCGGCGATGCCCTCGTCATCTGGAAAAGACATTCGCAAAGGAAGGATTAGAGTTTGGAAATTGAGTTTCTAAAAAGCTTGGCTCATGCAAGGGTTAGGAAATAACAACATGGGTAGCAAAAACAAATAATATATACAGAAAATCATGCAAGTAAACTCAAAAAGGCAAGTACAGTAAACATTCAAGAGATGTGAGCACAGTGCGTTTCATGATGGTAAGGCGACTTTGGTTTCTCGGTTTGTAATTAATTCCATTTCAATATAACTATAAAATATATTCAGTGAACTAATGAAATAAGATAAATATAAATAATATTCTAATTAATAATTTTATCATTTGGTAAGTGATATAATTTTCTTTTTTTTCTTTTCTTTTTTTTCTTTGAAGGTTTAAGAAACTTTGGCTTTCCATTTAAGGTGTAAATTGAAAATAGCTTTTGATAACTAAGTTAACCATGAAACGCACTGTACACCACACCCCGGGGATTTGTTTGTCGAAAGTGTCTACAAACCCATGAACGGATTGGCATAGATGATGCCGCCGCCAGCTTCGGAACCAACACCATTGCCCAAAACACCACCACCATTAACAGCGATTCCAGCGCCGCATCCTCCTCCTCCTCCTCCTCCGCCTACTCCTCCTCCACCGTTGATTCCTCCTCCTCCTCCTCCTCCTGCTCCCCCGCTGACCACCAGACCAGTGACTCCTCCACCGGATAATCTGGTGGCTTTGCAGAGCTTCGTGGTGGCATAATCGCCATCGCCGACCAAAGTGGCAATGTCATCGTCATCGCCATTCCTCGTATTGCAACTGCTGCCGAGGAGTTGATCGTAGCAACTGACATCCGTGCTGATCACATCCACCTCGATGTCGTCGTCGTCCTTCTCCAAACTATTTCGATTGCTGCCGCCCAAGGAGGAGTGCAAGGCATGGGAATCCTCGTAGCTGCCGCCTCCACTGTCATCGTTGGCATTGTTCGACTTGGTGTCGATGTGCGTCTCGAATTCGTCGTGCATGTACAGCTCCTCCACGTCGTCCTCCTCCTCCTCCTCCTCCTCCTCATCATCATCATCCTCGTCCTCTTCGAGCTCCTCCTCCTCGAGATCCTCCTGGGGCACCAGTTCACCCTCCTCGCCCACCTCCACACCGATTTCCACCTCCAAAAGCGAACGACGCCGCGTGAAGACCTCATCCTCTGGATGATTAACAATCGGTTGATGATGATTCGGTGGCAGGATCATCACATCCTCCTCGGCGAAACTTAAGCGCACATTGGCGCGACTGGTGCGATTGCTATTCGAATTGGAACCGGGTGGAGCTGGAGGAGCTCCCCCTGCTGATGGATTACCATTGATGTGCTCGTGGCTGAGGCTATTCTTGATATCACAGGACGACGAGCTGAACGTGATCAGCTGGGATTTCCTTCTATGCTGCAGAGTATTATACCCATTCATGTGTTGCTGTTGCAATTGTTGCTGTTGCTGCTGCAGTTGTTGCTGTTGCTGTTGCTTCTCCAGAACATCTATGTTGCTATCCTTGCAGATCATCGAGCTTGGCTTGTTGTCAACCAGAACGATAACCACCGAATTGTTGTTATCACTCTGATTGACAACCGAATGTCATCTGTCCGGCGCATCCACCGAGCTATTGCCACCCGAACCCAATCCCAATCCTCCGGCGCCGCCAAAGGAGCTCATCGATTGCGAGGTGGGCGGCTGATGGTGATGATGATGATGGCCAGTGAAGCTGCTCGTCAGCGGTTGCTGGTCATCGTGCAGGATCGCCGCATTCTCATCGTCGATCGCCTCCGCCTCCGCCTGCTGGAGATCGTGATGCGACAGCTGGTGACCCTCGATGGTGGCCACCACGTCCCCGTTCTCATCCAGTTGCACTTGTTGGCCTTCCGATTGCATTGCATGTTCGATTTGTTTTTTTTTTTTTTTTTTTTTGTTAGGAAATGAGGAAGGAAAATGATTTTGCTCATAAGTTAGTCACCCATCACCGGAATGGAAATTGAAAGTGTAACATAAAGCTTAAACTCTAGTAAGGATCAACTACAAAACAGCTGGCTGCAAAGAAGTCCCACAATGTCCTTGGGTCCATTGGCTATCTTTCTTTTTTTTTTTTTTTTTTTTTCGTTAGTCAGAAGTGCGAGCGAACTATTTTATTTGTTTTCGGGGTTTTGGGTTGGCTTTTTATGGGGGGATGGGGGATCCCCTGGGCAGAGACCTACCTTCGTAGCCCTCGTTGTCGTGCATTTCGCGAGCGGGTCCCACGATGTTCTCCTTGCCCTCGAGCACCGCCAGCAGGCACTGGTGGATGCAGATGTACTGCTGCTCCGTCTGCACCATCCAAACGCGCTCTGAAATGGGATTTCATGAACGAGGGATTATTGATTGATATAACCAATGATTTTACATTGCATAAGCTGTTATTATCTATTTATCAATATTTATATTAACATATAAGATGCCATTCAAATGTAACTCACCCTTGCGCATGGCATAGACGATGCCGAAGATGTCCACGTAGTCGGACGTGTTGATCTGCTGCAGGATGCGGTCCAAGGTGATGAAGGTGCCCGACCTTCCCACTCCGGCACTGCAATGCACCACGATGGGTCGCTGCTCCGCTCCAATGCGATCCCTGAAGGCTCGCACGAATCTCACGAGAGTCTGCGGCGGATTGGGCACTCCAAAGTCCGGCCAGGTGGTGAAGTGGAAGTGCCGCAGGATGCGCTGTTCGCTGCCCTAAAAAATGATAATTCAACACATAGTAGATATTAAATGGTAGTACAACTCATTCTCTCTCTAATCGAAACTTACCCTGCACAACATAAACTCGGTCATCACCCAATCGGCGTAGTGACTATCGTTGAGGATCTGCACCTTGATGTCACCGTAGAAAACGGGAACGGTGTCATTTGGCCAATATTGATCGCACTTCTCGCGTCCCTTCTCGAAACACCTGGTTAGCATGACAATGGCCCTCGAATTGCTTTCCCAGCACATCCGCCAGAAGTCGTCGCGAGTGGAGTGCAGGGGTCCCTGGGTCACAATGAACTCCCTCGGCGAATTGTGTCCTGGCACATAGTTGGCATTGATGTAGTCACTGCCCTCGTCATCGTCCACCGGTTGGAGTTTGAATCGCGAGTGATCGTAGGGCAGGATGTTGGTGAATCGATTCTTGGGTCGATTGCACGGCAAGTCCGCAAAGGTGCACGGTTGGTCGCGACCCACGTGCTTCAGTTCCTCGAACTCCTCGCTGAATCGAAAGTCCGAGTCGGCGGACATCAGGCGATAGTGCTCGGCGAAGTTCTTGATCAGGATCGGTCGATTCTGCTCGATCACGCTATCTGGCAGGGACATGTTGTCATTGGCCCGCGAATCCTTTGTCGTCTTGCGGCAATTGTTGCGTCGTCGTTTGTAGAACAACAGAGTGACCAGGAGCACCAGGATGATGGTCAGTGGAACGGTTATGGCCACGATCAGCGAGGTGTTGTCTTGATCTGGGCAAGATTATGGATCAAATTCGTGAGATTTACAAAGAAGGAGATAAAAATAATCACTCAAACAAAACTATTTAATGATTGAAACAAAAAAAAAATAATTACAAAAACACTTCATATTAAAAAGGAATCAAGTTTGGTTTTATGATCAATTATGATTAATTAACCAACTTGAAAATGAACCCAGAATAGAAAATATATTTGCGTTTTTATAGGCATACCCTTAAAGGGATTAAAAATTATACATTTCCATAACACATCTTGATGTATGGGTTGAATTAAATTAAAAACACTTTAAATATAATTCTATTGGTGGTTTGCTTACCCGGTGAGCTCAGCATTTCTAAATATTCGTTAGAATAGATAAATATGCAAGGACAGACATAAATAGTGGTTATTAGGAGGTGTTTGAGGTTTAAATTTAGTTGGATGTTAATTTAAATCAAGTCATTAAGTGATAAAGTGATATTTATAACAAATTTCGTGGATCTTGATTAAATATTATTTGACTGAAGAGATATTCATTTTAATTAACATGTAAATTCAATTGAATCAACTCTCTTTCAGGGTTTTAGATAATTTATTATTTTGTATCGATCACTTTATCACTCTACTGCTATACTTAATAATATTATTGAGCTTATCCCCCGTAACTTACCCGTCTGAATGGGGAAACTGTAGGCGGTGTCCGTGAACTTGTCGGCTCCGGTGAAAGCCCTCACTTTCACCCGGTAAGTGGTTCCCGATTTCAGGGGTCCGTTGCAGTAGCCGATCTTGTGGTTGTCGCAGTTCTCGGTGCCGATGGTGAAGTCCTCCACGGATCGGTTCTCGAAGGGATAGTACGGATCGATGGCCTGGTAGGGCAACCAAACGCTGTACGACTGGACATCCAGCCAGCTGGGCATCTCCAATCCGGAGGCATTCTTGGCATCATCCTCCGCCACAATGATCGTGTACATGCGCACCTGACCGTTCTGATCCGAGAAGTAGTTCTTCCTGAACCGAATCTGGATGGTCGACGAACTGCGATACACTTCCGTGGGAACGACTTGAGTGGCTGGACGTGGTGGCGCCAAAATGGGCATCGTTTGTCGGTATTCCCTCTCCGGTCCAAAACCAATCGCTGTCTTTGCCTGAATCTTGAACACATAGGTTTCCCCGGGTTTCAAGTTCTTGATGATGCCAAAGGATTCTTCAGAGTCGAAATCCTGCATTCCGGCATCCGTGAGATTGTTGATATTAGTATAGGCTATTGAGAACTGACGAATCACTCCATTCGCTTCACTGGAAGGCAACGACCACTCGAAGTTGATCTCACTTGGCTGCACATCCGTGGGATGGAATCGCTCCACCCGCCCGGGAACCGCTTCATTGGTGGTAAAACTAGCGGACAAGGGAGAGCTGCTCCTTAAAACCGAAGACTCCGTTCCCGAGCGAACCACCACGGTGAAGGTGTAGTTCCTATGGGGTCGCAGATCACTGATGGTTATCTCATTCCTGGTGGTCATGTTCTGGGCCAACAGATTATCCGCTGTTAAGTATGCAATATCGAAATCATTGTACTCTCCTTTGGGCAAATCCCAGCGAAGTGAGATCTCCGTATCCGTGATATTTGTGGCATGCAACTGAGTTATTGGCTCGGGATACAAACGATCCTGTCGTTGGATTGGCAGACTCGCCACTCCACCACTCACTGTCCAAACGGTGATGTTGTACAATCTGCCAGGCACCAAACCCGTGAAGGTCACCTTGCGATCCGTATCGTTGGCCAGCTTCTCCTTGTCCCGGATTTCGGCATCGCCCAGCGAGAACCGATAGATGTCGAACTTGGACGAGGATTGTGGAGTGGGCGTGTAGCTCAGTGTGATGGTGTCCCGCTCGTCCTCCTTCTCCCCGTTGGCCACCACCACGTCCGACTGGATGAGCGGCATGGTTCGTGGATACAGGCTGGTGATCCCCGAAAGGATGCCATACGAGGTCGTCTGGATGTCGAACTTGTACTGCACTCCTGGCATCAGTTCGCCGATCAGAACTCGCACCGTCGATAAATCATCCGCTGTGTTTTTTTTTTTTTTTTTTTTGGAAGAGTCACAAAAGCAGAAGGGGAAGGGTTAGAGAAGAGCAGAGCAGAACAGAAGCTTCAGAAGATGGCAAGTCGAGGGGAAAGGGTTAAGGAATATATTACAGAAAGATTTTTGAACTTTACGACAATTTTTGAAAAAAGAAATAGGGAAAGCACAACAACATTTAACTGAAGAACTATAAAGACAGCTTAAAAAGGGGATAGTGTGAGGATAGTGATTCTCCAAAGAAATAATGGGAAACTAGATTATGTTAAGGAAATATAAATTCCTCGTAAAGAATATTAATCGAAAACAATTAGGAAATTTTCAGAGTAAGTAACTTTTAGATCTCGTAGCATTAGTAAAAGAGTTAGGAATATTATTGAAAAGAAATTAGTATAGGATTTAATCTCAAAGATTGTTGACTTAAGGTCTAGAAAAGGGAATCAAGAAACTACTAATAATTATAGTTTAACTCAATTTAAGGATAAAGATTATCATGAGTATAGATTTAGGGTAAATGAAAGCAGGTCCAAAAAGAGAGCTCATCATAGTCTATTATACGGCAATATAAAATTGAGCAACGGAATTCAGAATTCAATAGAACATTTCAGGAAATGTTAAGGAAATTAAAGTAAGAGTTATTAAAAAAGGGGAGATCCAAACGAAAAGGCAAAGCATGAAGATTAGATTTTTGAGACGAGAGGAGTCGAAAGTAATTCCGGTTTATATTCAGGATTCGAGAAGTCTCCTCCAATCGATCGATCGATCGCTAACTCACCGGACTTGTTCTCGGATACGTTTTTGGTCTGAACCCTCGCGGGATTGTCGCTGGGCCACCATTTCAGGATGTAGGACTCCACTCTGCCCTCCGGCTTTGGCCACTCCAGGGTGATGTTCCTCGAGTCCACCAGTTGGATGATATTCGACACGGGATTCGGTGGCACTGTGGTGTTCACCTCCTGGGGAACCGGACTCTCCACACCAAAACTGACCGTGTTCACCTGGATGGTGTACTTCTCACCCTTGGTCATGTCGGTGATGTCCGCCTCCGTGGATCGAACGCTGGGCAGGCGCACCCACTGCTGTTCACTGTCCGTTCGATATCGAATCGAATACTCCGTGAATTCCCCACTTTCCGGCGGAGACCAGTGCACCAAAACGGAATTACTCCTCACCGTTTCAATGGTCATGTTGCGTGGCGGATTGGGATCTTAAAAGGGGGTTACATATTCCATTTAATGATATTTCTTATATAAATTCTGATTTTTAATACTTACAAACTGCCTGGAAATAGGCATGCGGTTCGCTCCTCAAGTCGTGGCTAACTGCAAACACTTTGAGTTCATAGCCCGCTCCTGGCTGCAAATTCTTGATCACCAGACGCGACTCCTTGGTTTTCTGGGTGCGCAGATCGCTGGTTCCGTTGCGTGAGTACAAAACCTCGTACTGTTCCTGCTTGGAGTTCACGTCGCTCTTCCAGCTGATGTTCAATCCCATTCGGATGCTCTTCAGATCCTCGATGATCGGCGACGAGGGTCGTGTGACCACAAAGATGCTGGTCTCATTCGATTCCATCTTCTTGGAGACCGCCTGAACGGATAGTGAGTAGTTCCTGCCGGGAAGTAGGCTCTCCAGGGTGAAGCGGGTGCGATCCGTGGTCAAAGTGCTGGTGTCCCCGTTGAAGGTCTCCAGTTCGTGGTAGCTGTATGAAAAAAAGAGAGGAAATTCATTACAAAAATCCTTTTCAACGGGTGAATAACAACTAAAAGCTATGTTCCCTTAAACTGAAAATATAAAATGACCATTGGAGGTTCCATTCATTTGCTAAAAAAAAACTTTATAAAAGGTGTGTATCTTAAATACACTCTAATTTCCTATTAGAATTATAATTGTTTGCTATTTGCAAGGAGATAAAGTGGAATAAAAAATATTGGTTTTCTAACCAGAATGCAGTATTCGGAGTGTTCTTAAAATGAAAAAATAATTTTAATCTATTAAACAATCTTCTTTAAAAAGAAGATAAGTTATACATTTTTAACGTGTAAAATAATTGTATAAATATATATTTGTTATACATTTATAATTTAATGGGACATTTTTATCATCTTTCATTAGAACGAAAATATTTGAAAGTGGTGCTAAAATGGCTTTCCTACGATTTCAGTTTCCCTATTTCGATACTCACACAATGCGGTACTCGTCCTGGGTGCTGGCGGGATCTGCCTCCCAGGTGATGACCATCGTGTTGGTCTTGTCGTCGTTGATGCTCCGCAAATTGCGAACGGGCAGAGGTCGCAGGGTCACATCCCCAGTGGCCGGCCACGAAGTGACCTTCCCGGAAACGGTCTTCACGATCACATTGAACGTCTTTCCCGGTTCGGCGATGTCACGGAAATCGAAGAAGGCCACCGGTTCGTTGCTCCTCGGCACAGTGGATTGCCTCCTGGTGGTGGCCACCGAAACCTGGTACTTGTCAAACTCGGAGACTCCCTTGGGAGCCTCCCAGAGAACCCGGAACGAATTCGACGTGATGAAATCCCGGTCAAAGGTCACATTGAGTGGCCTTAATGGAACCGTACGATATTGAGCCGTCGTTGGCAGGGAGATCTCATCCTCGGACATCGTCTGCACGGATATGTTGTACGCCCTGCCGGGCACCAAACCCTTGAAGGCCGCCTGTGCCGGACCAGGTGGTTCGCCCTCCTTCTCCACGTACAGCACACTGTCGTTCGCATCCGGCGGCTCGATGGACACCTTGTAGTGCGTGTAAATCCCCGCAGGATACGGCGGCTGCCAAAGGACCAGCAGGGTCGTCTCATTACGGAACCAGACGATGAATTTCCCCGGAGTGTTGGGCTCTGCGGTTTTCCGAAGAGGGAGCGGGGGGATTCCCGGTTGCCAGTTGCCAATTGCGGAATTGCGGAATTGTGGATGCCGGAGAGCAACAGCAACAGGAAAACAAAAAGAGGAGCAACAACAAACAAAAAAAAAATAGAGAAGTTAGTTGCGGTCGCCGTACAAATTTTCAGAGACGAAGTTGGTTTTTTTTTTTTTTTTTTTTTTTTTTTTTGGGTTAGAGGTCAGAGGTTATGGGTTAGGAGTTAGGAGAACTTTTTGAGTCTTTGCCACAGGGCGTGTGCTAGTTAGTTATTGTTTATTGTTCAGCACAGTGGAAAGTTACAGCCGCAATTTAAGTGAATGCAAACAATATTAATATAAAGAACAGTGTGCGAAAAGCAAGTCCATTTTTAAAGTAGAAAAAGAAACATTTTAAGAGTGGGACCACTCCTAAATTAAACTTGATAACCTTTAGATATTATAAAGCAAATAAGTCTAAAGTGTAAAAACATGTTTAATGGTTGCAAATTTAAAATGCATCATGTAGAAATACTTGTTGGGTTATAAATGATTTTACAAAACAAACTAAGCAGAGCAAATCTACAGAAAAACTAACCAACACACCAAACATTGTTTGTAATATTCTTTTTGAAAAAAGTGTTCCACCCTAATGTGTTAGTCATACAAAGTGACCACTGTTATTTGAGTTTGGGCTGCTTTGCTGCGGCTGGAAATGCACATTGCTCTGAGAGAGCGGGGGAAACTGTGAGAAAAGTGCGGGAAAATGTGCGGGAAATGTGTGTGGGAAAATGGGGAAAAGGCCTCCTTCACATCTGAGTGGAGAAAGCGCACTGCGGTTGGCAATTGTCGGATCCAAAATGCATTTTGGAATGCAATTTTGGGCATGTGGCCTGTGCAAAGGAGGTATTTTGAGGTCAGTTTTGTGCTTGGTACACGGAGAAAAATAAAACAGAAAACAATAAAAATAAAACTTGATTAATTGATTAAAATAAAAAATAAGTCACTGATAATAAACATGATAATTGATCAACTTTATAAAAGATTTTATTTGAAGGGAACTCATAAAAAGAAATGTGTTTAAATTTACACTTCCTTTTAATTAAAATAAAATCGTATTATGATATAAACTGTGATATAAAATATGCATTTAATGCTTGTATTATTATCTATGTTAGTTAGTTTTCAAACAAATCACTACAATAGATGGGAAAGCAGGCAGGGGATTTTGTTTTTAGAGCGGAAGACAAGCTTAAATATTACCTCTCAGGATCTTAATGTCCAGCAATTCTTTATGCCGCGTCCTTCGACCTTTTCGTGGCGAGTTGTTAATTTAAATTCATAGTTTTGCATGTGTTTTGTTTTGGTTTTTTGTTTTTAGTTACAATGAAAGCGGGAGACAAGAAGTTAATCAGGTTTAGTTACCATCACCGAGTAGAACAAACAAATTGTGAATAAATAATTAAAGGAATGGAATTGATATCCCCATTTTGAGTGGGTTCTTCGAATGGAGTGGAACGTACTTGTGGTGAAGTTGCGACTGGTGTAGGCCACCGACTCCTTGCCGTCGTAGATGGTGTACGCCTGCACCTGGTAGGTGGCTCCGGGGGTCAGCTCCTTCACGCTGTGCTGGAATGTGTTGTCGTTCACCTGGAAGGTGCGGTTGTAGCTGCTCGAGGCCTCCGACAATCCGAGCACCTTGATCTTGAAGGCCGTGTAGCTGCCTTGGGTGGGCGGCGACCACAGGATGATGGCGTTCTTGCCACTCCGCACCTGCACCGAAAGGTTCGATGGAGGATCAGGTGCTAAAAATATAGAGAAACCCATTTTAGTACAATTTACAGTGTTGGAGAAATAAATTTATATTTCAAATAAGCCTAGGTGCATTTATAATAATATTATAAATTGTTATTTAACAAACATTAGTAAAAATGTGCATAAAGAAATATCTTAATAATTCAGTAGCGATTTAACAGTAAGAGTTTATTATCATCAATTGTATATAAATATATAATACAAAAACTATTTAATTTAAAATATCTTTTGTAATGCTCAATAATTCAGTTTTTTAGGGAATAAGCTTTGCATTTCAAATAACTATTTTAAAATATAGCTATTATTTATACAAAGTTAATGTACATATATAACTATATACTATATAGTTAGTTAACAAATCACTTAAAGAAAAAGACCTCACATTTGCTGGAGCGAAAAAGGGCAATATCAATAACACTTTTTATTGTTTTTGTTTTTTTTTACTAACACATATAATTAAAGATCAAACAAAGGCAAAACCAGTTTTTGTTTTTCACATTGAGCTGAAGGCCTGAAATTAATTTGATTTAAGAGGCAATGCGATAAGTTTCGTAACCTAAATTATATGAATTTGAGTAACTCATCTTATACTTTACTGCCTTTTTAATGATTTGTGCAATTTGAGAAGCTTTTTGGGATTACGCTCTAAAGTAGAAGTTTTCAAAGGTCAATGCCAGCACCCTTATTTAAAATAGTTAGAGATTAGGGATTACAAGTTGATACTTGGCCTTGTCCTTTAAATGGCTTCCATCTAATTGCCTTTTGCTGTTTGCTTGTTTTTCGAAATAGAAGTTAGTGAAACATGCAATCGAAGTAACTTGATACTATGTAGTTGCAAGTGCCACAAATTGCTAATTGCAGTTCGATATTTCCCATTCCCATTCCCATTCGGATTCGGATTCCCACTCCCACTCCTCATCGAATGTTTGTAAGCCGACTAATGAGCAAATCGCACTAAGTAACAAAATCAATCAGACAGCCGAACGAGAACCAGAAGAAAGCGGAGAAAGGGCGAGTACAACGCGGATGAAAGTTGCCTGATTGGAATGGGAGCTTGGGGAGTGTCTAGCCCTGTTTGTCTACACTTCGAGAAAATTGTTTAAATTACATGTTAATACCAAATACAATTTATTGCAGAATCAACTTCTTTAAACCTTTCAAAATATGTTGTATATATTTAATCAGTTTTTACATGACTTACAATATTCGTAAGATATAAAAACTAATGTTCTAATAAAGAGAAAAAAATAAAGAAAAAAAATTTAATTTATAAAGAACATATTTGCAGAAAAAAGGAAAATAGAACAAGAAAATATTTGAATTGTAATTATTATAACATTATATATGAAACTATAAAAACTGATTTTCAGAAAACTAAGATTATACACTACAATTAAATATTTGATATCATGTCGATTATGAACATTTTTCTTGCGGTTTCTCAAATATTTTCCCAACTGCACAGAGGGTGAAAATTCGACCAACACCTGCGAATGTCCGACAAATGAAAGGGGGATGATGATGGAGGGGGTGGGGAGAGGGGGTGGGTAAAGAGGGGGTGTGAGAAAGAGGGAGTGGGAAAACAAGGAAACTACAAGAAGAGGGCGTTGAGTGCCAGCCAGTCTATGCCTATAAATTACCCAAGGGTCTCATTTTGGGGAAAATGGGGGAAAAGCTATGGGAGACGGAGAGCGGGAAACGGAAAACGGGGAAAGGAAAAGGAAAAGCGTTAACTGTTTTGTGCTGTTTCTGTTGTTTTTACTGTTTGCAATAATGAGAAAAATGCAGTTAAGTTATTATTGCCAACGCATTTTTCAAGAAATTCCGTAAAAACACGCTTCCCCTCTTTTCTTTATCTTCACCGCCGGTTTTGCACAATAAAAACAAAGCTGGCCAACTGAAGAAAGTGTACAAAAATTTCAAGTTATCGCCGTCGATCGACAGCAAACGAAAAAAAAAAAAAAAAACAAAACAGCCAAAGCAACATGGAAAAAAAAACCAAGACAAAATAAAACCAGTCATAGCAACCACTTTTACTTAAAACTCCGGGGACTTTGTGGGTGAAAGGGAGACAGCAATAGATAAAGATTAGCGATCAGCAAATTAAAACTATACACACATCGATTACTGTTTGAAATAGTGCCCCAATCTTTCGGTACCGGAAAAAAAAAACCATCTGTATTTCAAATCTTTTAAACTTGAAGAAGAAATCAATTTTATTAAATACAAAGTAAGCTGTTCTTATTCAGTATTAAAAAGTTTTCGTGAAATTATTTTCCTGACTTCCAGTTATCATTAGGCGTATGATTAATAATCACATTTATACTATTTATATTACGCATACGCAACGTTGCGTCTTCAAACCATAAGAAATGTTCTACATAATAAAGTATAAAATAAATGTGGAACTATACATAAATAAATGTGGAACAATACATAAATAAATGGAATGTAAGTAACGAATAAAATATATATACGTGAGAAACGTTCTATGGCAACATTGCGTATGAGTTATATTTTGTGAACTTCATATTATAGTTACTTAAATCCGATTGTGATTTTGAGAAACGTTTTCTTACAAACATTTTAATAGTTTAGTTGGTAATGCTTTCCTCACGTTGTATCTTATTACATAATTCTAATTACAGTACTTAGTAAATTAATATATATGGTGTGACTATAACTCACCTGTTGTTATCGTCACCGTCCAGGTGAGCCAATCGTGGTGCGTGAAGTTCGTGTAGTACAGCCAGAAGTTGTATTTGGTGCCGGGGAGGGCACGTGAGAATTGGATCTCGTCGCCGATTTCCCGGGAGGCAATTGTCGTATTGGGCTCCGGATAACCGAAGGGCGGACTGTAGTCCAGTCGATATGAGGCCCCGTCATCCAGGCCGGGATTATTGGGTATGCTTATGGCTAAATCTGCACATCGAACGTCCTAAAATAGCAAAAAAAAAAAAAGTACAAAATGAACAACTGTTTTCTAAAATAAAACATTTTTATCATAAAGCCATTTTGAAAGATTATAAAATACAAATTCTTTCCACACAAAACTTAATTTATTAAGTTTCCATTTCGTCTAATTCTAAAATTTTGTAATTTCATTTTGATTTTCCTCCTTTTGGCTTCATTTTCTTCCCATTTATAAGTTGAATCATAATTTTTTCATTCGCCCATTATCCGTTTTGTTTACTTCGTTGTTACGTTTTTCCATTTAAAGTTTATTCTCCGTCATTTTCAGTTATCACAAAAAGTGCAATGACATTACAGCAACAATGATGCTGCTGCTGCAATAACAACAACAACAACAACAACAACAACAGCCAGACAAACAAAAAGTAACGCGAGTGACAATTAAATGGCACGTGATGATGATGATGATGATGCAGATAGAGATGAAGCTACCGATGCAGATGCAGATGCAGATACAGATACAGATACAAAAAGGGACAGCATGAGCGGGTGTTGACGTTAACGATGTTTGTTGTCCTTGTTGCTCGGACCATTTGCACAGAGAAAAAATAACGGGAAATAATAAACATAGTTTATCTAAATAGTTTTAAATGTGGTGTACTGTTTTTAGGCTGAGTTGCAAATCAATAAAAAAAATCTGAAGCGAATTAAGATCTCCCAGTTAGGCGCACAAAAGTATGCTAAAATATTTTATATTCGAAGATGTCTAATATTTTAGAAGTAATGTTAAGCTCAACAATTGAAAAACGAAACATTCTTCAACCAATTACTGAATGTAACCTATTTTTTTATATTCGTTTTATAATTAAAACATTTCTATTTTTTTTTAATACCAATTTCTTTCAGTGTATCTGGCTGGTTTTCTGCCGCTGTCTGCTGGTGCCAGACGCCAAATATTAACACCGCAAACAATGAGCTCCGCCGGCGCCCATTCCCTTGCATTTAACCCCTCGCAGGACTCGATTCTCCGCCCTCCAAACTGCCGCGAAAATGAGGCAAAAAAAAATAAGAGGGAATAATGGATTTGGCTAGCAAAGGGACACAGATGCTGCCACATATCCCGACGGTCGGCAGACGAAGGGGGTGAAAGGGGGAGGGGGAAAGGGGGGTGGGGTAGAGGGGGAGTGGCAGGTGGGATGCCAACGACTGATGCACATTAAAGGATTAAAATGACGGAAATGCAGTCGCCGTCGGTGGAGAAATGGCTTAAATCACGGACTGCAAGCCAGAATTACTTTGCATTAAAATGAGACACTTGAGCACTTCATAAAATGTAGTTCAACTTGAAAATATACACCATTTAGAAAATAATGAAGTAAATAAGTAAACTGAGGGGGAGTTAGCAAATAAAGTTAATTTTCACTACATTTGGGATTTTAAAAAGAGTGTTTAATTATAGTATTACTTAGTTAAATTTAAAAAAAACCGATGTAGATCTATTTTAAACAATCAAACTACTGCAGAAACCACTCGTAATATTTCCCTTAGTTAATAGAGAAACTTAATCAACAAATAGAAACATCAAATATAACAAATAATGGCTCTTTTTTATGTCACTACTAATATAGTCCTTCAAACCCAAGGAAATTATAATCACCAAACCCAAAGCAAAACTTTATTGCAGTTATTACTATCAGAAATTGCTTGACGTTTTTCGAACCACTCAATTTGAACGCTCAATTAGAGAAATGGAAATCAACGAAACCCCTGGTTTTCCCCAGTTTGGACCGAAACTATCAATTTCTCCGGGGCGGTTGTACAAACTTCTGTAATTTCATTTGGCAGCAATTCAATTCCATCAAATTGCAGGGTTTTTTTTACGGGAGGCGTGACTGCTCAAATGTTTTCAAATGTGTTCAAATGGCCGCACTAAAAGTTCATAAAAAAACAAGAGCAAGTTGACCATCAAATTGAAAGCGTTTTAACAGAAGAATGAAAAAAGTATAATTCAAACCGCACTCACTCACACACACACACACACTAACACACACACATACAGACAGGGAAATCGTGTCAAAATGGCGTTCAACAAAATGGCGTCGGCGAGCGGATAAAAATAAAGTTCCCCAACTTGTTGGCTTGATTGATGCCTTTGGCTGGCAAATAAAAAGCGCCATTTATGCCAAGTTTATGCGTGCCAATAGTGGCCAAAACTTCATGATGTTCTTCCATTACTTTTGTTGGCATTTTATGGTAATTTTTCATTACCTGGGGAAGAATTTACTTGGAGAAAGAATAATGTTTGATAATGTATATTGGAAGCTATTAGAAATTTTATAAAATATTATATTATGGTACAAAAAAAATACTAAATGAAAAATATTATATTTACTAAAGTTCATTTATAAATACAAAATAACAGTTTTAGTAAATTTATTATTATTTATTACCTAATTGATTATTATTATTATTTTATTATTAACTATTATTATTTGTTATTTTATTTGTTATTATTGTTTTTATGTACTTTTTTATTGGTCTTTAAAGAGCAATTTAATTTATTTAAATAAAATCTTGTAACATTCGCACCATTGTTTTATGGCTTTGTTCTTGGCCTGCTCAACCCATCGTGATTTAAAATTCTCCTATTCGAAATATTCCCAGGCTAAAGGCGAAATTCAAGGACGCATAAACCAGTGGAACGTGCGAAAAATCATCGTTGCATGCTAACTTAAAACCCGATGGCAGTTTTTTTTTTTTTTTTTAGCCCACTTTAGTTTGTCATACGGCAAATGGCATTGTCAACCTGTTTGATTTGACAGCTATTTTTGTTATCTGAAATGAAAAGAGAGCACTTAGCGCCATCCACTTGTCCCCCCATCATCGCACCACTCAAATACCCAATACCGAATGCATTTTGGAATGGAGTTAGCCAATTACTGTCGTCACTCACTCAATCAATCAGTCAAACAATCAATTATTTACTATTTATCCACCCCAGTCGAGTCGGCTTACTTGCAATATTTTCACAACACGTTTTTCGCCAGAAACTAAACTAAGGTAAAAAAAAAAAAACTAAAGACAACAGCAACAAAAACGAAAATAAATAAATTCAATTGCAATTTGCGTTGCGCTTTCGCTTCGAAATCGAAATGAAATGTTGGCCGGCGGCTCCAAAAACAGCTATGCGTGTAAACCCCCCTCCCCTCCCCCTTTATTGCCCCCTTTTTTTGTGGGCGCCTAACTGTAACTCGCTTGCATAATTGAACACCTTCTTTTTTTGTTTTTTTTTTTTCTTTCTGCTGCGGTTATTGTTGAGCTTCTTGTTTTTCTTTCTTCATTTCGCTTTTTCAGGTTGTGCGTCTGTTGCTGGTGTTTTCTTTTCTTTTTGGCCATTACATGATGCTCGACGGCTACCATGGCCCATTAGTCATTAGCCAAGTTAATGATGATGGTGTAAAACAGTGCTGTTTTTTGAGTTTTGTTTCTAAAGCGAAATAAAATCGTACAATTTACAATTGAAGAAAGTTTTCGAGTTAAAGCGGCATAAGTGAAAAATATTATGAATAATTGTGAAGAATGTTAAACCGTTTTATAAAATATTATTCAACCGATTTATTAACATTAAATGAATATAGCTAATTTACCAATTCATTGAAGTATACTAATAACATGTTGGGAATTATAGTGCTTTAGAGTAAAACATAAAAACCATTTGGCGGGAAACACTCTTAACCGGCATCACTCAAGCTAATGGTTACAATAATGATGATGATGATGGTGAAAATTTGCTGGTGATTATTAACGCATAGTGTGTCAGTCAGTCTGGCTGTATTATGCAATTAAATATTCGCACCGCATACTTCATTGAAGAAGTGTACATACATATATCGGGATATATATGTAACAGATATACATACATATATATATATAGCAACACGGATTCGTTTCGGTTTCGTTTCATTTAAATGCTCAATTTACACTTCGCATTATTCGCACATGGGTTTTTTGTTGGCGTTTTTATTTGTTTTGCAATTGCTCGGCCACAAACCATTTGAGTTAATTTAACCACACCCAATTCGCTCTTCTCATTCCGCGCTTTGTGAGTCACATATCTGGGTTTTGGCCAAAGCCAAAGCCACGTTTGCGCAGAAATAACCAACAAATAATATAATAATACATATACAAAATTAATGGCAATTAACAATGAGCAGAAAACCTTCGATTTTGCTGCTAAAACTCTAAGCCAGACAAGGTCGAGATGGTGGCTCAAGTGGTTTTATGGCCAAGGCTTCAAAACATCCGAGATTACCAAGGAGTTTCTTAGAAACGCATAGCCATGGGTACATGTAAAATCGCTTAATTGTTTTCTATACAAATAAATCTAAATAATAAAAGAAGAAAACCTTGTTTAAGAAGTGTGTTTTGTTAGAGAATAAAACAAATAATATAAACAAATTATTGTTGTTGTTTATTTGCCAAACAAAAACTCCTTTATTGTGGTTGCAAAAAATGTTTTGCAAATTTGAGTTCAATTAATATCTTGATGTTTAAACTTTAAATACCTTCTTGTATTTACCTGCGAAAGTTATTTTTGGATAGTTAATTATTTACTTGGTTGCTTAACCCAAATGGGGATAACAATTTTCTAGTTTAAATCTGTCAGTTGATGGGGCGCATTCAGAAAGTAAAGCGTATTCCAGATTCCATTTATATAATATTTATTCGGCATGTTGTTTTTTCCGTGATTTGTTTGTGCGTGCTTTTTAGCCGTGAGCGACTAGAGAAACATGAACTTCAACTTTTGCCGTCGCTGTCGCAGCTGCTGATGCAGACCGGCCAAGGCAAACAAAGGCCAAGAGCAAACAATCAAACAGACAAACAAATGCAAAGCAAACATGCGAGCGGAGCAAACAAGCAAATGTTGCAAACAACAACAACAACAAGAGCAACAACAACAAGAGCAACAACAACAAGAGCAACAACAACGAGGAATACGACAACACACAGCATCGGTCGAGTTTC